GCCTGTCTGAAGGGAAGGTGAGTCCATTCGACCGGCTCATTCATGCTTGGGAAATGGACTTCTTTGCAGGGAAAGCCTATCCATCTGTGCTGGCCAACCAACGGTATTAATGCTACGGCATCGCAATCACCAAGCCCTTGCCTGGCGCGTAAGTGAGCTCCAAGTAGGTGGTCTCAAAGACGGCTCCCAACACCGTCATCGGCTCGTTTCCGTTGCCGTCATGATGTCTTTCTGATAAGTCCACGTACAATGCGATACTTCACAGTACGCCATACAAGTCGCCAAGACAAACATGTCGAAACTGTCGTCGTCTATCAGCACAGCATACACTTTAAGAGTATTCAACAGACAGTACACATCCATCCATTAGGCTCGACAATCCTGATCGTTTTGGTGGGAAGGCGCCGTGGCCAAAGTTTGAGTATCCGTTTTCGATGAGAATACAGTCAGGCAGGCCAGATCGAAGGCCGAATAAGATAGATGGCATTGGACAATCCATCTACTTGTGGCCAAAGCTTCGACCATGGAAAAAGATGGATTGCTTGCCCAAACTCATAGCACAGCTGCCGTACTTTCCCAGAGGTGCCACCTATGTCATGGGCCATGGCCCCTGGTCGACAAATATCATGACCCTGGCCGGTGTCAAGACTCAAGACCCACGAATTGCGGCAATGACAGCGTCAGTACTCCGTAGGAGCACATAAAACTACTACGTACGCACCGCACGGGAGGATTGCCTCTTCAGTTGACACATTTTCAGTTGGCGTGACGGCAAAAGTCTCCAGGGAAGAAAAAAAAAAAAGAGAAAGGACCCAATGACACGAGAGGACTTTCTCCTCCACCAAGGCTAGGGCGGGTGCATGGAAAACTATTTGTTTGTGCCGGCATCTCGGTCCGTGCCTCGCCATTCGGCCTTGACTGGGACGCGAACGAATACCGTTCCGGAAACAAGATGCTTCGAACCGGTCAGCCTTGTCTGAATTATAAATTATGCCACGGGGCACCAGGGCCTTGGCAAGGGGAGGAGCCAGCTGCCAACGTTGTTGGCCACGAATAAGAAAGGGAGACGGTCACGGAGATACGCACCTTGCCATTCATTGGCTTCGGATTCCACCGGTGTCTCATGGCTGCGAATTAGATTGATCTGGTGGTTCCTCCGTTGCCAATACGTGACACGTCCTGCACTGCCGTGCATGGCGGCTAGTATCAAGGTTTGCGTCCAGGAGCGTTGTCTTCCTTGCCCGGCTCGAATGGCAGTAGCCCCGAGGGTCAGGTCACGAGCAATCCCACCGGCTAACAGTGTCTGTTGTCTGTGCACTCTACGCTCGACATGGTTGCGATTTATCATGGACGCGGTCAGTACCAACGGACCCGACCCGTCGAGGAAGCCCGCCGGCCCGCCTCAAGGACATCTGCAGCAAACCCAAACAAAACAACCTTTGAAGGCGTCGTTGCCGGGCGTTTGCATGCCCAGTATCTCTCTCTCTCTCTCTCTCTCTATCCCCAGTGGAAATGGTCTAGGCAAGTCCAGCTATGCAAGGCGGAGCCGCGAGAGAGCACGAAGTCCAACGCCATCATGCAGGTCAAAGATACACATCACATACTATCAACAAGCCCCATGAGCCTAGGGCGAATCTCCCTCGAGGCCCAGAAGCGTACGGGCGTGTAGGAGCCGCGGGGTGTGTGCGTGTGCGTGTGCGTGTGTGGAGGGCCGGGCAGTGGCGATGACGAGCGAGAGACTCACTTGGTGGCCAGCTGCGTCGCGGCGCCACTACGACGGACTTGATTCGGTACATTTACCGGCGGCGATTCCATTTTTACGTGTTCGCGATGTAAATCACAGGTGGTGAGGTGCATGACGGGACACAAGCCACCGCGCGCGTGTTGTTGCCAAAAAGGGGGGCAGGGGGTCGGCATAGCCCGTACGAGGAGCTTGTTTCTTGCGGTGTATCCTGAGATCCCGGACCTGGGGTTCGATTCTACTGGCACCCGATGGCATCTTTGGGATAAAAACACCAAAGTGCGTGTGGTTAGCCGACGGCAAGGGGTTGACTTGTGCCAGTCGCTGCCACTGCCACTGCCACTGCCACTGCCACTGCCTGGCCTCGTCTGCAATACATGTGTCAGCGGGGCACCTGTGCATCTGTCGGACTGGTCCGTATTCGTGGCGATGACGATGCGTGGGAGGGAGTGATGGCCGTGGCTTTGGGGGGGGTTTGCCAGAGGAGTGAAGGGGGTGAGTGCGTGCGTGACAACAAAGCCGAGGATGAGGAGGAGGTCTACGTGCGGGTGGAATGAACAGCGTCCGAACATTCGTTGCTGTGTTTGGGGTCCCGTTTTGCTTTTCGAAACGTGTCGAGTCGCTGCTTTGGAGGGCAGATGGCTGGTCGTGGAATGGCCGTCTCGAGGAGTGCGAGTGGTGGTCGACATCGTGTCGAGGACACGAGGCCGCGCGCTTTGCTTTGCCGCCCAACATGACATGGATTGATTGATTTCGGACACGTCCCAGCCAACAGCGAAGCGACCCCGATGCTGTGTGTCTTCACAATGGCTACCAGCACACAAGCAGGGGAGCCACATCATTCGCATGCTCGCGCCTGTTGCTCGCCCCGGCTGGGGGCGAGAATCAAGGGGGTGCGATGCCTTCATTGGAGCACGCACACGTTTCACTTCCAAGCATACGCAGCGCAAGGCAGTGAGTGCAAGGGGAGAGGGAGAGGCTTGCGTTCAACCATGGAGTCGGCTTGCAGCACAAGGAGAGCACACGTACGGAGTAGTGACGAGTACCAAGCGGTTCATGCTCATGCTCATGCTCATGCTCATGTTCATGCTCATGCTCGCGACGCTCCCTCGCCCGCATCGTCCGGGACGTGTACAGGCGCCGCAGCTCGCATTCGTCCGCAGCGACACGACATGATGACGGACCCAAAGGCAAAGGCCCAGTCGTCACGGCCAGGCCAGGCAAGGCGCATTCACGCCCTCGGCTCCAGCCTCCCTCCTGCCCGACATGTATACCATCCATCCATCCGCCTGTCCTCCGCCCTCGAGCCCAGCCCATCGCCACGAGGTCGAGGTCGAAAGGCGCGCCGGTGCCTGTGCCCTCCCTGCCCCGGAAACAACGTCATGAACAGCATCCGGCAGCGAGCGAGCGAGCGGTCGTCGCAAAACCTACCCAGCTCCCATCGCGAGCTAGCTCCCAGATGCAAACCGTGCCATCTCGATGCGATCTACCCGCCTGTCAGTCCTCGGTCCGCCATGGCCAGAATACGACACAGCCGCAGGCCAAGCTCCGATCGGAAGACGGAAGACGAAGCAAAAACCAAAAGGAAGACGAAACACCCTCTCTCATCCCGGCCAGCCTTCTTGACGAGCCATCACTCACCCCGGCCTCGCTGTGCCAACAGGAAAGCAAATAATAGCGCCGTGTCAACCTCCTCTCCCTCTCCATCGTGACAACAAGCCCACAGTTAGAATTCCACTCCTCCAAAACCTGGCCATCCTGTCCTCCTACGACCAAGAAGTGAAAATCAAATCAAATCAGCCTCAGCAAACACCTTCTGCTATAATTTCAGTAACCCTGCTCGCTCGCAGTGCTCACACGCCCCCCAGCTACCCAATGTACTCTCTACGTTGCTAATCCTGCCTGCTTGCCTGCCTGCCTCCCTCGGATCTCCGGTCTTCCCCCAACAACATAAAAAAAGCGCACCTCATCCAACATGCATACGCCTCGCTATCGCGGTCCACCCGGAAAGGGACCCAGAGAGGGGAAGTATATAAAGAAAGAGAGAAAAACGACAAAGAAAAATGAATCACAAGATCCAAAAACCCCCTCGCTCTCTGCAGGGTGCCCCGGTGAATGGAGGAGAAACCCGGGGGGGGAAGGGGGGGTGTCTTCTTCCTCTTTTCCCCCTCGAGGGAAAAAAAAGGTTCCCGAAAGGTCCCCGGCCATAAACAAGCCAACAGATGTCCTTTGCTTGAACCGTTGTTGGTCCGACTTGTGCTCCTCTCTCTCGTCCCTCCTTTGTCCGCCAAACTATCAAGGAGCACAGAGAAATGTCCCCTCCCCTCGCTGCCGTCAGGCCAGAATGCCGGTGGTAAGTGCGACGGGTGGTGTCACGGCAGGATCATGGACGAATGCTTCAAAACGTCACCCTGCCGCACTTTCCTCCCATGTGTAATTCTCGCCGCGCCTCACGGGTCGGGTTTCCAATTACTTTCTTGGCAGGCTTGTGAACCCTCTTTTTTTGATTCAAAAAGAGAAGCCGCTAGCAAGGAATCAGTCAAGGCGAAAAGTGTCAAGGTTGGTTCTCGAGCGCTCCAGTTTTGAGGCCAGTTGCGCAATGTGGTGCGTGCGTTTTTGGTGGTGTTTTTTTTTTTTTTTCGTTCGTTCCTTTCTTTCCCCTCTCCCTCCCACATCCCACATGAGGGAGAGGTTGGAATAGACCGCTTTTGGAAGAGATTGACCGAGTATTGGAGGATCTGAGGTTCTCGGCTTTTGATTCACCGCCGTTTTGACAGCTTGTTAATTCGACTGGCGTGTTTCTAAAAGGGGGGCCGTAATATATCAGACAGCCCAGGCGTAAACTGAACACCCCCGTGGTCGGGGTTGTGTTGTTGTTGCTGCTACTTGGGCTGAAGCAAACCTGATCAGCTAGCGTCGTCGTGTGTTGTTGGTCTGGGCGGCATGAATTGGGAGCATGTGTTTCAGCAGTAAATTTGACAGATCGAGTTATGAGAGAATCTAGCCTCGGCTGCCCAGACAGATGTGTTGGCTAGGGGAGGAGCGAGAAAGAGTACTTGAAAGTTGACTGGATTCGCGACTTCTGGTGGCCTTGGTCAATTTTGAAGCTGCTTCAAATTGTGTACAGACGTGCATAGGGTAGCTCTGTGCTTTGATACAATCGTGCGGGTAAAAAATATTCTTTGCTTGGCCTCTGCTATTGGAGAGAGTCAAGATGAAGGAAAACCAAACAGAATCGTTATTCATTCTCAACGTGCCGCTACCAACGTGAGTCTCCCTTATCAGCTGCCGGTGTAGGAATCACGTTCTTATCACCAAACGGATTGTCGTCGTCGTCGTCGTCGTCGTCGACTTCATCCTCCTCACTCGTTGCGCTTGATAACCGTCTTGCTGGCACCGTAGGACGAGGGGGCCTAGCAGGCGCTTGCTTAGCAGCGGTATCGAGCCTGAGCTCCGACAGATCCGGAACGTTTTTTGCATCTGCTCGGTCTGCCTGAGCTTTCTGCGTCATCACTAGAAAATCATAAGTAGGAAGAAGGGCAGCGTGACGTGGCGTGGCGTGGCGTGGCATAGGGCAGGGCAGTGGTGAACATACTTCGGTACCTGTGAGCTTGTTCTGCCAGTTCGTCATCAGAGTCACTATCTGCTTCGACTGAGTGATCAAGCTGCTCATATGCCATCAGAGCATAAACAAGTTCGTCGTTGGCGTGCAGCAGCGCGCCCAGCCACTGCTCGCCTTCAACTTGATGGATCTAAAGGTCTTCCCGTCAGCCCTACTTGCCAAAGCCCTTCCGCATCCCCCAATGATTTGAACGTACATATCGCAATATTCTCCTTCGAAGCTGCTTGCAAGCGTCGAAATGTTGTGCCGCGGCTCTATTCTCCGAGATCCTCTCCCTCTCACGATTGATAGTCTGCAGGGAATTCATCAACGCCGTCGACGCCAAGGATGACTCCGCAATGACTGACTTCATCTTGGCCTGCTCCGCCTCGAGGTTATATTTGCGGCCGCTTCTGCGCTTGGCCTTGGACTTTTTATGTCCACTGCCGCCGCCGCCGCCGTACGTGTCGAGAGCGCTGCCAGAATGATACATTTCCGACGGCCCAGGCTTGCCCTGTTTCCTTTGCTCTGTGGCTCGCTCCGCCTCTTCCTCCTCCTCGTCACCAAACGGGTTCTCTGTCTCCTGAATGACCCTGGACCTCTCCTGCGTCATGGCAACTTTGCGCTTGGGAAGTTCCTACAGACCAAGTTAACGGGAGCTACACTCACCAGAGCCAGCAAACGGTACCTTGTACAGTCGCGCAACCCTCTCCAACCCTGGGACGGCTGCGTACTGTGTCCACTCCTGGAAGAGCTCCCGGCACTTCTTCTTGACGGCAGGGTCAGACAAATCCGACGAGCCGCAGACCCGGAGACGCTCCAACAGCGGCTCGTCCGCAAAGGCGCGCTGAAACCGCGAGCCTGCGTTCTGGACAAGTCCATCAAGCAGCACCAAGGCTCGAATCTGCCTGTGGACAGTGCCGTACTTGAGTTTCTTGCGGATGGCGCGCGCTGCTTCGGTTGGACCAGACGCTTGGAGCTTGATGACTTCGACGAGGTCCGGGATTCCGCTGAGGTCTTCTTCGGCGTACGACTCGGAGGTGAGGTTCTCGATGGTGACGGTCACGGCCGAGTACGGCTTCTTCTGCGTACGGTTAGCACGGCTGGAGCTCTGAAGGACGCGGCAGCGCCGATTCCGTGACGAGCAGAGACAAAAAAGCATACCGACTGAAACATGGCGCGACGTGATCTGGCGCAGTGGCGGCCAATCTTTCTTGCCCGGCTGTTTGTGCGACGGCCACGACTGGTTGCTCCCGCACCTCCGACATGCAAAACCCTGATACGTATATATGCCTAACCCTGTAGCTCCTCGAGCTCTCCGTCAGAGTTTTCTCGGAGCAGCTCCTCTCCTCGCACACGGTAGCTGTTTCAACACCGCTCGCAGCTTCTTGGGACTGTCAAAAAGTCCAGATCGGCGGACACGACAATTGTGGGGGCAATGCTGAATGCTTGCATGCGTGCAAAGATGTTGTTTGTGCCGTTTGTGAAGCTGTCGGAGAGCACTGTTGCGAAAGGTCAAGTGCCAGCTCGGGTTGAGGGGGACAAGAAAACAAAAGAAGGAAGATGAAGAAGAAGAAGGCTGTCGCGTGACGATGGACGATGGAGCCTAGGAACCCCAGAAGTAAAGCAGCATCTGGCAGGACAACTATGTCGTACGTCGTACGTCGTACGATGGCGTCCGTGAATAATGTTTCGTGCTTGGAGCTCAGACGGCAGGCAGGAGGCAGGAGGCAGCAGGCAGCAGGCAGCAGGCAGCAGGCAGGCAGGCAGCGCAAAGCGGAAGGCGCAAGGTGGAAGGTGGAAGGCGCAGAGTGGAAGGCGCAACGCAACGTTGAATGCGGGGTGACGAAGCTTGGGAGGGAGCTCGAGCCGTCGAGCGAGACTCGGGACTCAGGACTCAAGACTTCAAGACGCTTGACTCGACACAATCAACGGTTGAAAGCTGGTCGCATGCCACTCGGACTAGCGGGGGTGCTGCACATATTTGTAGGCCGATTGACTCTTTGTCATGGTGTTACCCGCACGCTCCGCCCCGCGACGTCGCCTACCGATGTCGACGACCTAATCTAGCACATGTGCGTTTGTCCCGACTCCCGCCTTGATCTTTGCCCTGCATTATTCGTGGTCGTACGAGTCATAAAGTTACCTGCCACCTACTTAAGTACCTCCCTGGGTAATCAACAAGGAGCAAGTTGCAGGTTACAATGAATGCAAAATTGCCACGGTCGGCCTCCGCTTTCGATACTAAAGCCTGTGCTCCGTCGCATAGGCCAGCTCAGATGGCACTATATTGCGGCGAAACGCTTCGACGATACAAGCCACAACCTACATTGCGCTGTTGACTAGATTCCGTACACCATCTGCTCCAGATCCACCTCATCTGTAGTCAAGACCCAAACAGTCAGTCGCTTCATAATGCTCCTTCTTATACGACAAAACACAAAATAGCCAATGCCAGACGTGCTCAACCAGTTTTGCCCAGGCCCAGCAAGACCAAATTGGCCACATTCATTACCGTAATGACTAGCCATACCAGCATTCCCAGAATAATAATATACCACGGATTCGCCATGTTGACACCAGCAGCGCTACTAACTCTGAGGGGACGACGCCCGTTATCCGCCTCATGATAATATCTCGCCATTCCCGGCAAAACAGTCATGTACCTCGATCGACTGGTAAAGTATATAAGTGGCAAGGTAACAAATGGCAACACGGAGCTGAGAACCACCTGAGACGCCGTCAAGGCCGTGTTCAGCCCCGTCCTCCCCACTGCCCCGGCAATGATGATGGACGGCGTGATGCTGATGGAGCGAGTGATGAGCCGACGAAGCCACGGCTTGAGTTTCCACTTGATGGCACCCTCGCTGACCATCTGGCCTGCAATGGTGCAGACGATACCTGCCGATACGCCAGACAGGAGAAGCGCCAGGGCAAAGATTGTACCCACGGCAGGCGAGATGCTCCTGGATAGCAAGTCGTGGATTCCGAAAATGTCGGCTTCGAGTGCGTCTGGATTCCGATACAAAGAAGCACCGGCAACAATGAGAATGGCCGAATTGACAAACAGAGCAAATGTGAAGAGCGCTAGGGCCAGCTCGGTGATGGAGTACTTGAGTGAATGTTTGATGGCGGCTTGAGATGGAATGTACGTTCCCTTGTCGAGATATTCGTCGTTGGCAGCGGAAGCTGCAGCAGAGACCGGCTCCTCGTCCGGTATGAGGCCGTGTTTGGTGTCATACTCTCGAAGCCGGGGCTGAACGATACCAGAGCCTAGGTATAAGCTATGCGGCATGACGGTTGCTCCGAGAATGCCGCAGGCCTGATACAGTCTACCCGCCATCAGCCTCGCAAGTCTTGCCCATGCATTGGAATGGACCAACGGCGTCGGGTTGAGGAGATACTTACGCTTGCGACTCAACGAGCGAATCTGACGGAACGTATCCTCGAAATACCTCCCCCACGCTTCCCGTAATCATGCTCAACTCGATACAAAAGCAGACGACGACTCCCAGGACCAACAGACAGACAAACATTTCAAACAGTCTCAAGCCCTTCATGGAGCCGTCTGGTCTATAAAAGATTAAAATGGCCATGACGTCGAGAATGGACAATGCGCATCCCGCAACAAGAGGCAGCTTGGGAATCAAAAGATTCAACGCAATGGCGGTGCCTACAACCTCGGCCATGTCCGTCGCGATAATGGCGACTTCAGCCAGCCCATACAAGAAATAATTCAGCCAGCGTGGCAAATAGGCGCGGCATGCCGAGGCGAGATCCAGACCTGTGACAGTGCCGAGCTGAATGGCCAGCGACTGCAGGAGAATGGCGAAAAGATTGCTCAAGAGGACGATGAAGAGGAACTTGTACTGGTAAGACGCACCGGCTGCGATGTCAGTGGCGTAGTTTCCGGGGTCGACTAGGCCATGTTAGAGATCATGAAACGATTGCAGTCCTGTGTTGATAGAGAGACATGGTTGAAACTTGACAGGCTCCGGAGTCTGGCTGACATTTGAGCTTTGGAGGGAAACTTACTATACGCCACAGAAATCATGAATCCCGGCCCGACAAACTTGCCAAACGTCCAGAACATATTCTTGGCCCTCCCAAAGCCCATCTTGGCTCGGTCCACGAGTTCCGGCCTGCATCTGACAGCCATGCCATCCACACCGCCGAGGTTGTTCTTGGCCGAAGTATCGGACTGTTCCTCTTGACGCGCATCACTGCGCTGGATGCCATGCGTAACCATGCCCAACAAGACGTCTCGATTGCCTTTTGCAAGTCCGACAAATTTCCGCCTACCTCGATGCTATCATTCAAGAAGCGCAGAAAAAGGGAAAAGGAAAAAAGGTCGTTGGCGTCTCCATTCATTTGATGTGATATTGCCCCTTCCATGCACACTTCAAAATATGCCTCTCGATGTCTCCAAGCGTCGCATCAAGAGCCTCCGTACCGCCGTTCGTCTATGTCGAGATTCGAGAACTGGTTTGACAATTGCTCTCTGGGGCCTGGACGCCAAGACAGCAGCGACAGTGATGACGACGGGAAGAATTGGTCTTGGCAAACCGACGATGTTTTTGCTTGGGTATGCATGCAGGCTTTGGATGAAAACGGCGCCCAGGCAGAGATGACTACAACGAAAAAAAGACGAGAAGCCAAAAAAACAAAGTTAGCAAATAGCTTTTTGTTTCTTTATTTTTGTTTTCAGGAACACGACCCCCAAGATGCTCATTCTTCTCGGCCGCAGTCGTGAGAGAAAGAGAGAGTGAGAGTGAGAGACAGAACTGCCGATGGAAAATCGAAGCCGCCTCCGGGGTTACCCGGCACACCCAATCTGGGATCTGGGGATAAAGAAATTCGGGGAAAGGCGGAAGGTGCAGATGCCGCAGCGCCGGACCCACTCGTCGTGTGACTCGGTCGTCTTGTCACTTAAACCACGTCCGCCGTTTACCTGCTCGTCAACGTCTGTCCAAGACAATCGGTTTGATTCTGATGGCTCCTCGCTCGCCATTTATATTCCATTGACCTTGGCAGGATCTGTACACCGTACCACGGAATGGCCCGTCTTTGCATGTACTTGCGTCCTCCTTCCTCCCCTGCGCTCTCGTCGACCCCACGCGGTCGGTCGGACTCGATTCCCGATGGGCGTTTCGTCTCCGCTCCCAACCACCGCCTGCGTGTGATTATTCGACCGTATTCGGCCGTTGAATCGGACGGGACGCCTCTGTCCCCTCTGCCTGATTGATCATTGATGTTGATGCACCAGCGCCGCTTTGCCGGGTGGATCGCCGCCCCAGCGCTGTAGCCATGTCATGCACGGCCGCCGCCTCTGCCGTGATACGACGACGTGGTTGCACCGGCCGGGGCCCTGTTGCAGTCGTCGGATGACGGGATACTGATACTGAAATGGCTGCAAAAGGGAGCCACTGGACGGGCATGGGCATGTACGGAACACCGAGTCCATACATTAGAAGGATGGCGTGGCGGCGATGATGACGATGACGACGACGACGGCGACGATAGCAGGAGGAGTATCAGCGTTAGCACACGCCGTGTTACCATCAAGGTACCACTTGCCCATCCAACAGTTGCCGCCGAGGCAACCTCGTATTCCTCGGGGTCGTGGTAGTACTCCGTGCCTGCGGCGGCCGAGTCCGTAGTATGACATGACAGCCTTGGTAATGCGAGCATGAAGATTTGGTCCTGTCATGTTGAACTGCCCTTGACCACTTGCCTCGCCGCCACGTCTGTCCCGTCTGGCCGTTTCTTTCCGTGTCCATCACCGTCAAGGGGTGCATTATTACAAACCGTGGCAAAAACCTCGAATCCTGACCAAGACGATCTTGATCTCAAGTGCTTTTCGAGAGCCACACTTGTCGGCTGTTGTGTGACCTTCTGGTCGAGCAGTGAAGATTACACACGTTGCTCGCTGCATCTGCGCAACCAAGCGTGCTATTCAAGTCGTCCTTGTCGTACAATAAGTGATCCCCCAGGACAATAGCGCAATGCACACGCTATACTTCGTAAAACCTGTGTTGTTGAGGATGGTGCGCACAGTTCACTGGTGTGGCTCGCCGGCACTAACACACAGTCGGAGTCCATCAACGATGAGGTAACGCAAAGGCTAGGTCCATTGGTTTCCATTAGACTCCTCAGTTTTATAAAACGAGACCATCCTGACGCTTTGACTCCATATTTCCATGTCCGAGGACCACTTCTCTAATTCATAGTGTTGACTTTGCTTTTGCCAATGTGCCAACTGGTTGATATCGACAATGCACCCTACTCCATGGGACCGACCGCTGGTTCTCTTGTTTTCTTCCTCTAAATCCTTCGACTAGTAGCCTGTTGAAAGACCGCCCCTCACCCCCAACACACGCGATGGACGACTAAATAGCATCGCTGTCCCGGGTATCAATGTCCGCGTGTCTCAATGTTTTCTTCCGTCTTAGCTTCAATGTCCTGAAAATTGGAACTTCCGATTTCGATTTCGATGTCACGCTTAGATCGGTAATCCTTGGACCTCTGTAGACAAGTGTCACACGAGGTTTCGTGGACCAATCGAATCAAAGCTCTAGAGTCACTCCCTTCGAGGCATTTACTCTTGTTTCTTGTCATACTTGACAGCAGCCCTCTCACGGTCCCGCTTGGCATAAATTCCAGCTGTGAAGGGGTCCTCGAATCGCAAAGCTACCACGTAAACGAGGTACACCCACAGCGTCAACAAGAGACCGGCTGGCTTGCCAAAGAAGAGGGCAGTGCCTAGGAAGCTCATGGTAGAGCCCCAGTACATGGGAGCACCGGTCACGTTGAAAGGAAAGCCGGTCACTATTTCGTCTAGCAAGAACCCAAAGTAGTCACCAAGAAAAGTACCTCTTATTCCCAGCCGGTACGTCGACGAAATGACGAGGGTGTTGCCGGCAGCAAACAAGGTGTAGGCGGCAGCTTGTGAGTAGACAGTCTCCAGCAATGGGTGCGACGGCTGCTCCGACAAAGCAACCTTGTACAACCAGTCGCGAAAGAGGCCGAGGGAGAAGATGGCAACAGCAAGGCCATAATTGGCGGCCTTGGCGTTGCCGCCAAATAGCTTCGTCAAGATTTTGTTGTGATACTCTACAGCAACTCTAGCGTCAGTTGCAAGTCCTGATCATGGTGCAAAGGCAGCTGGCCATGACCCAGGAAAGAGCGTCGGTAGTCGGGGAGGCGAAGGGAAGGCGAACCTTGTCGAGCCACAACGCTGAGGTGCGGGACAGGACTGCGTTAGCAAACCTCTATTTTACGGTCGTGGACAAATGGGACAACGCGAGCATCCTCCGGACCAAGGCGCGCAAACGGGCGTAACTCACTTCCACCACAGCGGATTGAAAGCAATAGAGGCCACGGACACTATTCTCGCACAGGCAAGGCCAGCAAATCAGTCACGGCGTTCTTTGTCATGCGCGCACACAACCCTGTCGCGTATTTTCGTCTGCCCGAGAGCAAGCATCAAGCAACTCACCAAGCAGGCTCCGCTTGCCGAAATCGACATGGTCAACAAGACTGCCCAGAAGCGACGTCATGGTGGACAAAATGCGAGGCTGCAGCAACGAAATAAAACAAAGGCCACCTGCACCGGGCACCGGAAAGCATGCGGGACAGCGCAATTTGGATGCGGAGGGGAATAGAGAATGGGAAAGAGAGGAGAAGAGAGATGGGATGAGGAGAAGGCGAGGGTTGAGAAGACGGCCAGGTAGCATTAGCTAGCTGCCAATGGCCCATGGCAGTTTGTTGACGTGCACAGACGCCCTTCCTTCCTTCCCTTGCTTTTGCTTGGCCCGACGTTGCCGTGTTTCAAATTTATTCGGCCGCAGCACCGCGGTCCGCAGTACCGTGAGTAGGCGAGCCTGGCGTCATCGGCTGGCGGTTCCACCCAATTCGGTGGGGAGCTCCAGCTCCACTTCACGGTCACCAAGATTGAAGTCCAGTCCATACCACCAGTGCAGCACCCGACTTCTCGTCTCCAAGGCCGGTGATCCTTCAATGTTCCCTTTTGACGACCAACTCTGGGCTCTCTCTCCGCCAAGCAGCAAACAGCAATCGCTACCAAGGTGCATGAAAACCAGCCATTACAACCGCCAGTCGACATCTCCGCCAACCCTAGTGCTATAAACCCCATGCTGGACCTTGGCTGTCCAAATTCAGTCGCTCGTCTCTTGGCTCTTCGCTCTCCTTGACATTGTGTGAAACGTACGCGTTCTGAATTGATTCTTCACGGGATATCATTCGTCTATAATTTCCAGCGTCGTTATTTCCACATCTTGCTAAGCTCGACGGTTTCTTGTCTTCTTGCCCGACGTCGTCGCATCTTCCTCTTCCTCATCCTGCCCCTTCTTGAGATCTTCCGCCAGGCCCCATTCCTCTTTGTCGTACCAATCTTCGCCGTCAGACATGTCCCGATTCGGCCCACAATGTGCTTCCGCTTTGGACCAGCCAAGTACATTGCTGCGCAATCTTTCTGCCCGCAGCAGACCCTGGTGTAGCCTCGCCGCCCCTCTGGCCACCTCTTCCTGTTTCTGCACGTAAAGTGCCAGTAGCCGTCTGATATCTTCCGCTTCATTTTCTGGAATACCCATGTTTCTATCAGGTTTGGCACCTGGTGGCGGAAGAAATATTGGGTGGATGAAGCAAGGTGGTTTCGATTCTGACGAGAATGCACCTCCAGACTGCTCCTTATGTGCATCGCTTGTCACAACTCCGTCCTTTCCATTTTGCTTGCTATGGGCCTCGCCGTTGCCATTTGTATGAGCAGTTTCATGTTTACCCTCTGCCTCATTTGAACACCCGTCCACTTTCGCCCCGGCCGCTTCACTCTTCATTGCAGCTTCGTTATCCGTGCCTTTTGCTTCTTCGCTGCGGGCGCTTGCATCCATCATAGACGCGTCGGCATCTGCAGCGGAGCCATCCAAGTGTTCCTGGCGCCCGTACATCGAGCTCTTGGTATTATCGGGGTTTGGAGTTCCATTCACCACTGCAACCGGGGATCTTGCCGAGCCGCCGCAGTTTGGCAAGCTTTGTTGGAAACGGGCCACGTGATCGTCTGAATAAAAATCGATGTCATTCGGCCCAATCATCGTTTCGCAGGGCATCCAAACGCCGTCACCACAGAGGGAAGTCCATAAGTGCCTTACTTTCCATAATGATCCATTCTCCTTCCGCAAAAGTGTGCAGCTTTGATTGACAAGCTCATGGAGAGTCTTTGAAGTGAAGGCTTTGGAGAGTGTCGGGTGGTGTTGTAATTCGGTCGACGCCGTGAGGGGAGCTAGAATATCTGGAGAATTGTCAGTCACAATCCTTGGCCGGGACACGCCAGATGCCAACTCACGATTTAGGCGAATGTTGAAGTATGGGTTACACTCGGCGGCGGCCAATTCAGCTTCTTCTACTCGGTCGTCGTCGTCGTCGCTCACGATCTCGTAGCCTTCATCGTCAACCAGAGGTGGGTTGCGATACAGGATGTTTCGTCGAACGCCGGCGTAGTCGACGGCCTAGGAAGCCATTCATTAGAATCATGCACATTGGCAACCGCGAGGGCGAGGGCGACAGGGAAATGCATGCCTCTTTGTATGCACTTGGGCCGGCAGCCGGCGCCAATTGTCCCTTGTGTGCAAATCTCGCTCTCTTTTGAAGCTTGTGGCCGCGATTGGTACAGCTGTCGATCTCGGAGTCGGAGTCTGACTCTGCCGCAGAACCCTTGGTTAGCCATGTGCCGGCGCACAGAGAGAAAGTCATGGCCATGGGTTTCTTACCGTATGCCTTCCTCTTGAAGGCCTTTTTCATGCCGGCTATCGTCTCGGCAAACAGGATCTGCTGTGTTGCCATGTTGGGCGGCTTGCCAGATTTTCGAGACTTCGGCCGCCCGAGAATGATGGTATCGACAAGGTTGTTGGCGCCAGGTCTGCGACGTTGAGCACGACGGTGTGGTCAGGAGCTGGATTGTAATACTATCTGGCCGGTTTAGGTTTAGAGAAACTTCTAATTCGCCATGACGAGGGGTATCAATGTCGTAAATCGCAGGTCGGCGTCTGGTGAGGGCGCGGTACATGAGAGGGAGCAATCCGACTGCGTGACCGCGAAAGCGAGCGGGACTGACCACCACTCGCATACTGGCAAAAGCAACTTTCGCTCGGCGCTGAGTCGAGGTACGTACCTCCTCCTCCCCCACGGAGCAGTGCGGATCCTTGTCATGGACTATGGCCAATGAAAAGCACCCTCCGTCGGGGCTCTCAACGCCGGAAGGGGACTCTGCCGATATTTAAGCGACCACGTTCCTGAATCACGTCACTTCCTGGTCGCCTCATCTCTGACAAACCCTGTGGCAGTGAGAACAAATTGACCTAGCTACTTCTTGAGAACAGTCCTAGGCAAGTAAGGTTGGTTTTTTTTTGCCAAGGTATACATAAAAATCACTGCGTTGTAACATGTCATTGTACCATTACACGGCGTAGTACCACGCTTGGCTTGTTTCCATCACCTCCCGTAGCTAAGAAGGAAAAAGGCATTGTGCTTTTCCAGCGCACCCTTTGTCCACCGTTGCATGAAAACATCAAGCATTAGCAAATAAAGAGCTCTCTTCCGTAGGTCATGCCTGGCACCTATGCGCAAATTAATACACCAGCCACGGGGTTCTGTCCAATGCCGTCACTTACACATCCGGAGAGTTTGTAATCTCTTCAAACGCCTGGAGGACTTCAAACCCCATCGCCAGGAGCGGCTCAAACGCATCGTCCACGACCTGTGCCCATCAGAAAATTACTCGCAAAACTGCACTGGCTAGAAGTACGCACCCAGCTCAAAACCGCCTTGGAGGCTTTGTGGCCCTTGCTTTGGCGAACACCCATGAGAGCTAAACCCTGCAGCACGAGATTTGTCTGCGGCGTCGGCGCTACAATTGGGGCAATTATGCCGCCAATATCCCCGCGCTCAGAAAACAGAGGTGGAATATATGTCACCAGAGGACTGCCTTGTCGGCAAATGATGACTGTCCCAATCAGATTGCCGGACGGATCCTTGGCTCTGACAATGCCACATGCTTTGTTCTCCGAGAGGGCAAACGTATAGAGCTCGAGGACCTCTGGGTTAGCATTCGCACAAACGTGATGCAGCACACTCTCTGCGTTTTCCAGGCCATGAATCAAATCAAAGCTGATATTGGCCCTCTGAATACTTTGAAGTAGTCCCTCGGGGGCGGCCCAGTTTGCCAGATCGTTAATAATCATATTCGTCAAACGCCGAGGAAACTGCGTGTCCCATCCGCTGTTGCTGAACCACTCCTTGACGGTGTTCACTCCGGGATCCAAAGGGATCCCCAGAAACACGCCGGGAAAAGACGTTCCGACTTGAATTTTCTTCAGACTTCGCAGCTGGCAGAGGCTCTTCAGTGCTCGTCGATGAAGAGATCGCCCAATAGAAACGTTCCGCTTGCTCGGATCGACGAGCAGGGCGCCAATAATACCGACGCCCGCAATGAAGTAAGTGGCAACAAAACCATAAAGAGCGCCTGTACTACTGTTCCTCACCACAAAATGAGTCTCCTTGAGGTTAGGGAGATGTAGTTGCACGGACTCGGCTCTCGTGGATTTGAGGAAATGAAGGTCGGGCGCACTGGCTCTGTGAACGGCCTTTAGCAAATCCTCCAACCCGTCGTAATCGCGAGCTCGGTCATATTCTTCGACAAGCCAGTGTTGTCTAGACTTGAGAACCTTTTTGCTCTTTCGAAGAGTCCCGGGCATGGTGCCAATGGGAGTAATCTCGCCGACGAGAACACGGACCAGAGCGGACATTGCATCTTCCGTAAAGTCAAACGTGCAAATGTAGGTGCCAATCGATTTGTCCATGGCGAAGTCGTAAGGAGAGCTTACTGCGACTACAATCAACTGTTTCTTGTTTCCCCTGCTGCGATGCATCGAGCACATCATATCCACGTGCTTCGTAAAACCTGCCTGGTACATGTTGCGGTTGGCATCAGCCGTGACGATGATGATGCAAGACGCCCTAGCAATGAGGTTTTCATGAACTGAAACTACTGTTAGGCACGAGTGCCCATATCTGAAGAAGGAGTGTGAAGGAGAGGTTTACCTGGTCTTACGCCATTTGCTGTATAACTGGTGTGAAGCAATTTTTCGTTGCGATATCTTGCGAGGTTCTTTCCGAACTCACGAAACACCCCTTCGCCGCTCATTATCGCACTCCGTTCGCGGTCTCTGTGTGCCCACGAATCGTGTTGTGTAGGAACCTGCGACCAATTCTTCTTGGACTCCAGCAAGCTCTTGGTCATGGCCGAGGCAGGTAAGGGTTTGACCAAGGGAGTAAGCAATAAAAGCTCTTCTCCGGGATGCATAGAATTTGACAAAGGTAGCAGTTTCTCTTTATCTCGAATAACGGTGATGGACTCGTCGTAGGCTCGACGAGATAACGATAGGTGGGATGGGTGCAGCTGAGAGAGAAGCGAGATGCCTGGAGGGTTGAGAGCCGTTGCCCAAGACGTACAAGTGGACTTGAGGTGTAGAATTCGTCTGATGGATGTGAAGATGCGATCTTTGGTGATGATGCCATCTTCGTAACCCAGCCTTAGACCTTTGATTGCCTCAAGTTGGACGTCATATGCACGACAGAGCAAGAGAAGATCACAGCCAGCTTCGACAGCCATGATGACACCGTTCCGGACGCCCAAATCATGACCGAGCGCCTCCATTTCCAGACATTCGGAAATAGCAACACCTTTGAAGCCCAGCTCGTTACGAAGCAAATCGTCAACAACTTGGTCGGAGAGACAGGCATGACCAACGTTCATCGATGGATTTGAAATACCACAACCGCCAACAAACATGGCATCCAGCTTGCCGGTTGCAATCGCATTTCGAAACGGAACCAGAGCGCTAAGGCTCAGCTCTTCTAATGTTTGGGTAATAACGGGAACAGAGGTATTGGAGCCTTGAAAGTCCAAATTACCATAGGAAGGGAAATGCTTCCCAGCGGCAGCAATACCGGCGTCGCGAACGCCATTCAATGCGGCAAGGCCATACTGAGAGGCTTCCTGGGGATCGTCTCCTGTGGAACGTACGCCGAGAGGCTGGTACCTCGCATTGCTTAGAACGTCTAAGACGGGACCAAGCATGAGATTGACGCCACAGGCTGAGATTTCAGTGGCCGTGGCCTTGGAGATTTCATAGGCCAACGCGACGCGTCCAGTGGCGGCAATGCCCATGGCGCTTGGAAATTGACAGACATAGTCTTCATCAAAAAGACTATTGACACCCCCATTTTCCTGATCCACGGCGATGAGAAGCGGTTGAGGATGCCCAGCGTTTTTGGCTATGGTCTGCAATTCCTGGACAAGTTTGGCGGTCTCTTGTGCAGCTAGTCATTGGAGTTAGCATTGCAGCTGCATGTCCGGAGCCAGCAACCGGGACTAGGCCAACATTTCAAATTCTTAGCTGTGAGAATAATTGACCCAAGATGGTGATCTTCGATGAGGCTTTTAATTTGAGGGGTAACTTCGGTGCCATCCCAGCCCATAATCAGCATCTGCCCGATAGCCCTGTGAAGCGTTAGCCACGGAGACATTTACATGTTCAAGCAGGGCAATTTGCAACCAGTCTGAAAAAAGACAAGGGCACCTAAGTAGCATATATATATTGAGACAAAAAGAAAGAGAGAAAAACCATACCAGTCGAGATTGTGCCATAGTGCGTCCAGGTCGCTTCCATCGGAGCTTGGGTTGGAGTTGGGCTTCTCGGAGTTGAGATTGGCGGGAGCGGCCATGGTGAATAATGGGACGGGGATGAGGACGGCGGCGGCGACTTTGTTACACTCATAGTAGTCGTCCGGCTTTATGGGCAATCGACGACGGGCAGTGAAGCCGGCAGGACAGATCTGTAAAGCTCGACGACGTTGATGATGATTTGACACGGACAAGGCGCGAGGACCAGCGGACTTGAGTTTCTTGGTCGTCGTCTCAGCCAGTCGTTTGAGGAGGGGCGACGCTGTTGTTCAATCTTGACAAGGCGTCCCCAGCTCCATGTCGAGCCAGAAGTACCGAGCAATTCACGATGCGGCCAAGACTCAAGGGTCGTACGTTGTTGGAATCTGCAGTCTGGGATTCTGAGGTTGGTCGGTTCAACGTCGGCCGCCCAGTCGGGATAAAGTGATACGACTGGCTGACAGCGGCTTGGGGTCCAGGCTACCCGGCACTTCATGTACAGTGCCACTACGTGATCCGTCCAGACGTAGGTTGATGAGTCGCCTCGTCATTATTCAGTCAGTGGGGCAAAGTTACTCCTGCAAATATGATTGATTCTTCATCCTCTATGCCCTGCTGGACTTCAAGGATGCTTATGGACGACGGTTTCTCCGCTGGCACATTCGGAGTCTCAACCGGGAGGAGGGCGCCAGGTTGACAATTCGCCCGGCTTTCGGGGTTTCGGGCTTCCATGCGGCGGTGGCGAGGATCAGTGAACGAATGTCTGTAGACGTGACCAAGTTTTTTTTTTTCCCCTTTATTCTTTCCGCCTCTCCCTAGCATGTAACCCCGAGTCGCTGACGAGTTGTGCAATCAAATAAGTGACCTGACACGGAAGTTTGTGGGGGGATTCATAGGGGCCCCAGTGTTAACAGTTCCTACTGAAAATAAGCCAAGTAACTGTTAACGCCAAGTTAAGTACCTAGGTACCTAGGTACTTAGTAGGTATAATATAGGTCAAATAACGGGCACGCACTCCGTAATCGGTGACTTTATCCTGATAAGAGATTTTATCAGAAAATAGTACTTTCCTGCCCCATATGCCTGCCATCCTGTAAAAATCATCTCTCATCTCTTATTGGCTTTCATTGTCACTCCTGGCTAAACTTTCGGGATCTGAACTGTACGGACGTATTTTCACTAGGGAGGGCTGAAGGGGGAGGAGGGGGGTGTGATGAAATATCGTTGCGCCGCCGTGACAAGCAGCCCCAGGCGTCAGCCAGAGTCAACGTGCAAAAGTCAACGTTACATGGGCTCCAGTAGGGAGCACTCGACATCGACGTCTTAGATCTCGCTGCCACGTTCTCTGCATTACAGCAGCGAGCGGATCCCCCCCAACACACAGCTGTCGATCATCTGGTCAACTGACATTTACAGTTCCGACTGTGGTCCGGCTCTTTCCCGAGCTTGACCTCGATCTGGCACAGTGCTAGATGGCCGTGTTGGAACTGACTGGTTGCAAGAGGACAATGGGACAGGGGAAAAAAAGAAAAAAAGGAAAAAAAAAAGGAACAAATGACAAAAGAGGCCAACCACGCCGGCATCTCCGCCATCGCCGCAGCCAATGAGGCCGCATAGCAGCCACCCGTGTGAGCACATTGGCACCGTCTGGTCGTTGACAGTGGACACCGCCTGGGCCTACTCACCGCACCCCATGCCGTGTATCTCCAATGCTCCACCGCAAGTGGCGGGCAGAATCAGTTGCATCTGGCCTCGGACTGAGCAAGTCACCATGAGCGATGACCGACGGGGTCAATCGACTTCTTATAGTTGACATTGAGCTGTTCAGTAAAGGCCAGATGAATGACAGTCCACTTGAGGATGTTCGGAGAGAGCATTCCGAAGCTCGGCGTGCGATTCACTGTATCATGCTGATTCTGGAAATCGCTTCCTTTCTTGCTTTCTTCACAGTTTTCACACCTCCGCCCTCTTTTCTTCTTCCCTTGCGTGATCAACAACAATCCAGGATCCGGATACAGCCACCAAAATCCTCCTTGAACATTTTTTACGCCGGCTTCTCCTAGAGAAAACATGCCCATCGCCCTGTCTCCTCCAAACAGGCCCAGGAATGGCTTGACCAAGTTCACCAACTGCCGTTTGGTCAAAGGCGATGCCTTGGTCACGGAAGACCTTTGGGTCAGCTCAACAACGGGCACCGTCATCAACAGCCAGGCTACCTTCTTCGACGAGTTGAATCTTCCCGACAGGACCATCGATCTTGGCGGTCGTGTTATTTCCCCGGGTATGATTGAGTGCCAGCTCAACGGAGCGTTTGGCTTCAACTTCTCAACGCTGCTCGATGATATGTCGCAATATGGCAAAAAGGTCAACGAGGTCAACAAGCTGCTCGTCCAGACTGGCGTTACATCCTACATCCCGACCGTCACCAGTCAACGGCCAGAGCTGTATCAAAAGGTGTGTTTGTCATCATCCTCAAAAGGCGTAACAGAGAGTACTATGCGCGACGCCACACATAAATCTACGTCGGCTGCATCAATCCGTGCTAACGGCTCTCTCTCTCTTTTCTTTTCTTTGCCATGTAGGTCCTTCCCTTCCTCGGACCGTCTGGAGCAAACAGAGATGCGCACGACGGCGCCGAATCCCTCGGTGCTCACTGCGAAGGACCATTCCTGAATCCTACCAAGAACGGCGTGCACAACGTCGACGTTCTCATCGAGGCGCAATCCTTCGCCGACATTGAGGCTTGCTATGGCGCCGACAACCTGCGGCCTCGGCACTGCGGTGAAAGCATCCCCGTCAGGATGATCACGGCCGCCCCTGAGCGTGGGCAGATGATGCGACTCATCCCAGAGATTGCATCGCGAGGCATAATCTACTCGATTGGTCACTCCGAGGCTACCTATGAGGAAGCGTCCGAGGCCGTGGGTCGCGGCGCGACCATGATCACCCATCTTTTCAACGCCATGCGGCCTCTTCACCATCGCAACCCCGGCATTTTTGGCGTTCTTGGCAAAGCGGAGAACCTGGCACGTCCCTACTTTGGTATCATTTCTGACGGAATTCATCTTCACCCGACGACCATTAAGATTGCTTTCAATGCCCATCCCGACGGCTTTATCCTCGTCACCGACGCCATGCATCTCGTCGGCCTGCCGGACGGTGCTTACCCTTGGACCAACGGCGAACAGATGTGCAACATTGTCAAGAAGGGATCCAAGCTGTTGCTGGAAAACTCGGACACGATTGCTGGAAGGTAAGTTCTGGAACATGGCCATATGGTCTCATGGCCATATGGTCTCATGGCCAGATGGTCTCATGTTGCGTCAACATGCCCCGCCCACATACAAGCCCATACATTGGACACGGCAGATGCTAACATCTTAGGCAGCTCTATCACGTTGCTGGAATGCGTTAATAATTTCCTAGAGTGGTCCGGCACCGGCATCCCCCAAGCCCTCAAGGCCGTGACCTCAACGCCAGCGGCCATGCTGGGCTTACAGGGCATCAAGGGATCTTTGGACCCCGGTGCTGACGCTGACCTCGTCATCTTTTCCGAACAAGAGTCTGTGACGGGCTCGGGATCAAAGCAGCTCGTCCTGGACGAAGTGTGGAAGTTTGGCAGTCTGCTGCACACGGCCGACCACGTCAAGACCACATGAGGATGAAATTAACGACACAAATGACACAAAAAAAGACGGAAGAAGAAGAAGAAGAAGAAGGAGGAGGAGGAAAGAAAGCAACAACTTTACACATTGCCAAGCGAGGCAATACTCTGAAACAGTCGATGGACATCAATGAACCGCCGCTTGGCCAACCTCGATCGGCTGCGCCAAAGAAGCTGATACAATCACAGAGGGTTTGGGAGATTTCCCAATTGTATCAGTACTACGTGCCCCGTAGATATATTGATAGGTGCTGGCAAAGACTTCAGCGCAGGGTTCATCCCATCTTGTTCGAGAAGCGCCAAGCGAATAAAGACCGGGGCCATGAGAGCATGGAATTTCACGGAATAATGTACAGTACATGCGTCCAAAAAGGACTTGGTATGCAGCGCAAGCGCAATCAGATTCAACATAGAAATTGGCGTATCAGGCACTTATTATTACTATTCTGCAGTCATTCGTACATGCGGTTTAATTTCACTCACGCCATGTTTGGTATTACTATTAGCAGTGAATACGATTTGAATTGCACGTTTTTCCCTTTTCCCATGTTCCTTGTCATTGCTCTACGTTCGTTTCTCTCCCCACCTCTCCTTTTTCCTTCTTTTGTGCCCGCCAAGTTTGTACGACTCAGTCCAACCAAGGCTGCGGCCATGCGATGGCATTCCTAGCGAGGACAACGTCTCGGATCCAGGGTCCTTTCTAGAAGCCGAGGCTGTCTGTCCGTGCAGCGGTCCACTTTCAACGTGGGATTTGGATTTGGATACTCCTACTACTCCTAGAGTGATTGCTCCTTTGCTGGGTTTCTCCAGGCCAACTGATGTGCAGTTTGCGCAAAAGGGCATTCGTGCCGGACTGGACTGCTAGGAAGGGGGGAGGTTCATATTCCCGGGCTTCGTTGACCTGCTCGCCTTTGAGGAGGTCGTTGGCGATTTCCGCCATCGACGACGCCTAGGACTCTTTATGGGAACAGGCGCCGTAGCCGAAGCCAAGTCGTAGATTATCCCGAGTATTTAAAAAAAAAAAAAAAAAAAAAAAAGTCCAGGGACCCGCAGTAGTCTCTGCCTTGATTAGCCGCAATATCACTCATAACCACACAGTTGTGCCTGTTTGGCGTCGCGATTGTCCGTGACAAGTTCAAAGAAGCCGAGGCAGTGGGAAAGCCCTTTGGCAGACAAGGATACCCATGGCATAGTCCTTGGTGCGCCAAATTACCATATGGGATTGCCACGGGCAAAGACAAATGGTGCTGACTGCTGGGCTGGGAGACTCCAGACTCCGGAATCACCAACACCTGCAAACTGCCACGGAGCAGAATTTGAAAGGGGTCCGGCCAGAGACCGACCCTTTTGGAATGACTGTACCGGTTCCTATGCGGCGCTACGGAATCGGAAAATCCTGTGATCGAGGCGAGCGTGTGTGAGCTTCCCGGTTTGCGAAAGCGCCGTGCGTGGTCCCTGCAAGTTGGCCATTTGTACTACCAAGTACAACTACTCCCGCGCCGTGGTCCGTACGCAGTGCCGCGTCGTGCGTCAGCTTGGCCGACCCAGGTATGCTTTCAAATTGCGAGACGGCCACTCGGCTGCAAAGATACAACCGATATTACAAAAGTGATGAGAGGAGAGCAAGTACGTAACACTTGATATCTTGCGGGGAAGACCAGAGAGGAGGGGTCCATCGGAATTGGCGTGACGATCTGGGTTGGCTGGTGTTATTGCCGTCCGGGGGAAGCTCCTGGCCCTTCGAGGCTGCAATGCTTGTTGAACCACAGCTCTTCTCTGCCTCCAAGGGGGGGCAACCATGGTCGTTATTCAAGAGGACGCTTGAACAATCGTCGTCAAATGCGCAACAGGGTGTAATGTAGTTTGCTCGCCCTCCCCAGCGTTCTTCCCGCACCGCATTCTCCTCCGACGCTAATCCGACAGCCGCCACTTGAGTAGCCCCCATCATGGCGTTGGGAACGTGACGGCCTGCGTGTAATACATGGTTGATTGAGCCTCGGACGGCTGTTTAGGAGATGACGTTTTGGTGGCCTTGGTTCTGGCCGGCCTTGTCGGCACCCAATCGCCAGCCCCTTGCCATCTGGCCTGGGCCTTGTTGGCCCCGGCTTGTTCGACACCGGCAGGTGACGGTTTATCTGGCTTGGCTCAAAGGTATTGTAGCGGCGAGCCTGCACCTCCAAGCTGGAGTCTTCGTCGGTCCTGGCCGGCCCGGGGATGAAGGTTCATTCCCATGGCCAGATTTGTCAGTTTGGAGCCGTACGGAGTACAAGAGGTAGAGACGTCACCGTCACCGTCACCGTCACCGTCACCATTACCATTACCATTACCACTAAATGTCCATCCACTCGACCGGCCGACCAGCCCGTTGTGGCTGCAAGTGCACCAAGGCAAGGCAAGGCAAGGCAAGGCAACCAAACAAGGAAGCCCAACGGCGTGAACGCCATTCGGCGCAAATGCGGGAGAGCAGCAAGCGAGCTGCAGGAGAGTATGGGGAAGAAGGGGGAATGATGCAGCCCGCGCATTCGCAAGCGCGGCCCTGGACAAACTGGGATCAGCCAAGCAAAATGCACGTCGAGTCGTCGTGGTCAAGCTACTTAGGTAACTTACGTACCGACGACCTCGTGCTTGACTTCTCCAGGCACCTGCCCAAGTGCCCAAGTACTTTAAGCAAGTACCTCCTTACTTAAGCTATCTTAGTTACACAAAGTAAGTACTTTAGTATCCAGGTACTTAAGTACCTAGGTAGGTTCCTCAAATGAAAGCCTTACTTATTGCTTGAGTAAGAACTTAAGTACTTGGTAGATATGGCCAACTGGTAGGGAAAGAGGCACACCTGCCGCTGACCGAGCCCACCCGGCGGGCGGCACTCGAGGGCCGAGGCGTCTGCTGAGGTGATCCAAATGCCCCATGTACAACATGTACATGTACACACGTACATGGTGTTCCTGCTCAGGACACTCGGATCAGGATTGCACGCTGACGAGTGACGATAAGAATCAATCGTCTACAGAATACATCGACATGGCAACCTCGGCACTCAGCACTTCTTCGACCCAGCAATTAACTTAAATTAATACCAAGACAGACAGTCTGCTCAGGAATCCCCACCCTTCGACCCAGCCTCATGAGCACTCCGTATTCAGGCTCCAGTCGGTCCAGTCCGTCCAGGTTTGGCTTTGTTCTCTGGAACATTGAAGCCGCTTTCCCAGCACCTTGCGACCCACAATTGCACCGCACACAGCGAGCGAGGCGGTATAAAATGGCGGCGGGCAGTGTCCTAAAGTTGCAGTTGGTGGCAGTGACTGCATGCTGTACTTGGACTAGGTGCTTAGGCAAGTACCTGCTTGCCTGAAAGTACTTATACTTAGAGGTAGGCACTTGGACGGGACGGGACACCTGGACAAGGACCCCAGACTGGAACACCACCACACACCACACCACACCAAACTAAACCACACCAACAACCACCTTCTACTTACTGGTTGCAGGTCGCCCTTCAGTCAGTCCAGTCCGTCCTCCTCCGCCACGTCGCACCACCACGACGCTCGCTACTCTCCATATCGGTTCCCAGGGCTCGTCTCCGTCTCGTGGCCCTCGTCAGTGCTGACGCTACCTTTCTTCACTGCGATTGCCGGTGCTGGACGCCTGTTCTCGCGTTTATTCCAGCTCTCATCCTCTTCCTGATTGCTGCGCCTCTGCCCTGTTGATCCGTGCCAGCCGAGCTTTCATCCTTGCCCGGCTTTTTTGCTCCGATCGATTCCGCGATTGTCTGTAGCCTCGTCAACAGTCAGCGTTTTGCAGCCAAATCGTCTGGTCCGTCCCTTGGCGACATCCCGCGCCCATCCATTCCAACGTCCAATCCCACGTCCTGTGAGACGCCCATCGCTCACGTTGCTCTGTCGATACGGGAAACACACATACATAAAACAAAACGCACAGCTCCGAGCGCAAGACTGACGGCGGGGGCGAACGATGCCATGGCTACGTTCAACTCAATGCCGGCCATGTCAGCCGCTGCGCCAAACGAGGCAATGGGCTTGAATCACCCTGCACCAGGCCATCCCATGACAATGGGACATTTTGATCAGGACTTTGGTTTTGACGAGGCTGTCCTGTACGTTGCTCTTTCTTGTTGGCGACGTCCGTCTGTACGGTCAAGTGCAGTCAAGCGAATTGTCACTGACATTGTCGCAGGGAACCCGCGCCGTTACCAAATATCCCCTTCACCCCGGCGTATGATTTCGACCATCTTGTCTCAGCTTTCGAAGATCCATTCGCTTATTCCCATCGAGCGTTTGAGCCCGCTCCCAATGCCGATGCCTTCAATGAGGCATCATCGCCGCAGGAGCTAGACAATAAATTACTGGGCTTTTCGGACCCAATAATGAGTGCCACGGTTGTCGACGAAAACGGCAAATTTGCCGACGTGAATATGAGCGCCGAGCTGTACGGCATGTTCTTCGTTGCCGAGGACGTGTTTGGTAGGGACAATTCAGGACGTCCTCTGGAGCTGACTTGCTATCGCCGCAATCTGTGGCAATGTTCCGGGCAGATAACGCTGCCGAAAAATCTCTCGCATCTCATGGACGAGCAAGGCCGTCAATTCTCAATTGATGAACTCTCAGCATCAATCACAGCAGTCGAATCAATCGAAGGAAAATCAACAGAAATCATTTCTATTCCTTGGAAAAGCTCAAACCTTCAGGCGCCTGAGGAGCCCAAGATCGCGGCCGCTCCACCTCAGATCCCTCTGGATTTAAGCACGGCTCAGGAGGTTGACGCGGTCCGAGTTACGCTGCCAGTCTCTTGGAAGCGTTTACAGTTCAAGCACGCAACGGCCAACAATGGCCGGCGGAAGGGGCTCCAGCAGCATTACGTAGTCCAAATCAATCTTGTGGCTAAATCCAAGTCCAGCGACATGATGAAGATCGCCGAGATTCAGTCGGGCCCTGTTATCGTTCGAGGACGTAGTCCGCGCAACTTTGACAGCAGAAAAGACGTGCCTCTTACTGGGGAAAAAAGAACGGAGAGGAAAAACACAGCGAGTTCTGATGACGCGGCTTTAAAAGTAGAGCGGGAAAGTACGCAGGTCTCAATGCAGAGGTTCCAGTGCCTGGGTAGTGTAGCGGTATGTTTGAAATGCATCGGCACTGGGTGAAATTGTTGAAAAGATCAAGACTGATAAACCCCCAGACCCCAGTCGAGTGGGCAGCAAACCATCAGCCTGTGCCTCATCCGAGCAACCAAAGCCCTCATCCGACAAAGAAAATGGCAGTGTCGCCCACTGCTGCTCGACCGCCCGTGCCCTCTTGGTCTGCAGATGGAAAGACCGTGGCAGCCGGTCATGCGCCTAGAGGCTCGATGAGTAGGCAAAACACTGCCGTGCCTATCAATCTCTCGCTTTCGGAGGATGAAAAGAGCCCCAACCGGTCGAGTGCAGAGCTGCAAAGTCCTCAGATGGGCAAGGCTCACACCGTTTCAGGGCAGAACGCCGGGAACAGCCCAGCCGATGACCCGGATCCCCTTTATGAATATTTCCCTCTTACATTGGATGACTGGTACGTCTCATTGCTTGATTTTTTTCCCCCGCCCGGCCTGCATGTTAGTTGCCGGATATGCTAAGGTTGAACTCGCTTAGGATGCCGCCGATCGATGCGGTCTACCGGCCGCATGTAGTTCATCACACAATCGTACCCCCCGAGATCAAGGCTCAACAGTCACAGACTAAGGCAAAACGGTATTTTGCGGCCGAATAGCAGTCGCAACCCTGCTTCCCTAACTGTGAGAAGGGGGGAACGACTTGTACCCAATATCGGAGCAACCCTGTACCATATTATACCATTTGCGTCAATACATGTTTTGGGGGGGTTTCTTTTCTTTTCTTTTTTTTTTTATGATGAACACACAGCTGGCAGCTGAGCAATGCACTTCAGAAGAAAAAGAAGAAGAAGAAGGGATGCAGTGTGCCTTATTATATATACCCGGGGGGTTACTTGACTTGTTCCCCCCCGACTTCTCCGACAAATTTGGGAGCAAGTTTTGGGTACATGATGACAGAATAAAAAGACACGACTCTGGGTTTTCTTGCTTACCTAGGTTTTACGGATACATACCGCGGTGCCATGAATGGTAGATATGCAGGTTGATGGTTTGCTCAACATTGTTTGTCGGGCACAGACAAATATAACGTTACTCGTTTCGTACACGCTCATTGGAGGCTATCCACAGCCAACAGCATATAGCATGGTGACCTGTTGACTCGCGAATATGGCTTCTGTACGTCGAGCCGGGCTGCTACATTAGCAGGCCATATATACATGGCGCTGGCTTGTGATGTTGGTGTTGGTCGAAGCGTGGCGGTTTGGGCAACCTGCGGTGAAGCAAGGCCCGGCCGATTGGCCCACGGAGCGTCTGGCTTGCTTTCCACCCCCATTTCCATTTTTGGGTCGAATCGACACCTTGACATCTGGTCAGTTGACCGTCATGCCGTGCAGGAAGGGACGAAGACAAACAACCCCTCCCCCCCCGCGGGCACTAGCCGAGAGTTCGTTCTTGTTTCCTCAGTGTTGACTGCCCCGTTTTGCAACGAAGCTGCCTGCCATCTCCCCAAGGGAGGAACTTGAGATGAGCGATCAAGATGGCACCGCGGCGAGCGATGAGTGGAGTGACCAGGAGACAGCATTGACGGAAGAAGAGGTGGCTTCGCGAGATGCCTTTGTGGCTTCAGTGCGAGAACTGTACGAGGCGGGAACGCCGTTTTTCACCAGGGAGATGATTCAGCTTGCGCAAGATCAGGTTGACCAGATTGCGAACGATTCAGCAACACCGCGAAGAGTAGACCGACTTGGTTTTGATGGTAAAATGCATCCACAATATGTCTCGCCCTCGTCGGCATTCTCCAAGGTCCACAATGAAGTGTGAGAAAAGTCCCCTGGCTCGATGCCCGCGCGGCAAGACGACTTTTCCCCGTATCATCAGCGAGCGACGAATCTTGTGCTAATACCTGAGAATAGATATCTGCCCAGGGTTTCCTACAAGTCGTTTGAGTCGTTGACCATGCTGTCTCCACGTAGACAATGCCTTGACGCGCTTGTTTCCGTCGGGATCGCTAGTGTGTGTGACGGAGTGACTGACGAGTCGGACATTTCGCAAGATGTCGTGAGACGCGCATTCGACGAGTGTCTGGATCTGTGGGAGCAGAGCGACGAGTGGGCAGGCCTGAAAGAGCGGATCCGACCGCATCTTTCGACGCTGCCAATGACGATTGACAAGATCATCGGGTTCGGACTCGGCGACTTGTCCATCGCTGTGGCCCGTGACGTTGACGAAGAAATGAAGAAGCGAAGCAGTGAACAGCACGCCTTGATGCTCACGTTGGCCGGGATTCTCGAAGAAACCACCGGCAACGGCGTCAAGTGTCACGCCCAAGACCCCGCGTACTCCAATATTTGCAAAGAGATTCTTGCCCAGAGGGGCGTTGACGTTGTGCACGGAGACAGGGGGTTCCTGTTGGTGGACGACAAATCCATCGTGCTGTCGTTCTCTCCCAACGTCCCCGTTCGACAGGTGATTGCGGATCTGACTCGTCCAGCAATGATGGTATGGGATATCATGTCCAAGCCCGAGAGAAGTGAATGGCGACGGTCACGGGGTGTATGGATCAGGTACGGGACTTTGCCTCTTGCTGCCATCCCCTCATCTCGTCTCCCTCGGGGCGCGCTTCCTCGACCGACGACGCTAATAGACGCAACTGCGATAGTCCGCACACCACCGACCCTGTTTCGCCCAGAGTGTTGGCCATGAAGGAAGAGTACGTCGAGTTACCTATCAAGACTGTACCATCCTTAGGCCTCTCTGCAGTATACATACGAAAGGAAAGGAGAAAGGGACTTTAAAGCTGCCACAAGGTCTGAGTCTCTCCCCGTAGAGGAGAAGCAGCTGGGCATTGCTCCCAGCTTCGAAAAGGGGGCCCAGACAGACATGATGACCATGGCGTCTGAGCCAGGCATGGCCAAGGTCATGAAGGACGGCCATACCAGTGCCGACCACAAACAACAGGAGCAATATAATAAATAGATCACAGGCCAGGCACGGACGTGATGATGACAAGCGCCTCCCTCCAAAAGCCCGCAACCACCTCGAACGCAACATCATCATTCCCTCCCACCCATAGACACTACCGGTGGGCGCCGAAACGGGTAAAAGCAACGCATAAACATGGCCTCCCTTCCATCTTCTCTCCAAGACCCAAGTAACGTCGCAGAGAGACGGAAACACGCCGCGCGCGGTTCCGACCCTAGACGAGCGCATTTCGTCATAGCACAGACCAAAAAGGAAAAAAAAAATCATTGCGGACGTACATACTCTGTAGCCGCAGCCCATCAGGCCGGCAGGCTCCACAGGTTTTCTCAATCGCAATCAAACTGCGGACTACTCCGTACTACTACTACTTACTCCAGGCTGTCGGATCGGATGTAGCTCAGTCGTTATCCATCGGTCGTGTCCCGGAGCCCCGGTTTCCGACCAGGTAACTACTTACCTAGGTACGTGCTGCGTGCTACGTTTGATAAGTACCTAGGTACCTACTTAAGTACCTAGGTAGGAACCTAGGTACCTACTTAAGTACCTACTTTACCGACATGAAGTCGTGGGAAGCACCCGATATTATTACCTGGGTACCTAAGTACTTAAAGTAAATAGGTGCACATGTACACACACACGCACGCACGCACGCACGCACGCACGCATACACACATACAATTACGGAGTACGTACGGAGTACACACCACTTACCACTACTGAGGTACTCTGCCCGCCCTCCCAAACCCTGGGACGCCGTCGGCCCTGGTCCACGGCGGTGGATTGGGCTCCTCCTGTCCATGTCCCTCTCAAACCCTGTTTTCAACACCCCTTCTTCATCCAGGAATCTGCCCACCAGCACGACGCGCATGCGCACATTCACCACGCGGCCAGGACGAGAGGCGATGAGCCGTTCGAGGCGGCCCATACTGGCAAGCCGTCGTCGCGGACCCCGAAAAGCCCGCCAGGACGGCAGGAGCAGAGCAGAGCCCGACCGCCTGGGAAGTTTCCGGTCCCCGTCCGTCCCCCGTGGGCTTGTTTCAGGCCCGTCTGGATGAGGATGGATGCAGCGCAGCGTGCCCAGGACTCAGGACCCAGGACCCAGGACCCAGGACGCGAGGGCACGTGAGGGAGCCCCGACGCCAGGCATCATCGACAAGGTGACGGTGTCGTCGAAGGCTCGAAGCGACGGCCATGCTGCCATGCTGCCATGCTGCCATGCTGCCGTCGTGTACTGCATTGCATGTGCATCGAGCATCGAGCATCGAGCATCGAGCCGCGTGGCGACACGTCACCACGGCAGCCTCCCTTGCCGGGCGCCATGGGGGTGTCCAGGCTCAAGCGGCTCCTCCAGCGCGGCTCATTTGGCCTGAGCACATTTGTGAGCTGCGAAGGACCAACAAAACAAGTCGGCCTTGAACCCATCTTGATTGGAGATGACAATGTTACATTGATCGTGTCTACTTCATGCAGGACTCGGATGGGTTATTTGTCCCCGCGCCCTGCGAAATCCACTCGTAAACTTTAAATCCAAGCATAAAACGACCCCGTGGGTGCCTTTGCGGAATAATAATACATGCTACTACTACTAATAATAATTGTAGTCCTAATATTTCAAGTCATGCCTGGTGCGGACCGTTACATCCAATCTGATGGTATCTAATAAGGGGCTTGCTTGTCAGGCCCTGCAGTCTTGATTCTGTGCTTCTAACGAAAGACAGGAATGGCCCTGCGTCTGAACGGGGGATGCATCCAACGTGGCCAAATCACTTCCTAGAATAAGGGAGTGAACAAAAGAGGAAACAAGGGAAAAAGCCCCAAGAGACAAGTAGGAGGAAGACGACGACATGGAGAATCCAACAGGCGCAGAATTCCACGGGTCTCTATGGCCAGGGGGGAAGAAGAATTGGCCCCCGCCCCCGGGCGTTCTTCAAGACAACGATTGCCATCAGCAACTAAGCTCCAGCGCTGTTTTTTTCCTTTGGCGTATTGTCCTTTTCAAGCACTAATTGCATTTTGTGGCCGAGTGGCCTGCTGCTCGGGATTGGGTGTCAGCCGCTTGTTCAAGGCGGGCTCGGGAATTCGAGAAGCCATTCGATCAGGAACCAGCTCGGGAGAGACGGATCGAACGGGGTACTCTGTCGCGGGCGTAGCTCGTAGAAGCCGTGAAGTGGTGGGCTGGGGGGCGAGGATGGTGGGAGAGTCGACTTCCTTGACGCGGGTCTGGGGAACGATTCCGTTCCCGGTGCGAACTTTGGAGGGCAGGATCTGCTCGAAGCCAGCCTCCCTGGCCACCTTTTCGATGCTCTTGAAGTACTGGAAAGATGGTGAGCTTCCGTGGCAATGGTCTCTTGCGACGGGCGGGCAGCTTGCCTGCCTGCTTCTGCTTACCTTGACGGTCTTGACCTGGAGCTCGAGGGTGGCATCCTCATCGACGACAATCATGGGGTGAGGGTGCAGCTGCAAGCTGGACAGAGTCCACATGTGGTTGACACCCTGCTCGATGCATCTCTGCAGAGCCAGAGACTTGCGCTGGCCGAGAATGATGACGACGACCTCGCGGGCCTCGAGGACGGTCTGGACACCGACGGTCAATGCCATGCGGGGAACCTTGTTGATGTCATTGCCGAAGAATCGCGAGTTGGCGAGGATTGTGTCGTAGGCCAGGGTCTTGACACGGGTTCTACTGGCCAAGCTCGATCCGGGCTCGTTGAAAGCGACGTGGCCGTCCTCGCCTATGCCGGCGAGGAAGAGGTCAATGCCGCCGGCAGCCCTGATGGAGTCTTCGTAGGCGACGCACTCGGCCTCGAGGTTCTCGGCATTGCCGTTCAGGATGTGCACGTTGGAGGGGTGCACGTTGACGTGGGAGAAGAAATGCTTCCACATGAAGGAGTGGTAGGATTCGGGGTGGTCGCGAGGAATGCCCACGTACTCGTCCATGTTGAAGGTGACGACATGCTCGAAGGAGATCTATGCGACGGTACGTGTCAGCCGCGACGGCTTCGCAGCCAGCAGACAAGCAGACACGTCACGCTCAGGTGCTGGGGTCGCAAAAGACGCAAACCAGTGCCGGGGAGCTCGTGTGGCATGTCGCACAGCTGAGCTTGGCCCGATCAAAGTTGCCTCTGCGTGCTTACCTCGCCGGCCTTGAACTTGTCGACAAGAATCTTGTAGACGCCCAGAGGGCTGGAGCCTGTGGGCAGACCCAAGACGAACGGGTTCTCGGCACTGGGATTGAAGGCCTTGATACGGTCGACAATGTAGTTTGCCACGTAGGTGCTCGCCGCAGTGGCGTCGTCGCGGATAATCAGTCTCATTTTCTTTGGTCTGGAGGAGCTCGGGAGTTGAGAAGCGGAGCGGTGTGTAAGTGAGTGATGTCACGAGCCACGAGCCACGAGCCAGATGGAAGACTGGTGAGTAGGATGCGAAGACGATATCTATCAAGCAGTAGTAATGGGCCAAAAAAAGGCGTAAATAAATAAATGTATCTATACGTGTATATATCAGGGGGGGAGCCGACGTGAGGGAGGGACAGAGAGAGAGAGAGAAGAGGGCAAGTTTCAGCAAAGTCGGTCAATGCCGACGGGAACATGCAACAAGAGGCTGGCCTGGCCACTCTGGCGATGAACATGGGCAGCCGACCTGTCGAATGTGGGCCGACGGGCTGCTCAGTCATGAGGGATGGATGATGGATGGATGGATGGATGCTCGGGGGGCGTTGCAACAATACACAATACACTGAGACTTGGACTTGCACCGTAGCGTCTTGCGTCTTGCTGCTACACACAGGCAATAGCGACTCTCCCTCCACGGGGCCAGCGTGTCGGTCGCATGCAATGCTGATGTCGTCGTGTCGTGTCGTGTCGTGGCGGGGTGATGAGTGGCTCTGCGACGAGACTGATGGATGGAACGTCACTTATTCCCACTGCATGCTCTAGCGGGTGCGGGCGGGTACTCCGTACTTACGCCGTAGTCGTTGCCCGCCCAGCCTGACGATATGGGTCTCGCCCGTCCCATTCCTTCCTTGACTGCTGGCTTCGTGCTGCTATTCAGAAGCTGGCTGCTGTCCAACACGGCAAATGCTGCGCTGCAGCCTCGAGGGGTGTGCCCGTTAGCCAGTTGCCCCCCCGCCCAAGCCCATGCTCACTTCTTGGTAATGGCTGACCGATGAGGCCGTCATAGAAGTCTTCTCGCTCCCCGGAGCACCGCTTCTTCCACCGGCAATCGCCGGATTAGTTCCACCACGAGTCCATGACCATGTGGCTCGCTGCTCCCATTCCAGCGATTCACCAACTTCGGAGAGACAACCACCAGACATCACAAAGTCAGACCCAGACCCCCCCAAACGTTAGGTTGGTCAAGCACGTTGCCTGACGGTAGGTAACCATGGCTTTCTTCCGAGGGCGTGGAGGATGCGTTTGCGAAACTGTACGTCTTTTGGTTTTGCTTTTTGGGACTCGAAGCGAGGGTTCGGCGCCTCTCTACGTCCCAGCATGAACGGACGGAACCTCTGCGATCCACGAATAAGGTTCGAGCGCATCTGTATGGAGGGGAACAAGACTGACGAGAAACCGACTATCCGGTACTCACCGTACCGAAAATTGAAGTGTATTGTGGCAGAGGGCGAGCTGAGCGGGATGCGGATGCATTTGTCGTCGTATCGCGAGCCGCGGGGCCAAGGTTACAGGGAACCAGCACCTCTTGCGCGCTTGTAGAGTCACGGGTGGTGATATGTAACCGGACACACTGCAATTGGACGCCGTGGAGGACCATTGAGCGGCCGACAACCTTGAAACCGGTCGCGATTCTCCATCGGGAAAGAGTTTTCTATTTCAACTTTGCCGGCGTGCTGAAATTTCGGTTGGTGCGGGTGCGTTAACAACCACTCCTACTGTCGCGCCTTCCTCATCGTGATGATATGATATGGCACACCGAGCACCCACAATGCGTGCCCTAGGTAACTTACGTAGGTGCCCGATACGGAGTGCCTAAGGCATCAAAAACAATATCATGTCTTAATCTGGCCTACCAGATGAACACCGTCCAGAGCATCGTGAACCACGCATCTCCAGATAAAGCTGATGGCTGATGCGCTTGCTTGGCAACGTTCATTGCTGCAGCTCCTCCGCATTTTCTCCGACTACATTCCCATGTAGGTAGGTATAGTAAGTTACTATTCGCCAATAAAGCAACATGGCCATTGTTCCACCCTGTCGCGCGGTCTTGTGCCTGGCAGCCGGGGTCGAACCAACCCAGAGTCTGAACCGTGCGATCCGCCAGTCTGAGAGTTGCCATGACATCAATCAACGGTGGCTGCCGGTCCCGGAACGCTGGGAATGCTCACAGTCGCGTCGCCCCTGAAATGACAGCGCCACAGGCTACAACAACTTCGACACCCAATTTGAATGTTGACTGACACTCGACTAGGACCAATGGACGGTTTGTGATCTCGAGGGTTGCACACTACAGCCACTCACTAAGGATTCATCACCCACACGCCTAAAATCCATCCGGCGTGCCGAAGCCCGAGTACCCACGCATTGACGCCAACCGCAACGTTACAGTCCCCAGCTTTTCTTGTTGTCCTGGCTCCAGATGCCATGGGCCCATGCAACAACCCCTGGTTCAAATTGAAGAGGCGTGGCTCTTAGTAGTGGACTCGCTCAAGGCGGAGTACCCCGGGCGTTTGTGTGCATCGTATCGCCCGCATCCCCGTCTAAGCAATCATTTGCCATGTGGCTCGCGTGTGCTACGTACAAGGGTGACGATGAGCTCTAGCGCGCTAAGTGTGGGTGAGAATGGGCTCAACTTAGTTTCCAAACTCACTCCAGGCAGCGGCAGAAGACGGGAAACTCCAAACGCAACCGGGGACCGTCAATGCTATTGTCCACTGTCCACTGACCACTGAGCTTTCCGCGACGCCAGCCAACCTGGCTGCTCCCTGTAACGTTCAGCTCTGTTCGCCGTTACCGGTGGTTGTGGTTACCTGCGACTTTTCGTTGGCGTTTACCATTCTGAGCTGTATACGATGCATGCCCATCTTCTTCCACTCTCTACACACTAGTCTTGCCTGAAATTGCCACGGTCGGTCCGGGCAGGTATCATTCAAAGGCTTTGATAACCCTCCAGGTTCCTGTGTTTGACGTCCCTTGTTGATCGGCCCGTTCTGGTGGTGTGTCTGGTCTCATCTTGGATGCGCCACGCCTGCTATACCAACACGGTCCATCAACCTTTTTTCTCAATGATTTCGCTTCTTCTCTGTTTCACTTGCTGGCATGCTCTTGATTTTACCTCGACGGCACGTCAAACTTTCATCCTAGTACGGCTTGTTACGTTCATCTCTGCGCCCGCATCATCGCTTAATAGTACATTGGCCCGCTCACTCTGGTTGATCTCACCTTGAATGGCAGCTTGCTTCGTTACGCCGACTCAAAGCAGGTGCAACAGTGCAGCCCCTTTTCCTCCGAGACTCAAAAGACATTATCTTTGAGCATATTTCCCCCTCGGCCACCCCTCCCTCCTCACCTTTGACAGCGTTCGTTTCGATCCACGTTGTCCAGCAACACATCTGCGATGACCAGTTTTCGAAAAGCCTTCATTGCCACAATCTTAAAGAGCCTGCTTCGAGGCAAGTCTCTGATACAAGCATTACTGTCCATCCGGGTCAATCCTGGAATAGCCAAGGGTGGCAAAGGGAAGCCAACAAGAACGCTACAAGATTTTCTCAAAGATGCCGAGGCTGCACTTCTCGGCCCTGTTAGTGGCGATGGTCTCCTCGAGCTTTCCGCGAGACTGAGAAAACAATTTGTCAAACGGTTGCAAACAGATGAGCAGTGTATGCTGCCGTCGTATAGCCATCAGCTGCCGCTAGGTAATGAATGTGGGCAGTACCTGGCTCTGGATGTTGGTGGTTCAACTTTGAGAGTCGCTGTGGTGGAACTGAGAGGTCGTGGAATGGCTGCTGAAAAGCAGAGCGAAATCATCAGTATGCGCAGCTATCGGATCGACAAGGACATTAAGGATCTAGAGGGAATGAACTTTTTCAACTGGATGGGCCAGAAAATTGCCGAGACCCTTGCCGCAACAGGTCAACAGGAGAATTCTGAGGCGAAACCCTTCCCTATTGCCTGTGCTTGGAGCTTCCCGATCGAGTGAGTATTTCTCTCGACTCTCTCTCTCTCTCTCTCTCTCTCTCACTCACTCTCCTTTTTTTTAATAAATTTTTTAACTTATTTTATTCTAGACAAACTTCATTGGAAAGCGGCAAGCTTCTTCCAATGGGCAAGGCATTCTTGGCAGACAGAGGCTTATTGGGTGAGGATCTTGCTGGAATTATCAAGCAGGCTTGCAAAAAGTCTGGTCTTCACGTCAAACTGCGTGCCCTCCTAAACGACTCCAGTGCCTGCCTATTATCACGAGCCTACTCCTACACATCTACTCGATTTGGCCTTATTCTAGGCACGGGCGTTAACCTGGCGGCATACATGCCCGTCCTGAGTGTTGGCATGAAGAAATTTGGAGTACGGCCCGAGGGTTGGTATCAGGAAGCCAACCACGTCATCGTCAATACTGAACTCGGAATGTTTGGTCACGACATTTTGCCCCTGACAAGATGGGATCATGCGCTGATCAAGCGGCATCCCCGTCCTTATTTCCAACTTCTCGAGCATCTTGTTAGCGGCATGTACCTTGGCGAGATTGTCAGACTGGCACTTATTGAAGCTATCGAGACGACTGGACTACTTGGCGGTGTTGTGCCTCGTTCTTTGAGGAGCGATTACTCGCTGGGCACTGACACAATCTCTGCAATCGAAAGGTAGGACAGGCCTGTATCTACCAGTACAACGTTGAACTAACCGAAAACTCAAACAGTGATACCTCACCAAAACTCGAGGACGCCATAAAAGTCTTTTCGGATCGACACCCATCATCATATATTCCCACTAGTTCGGACCTTTGTGCTATCAAAGCCATTTCAACCTTTGTTTCTATTCGATCCAGCGCTCTCGTCGCTACTTGTGTTTATACCATGTGGGACCTGCGTCTGGACTTTGAGCAGCGATATGTCGATACGTTACCTGAGTCGTCACCAGAGCGTGAGCGTGTCGAGGCCGACATGAGGCTGGCGGATACCACGGTTGCGTTCAACGGCAGCGTCATCGAAAACTATCCCGGCTACCTCGAAAACTGTCAACGCTACTTGGACGAGTTGATGGAAAGCAAAGGCTTACCTGAGCCACGAAGCATCACTCTTGTTGCCGCCAAGGAGAGCTCACTGATGGGGGCTGCCGTTGCATTGGCATGTGTGGAGCGAGATGATTGAGCCCGCAGTGCTTCTTCTTTTCTTTCAAAAAAGAAAAAAAAAAGAAAAAAAAAGAGGAGGAATGGCTAAATTCTTTGGCGAATGGTACATGATACATACCTCTGTGCGGAGTTGAGTCGTGGGATGGGTGATTCACATCATTTTTCTGCTACTGTGTTGCAGTGTTGGAATGATGGGTGTGCAATGAATGAAACGCATACGTAGAGGCGCAGGCTAGCTTTACTTCCCAGCATGGTTTGTGGGGTCTTCTTTTCTGTTCGAGTCGGTGTGTATAATCGTGGAAGTCCTAGGATTTGAGTAGCCCTGGCGTCTGGATGATGTTGAGGAAATTGTGCCGTGACGGCCCGTTACGATGATAGTACGCATGTTCGAAATTGGCGATGATGAGATCCAAGCTGGAAAGATACTCTTGAACAATGAAGGCCCAGGGCTGTATCCTCTCATTTGTCATCTCGTGAGATTACTTCTACGAAGTGAAGATTACGATGTAGCTCAACGCGTGGCTGCTTTACGCGACTGGGTATCCGCCATGAGGAATTCGGTACGTTACCACGAGACGTGTCGGTGGATGTATTGGGCAACCTTGATTGTCGTGTGTGTTGGGCGATGCGCGGGGTACCAGCTACCCGAGGCCAGTCAGGTGACCGCCTGCCTCGTTCGCGTTCTGTTCCTCTTCGCGCGAGCAAAGACCCTCTTTCAAAGGCACGCGTTTATGCACAACAAATAGGCGGACGGTGCTTTTCCTTCATTCGACGACGTAATCCAACGGGGCAGCCCGACAGCCAGACGGCAAGACAGTATAAACCGCCAGTACTTACTCAATGTATTGGCCTCCATAACCGAAACTTTTCATTCGGCACGGCGCCACACCAACACGTCTTGCTCGCCAGGAAAACACGCGTCACAATGGCTGCCGGATCTGGCGTATTTGTCGAGTGCGCCGTCGCCTTCGTTCCCAGCAATGAGCTGACTCCAAAGTTGATCGGTGACGTGAGTATGCGACGTGTTACAGGACACTGGTTCAGGCAACCCACGTTTCGGGAAACTGACTGTTCTCGTCCAGTTGTCCCGCGTCGTCGAGGAAAACGGCGGCACGATTTGCGAACCCCGCCGCAACGGCTCGATTCCCATCGAAAAAGTCACGCACATCGTTTCAAACACCATCAATTTTGAGCAGTATGTCGAGGCCCAAGCCGTCATGATCCCCGTGGTATCGGAGCACTGGATCTCGACCTCGATTGTGAGAAGGAAAGTCGCACAAGTCAGGCCGTTCTCTCCTGATCCACGAATGATCTTTGCCGAAATTGTCGTCACCTGTGCCGATTTGCCACAGATGGACAAGGAGAGCATCATCGGGGCTACAATGGCGCTGGGGGGGCAGGAGTCCAAGGATGTAACCAGACTGACGACACACGTATGTGCGCTGAGCGTGGACGCGCCAAAGGTCCAGGCAGCACTTGGAAAGGGGTTCAAGGGCAAAGTTGTTCTGCCACATTGGTGAGTCATGGCGAATTGGAGTCTACAGCTGGATTTGGCTTGCTTGTGCTAACGGGGCAAAAAAAAGGTTCGATGCCTGCTTCAAGCTAGGCAAGAGGATAGATGAAGGTCCGTATCTCCTGCCAGATCCAGAAGTCATGAAGAAGTCGACAGAGGATGCCATCAAAATTCCATCCAACAAGAACTTGGTTGGTGCCACTTCAGTAAGCCCGGCTTTTCTACCTGTTGCCGCCGATGGCCAAAGTGCACGACCTCCCGTGACGGTTTTCCAGGATAGAGCCGTCATGCTGGGGGCAGATCTTAACATTACGGCGAGGCTAGCAAAGGCCATTGGGGATATTGTTGTCGACGGAGGGGGAGAGCTGGTTCATGATGTTGACGACTGCGATATGTACATCTGCCAGTATCGCGACGGCGATGAGTACGTATATGCGGCCCAGTCCTGCAAGGAGGTGGGTAGTCTATCATGGTTGTATTCACTCATTGTCAACAACCAGTGGCAGAATCCACTTCACCGACTTTTGCACTATCCGGTACCTCGAAACGGCATCCCGGGCTTCAAAGATCTTCGGATCACCATATCCAACTATGGTGGTGAAGCAAGGATTTATCTGGAAAATCTCGTCAAAGCATGCGGCGCGGAGTTCACAAGGACCATGAAGGCAGACAACACCCACTTGCTAACCGCCCGCAATTCTAGTGAGAAATGCAAGGCAGCCCCGGAATGGGGTGTGGCGGTTATCAACCACCTCTGGATTGAAGAGAGTTACGCCAAATGTGAACTTAGGCCCATTAACATGCCCCAGTATAACCACTTCCCCCCAAGAACCAACCTGGGAGAGATCATCGGTCAAACCTTTTTGTGTGAGTCTAGGATCAGGGGCTTGTTCTATCCCGGTGGTGGTGAGAGAGTGTCTTCTAGCGCTAGGAGAAAGAGAAAAATCCTGGAAATTGCTGAAGAAAACGCCTACCGCAGAGGTCCGGCAGAAGGAGTTGTCATTGGAAGTAATAGTGATTTCGACGTGATGAGGGATGATGAAGAAGACGCAAAAGCGCCCTCGCTGAAGCCTCAGAAATCCACCGCTGTCGAGACGCCTGTGCGCTCTCGTCATGCTCGCTCCGGAAAAGAGAACGATACTCCTCCTACTATGTCCACTGGCAGCCGCAGCGCCAAGGCGAAAGCGAGGGATATTTTGCAATGCATCGCACCCGATATTGCCTTGTACGAGAGAGAAAAGAAAAGACACAGCAAAACTGGGGCGCCGTGGGGCGGGAAACGAGCGGCAGACTTGGCTGAGAAAGAAAAGGCCAGCAAGACCACCACCAGCCCCAAACATAATCAAGAAGATGAGGAGGAGGGCCCAAAGCGACCATCAAAGAAACCTCGACCGTCATTGCCAGATGTGCAGATGAGGCTGGTGGTCACTGGTTACACTGGATGGGTTGGGGACAGCAAGAAGGAGGATCACGACCGAGTAAGTTGCAACGAGCAGGCAGCATGTACCCTGGTACGTCTGTTTCATGCTAATTTTCGTCTTGTGTAGAGAAAAATGCGTGCTCTAGGGATTCTTATTGTTCAGGAGGGTCAAGCTTGCGACTATCTCGTGGCACCCCAGGTGGTGCGTACTGTCAAGTTCCTCTGCGCTCTGGCTCGCGGGGCGGCAGTCCTCTCATCCGCCTTCATCGACAAGGTCCTCGAAATTGGAGAGGTGCCGGAGGCAGATGACTTTATTCTGCAAGACTTCGAGGCAGAGTGCAAATACAACTTCAAACTCGAACGGTCGATGGCTCGGGCCAAGGCCAACCGAGGCAAACTGCTTCAAGGAATCCCTATTTACTGCACAGAAGGGGTTCGAAAGGGGCCTGACGGCTACAAGTCCATAGCCGAAGCGAATGGAGCCACATTCAAGCTGTACCGCGCGCGGAGTGGCACAACCATCAGGCCGACAACGGCCGAAGAGGATGGGTTCGCCAAGCCAGAGCCAGTCTACTTGCTGTCTGGCAACAGCCCTGAAGAGAAGCAAATGTGGGGGCGGTTCAGGAGCATGGCTGAGAAGGGCAACATGGAGCCCCGAATCGTTGATCCGGACTGGCTGCTGGATGTAGGCATGGCACAGCAAGTGCGTTTCGACGAGAAATTTTTGATGGAGAAGCGCAACCACGACGAGAGCGGCTAATGGTGATTGTTGCGAGTTGCCGGCGTGTCATGGAAGCATTGGAATACGGAGTTGGGAGTGTGAATACCGAGGGGTTCGCCCATCAAATATTACTATTTTCTGGGCCGGCGGTTGTCTTTTTGTGTCGATGCCAATAGAGAGAATAAAATACCTATATATGCCGCCTGCACGTGGTGTAGCAGCAGTAGTCGTAGCAGTAGCAGCAGTAGAAGTAGTAATAGGAGTTGTCGTGCAGTCAGAAGAATTTGACGCCGAGAGAGTCTTCGGAACCAAATATTTGAGCTTTGCCGCGCTTGACAAGAATGTTGAGAGCCTTGAGCAGGACCTCATTATCCATGCCGTGTAGTTCTGGTAAGCAAGGCGGAATTAGAGTCAGGCGGGTTTCACGGGCCCTTGGCGGCATCAGACATGACGACATGAAGGGGGATGAGTGAACGGCATGACGTTACCTGTGCCTCTTGTCCCCTCCCCATCGGTCAGCTCGTAAAGGGTCAAGACGCTGCCCTTTTGCGCGGTATCTTGGACGTAGGCCTCGAGCAAGGCGGCCCACTCGTCGGGCTTCTTCCAATACACGTAGACGAAGTCTCCGTCCTTGGTCTTGTCGCTGCCGGCGTACTCTGCTCTCCCGTCCTTGCGCATGAAGTCAATGACCTGGCGAATGTCGGCGAGCGCCAGGCGGCGGCTGATGCGGCGGTTGGTAAAGAGGTCTGACTCTGAAGCTGATGAGAGGGAGAGCTTGAAGAGGCGGTGGTGCTTGGTGTAGGAGAGGATGAGGGAGGACCATTTGGTGAGCTGAGCGTGGTGGGTGGTGAGATTTGGCTGGGGCGTGAAAAAGGCGGGGAAATGGTACTCGCGGGGAAAGCGGAATGATGGGTTTGGGGTTTGCGATGGAAGTTGTGACTGGGAGGGCGCGGGCGCGGGCGCAGGCGAGGACGATGGCGATGGCGATGGCGATGGCGATGTCATTGTTTTGGGTGATGGGAGGTCGTGAGTTTTGGTGGTGGGAAGTTGTGGTTGTTTGCGACCTGGTAATTGCCAAGGTACGTACCTAGGTACTCTGTACTTGACGTATGGCGGATAGGTGGGCTGGGTAGTAGGTACAGGGTGCCAGCCATCGGGTCGTCAATAAGACAACACTTGCGAGCAAGACACCGACCAATCAGGTGACGACGCTGTCGATGCCTATAAACATCTGAGCGCATGTGCGAGGAAACCTAGTGTCTTGACTTGACTTGGGAGAGAATACATGATACGATGGAGCACAGGATTCCGAGTCTATCTGCACGCATATAAACGCTTATTTTCCATGAAAGAGAGACACCAAAAAAAGGGGGTGGCCACACCAGTGACCACACTATTTTGTGATGTCGGTATGCCACCTCATATCCTATGCGGTACGAGGCAAGGGCAGTCTACCTTGGTAGTTTACCCACGTGAATGCCAGGCCTAATCACTCCGACATTTCTTTCCCCAGATTCGATCGAACCTTGTCCTCGACCACTACTTGCGTTGCTTGACCCTTCTCCGCGGAGCCTCGAGTCTTGGTGATCCGGATAGTCTCCGTCGAAATGATTGGACGCGCTTTATCAGGAACACACCACGCCGCGCTTATCATGCCATGGCCGTGGTTGCGCATGAACAACACCTCAGATTGCCGAGAGGTGATGCTTTGACATGGGGATGTCACCTTATTTAGGGAGCATGATGCCCAGATACCCTCAAGAACGAAGAGCTTTTTTTGTCCTCAACCCCTCTTTCTTGCTCCCCCGTCGGACACCCTTTTTGTCCATGGTCGTCATGAAATATGAAAGAGGAACACACTATAGCAACTGCAGATCTGAACGATAATGGGAAAGAAGAGAGCAGTGGTTGTCGGGCTGGGGATGGCCCCCCCCCCCCTTTCAGGAGCGGTATTAACCAAGGTGGCCAGAGAGAAATTGTTGAAATATGATGCCCACGAACGACAATACATCGTCACTGTTCTCGGAGAAGAGTCCCACGTGGCATATAATCGCGTTGGATTGACGAGTTCTCTTCGAGCACCGCCAAGTCGAAAACCTGTACCTGAATCCTCTGCAATGGGCATGTGGCGGTCAAACATACCAAAGTCAAACCCGTCTTGGACATGCTATCTAACAAGCGGCGCAGTATGATGAAGCCAGTGCCTCGCTCGGATACCACATCGACACCAAAGTCACATATATAAACTCGGCGTCGAAAACAGTCACGTGTGAAAATGGTGACATTGTCCCCTACGACATTCTGGTTCTGGCCACAGGTTCACAAGCCTCATTGCCGCGACATACACCCGGCTGGGACGCCGAGGGCGTGTTTGTCTATAGAACCATTGACGACTTGGTAAGTCTCATTGGCTTTTCTGCCGGGCGCAAAGGGAGCACGGGGTGCGTCGTTGGCGTAGGGCTTTTGGGTCTTGAGGCCGCCAAGGCAATGATGGACCTTGAGAGCTTTAGTTCCGTCAAGCTGATCGAGCGCAATGGATGGGTTCTCAGCCGCCAGCTTGACCAGGAAGCAGGGGCCATGGCTGTGCAACAAGTACGCCATCTTGGCTTGGACGTCATGCTGAGCAAGCGTGTGAGGGAGATCAAGGTTGATGACGCGAATCACGTCGCCGGCGTGGTTTTTGAAGACGGCCAAGAGCTCCTCTGCTCAACTGTATGCTTTGCCATTGGCATCGCCCCAAGAGACGAGCTGGCCCGGGTTTCTGGCTTCGACTACGTCCGACGTGGCGGCGGCATCGCCGTCGGAGACGATTTGAGAACCAGCCATGCCGACATTTACGCCATTGCGAATGCGCAAGCTGGAAAAGCCAGACAGTCGGCCTTCTCGACGCCGGGCGCGACGAGAAGGCCGAAGTCTTCGCCTTCAATCTGACACAGGCCAAGCTCCATGCGCCGAGAGTGTTCAAGCGTCCTGACCTGAGCACCAAGTTGAAGTTCCTCGGCGTCAACGTCGCCAGTTTCGGGGACTTCTTCGCGGACAGAGACGGGCCAGCACAGGAAATCAGTCAATGGCGCGACCAAGCAAGTGCAGGCGGTTAAGACGCTCACCTACAAAGACCCCTTCCAAAACATCTACAAGAAGTACATATTCACTTCGGACGGCGAGTACCTCCTTGGCGGCATGATGGTTGGCGACACAAACGACTACATCAAGGTCGTCCCCATGGTCAAGAACATCAAGGAGCTGCATGTGCCGCCAAGCCAGCCTTCCTCGGCGCCGAAAAGGACGGCGACGGCGACGACGGCGACGACTTGCCCGAAGACACACAGATCTGTTCCTGCCACAACGTCACCAAAGCCGACATTGTGAACTCCGTCAAGGACGGATCATGCAAGCAGCTGGGCACCGTCAAGTCATGCACGAAGGCGGGCACGGGGTGTTGCGGATGGATGCCTCTCGTCGCCACAATCTTCAACAAGACCATGGCAGCCATGGGCAACGAGATCAAGAACCACCTCTGTCCGCGAGGCGCAGATGAAGGAGCTGGTAGCCGGCTACTTTGACGAATGGGCCGAGGCCATCAGCAACCCCGACATGGTGGCCCGGTTCAAGCAGTTCCAGAACACGGCCGACGCGGCGGACAACATGGAGACTGAGCAGGACACAGGCCAGTGGCGCCCCGTCTACTGGCCCAGGGAGGCCGCCGCCCAGGACTTCAGCACCATGCAAGGCCAGTGGTCATGCACGGCGTGGGAGCCCGTCATCGAGACCGCCCACTTTGACGGCGCCGACGAGCTGCCCAACGGCATCCCGGCCACGGTCAAGCGCGGCGACACGCAGCTCGCCGTGTGGCGCTTCAGGGGCAAGTACTATGCCACGCGGCAAGTGTGCCCGCACAAGAGGGCCTTTGTCCTCTCGGACGGCCTGGTCGGGCACGATCCCACAAGGCCGTGCTCCGACGACGCCGAGCACCAGTCTGCCGCCCCGGCGTCGGCGCCCTGGATCTCATGCCCGAACCACAAACGCAACTTTGACCTGGTGGGCGGCTCCTGCAGCAGCGACGGGTCCCTGTCCATCGCTACCTTCTCGGCGGAACCGCGCGGAGACGGCCTGCTGTACATCAAACCGCCGCCACTGGGGGAGCTGGATACCGGATTGGGGACTACAAGATGGAGAGTCCGCAAGGGAGAGAGTGGCGACTCGCCCTTTGCAGAGCTCGACAAGAAGGTGCAGCTGCTGGGGAGAAAGTCGCGGAAAGTCAACGGAATCAAGCCGGCCGTGGACGGCCCCGTCAACGGAATCAACAGAACAGGCTCGGAAACGGCCCGTCCTGCTGTCATGGCTGGTTGTGGGAGTGCACCGGACTGGTGACCAGTGCTTTGCTTGCTATCATACGTACATGCAATGTACGAGCCTACGGCAAAAGCGGAAGCACGGAGCACAGCGGCCGCTTTGATTAATGCCGCGTACGGAGTACGGAGTACGGAGTACGAGATTGGATAAATACTCCGCACTCCGCAGATGATAGATGATATATGATGGATGATGGATGATGGATGATGGATGGTACTACTCCGTAGATGCCCCCTGCTTGTTCGCACAAAACACACTCCGGGTTCAAGGACAGTACAGAATTAGCCCCTCTCCCCCGTCCCATTGGGAATAATGCATGGACTGGTATATCCTGGGCAGGACATGCATGAATGTCATGTCCCATGGTCCATGGACAGGACGGACTGGGCCAGATTCTTACATCCTTCCGGGGGGGCATGCCTCCCAAGGGGTGGCAAAGTACGGAGTAATACCCAGACAGTCGTTCATAGTATTTCCACGGGCGAATCCGAGTTGTGAGTACAGAGTACGAAGCATACAGATAGCACTTATTGCTGGGCTCTTTCCAGAAGACGAAAATGATGCACAGCTACAAAAGGCATAGTAGATAGATCTGCATTGCATCCTAGAGAAGGCCACCGCGAACCTCCAAGGTCCCATCGCGCTCTCTCTTTGTTGCCCACCAAAAGGGGGGCTGTCCCCTCGGTGCTATGACTCGTCAAGCCGTTTTCCCCGAGCCAAGCTATCTGGCACGCGCGCGTGTACTCGTACAAGCAATGGAACCAAAATCGTTCCGTTCCGTCCGGTAAAGAGAAAACTATCAAGTGGAGTATCATAATCGTGCAGACTGTGCAAACGCCACTACAACGCCAGTGTGAATGAATATTCAAACCTGCCCCATCCCAAGCCGACCCGACTGTCCATGACTCCAGTACCGTTTGCATTTTTTATTCCCGCACAGTCTCCTCGTCACTCATACCGCCGTAGCCAGTATCTATCTCCATCCCGACCAAGCTCTTTGTTACCGCAAGACACCTCTCCACGATCTGCTGTCGAAGCTCAGCATGGATGCCACATTGGCTAGCAAACTGCCCACCGATCCATAGACGCAGCGTCGCCGCGAATTTTTCCAGGATAACTTCAATTTCAACGCTCTGGTCGCGGTCCCTGTGAAGCAGCAAATGATCCATGAGTTCCATCACCGAAGTGAATCCTAGCAGAGTCATGCAAGCTATATTTTCCGGTCGAACAAAAAAGTTCAAAAAGTCCACGTTGGCCAATGTGGCTTTGGGCGTGTTGGCCACCCGCGTAAGATGTGCAATGGTCATGGCACACCGCAAAGTAATTGAAAAGTCTGCTGAGAAGTCGTCAAATCGCTGGCCTACAATCAGATTCGATTTGGTGAATGGACCTGTGATCCTGTCAGATTTCAAAGTCTGCAGCGCCGCTGCAATATGAGCTCCGCGAGACTGTTTCACAAGCACGGCACGGGCCAGTATGGCGCGCATATGAGCATATGAGCCAATCGGCGACACACGAATGGCTATGTCGATGCTACTTGCAACGGCATCTGGCGCTTTTGGTGATGCGCCCTTATCGAGCGCATCACCAAGGACCTGGTGCAAGACCTGGGTGGACCACCACGCAGCCACGGCATCCAATGGGGAGCTTATGGCAACATCATCGACAATGCTGTTCATGTGATCAATAGGCTCCGTGACATTGTGGGTTGTATCCATGCTGAAGGCCAAGTTGTGGGCTCGCTGAATCACTTGCGGGGTGAGAACATCATCGCAATCCTGTTCGACCAAGGCGACAAGATGCTCAGGAAGTTCGTCGTCATGTGGCAGGGAGCCTGGCGCTCCACGGCGCAGCCGGACAAGAAGCTGGTTTAGTTCACGGGCTTCTTTCCATTTCGACCTGGCCCGTTCCGCAGCAATTACGTTGACACCGGCCTGCACAAGTCTGCTGCTGGTGACTTGCCACAGAAGAAGACGAATATGGAGTGCTTTCATCATGGACCGAATGGGAGTGTCCGGCAACGTGCAAGATGCAAGTAGAGTCAAGGCCAATCGGCTCTTGCAGATATCCATATCACCGCCTGCTAGCTGCGAGTCCAAGGCAATGGACCAGGCCTTTACCCTGGCGACTTCTTGCTCCCGGGTGATCCCTGTGAGCATCTGGAAAACATGAAATCCGAAAGCGTTGCGTATGCTAAGCTTCATCGCCTTCAAGACGAGGGCTGCGGCTTCAAGGATAAAACTGCGTTGAGGAACCCAGACAGTTTGGATTGAAGTGAGCCAAGCCTGCCTCCGGATTTGAATTGAAGACGCTGTAGATGGAGCTTTGCGAGGCATCGCGGCTTGCGGCTTCTTGGACTGGGGATCCGTAGAAGCAAACAATGAGGGCACGAAGATCCAGAGAAATGTGCCCAACAGCAACAAAGTCTTGAGAGACGACAGAGCGTGATACCCCATGACGCGCACATCAAGGCTTGATGCCAAAGACCGCAGGAAATGTAGTGGCAGCGCAAAGAGACCACGCCCTTCCGTCGTTTCTGTGCCAGCTTCCGATTCTCGCACCGCTTCGATGATCATGAGACCAGCGAGAGAGCCCACCATGAGCTTTCCAAAGTAAGGGTTGCCTTGGAAAAAGCCGTTTTGTTGGGCCTGCTGATGCTGGTGTTGCATTTGTTGCTGGCGCATCATCGGAGGGTTGCCGCCGCGAAAGGATTGTTGGGGCACTGGATAAGGCTGACCGACGGCCATTTGAGCCGATATAATTCTCTTCATGTCGTCGGGTACCTGAATCATGCCAGATGACGCGGGGTTACTGGGCTGCGGGGTGCCCATGGGCGAGCTACCGAATTGTTGAGGGTTATCTTGAGCATACTGCATAGGAGTGAGAGGGTGTTGCATAGGACTCATAGATCCGTTCATAGCGCCAGCCATGAACAGCTTCTCGAATGCGGCAATACGGGCTTGCATGGCAGCATTTTCCTCAAGCAGACGATTATTTCGCTTCTCGAGATGGCGAATGTATTCAGTGGCTTTGCTCAAGACCTGCATTCAAACACAATGTCAGTGACTCTACTTCTTCCCACAGCGCCGGGGAGGCCGCGGACAACAATATCGCCTGATGCCCGAACACCGCCACGGAGAAAGAGTTGGAATGTACCGTTGCTTTGTTCAACTTATGAGCCGGTGTAAGCCCATGCAGCTCCTCTCGGTCCTCCGTGGTATCTTCGCCCCTAGCACTCTTACACATGATCCGCAGGCTGGGAACGCTGTCTCGTAGGGCGGCTATCTTATCGTTGATGTTGGTGCGGTACCGCTTCTCAATCATATTGTGAGCGGTCTTCTTGACCGGCTTGTCATCATCATCGGCGTCGTCTTCATCCTCCGGGTCCGACGATGCCTTTCGTTTCCTGACATCCCTTTTTGATCCATCACCTTGCTCCGGCGACGAGGCGATGCCCCCTTTCGAGTCATTATTAGCGGAATCGGGGCTTGAGGCACTCTTGGGCGAGTTATACTGAAGGTGAGGAGGCATTGCAATATTTCGGAGTTTCTGCTGAAGAGCCGGCGACATTGGCGCTGCGCCTGGCTGTCTAGTAGTGTTCAGAGCCTCGGTGTTCGGGGCTCCGAACACAACGTTCGAATTGACATCTGATGGTGAGAAGCCGGCAAAGTTAAACGGCGCGTCTTGGGATTGGTCAAAGACTGGCAAGGGCCAGGTGGTAGCACTAACACCAGGCTGGGTTGTAGGCGCGGTGCTTGCGCCTATGTTGATGTTGTCGTAGGCTGGCGTCGTCTGGAAGTCCCAGTTTGGTGCACTTGTAGATGGGGGGTAGAGGTGTTGTTGTTGTTGTTGTGGTGGTGGTGGTGGTGGTTGTTGCTGGGCGCCGCTGGCATCGGCCTCAGCTAGGGATGAAGGGTTTGCTGAAGCTTCTGTTCCAGCAGGAGACTCGTTCATGAAACTGAAATTTGGGCCCTCGAACCCAAAGCGGTTCGTGGCGCCGTCGTCGGCCATGACACTGGCGCGCGAGCTCAAGTGCTCGCCGACGGGCTCGTCGTGGGAACTGGTCTGGCGCGCGGGCGGCTGGCGGCCCAGGTGCCGAATGACGGTGGGTGTGTCGGATCGCGGCTTTGCAATTCCCGGAAAAAGACAATGAATGGCCCCTGGATGTCCAACAGCTCGGTCATGCGAAGGCGTGGTATGAGGCAGGCGCAAGAAAACCAAATGGAGGGTTATGGGGAGGAAGACACGGGGTGGTGCGTTTGCGGTTTAGAATCGAATGACGGCAGGCGGGCAGTCGTTCGACTGTCAGCTGTGACAGGGTGAGACCGACGTCGAGGCACCAATGAGAAGTGCGTTTGCCATGCAGCTGGACAGGATATGCTGGCGAGACTGCCGGTAAATCGACCGACACTCAAGAAAAAACAAGAAAGGAAGCGTCGAGGCGGGCGGACGTTGGGGTTGGTTGGGTTGCTCGTCGTTCAGGCCCTCGCGTGTGCCGATTCCAGTTACAACTGGATGGTGGCAGGCATGGGATTGGCGATTGGAGATGCGGATCAAAGACTGAGAGTGGGAGAAGCACCCAGAGAAAGCTTGACTTGAAAGGCGGCAAGACAATCCCTAAAAAATGGCAGAGCAAACGGATTTGAGCATGCAGAATCGCGGAATCTGAAAACTCGAATCCGGCACTTGGAATGGACCCAGCCGAAACGAGGAAACTTGGAACAAAGCTCGAATGCCCGGTCAAAATTCCGCAACGGTACCAACAAAGCACGGAGCTGGCACCGACGGGAAGCACCAGTAGCAGCAACCAGTATGTAGGGAGCAGGCAGCAGAGACCAAAGAGTTTGGTCGTCGGAGGAGTACGGAGTAGCAGCAGGGCCACAAGGAACGACAGCAATAAAGCTCCGTGGGGCGGGTCAAGCCAGTCGAGTTGAGGTCGACATGGATGGGAGCCGGGTTCGTAAGTAGCAGGATTGCGGCAGATGCTTGACGCTGCTTGCTTGAGGCTTGACGAGGCTGGATGCTGAGCGCTGGCTGGATGCTTGGGCTGCTTGGGCTGCTTGGGATGCTTGGGATGCTGGGGACACTGGATGCTTCTCGTCGGTGGCGCGGGTGCTCTTTGGAGCTGGAGGGCCGGAAAGATGGGGCAGGCAGGCAGGAGCTCTGCGTCCTGCCTGCCTGTTGTCTCCCGCACTCCAGTACGGAGCACCATGCATATCACTAAGTAGGTACGTACTGCAAAACCCAGTCTCGACCAAATTACCGAGTACGGAATACGGGCTACGGACCTACTAAACGCACTGGAGCTCACAGCACTAATTAATCTACTTAAGTAGGCAGTGAGCAATAGCGGCAGCCTGCAGGTGATCCGGACCCGGCGCAGGTTCCTGACGACGGCGGCGAACTTGCACGGTGGCGAGCCAGGCAAGGGGGCAGCAAAATAAACAGCACTACCAACCCGCACAGTCATTATGGCTTGGCCCTTTGTTGGTCGGCGGGTTGTTTCGCCACCCGCCGCTGCCAAGAGGAGCTCGAGCAGGAGCTGGAGGCGCGGCACATGCCGGATGGGGGAAACACACACATCGTATGATCCTTATTAAGTACCCGGATACCTGTAGGCAAGCTAAGTACTCTACGGTGCCAAAGTACCTTGGGTACCCAGACCTAGATAGACTCTCTGGAGGCAGGCGGGCGGGCCCAAGTCGCACCTACTTAAGTGCATACCTACCTGGTACTTAAGTACTTACTTGATGTATATCATCCCCCGCGGCCGCCTATGGGTACTTACATTAGGTAGGTGCTGAAGTACACAGGCTCTGTTTTCCCACGATGTCGAACGGTCATTCTTGAAAGCGTGCGCAGAGGGGAGGGCGCTCATGACTCCGTAAGGAGCAATTCACAGTTCCAGGGTGCTTCTACCTGGCACGCGCCAACGCACATGCATACTAGCACTAGGGCACAGAGTACCTGCATCGCAGTATTCCTCAGAACTCCGTACTTACGTACCTACTTAAGGAGGCAGTTACCCACTTAGGTGCCTGCCGACTTAGGTAGGAGACTACCTCGGCGCCTGGACTGCCCCCCACCCCCCCACCTGCTGTTTCCCTAACAGAGTGCTTGGCGTGCATGGGCAAGCCCCGCCACGAACAAGGAACAGACTGCAGGGCACGGAGTAGCGGACAGAACAGAACGGGGCGCGGTCGTGAGACGCAGCCTGAATGAGATTCTTCACCTCGACACTCCTTAAAATAGATAGACAGGTACGCAAAATGACGGGCGAAAAAAGCCACAACTGCCTGCAGGAGCCCGATGCCGAAGATGGTCGGCGCACCGGAGTATGACGCAGCTCAACGAAATGTGCCGGGCTCTATCGATCAATCGTCAAACTGGCCCAAGGAAGCAACGAGCCAAAGCAAGCGCAGACGACAGGACACGGTCAATGGTCTGTATGACGATTTTGCTCGCCTATCCATGCACATAATACTCATGGTATTACCACGCAGCGCCCCGCATTACATTGAGACTGCCATTCATCAGGAGTCGAGCCTGGAAGGGGTGCATGCCTCGGTATGCATTTGCCGCGAGGGGAGGGGGGTTAAGTGAATGAATTCGTTGTCACGCACCAACCGCCCCATCCCATCCTTGCCGTGGGCCCGCCGTGCGGAATAACGCTGGGTAGGCAGGTACCTGCCTCGTGATCCGCCCCGCCCGCCCTTGCACCCTGCACCCGCCTCGGCGCCTCGACCACCTCTACGTCGGCTGTTGTGGAGCACCGAATGGGTCCCGTCCATCCGCCATCAAATCAGGCCCATCGCTCCATCTGGCTGTTCGGCATGCTTTCTTCGTTGGGGCCAGAATTTAGTAGCCTTCGTCCCCACCTGTTTTGTCGTGTATCACAGTCAACAGAAAAAAGAGGGGGTGCGTAGCCTAGGAGAAATGCAGAAAGGGGAAAAACGCAAAAAAGAAAGAAGGAAGGGAAAATAATGCTGAAAGACTAATTCATCATCGTCCGCATAGAGGCCAACCAAACAGGCTCGGCATTTGTCATTTGTCACTTGACGTTTGTCATCGCACATGCACCGTGATGTAGCAAGACTACACTTTGACGTCAAATCTCAAGCGCCGCAACCGAGACCTTCAAGTACGTATGTAACTATGTACTCCGTAGTACGTAGTAGTGCTATGAATTGAGGCATTGTATTATGGAATGTTGAACGGACACCCACGACATGGGAATAAATCAAACGCGTATCGCCAAGCAATGGCTCCTCGGCGGCCACCAATCGCCGAGTGCGCCTTGCAAGTTGATCAACCGGTGCCCGGGAAGGCAGGAGGCAGGAGGGAGGAGGCAGGAGGCAGGAGGACCACGCTCAAAGCTTGTCGTGCTCCATCATGCTACTAGTAGTAGCTTCGAGTACGGAGTACGGAATATGCTCTTCACCATCTCCGCCTGAACTCGCTGGCATCCTTCCCGGGTTCGTCCGTCTTCCGTCTTCCAGTCCGCCGCGAACCCTCCGCAAGCATGCATGCACCAGCATCGTTGTTCGTAGTAAACCCCATGACACTCCCGAACCCGCTTCGAATACACTGGCTGACACCGGTTGTTCGGCCATGCTGTCGGACCGCGAGGAGCATCACCTCCTCCGTACATACTAATGCCTCGACAAAATTCCTCCGTCGCTCACGGGCGTCCGTCCCATGCATGCATGCCCTTGCCCTTGATGCTAATCGATGAGCACCAGTTCCGTATTATCTATGATCCATGGGCACGCCCGCGAGCAACCCTGCTGCCACTGGGCAAGGTCCTTCGTTGCCCGGCAGCAAGGCGCGACGCGTGGATGGCAGGCCGGTACCCCTTGGGCCTTGTCCGAGAGACACTGCTCATACATGGTCACGGCCGATTCGTATCATTTCATCGCCATGGAGGCTCGTCGATGCCAACCGCCGCAGACCCGCTCGGCCTGCAAGGGCGCTGTGAAGTGCCTGAACCCAACGAGTCGCTGGCTTCATCGGCGGGACCAGCCGGATCGTGCTTCTCGATGCTACCGCGGAAATTTGGTCTGCTGGATGCAGCGGCTATGCTTTGTATGTAACGCTGTTACTAGACGAGTCAGCTCACCATGAGCTCAGAGGGCAAATTGGTCATAATTTGTCCTCCACATGGAGTACGGACGGAGTACGGAGTAACAACCATTGTGTAGTCACCACGAGTCAGGTACACGGCCTGCGTGCTCTCCCTACCCAGATTGCCAGGGGTAACAAAGGATAGAGGGCATAAACCGCCGACACCAATACTCGAGGACGCAGTTTGCAAGGCGCCGGGGGTTTTTCCTGTCGTGACGATCTTATAAGTTAGACAGGCGACGTGAAACAAGCTGCGTGAGCCAGTTTTGGTGCTAGTATTCGTGAGACGAGCCAATGGCCGCAGAACGGCACTTCTCAAGAGGTCTTTTGACAGCGTGTCTGGCATCCAGACGAGGCGTGTCGAGTCCATCAGCGCCTGGAGGCATAGTCTTGCGACTTCCTCCCGTGTCCGCTCCAACGAGACGGTCTGTCATGTCCTGATGGAAGCGTGCCAGAGGCTCTCGTAGGGCATCATGTCGCAACGGACGTCTTCGGGATTCGGGCCGTGCTCGTTGCTGCTGCTGCTGCTGCTGCTCCCCAATGACATGACATCTGGACCAGCTTGCATTCGTTTCGACCCCTGTGAAGCTGAAAACCAACAAGGCGGAACATCTCGTCAGACACGGAGAACATTCCACGGTAGCATCGACCGCAGACTGAGTGGCCAAATGACCCCCCCTTTTCGGACTTGAGATGGGAGTCATCATTCCCTCCCCACTGGAAATCCTCCGGGCCACTCGAGCAGACATGTAATACGGAACGTGCTCGCCAGCAACTCGCCTTTCCAGGATCCAGGCGACGGTCCGTCTGTAAACACCTGCGCCGCAGCTCCCCACGCGTCGAGATCCTCCCTCCCACTGTACCGAGCGAGGTTATTGACAACCGGTATCACTATTGTCATCGAGTACCTCGTCATGCTCTCGAACAATTGGACCAAGGGGCAAGGGTATACATAGGTAGAATCAGCTGAAACCCCTCATCTTGACGAGTATGAACCCCCATCGCGGCGCGAATACCGGGCGTCCGTGTCTGATATAGGTCCCGAGCTTTTCGTCTTGCGAGCCGGCCTCCGAGGGCGCCTGGAGGCCATTCTCGCACTGTGTGTCGCGACGTGATGCAGTGTGATGACAGTAGCATCAGCAACGTGCTCCCCAGAAGAGAACAAGAAGACCATTTGGCAAGTTTGCCTACTGTTGCGGCAGCCGCCAAGCATGTCTTACCGCTGCCTTGGAAGTCACGGGGCCAGATCCATTCGGGGGCAAGCAGCGTCCTTGGGCTCGTCCGGGGGGTGACAGTCTTGGCCTCGATGAAGGATTGACAAAGGTCGTCGTCATCGTACATAGGCGAGCGCCTTGACGAGGGCCAGGCTCCGGATGCGTATGCAGGCGCAGCGTGGATGCTGTCACGCAGAGCCGGTGGTTTTCGCAGATGGACAAGCCGCCGTCAGCCTCGTCTCAGACACCCGACGCGCTCTGCAACCGGGAGACGGCTGCCGTCTTTTCACCAGTCTCTTTTCACTTGCGTCCAACTCTCCACCATGCATGGTCAACGGTTGGAGCGGGCGACTTGGCAGCGACAGTCGTCGAGGTGCTTCGTTTCGCTCGCGTCAGGTTGGCACGATGGCGTACCCAGCTCCAGGCGGTCCATCTGTCATCCATATCCTGTGATTAAGGTTTAATAAAAAAACGCTTTTTTTTTTGCGGGGCTTGTTTTTCTCCCTGTTCAAAGAAAAAGGGACAAAGGAGATTCATCTGTTGGGGCAAGTACATGTGTCACATATCAGACCGCCAAGTCCCTCCTCTTCCACGGCATTCCGACAAGCGAGCGAGCGAGCGAGCATCCGTTCTTCTCTCGGCCCACCACCGGGCGGAAATTTGGCGACGGTACGGAGTACGGACCAAACAGCGCTCTTCTTGGATGTTCCTCCCCGGCAAAGGGCAAAGGTTCGCGCCATCAACCAGATGACTGCTGTTCTTGGTCCTCGGAAACCCTCCGACCCGGACGCGAGAGATCATCGTGAGGTTACGCAGTCCGTGCCCAGGAGGCCAAGAACCAAATCGCCAGCTCGGTCAATCCACCCCGGCGTCCGCATCGACCAGTCGGTTGACGCGGATGGGTGGTGATTCCAGAATGCTAAGCGCCGGTCAATGAAACAATCTTTTGTGCTACGTACTATACTAATCGCAGTACGCAGCATAACGAGGGCTGGCATATAGCACCCAGTATCCCTTGCTACTACCGCTCCGTACAGCCGTGCCCCAGACGAGGTGACACCTTGTCGCCGATGGTGATGCTCCGAGTCACTTCCTCCGTACGTATGGTATACTATGCACATTGGTGTGTCTATCAAGTAGTTACTCCCTCCGTACGGAATAGTCCAACCCGAGTCGACAACCGCCCGCGGCCCCAGCTTGCCTAGTCAACAACAACAACAACAACCTTACATTTCCATCGGTCAATCTTGGCAGATTGGAGCCTGGCTTGTCCTAAAGCTCTAAATCTTGAGCCTCGTGGTGCTCCATGTGCCGGCTGAATCATTCAAAGACGCCGCCGCCTCACCTTGGGACCCGCGGCCAAAACTTGCCACAAAACTCGACTGTTTGGCTGACCCGCCCCTGGGAGCATTTCAAATGACACGGCATTTTCAGGATAGTATCTTTGTTGTCCCGATTTTAGAAACTTAGTTTACCTGGTCAACAGTAACAGTGGTTGCGGGAAAGAAATAGATACAAACAGGGCTCCACTCGAATCCGTCCCCCAGTACTCCTTACGTCGAATCCAAATCATTATTTCCATGTCCTAAATATTGGCTTTCGCAAACGGGTATCTATACAAACAACGTCAAGGAAACACGGCGGTAGCTGTTGTGAAAGACATGGTAAACTATTCCTTGGTGCTGGGCCATGTGAAAAGAGAGACAGTATCAATGGTAGATCCTCATCCATGCAAGTTAATTGTGGTTGTATCAAGGCATGTTTGCAGACAACCCTTTTCGGATCCCATCACCACATCTCATCAGAACTCTTGACCAGTTCCGTAGTGGGTGTCTTGGGAATCAGTTTCCTCATTCTCTTTCGGTCCTCCTTGGTCACTAGAGACGGCGTAATGGGGATAAGTGGTGTGAATGGTTGGTACGGCGAATAGGGCACTGCACCAGCAGTCATGGGAGTCCTTCCTGTAGTTGGCGACACTGGGCCTCGCCTTTCAAACACTGTCTGCTTTGTGACCTGCGGCGTAGCAGACGGCGACGCTAGAGCAGGCTCGTAGGCTCTCAGTGGCAAGTGACCACCAGTACGCACAACCGATGGCGCGTTGGCTCTTTGAATTCGAGCACCAGGCTTGGGAGACGAGAGTAGAGAAGGATAAGAGACGCCCGCTTTCGGAGAGGAGGGCAGCCCAACCAGAGGTGTTTGTGATGTGGCCGACTCGGGTTCAGCCTCGGATCCCGCAGCATTTGAAGAGCTTGACGGCCAAGGCTGTGGATTAATACGCTCGTCGATGCTCGGGACGCTCCCAGGAGATATGCATGATGTGGGAGAAGCAGCGCCCCTCCGGACCCGGACCTGGGGACCGAAGGAAGTCTGGTCCGTTGGGACGGGGGGAAGCGGGGGGGGCGGAGGAGGCGCATAGTTTCGGTGAGGAATTGTATTCATCTCCCGCAGCTCGTGTCTTGGAAATGTTGCTGACTGTGGCGTCATTATTGGCGGCGATATATTTACACCTCTGATGGCCTTCTTCCGCGAGGAACGCAGTGCCGCGAAGAAGGATGAAGTCCTGGACTGTGTCCTGCCCTCATGCTCTGCCACAAGGTTCAAGCTTCCGGGCTTGGCGGTATCTTTGCTCGACGGCGACGTACCGGACTTGTCAGAAGCTGATGCTCGCTGCTGGTTCCGGGGAAGGGGGCTATCCAACTCAATTCCGCGCTGCTTAGCATCTTCATGCTCCATGACATGTTTGTACATCGCTTCCAGCTGACTTTGCGCCATTTTCCTGTCTGCAGCAACGACGGATTGATCAACCGAGGAGTCGACCCCTGGGCAGCCGACAGAGGATATCGGTGAAGGGCAAATATACGGCTTGAGATGGGGAAGCGTATTGGCGTTGAATTGAGTGTTTTTAGGCGATGGGTACGAGAAGTTGGGAGGAGACCCCGAGCGTCCGAGATGCGATTGCGGATTAAAATGGTCAAGGGGAGAGGCGGCGGATGGCGAGTCTGTGTAGTATAATGCCCCAGACTCGTCAAAATCGACCTCTTCGTTTCCAGCCTGGATATGCTCTCGTCTCTTCTTTGCGAGCGAAAGCAAGGTGATGGCGACCAGTACCAACGAGATGCCGTATGCCGCAATGATACCGCCAATCTGTACGGGGAGATACTTTGTGTCTCTCAGCGCCGCAGCCGAAGATGGTGGACCGTCTTCAGGAGCTGACGCAGGACACCAATCGATGCTTGGAGGATTGTTGACTCTCTTGACTGCGCCAACAAATTTCTCTGTAGCTGTTGGACCAGATTGAGCGAGGGTGAAAAGCAGGAAAAGCGACAGAGCGGTCAGAGCAGATATCACCTGAGAATGGCAGCTATGTGGCATCGTGGAGAGGAAGCAAGCCCTTTAAGGAAGCGACCACAGTGTGATGAAACCGCCGGGGGGAGAGTCAACAAAACATGATTTGAAGGAGAGCTGACGTTGTCGGGAGCGCGTATGAGGCGTTGCTCCGGTATATACGGAGTACGGAGTGCATACTCCGTACATGGTCATTGGACGGCTGGTGACGTTCGGCTGTGTGTCAAACGTTGGCGCTGGAGTTTTTGGGGAGAGGGCGGAGTGTTGGTTTGCTGAGGCCAGCATGAGTGCTCGACCGTGCCCCGACCAGGCCTCAGGTTCTGACTGGACTTGCATGATGGCGTTGAGACGGGCCATGTTGGGTGGTTAATCACACTGCAGAAGGCACATGAAGTCGATGGTGTTGACGCACCGAGTGCTGTGGTTGGATGGCTGGAGGGATGGCAGGGATCTAAGCGCCGAGCTCCCAGTCATGTCAGGAGGAGGAGGAGGCCTGCGGTTGGATGGAGCGGGATGCGACTCGCACGGGTACGTACCCGAAAATCCAGCCAGCCCGTCATGCTCCATCACGTCTCGAGTCTTGAGCGCCTGTGTGTCTGGCTGGCTGCTCCGTAGTCAGCGAACAATGCCGTGCACTCGCCTAGGCCAAGATGAAAAAAAAAAAATCCCTTGTCAGCCACAGCGTGTTGGGTGGGCGTGGTTTATTTTGGTAGTAACACGGACAAGAGGTGAGGCCAAGCGGGCCAACGAATGGTGCCGTCATGTGGTGCACGGAGTATTTGGCAGACACGCCTCGACCGGGTGATGGGCGGCGTCCGTCTCACGTCCGACATCAAAGGTGGTTGTGGTTGGTAGGCTTCAAGGGGCACTGACCGCGTACTCAGGAACAGTTTCATCATGTCACAATGCTTCGCGCTGTCCGCTTTCAAATTGGCTCGTGCAGAGTCTCTCTTTCAGTCGGCTGCCACCCAGCATCTGTATTTGGATCACGGCCTTTGTCAGCAGTACTCCGTAAGTTAAGTTACTAAGTACAGTAAACTATGTCTATAACGATCCTGTGTTATAGCGAAATTCAGGTTTTTACGATAATTCACAGTTATCTAAGGTTTTTCCCTAGTAAATTGTTAATAGTCGCGTTACTAACAATATTATTAACTTTTTGCTTAGTCACTATATATTTTATCGTTATAAGGCCCTACTTTTATGGGCTGAATTCCTTATAGTAGGGCTAAATTCCCTTATAGTGGGGCGGAATTTTATAATAATCTCTTAATATATACTTTATACTAGTAATTTCTAGGGGAAGGTACAAGCCCCATAATAGTCGCATCTTAACGATAGTCGCTATATAACGATGAAAAAAGCCTCACGAAGGATATCGTTATAGACCTGGTTTACTGTACCCGTATCTTGTGCCTTGCCTCATGCATGCTCGGCCCTGCCAATGTTCACATGATCTCGCGACGCGGAGGCGTTTTGATAACGCGCTCGGCTTCGACGCCCGCAAACACCCGTTGCTTCTGCATTCTCTTACCCGTTGGCTCTTGCATTCCTGCTTCAGACAGCCTAGCCTGTATGTGCCCCAAAGTGCCGAGATTCTCCTCAATGACAAGCTTGTTTGCACCGTGCTCCCACCGAGTGTGTCCAGCGACGCGCCGAAAACACCATGGACACTCCAGCCACGGAAGCAATCTTGAAGTCTTTAAACGAGGCTCAACGTCGGGCGGTCACGTCCACGGCTTCCACAGTTGCTATATTAGCTGGTCCAGGTAGCGGCAAGACCCATGCACTGACGTCTCGTGTCGTATGGCTGATCCAGCATGAGCAATACCAGCCCGCTGACGTTATTGTCGCGACCTTTACCGTCAAGGCTGCACGGGAAATGAAGGCCAGAATTGGCGAAAGGCTAGGCGAAGAGTGTGAGAAGAAAATAGTCCTCGGGACTTTTCATTCCATTGCTCGAAGATATTTGGCCGCCTACGGCAAGCGAATCGGCTTGAACCCCAAATTCGGAATTGCCGACGACGGGGACTCCCGCGCTATCATCCAGAGAATAGTCAAAAGACTCGATTTGCGGGTTGAGCCCGCACACGCCAGAAGCTGGATCAGCAAGAAGAAGTCCAAAGGCGCGACACTGGTATCAAGGCACAATGGGAAGCAGCCACGTGAAAACCCGGCACTCAGTGAGTGCTACGCGGCATACCAAGACCATCTCGCCAGGTCGAATCTCCTCGACTATGACGATCTGTTGGTTCGATGCGTTGAGCTTTTGCAAGACCATCCGTCATGCGTGTCCAACGTCCAGGCAGTTCTGATTGACGAGTACCAGGATACCAACGGCATTCAATATGATTTGATGAGGCTCTTTGCACAGACGCGACAGCGAATCACTATAGTTGGAGACCCTGATCAGAGCATTTACGGGTGGCGCTCAGCAGAAATCAAGAACCTCTACCGGCTCTTGAGAGACTATCCTGAGACAGACGAGATATCGTTGGAAGAGAATTACCGCTCGTCACAGTTGATTCTCGACATGTCGTTGCAGGTTATTCAGCAGGACAAGAAACGATATCAAAAAGTTCTTCTACCGGTACATACTAAGGGTACCAGACCGGTGCTCCGGAGGCTTCAAACTTCCCCCAGAGAAGGGGAGTGGATCGTTTCCGAATTGAGAAGAGTTATTACAATGTTTGGAGGGGCCTTAAAAAATGAAGACGTGGCGATATTGCTTCGGTCGGCATCCCTGTCCAGACACATCGAGTCTTCGCTAGGCAAAGCAGGCATCTCGTATCGAATGATAGGAGGACACAAATTTTACGAAAGAAAGGAGATCAAAATCCTACTCGATTATCTTCGCGTGATTCACCAGCCAGATGTGAATGATGCGGTCGCAAGAATCATCAATGTGCCCCGACGAGGTATCGGAGAGACTACAATAAAGTCTCTCCTGGAAGAGGCAGAGACGTCCAAGATCAGCCTGTGGGCACTATTATGGCGGCACTGCCGAGGGGGCCGGCAAGCAACAACGAGACTTCGTTCAAACATGGAGCAAAAGCTGAATACTGAGCTCCTAAAGATCATCTCCACTATGCGGCAAAGAATGGACGACATCGATGAAAGCGGTACCGTGACCCTGGTGGACTTGATCGAACAATTGTTGAATCAGCTTTGCTTCAAAAAGTACCTGGAGGTGGAATATCAAGAAGACTGCGAACAACGGTGGGCCAACGTACAAGAGTTCTTGAGCCTGGCGAACGACTTTGCGCGTGACTTCAGCAACGCAGAAGAGGACGAAGCTCTGCCTGAGATCGAAAATGTCGACCAAGTCAGGGATAATGATATTCTAGGCAAGTTTCTGGCCAACGTGGCTCTTGCTTCCGATGCCCAGTCTGGTAACAAGGAGCAAGACAAAACATCGCAGGTGACAATATCGACTATTCACGCCGCCAAAGGCTTAGAATGGCCCGTCGTATTTGTCCCCTCGGTCTGCAATGGGTCAATACCTCATTCCCGAGCCGAAGATATGGATGAAGAGAGACGATTACTTTATGTGGCCATGACACGAGCAAAAGCCTTATTGTATTTGAGCTGTCCGCTGTACACATCTCAAGGATTTGGCAACAAAGCCGAGCTCTCGCCATTCGTCTCAACATTTGCCGGGTCTTTTGCACAAAAAGGACCGTCGTTCGACAGGTCCGTTGTGGAAGGCGTTGGTAGGATTCTCGACCGAGTAATACCATCTGAAAAGTCAATTTTTGACAAGATGCCAATCATGTTCTGCCCTGAGGATGACCGATTTCCAGTTGATCCTTTCGACCCCCAGGATCCTGACAGCCTCGATCCATATGACGACTACTCGCATGGTAAAGCCCCAAAGAAGCAAAAGACACAGTGTTCTGCAAATAACGCGGGTACGACAAAGGCAAGGTCATGGAAACCAGATTATTGTACAACAATGGAGCAGTCCTCTGAGTTTACAATGTCCTCCCTGCCTGGATTCGTTAGTGCAGGCGCACATCGAACGGCTCTTGCAGCATCTGGCGTCGAAGCAGAGACGTCACGTAATGTCGCTAGTAAAGCTGGCTCAAAATGGAGTATTAAAGGCACCACGAATCGACGACCGGACCAAAGAAGCTTGCTCGGATTTGTAGTATCAGAACCCAAGACGCCCTCGACTGTTGGAGGTGTGAAGCATGCGCCAACCGATTTTTCTGTTGCTCGATACCAGGCAGCCGTATCACGAGCAGTTTACCATGAAGCTCGGCCTAGCATCAGCCTTGACACAGAAGCACATATAGACAGAGAATTTGCCCAACATAAGATCGCAGGCGTCAAACCCATTGCGCGGCCCAATGTTGCCGAGCCAACGACGAAGGGGCCCTCAGCCAAGCAGTACGCCTGTTTTTCCAGCTCTCCGACACAACAATTATCACCTGAGCCGCAACAAGAGGAACACAGAGCTTCTACAATAATCTTACAGCGCCCAGCATCCATTCTGCACCCGACAACATTCACATCTATGAAGCCGGTTGGCGGCGTAAGGCGGCCTGGAAGTCTCGGTCCCCCGCCATCAATGAGTCGTCTCCAAAAACCGTTCAAGCCTCTTACCGTTCGTCGTCCACAGGGTCCATCGGGTGATTCGGAACGAAGGCACAAGGCTCACTTTCAAAAAAGCGGTAATGCTCGGACGAGACCGGGAGTTACATAACTTGGTATCATGAGAGTTTGAGGTCGAGGCTGCGGGCCTTGCTGGCGTCATGTCCGCACAAGTTGTGTGGATAGCCATGACTGTGACTGGCTCGATGGAAAGATGCAGCGCCTTGCACAAAAGGCGAGCACTCGGGCGTTCTGCTCACGCCATGCTGGTCTAGCTCGGGTGAATTGTGTATTGACAAGGAAGCGACATGAATAAACAGCCAAGTTTCTTCATCATAGCCTTCATCACACACAATCAAACAGATACAATACAAGGCGATCAATCTACACTTCCAAGCAATCGCACTTTCCTGGAATTGCCAATGACCAGCACGTTAAACCCATCAAACGCATCAGACTCATATTTACGTTGAGAGGGATATCGCCATCGACAAGTACGCCGAACGCTCTTTACTGCCCGTCTCTCAGCCCCCATTACCAAGATGGCCGCCCGTCGAGCGAGCCTTCTGGACGACAGGCAATTTATGGGCATGGAACAGCCTCGCGCCCAAGACTCAACGCAACGTTTTTTTACGGGCTGGGCGTATGTGCTCTTGTTGACAGCCACGTCACCTATCATTGCTTCCTTGGCATGTTGGCAATCAAGGAGGGTGAGGAAGAACGGGGGTGCTTACAAGAAATGAGTATCGGGCGGCCAACTTGCAGCTCATGCATTACAGTCGGGAAATGTGGAATTGAAATGCAGGCCGGGAGGTTATTTGAAAGTATAGCATAGGATGGGATGTTAAATCGATACGAACGCTGCAATTTTGTCGCAAACCACCTCTTTTTTGCTCCGAGCGCATTCCACCACGCTGAGCTTCTGTACGCCCTGAAGGCACGCCTGTTTTGGAATTCTCACAACGGCGTGTCTTGTTGTTTGGGTCCACATGAGAAGGTCAATTAATCGTTTGGGCGCCATACATCTTGTTGTCTGTATAACCAGGGCGTATTCAGGCGATGCTTCTTCTTCAACAGCAACTGGTCGTAGTTGGCATCAGCAAAATTCATGTGGTCCTGTGTCATGTCACGGGGTTGTTGTATTTGTCAACATGTCTAAGACTCTACTGCACCGGATCCCTTGGTCGCTATGCTATGTTGCCATGACCTGTGCAGCAGCACAAGGCCAACGGACCGACTGGTCGGTCACACGGCGAGCATATTCTCACGGTACACTCATGCGCCTTTTGTTCTCCTCGCCCTGGCGTCGAAAAATGTAGTCCTGCATCGCGTGCTATCGAGAGTCGTGCGTGTATTGATTCGTGGCATCAAGTCGGAGCCCGGGCGCATCTCACCCCGTCCACCGAGACCACGGGCTGCCATTTCACACAGACGTGCTCATACTTCCCGCTTCCCACAACTAGGAGTAAGTTAAATTTCCTTCACGGACGCATCCGACCGCACCGGCTACTAGTTGCGTTCTGTCCGGGTCCCACAACGGCAGGACCCGGGCCCGCCGCGTCTGTCGGCGTCTTGCGATGGGATGCATGGTGGAATAAATAATACGCGCTGGCTGGCTGCCTTGGGCCACTAGGTGAATAATTCTTGTCCGGCCCAGCGACTCGGGAGACTGCTTGTCCATGTCGCCGCTCTGCCAAAGTCAAACTCTGGGTTTGCAAATACACAAGCACCAGAGTGACGGAGGCTCGGGTGCCCTGTCAGGTCGCATTTATACCCGAGGGAATGGCGGTCCATGTCCATTTATTAATCTCGTCTTTGCGACAACCGGGGTCTACCATGTCCGATTCCACCGCCGTGCCCCAATGTCGTGACTGGCAACACGCGTGCGTGGCTTGTTTTCACAGCCGCCTGTCTTGAGGCTTTGGACGAATCAAATATTGAATCCAGACATGTTCATCTAGAAACGGAGGATGAGGCCGATCTCGAAGACGTAATCGCGGCTGCACGTCTAGTATGACATGGAAACCTTGTAAGCGGGGATGCCGGAATTGGCGCTGCTGATCCTTTTTAGCAATTCCTGCAGCGATGTGGCCAATGCCATCGGTCATGCACGACGTCGCTTGGATTTGGCCCGGCTATACCGCCAAGGTGTGTTTCTGCAATAGCTGTTCGAGATGTTGGGACTGCGGTGGTCAGCGCTTCAGCCACCCTATTCCGCAAATCATCCAAATCGCAACCAAGTACCGACGTGATGTGTGTGTCTTCGAGAGCCGTCTGATGACCTGCGAAACCGCACACCAGTTGACCCGAGGCTGGCGGATGACACACACCAAATGACCCGTTGTTCACCTCTCCTGTAACCCGTTCGCTGCTGGTGGCAGCACTTGACACCGCCAGCTGCAACCCCGCAAAGGGGCTCGCTGTCATCCAAGGTTCGAGTGGATTTCGCCGACGCCGGCAAGGAGAAGACGCTGGTGGCACATTAGTTTAGTTGCTCTGGAACGCGGGCGAAGCTGCCGCTGGGAACGGGGACCGCCATCTGGCAAGGTCCCTGGTATTCGGACCTACCTAGGTACCCAGGTAGTCAGTACTCAGGTGCCGTTCCTCCAACGCGGCAGGGAACGTTTCTTTGCAAAGCGTCGAGATGGGGACATGACATGGACGAGTTGGACATACGAGCAGAAGTTGCCTGCTGGGGTGCTCCGTACGTACTTCACCAGCTCTGCATATTTTGTGCCGTCGTGCACTGACGAGCATAACAATTAACGTTACCACCCGTTGCCGGCACAAGTTGGTTCGGTATTTGGACCCGACCCCACTTGTGCAACTTCCAGGGAACGAAGCGTCCGTCTCTGCTCGAGGAGGACGCCTTGAACCATCAACTCGAGTCTTCATCTCGCGTCATCCTGGCGACACCTCGAATCACACATCCCATTGGCAGATTTGGCAGATCCCCTGGGACCATACGCCTCCATCTTCGGCCCCCGTAGCTGTTCCTGGCGGCCAGAAGCTCCAGCCCCAGCGCCAAACAATAGCCCGGCCAGTTTCTGGTCGTCGCTAGTGCCCAAACTTTGGCCTTTTCTCGAGTCGTCCTCTGCGCTGCGAGTGGACGTTGGGGTCCAGTGTTGCACTCGAGACTTGAAGTCACCGTTCAGCTGTGATCAACCGCACCGAGACCGTCCGCGTGGGCGTGTTGTGATGCACCCATCCGCCGTAGCTCGCACGTGAGCAATAGACGATCTGAACTAGCAGGCACCTCCATAACGGACATGCCTTTGGCCGCCGCCGCCGCCGCCGACTCCTGCCATGGATGGTACAGGAAGTGGTTTCTTCTATTGTGGTCGCTCTCGTCACAGGACGGGCCGAACGTGCCGCCAGCCATCCCCTCCCCTCCCATCTGATCAGGGGCAGCTAGTGGCGAAAGAGTTTGGCAAATCCCGGCCGTCCTTACCTTTATGCAGCAGACGGTCGTGGAGGGGATTGCTGAATATAAAGGCCATCGTATGCGCAGCCCACCCCTCATCGACCTCGGCGTGGGACACGTTTTCACGTCAAGACACATCAACCCGCAGTTGACAGGCTCTAACACACTGTTGGATACACAAGGCCTGCTTTCGACATGGCGTACTCGACAGCTCGGCACTCCAAGGGGCTCGATCTTTCGAGGAGCTCCATCTGTGGCTTCTTCTTCCTGGCTGCAGTATGTGTCCTCGGCACGCTGGCACCTTGCGCTTCTGCTGCCGCCACGGGAGACAAGTATCTCATCGGTGTTGGCCGGGCAGACATCACAGGTCCGGTTGTCGAGATAGGCTTTGCGGGATATGCCAATCTCGACCAGAAAGGCACTGGTCTCCGACAGCGTCTGCACAGCCGCGCGTTCATCGTTGCTGACAAGGATAATCCTCATGACCGATTTGTGTACTTGGTTCTAGATACGCAGTCTGGAGACACTGCTACACGCTATGGCGTGTTGGACGGACTCAAGGAGCTAGGAGATGAGTACAACGTCTACAGCCATAACAACATCGCCTTGACCGGCACTCACAGCCATGCCGGCCCAGGAGCTTGGTTCAATTATCTCTTGCCGCAGATCACAACGTTCGGCTTCGACAAACAGAGCTACCAGGCTCTCGTGGACGGTGCTGTGCTGTCAATCAAGCGCGCTCATGAAAATCTTCAGGAAGTATGTTGAATATGACGCACCTCACTCCTCCGTGTGGCATGCCGCACACTAACATGTTTCCTAGGGCTACTTGGACGCAGGCACCACCAGAATCAAGGACGGCGCCATCAACCGCTCGCTTTACGCCTACCTTGCCAATCCCGAATCCGAGCGCAACCAATACGAGGATGAGACTGACTCTACAATGACCCTCCTTCGTTTCAAGCGTGCTTCTGATGACAGAGACATCGGCGTCCTCACATGGTTTCCTGTCCACGGGACTTCCCTTCTGGGCAACAACACCCACGCTGCTGCAGACAATAAGGGTGTTGCGGCGTGGATGTTCGAAAACGCGATGAAGGACAACCCCAACGCTGCCGATGGCTTTGTGGCTGGGTTTAGTCAGGCCAACGTGGGTGATACTACACCCAACGTTCTTGGGGCATATTGCGATGATGGATCCGGCCAGCAGTGCAGCTTGGAAAATAGCACGTGCGCCGACGGCAAGTCGCAGAGCTGTCACGGACGGGGACCTGAGTTTGGAGCGCTTGATCTCGGCGTCAAAAGTTGCTACGAAATGGGACGACGTCAATTCGCTGGCGCGCAGGCCATATATGTAAGCCTCGTCCTTAAAGGTTGAAACTAGGCTCATGACGCTCACGTGGATGGACGGCAGGACTCCTTGGGCGCTTCTGGAACCCCAATCGTAGGCTCATCGGTCAAGGCATTCCATTTCTTCCACGATATGCGATTCTGGGATTTCACTCTTCCCAATGGCAAGCGGGCACAAACCTGCCCAGCTGCTTTGGGCTACTCCTTCGCGGCTGGGACATCCGACTGGCCTGGCGCATTTGACTTTACCCAGGGCGATTCCGGGAAACCCAACGCCAACCCCCTGTGGAAACTCGTCTCGGGACTCATAAGAACACCCACGAAGGAACAAAAGGCATGCCAGGGCTCCAAGCCGATCCTCCTCGACATCGGCGAAATGGACGAACCTTATCCCTGGGCACCCAACATTGTCGACATTCAAGCTTTCCGCGTAGGTCAATTCGTCATCATCGTCTCTCCGTCGGAAGCCACCACCATGTCGGGACGACGGTGGAAGGCCACCGTTGCGGCCGAAGCCTCCAGCTTCCTGTCACAAAAGCCCATGGTAGTCCTTGGTGGCCCGGCAAACAGCTACGCCCACTACTGTGTCACGCCAGAAGAGTACGAGATTCAACGCTACGAGGGCGCATCAACATTATTTGGACCCCACGAACTGGATGCGTACATCAACCTCACCGTCAGTAACATGCATTACCTCCACCCACACTCAAGAGACACGCCCGATCAAGGTCCTCTTGCGCCCGACAACCGTGGCAAATCGCTCTCCTTCATCACCAGCGTGGTCGTCGACAATGCTCCTATCGGCTCCTCATTTGGAAAAGTAATCCACCAGCCGTCGGCATCATATCAAATCGGGTCCGTGGTCAACGTCACTTTCCAAGGCGCCAACCCTCGCAACAACCTCCGCCAGGAGCAAACTTTTGCCGCTGTCGAGCAGCAAGGTTCCGACGGCTCGTGGACCCGAGTGCGCGACGATGCGGACTGGTTTCTCGTCTACTCGTGGCGCCGAACCAACTTCGTACTGGGACACAGCGAGGTGGACATAACCTGGGAGACGTACGGCAACGCCCAGCCAGGCACATACAGAATCAAATACTACGGCGACGCAAAGCCCCTGATCGGCAGCATAAAGGCATTCGGGGGGACTAGCAATCCGTTCAAGCTGACGGGCCGACTGACTGACACGACTGCGCCCGTAATGGAGTTATTCTAGTCATGTAGTAGTAGTAGTAAGCAAACAACGCGACGAGATGAACTATAATCCCTCCCCTGGGCGCAATCCCTTCATCGTCATGCCGGTCCACCAATTCCTTGATGCAACTGTCGCTACCGGCCCTGTACTGCTTACAAGAAAACCACGTCGCCGTCATCCAAGTTTGCACGCCGTGTCACGGCATCCCACGTCACATTGTATCCTCTTCTTCCACGACAAACATCCTGTAAAACGAAACTCACTCCACGTGTCTATGCCACGCAGACCAAGATTGGCAGTCATGCGCCATCGGGAACAAACAGAAAAGGCCTTCTGCTGTCTTGTCTCAGGGGCAGCATGTCATCAAACCAGATGCTCTTATTTTCCACGCGCTCCCAATCAATCCACGTATCCCGGCATCATGTCCTTCTGCGCTGCCATGTCAGCGGCGCAGGCACAACGGGGTTTTGGGGATACAAGGCCGTTCAGCATGGGGGGGACTTGCTGTGACATCGCGAACCGTACACGAAAGGACAGGCAAGACGCCGGGGAATTTCCCCCCTTGGGTTTCAGGATACCTGACCAGTCACGTTGCGCAGGCCGGGAGCCCAAGAAAAGCAAGAGAGGCTTTTTTTTTTTTGCCTGGGAGCTTCAACGGAGATTGAGCACACGGTCGGGCCCCTTGTTGGAATGCGTAGTAGGGATTTCTGTGGCTTGAAAAAGGTATGTCTGGCCAGGCGCCAGGATGAGGATCTGCGCCGTGATCAACCTACGTAGCCAGGAGTTTTTTTTTTTTTTTTTTGGTGTGTGTGTGCTGCTCAATATCTGCGAGAGTGAGTGCAATTGTTTACTCATTTCTCGTGCCAAGTCTGGCGGATGTTTTGCCGTGTTACGGCCGGGATTCATGTAGGAGAAGCAAATGCGGGCTGCATGGAAAGCTCCCCTTCTTATAAGTATTCCATGGTCTCATGAAAATAAATGCAGGTGGATCGGATTGATTGACTTCCCAACACACAAAACAGGGAGCTCAAGCAAAGAGCTCTTCGAGTCAACTCGCCATATTGGAGCATCCAACGCATTGCATGCGCCAAGTTCGATGTCGTGTCACGGGAAAAGTTACGTCAGGACCTTGCTGTCTAGCCACGTTCTGTGCTGTTTCCTTGACTGTGCGTCGTTGCTGACGTGGTGTTCCCATGCTAGGTGTCGTCAGCTCAGACGTACAATAGTAGCTGTAAAAGTCTGCGAGCTCACATTTCTTTGACTCGAAGAAATTGTCCATGCCTGTTTCAACCGGTTGAAAGCCAGCCAGATAGGGCTTGCTACCGCGCTGCACATCAGCCGTGTGGTTCACACACACACACAACCAACTGCAACTATTGACGATGCAGATATGTTGTGCGTTGGTAAGCTGTCCCCCCCCCCCTCCCCCGCGGGTTATCTAGAACTGTTTGATGACATCCCGGACACTCGAGAACATCAGACGTACTCCGCCGCTCCGCCGCACCAGCCATGTTGAATAGAACCAACACAATCGCAATATCCGCGAAGTCGAGCGACGTCAAGCTGCAGGCATCCAACTTTGATATATCCGGCGGAATCCCATTGTCATGTCATATGTGGGATTATTCGTTACCCGCAAGCCCTTGATTGTGCGGAAACCGCACATCTGGTTGAGCCATTGCTGGTGTCTGTCCTCGTGTGCTTATGCAGGGTTCATTGCATAATCTTATCAGCCGTCAGGGCCATTGACAGGCCATCCCTGCTTTGCTGAGAGATGGATGGGCCCAGGGTGTTGTCATAATCGACTTGCTGGTTGGAGGCGCCAACAACGCTAAATGTCAAGTCATTATAACAATCAATCTGTCATATTAATTGTACGCAAATTTTTCACAACATTCAAAGAGGGCAAAAGATGAGCCTTCCAACTCCCGGACCATGAATCTGTTTCCCGATTGATGTCAGAAAACATGTATACCGTTACTGCAGCTTTTTCCTGATTTATCGAAAGCGTTGCGGCTGCGGCTTCACAAACCTTCCGCATTTCCAATACTGGTAACGCACGTAGTACTTTTATATTCTCCTCGTCAGCAAACGGGCTGTCAATGTCACCACTGGCCATGGCTGTGGTACCTTGGTTAGTTTAGGTGGCTAGCCACAACCAACAAAGAGGATGGACAATCTTATTCTTTCAGCCGAGACTGTCTAACCAAATCCAAACCTTGCTTTGTTGTTTGTGGCTCGTCACGACCAATTGATGGATCAAGATTCAAGAGTGGCCAAGGCGAATGACGTGGGCCGCGGTTCAGAGACTGCTGCCACAAGTTGCTGCCATGACAGTTCCCTGCCTCAGGTGGGTTTGTCGCATCAAATGGGGGTCGAGTAGTGAGATTTCGCGCTTCACACAACTTGAGCGCATATTGCCAGGCCATGGCCCCTCTGTTCCATCAAGCATCAGAGTAAGCTAAGGCGTGTTTCTCTTCGGCCGTACCAACGGACAATGTTTGGAAGCAGCCCGACCTCATATATCAGATTAGCCGAGGTTTTGTCATGTCAAGCATGGATGTCATGGTGACCGTGCAAGAACTTGGCCAGGACGACTTGGCCAGGACGCACCGCTTGTTTCGAGTATTATAGTCACATTGACGGAGTTCATCGGCGGATTGTTCTGGCTAGTTCTGAACAAAGCAAGCACCGCCGCTTTTGGCTGGAATCAGCCTCGAGGGGGGAAAAGGGGAATTGTTGTCATTGTCGTCGGAAGCCATCTTTGGGGTCTTTCCATCTTGCCCGAGTCAAGACTCAAGACGCCTGAGCAGGAAAAGCAAGCAGAGTAAATGTCTAATAAGCGGGGCTCAATGACGGAAGCTCCTTCCGTTGGTCGTGTCGAGGAAGGTTCAAGCTGGACGAGGCAGAAGAAAAGGGAAGGCACTGGCGAGCAGGCAGGGACATCGGACATTGAACGCAGCAAACCTGCAGGTAAGCAGGCAAACAGGCGCCGTGAGATGGACACCAGACGGATGGATGCCAGATGGGGCGTGTGAAGGAGGGCTCTGGTGGGAACTCGCAAGTTACGATTCATCCAGAACAACGACGACACGACAAAACGACCAGTTGACATTGCTGCGCCGGCAGACCACGTCGTGGTTCGTCAACCCCAGAAACCAAGGCCGCCAGCCGTCTATGCAATCAACGTCACTCAAGCTCAGTTCCAGGCTGTCCATGATGCAAGGTCGATCGAGCCGGGTTGCACACTCGGTGAATACAAGATGAGTACTCTCGGGCACAGGCCTGGATGGTCGTTGGACATTGCTCTACCATCGAAGCAGCCCACCTCTATCCAGCCTCGGGCCTACGCAATGTGAACGAAGGGGAAAAAACGACGACGACGACGACGACAATCGACAACGGCAACGACAACAACGACCAGTCTCCCCGGGCAGTGCGAAAGTCGCTTCTCTCATCTATGTACTCAGGTACGGAGTAGTATGTCGCATTTCAAACTGGCGGTGGCTACGCCTGCGACCGCATGTTTGAAAAACTGCCAGAAAGTGTTCAGCCACCATCTCAGACTTATTAGATCGACCACAGCCGTTGGATGTCGATTCGTCGCGCATAACCCAGCCCACTGGTTGTGCAAGCACCAGACAAGACATCCACTCCAGCCATAGGTCGAGAATGCACAAGTTACCGTACGGTTGAGCCCGCTCTACTGATGATGCCTGGTCGGTTGACTCGGGCTGTGACCCGGCCTCTTCAGACGACACCACTTTGAGCGACAGTTGACAAGGACGTCGGTCTCGTGACCCTCATCAGAGACAGCTACTGTTTGTACTGGTTGGCTGCTCCTTGATAACCAAGACCACATGACGGATTAATTTCATGGCCAGTTCAACGTGCATACGACCCCCTCCCCCGGACTGCTTTTGACAGCCTCCGAATGTCAAATCGAACGAGTTCCGGCAAACTTATTCACTATACCTGCGAGAGCCACCAGTGTCCTTGCGACGACTGCAACAGGATGGCTCTTGACGCTGTATAGCACCCCCCCTCAAGCGCACCCTACCCCTATTATCTATGTGTACATCCCCCAGTTGCTTGGCTTGCTGCCGCAACTTCGTCAGGACTCAGGACTCGGGACTCAGGAGCAGAGCCAGCCCTACCAACAACAAGAGCAACAACAACCACAAGGGCCCAGGCGCAAATCATCGATGTCATGGCGAGCACCAAGTGGATCAGTCAGGCCGTCATCGCTTGGTGAAGCAACTAAGTTACTCCCAGACGGAGCAGGAACATCGCTCAAGCCAAGCAATCTAAGGCGCCACACCCTCGTTTCCGGGCTTCGGTCCGCATCCCGTAGGGCCACTAGCACCTCTATACCGCCCATTCACATGCCCTGGAGCTTTTGGGAGTCCATTTCCGAGAACCAGTAGACATGCTTAGCGCCGGACGGGACCCCTGTACGGATACGGAGTACCGCGGCTGAAGTACTGAAGTCTCCTCTCCCCGTCAGGTCGTTTTGGTGGATCATGAACTAGGTTTGACAAGCAAACACTTTATCCCCACCACGGTTGTTTGTTGTTGTCAAGAACGAAGAAAGCTTCCTTGTCGTTCGCTCGTCTCCCCGCCCCCTTTCCCAGCCTGTGACTCCGTACTCGGTACCTGTGCAGAGGTGCAGAACTCGAAGCACGAGCTATACGGCTATGCAACTGCCTAGGTAGTGTACCTAGTGAGTAACTACTCCGTACTTCTTTCCTGTCACGTACTTGGTAGCGCGCAGAGGGCAACGCATAGATTGCGGACAAATTCCCTGGTGAAAGTGTGAATTTGTCTCTGGTGAAAGTGTGATCTGCCTTGGGGGCTTCACACGTCTGGTTGAGCCGCATTTCTGCTGTGCCTCGCCCGATTCCAATTGGTTGCCAAAGCCAAACGCTACAAGTACGGAGTAACTCAGGTGTGCTGCCTTTGGGGGGGTGTGAAACTTTGGGTTGCTGCTGACGGTCTTCTTGGACAGCGAGAACCCAATATCTTGTGGGTGTGCTGCGCCCTGTCAATGCCCAACATGATGTTGTGTCCTTTCCCGTCGAGGGCAATTGTGTCATTGTGCCGTATAGAAACTCAGCACGTATCCGGACCCCATAGATGCTTTGTTTTGGCGCGCCTCATCGCATCTGCCGCAGAGGGCTTCGTCAGAGGCTGGTCCAAGCCGGGCGCTTCGTTGCAGCCTCTCTCCCCGCGCAAACTGGGACCAGTTGAGCCGACCGGCCTGCAACACCGAGGCCTGGCCTGCTCAGTGTGCAAGCAAGGCAGGGCAAGGCAAGACTGGTAAGTACATACATAGGCTGTACGGCGGACGCCGGCAATCTTGAAGGGACCGCTGACATCCATCGAGGCTGTGTCATGCCGCTTGGTAAAGAAGAGACATGGTCGGGTCGTTCGTGTGCGATGAGTTGAGTTGACCTACTCCGTATGTACACCCGACAATGATGCTCAGTCCTGGGCCGTCCCATTTCCCGGGTGCTGGGTTGGCGCCAGCGAATGCATACTACTACTACGACCACTACTACGTACTACTACGGAGTACTACTACTGCATATCTCCATCCGGTCCCGGCAATGGGTCGACGGGTCGATTGATGCCCCTGTCGACGCTTCATGCCCCCCCCCCATGTCCCTCGCCGCCGGCCAGCTGGTTGACGGATTGCCCCTTGGGTCTTGACCTGGGGATGGTTGGTTTGTTTGCACTCCCAGCGCTCCGTACCGAGTATGAGGGCGAGAACGAGGACGCCGTTATGATGGCTGATAATATGGAGCACACAGAGGCTTTCGTACTTTTATTGAACTTTTCCCGCTCACACGCCCACCGTGGGCCCGGGCTCCGTCAACGACGTTACGACCCATCGTCATCAACGGCGCCCATCGTGGCTCGAGCCAGGTTGGTGACTGCGAATTCCAGATGCCAGAGCACGGTGCAGTGATGGGCATCTATCCGCGTCAATCAATCCCCTTGTTCCAAGGCAGCGTTCAAGGTCGGGGCTGGATGAGTTTTCCCGGAATCACATTGTGCACCCGCACGCGCGCGCGCACACACACACACGCAGCACCCCGCCATCTCATCGAACGGAGAGGGAAAAAGAAACGAGACAGAGTCCCCAGAGTGCCGATGGGGAAGAATCCCTAGACTCAGGCCCCTTGTGAAATTACCGAGCTGCCAAGTTTTTCTCTCTTGTCCCTGAGCTTGGGACGATTGCATGTTGCATGTACGTAGTTCCTTCTTCGGCATTGGCATGGCATTGATGATTGGACCCAGCGTTGACTTGAGCCCGACTGTCTCGTCTTTCTTTGTTGCTCGTGCTCGTCCCGTTCCGTCATCGTCTGCTCCTTTTCTCCCATGCTCCTATTTCATCCATCCAATGCAGTCTCCCGCGACAGCTCATTCTGTGCCAGTTACAAGCCCTCCGGTCTTCTATACGTCCACGTCTGCTGTCCTCGACGTCGAGCTTCACACAAGCTTGGTCTGACGGCAGCTCTCGACCAAGCACCCGTTGTGCCGCGTCTCCCACGGGGTAACACGCTATATCTTGTCGCCACTCCTTCTCACGCCTTATCCGGCCCGCGACATTCCTCTCCCCGTCTCACTGGTGCATACATCGAGAGAATATATAACACCTCAGGGAACCCCCCCTTCCTTCCCGAGGCGGCTTGGCACGCTTTTGCATCTCTCAAAAACTTCTGAGACCCCAACCGCTATCGCAGTCGACGCACACCCCACGCTGTGTCTGACTTGTCCGATCACTTTCATGCCAGTCTCTCGCCTGATCAACTGCTCTTAGGCTTTGATACGGCATTCTCTTGCATCAAGCGCTCTTGAGGGAACCCGACCTTTCGTCAAGCTTCCTCCACTCCATACATACCTCGACTGCCTTCGTCGCCCAGCACGTATCGATGATGGCCCCGTCGCCCACTTATAGCTCGAGCGGTTCTAGCGGCTCTGGCTCCAGCGCCTGCCCGTGGCAGGAAAAATTGGAAGGTTCGGAAACCACCATGGTGTTTTTATTATGACACCCAACTAAACGCTTTTTTTTTTCAGAGTTTTGTCGCGATGCGCAGCTTATGCCCCCTGTTTTCCAAATTGTGTCTGATCGCCGAGGTATGATGCATCCCACGACCTGACCTCTCAAGCTATCTCCACGAATCCCAGCGCACTAATCCACGACGCCCTCAGGTGGACGAACTGCTTGGTCTAGCAGAGTAACTGTCCATGGTCAGACCTTGGCAGCGAGATATTGGTACGACGGCAAGAATCTGAACAACGCCAGGGAAGACGCTGCAGAGTGCGCAGTCAACTGGCTTGCCACAGCCTCCAACCGATCCACCACCCAGTCCTGGGTCAACTGGTGAAGGTATCGCAGAGACTCGTCGGGTCATGGCACGAAAAGTGTCCTCGTCCGACCCGGTTGGGTTGACTCCCCTTCAACGATTTCGGGGCCTAGCAGCTTCGACTTGTGTTTCTCGGCGATTCGTTCGAGATTGGAGTTAAAATGGTGACGAAAATGTGCCTCTTGCCACGAAAAAATACCATCATGGGAAGGCGTCGGGGGTCTTTCTTTTCTTTTCTTTCTTTCCTTTTCTCTCGCAAAAGAAAATGGAAAACAGTATCCACAGATGAAATGACCCATTTACGTTTAGGCATTACTGTCGAGTTATTTGCTTTGTCGCATGTGCTGAGAGGCGACAAGGAATTCGTTTCGTTTTCGTTTTTTCTTTTTCCTTCTTCGTCTTGTTGACGTTCTTTGAATTTTTTTATGGGCATCTCAGACTCAAACTGGGCGGAGAAAAAGATGGTGAACCACGTTTATAACAAATGTATGGATACATGGATATTGGGTAAAGGATAAGCTTAGTTTGGCTTGGCGCAAACTCAATAGAGAATATAAGTTTAATCTTATCATTCAAGAGATAACTTTCTGGCAGGACTGACCCTCCCAAATGGGCTCATTTAAAGACCAAGAATCATCGCCTCTTTGCCGGCCGCCGAGAATTAGGAAGGCCGACAGTACACACCGGTCGCTTTTCGTGCCACTTTCTGGAGAGCGGTGATGAGCACCCAAGAGGTGTTCACTCTCGTCTCGAATCCGAATAACTAGACAGACCATTGGGACTATTCGGTTCGTGCACAGAGAAGGGTGGCTCTGGTGATATGTTTCCATGTGAGCTGCTCTCTTTTTTTTGTTTTCCTCGTCTTGACGTGGCTGTTCGGGTCTGGCTGGAGATGTCGTCGTTGGTGGGGCTGTTGGAGAGGAAAGCCCGTGCTTATGTAAGCTAAATCAGATGCATCGACCGGACCGGTCTTATTCCGACAACGAGCTTGTCGGAGTCGCTGTAAATTTCGTTGCGACAATAGAGTTACTCCAGAACAAATACGCCAGGTCGGAGGGTCGCCATGTCTGCAAGGACGAGGATATTGGTGGCATGTAGAGCTCTCGCTCTATACTCGAGACATGGAAGGGAGACTTTTCGACCCGCAACGACAGTCTTTCGATCATATTCGGCCGATACCAGTGGACAGCCAGCGACGTTCTCAGATGCGGCAAAAGTGGGCAGAATCTCATCCAGTTTGAAGGTTGATGAAGCCGCTGTGAGTTTAGGCGACCCACTGACCCATCCTCCTGAGTCACACGAAGTGAGATTTCCTCCTCTATACCCGACAAATTGCAGAAGCCTATTGACAGTTGGGAACTAAGACAAGTCGAGGTTCTGAGAGTCCAAATGTAGAGACCTTGAGCGATGCAGCCCTGGAGCAAATAGTTTTCGGTGGCCGACGATCGATGAGTGAGATCGCGGAGGGCTTGACGGCAGCTCAAGAAGAAGCACTCTACCGAGAGGGCACCATTCCTCCCGTGGCGGAAGCGGAAGCGCTCGTCGCTAGGTCTCCAGCATCCGAACAGGCACAGCTGTCTTTGAGACAAGATGGCAATATTCAAAATCCAGGTCACAAGTTTGGGTTACCCAAGAAGCCGTACCCCGAAGGCTTCAACATGAAGCAAAGATACCATCCAGTCTTGGAGCAGCTCACTCGACTGCTCATGCGGGACGGTAAGCTGAGTGTTGCTCAAAGGGTATGTCATATCTGTGGTCATAGGGGCCCAGCATGGAGCATCAGTCACTCACTCCCGCCCTCTCTAGAATGTTGCAACGGTGATGAACTTCCTTCGAACGGCCCCCGCTCCCATCTACAGCCCAAAGTTCCCGCTTTTGCCCGGGACGCCGCCAGCCTCGCACCTACCGTTGAACCCTGTTCTCTACATCACCATCGCCATCGACTCGGTGGCGCCGTTGCTCAAGGTGCGGAACATTGCAGGTGCCGGCGGCGGTGGCCGCGCACTCGAACTGCCCGTACCGCTGGCGGTTCGGCAACGAAGGCGGATGGCAGTCAAGTGGATCCTGGATGTGATTGAGAAGAAGCCATCCAAGGAAAGCGGCAAGAAGCAATTCCCTCACCGGATCGCAGAGGAGATTATCGCCGTGGTGGAAGGACGGTCCAGCGTATGGGAAAAGAGGAGGCAGGTTCACAAGCTGGGCACCGCTGCCCGCGCCAACGTGAACTCGAGAAAGCTCAAGGTCAAGAAGAAGATGTAGAGCACGCCGCGGCGGACGGATGCGTGGTCTGTATATTACCCTGCACCGACTATATATGTCGATGTTCGCCTGCTGTTGTTTGATATTGTCAAAGGCCAAGGGTGTAAATTATAGTAGCGGATTTGAGATACAGCCGGAATTACAGAGCATTTGCAAGATGGAGCTACTCTCTGTGCCTGGGCTAGTCCTCTGGTGCAACGCCGTTTGCAACACATAATGCACCTGCCACACAGAGCAGCTCGTAATCAGATGATGACGGTTTTGGACAAACTGCTTGAAGTACTGTACCATGTGGTGCCAGCGCTGGACAGGTTGGCAGGGAGCTATTCTCCATGTCCTTTTTCCTTCGTACTTTAAACTTTTATTACTAGCTTTGAAGCATGGATTTGGCGGAGGCAATCAAGCGTCGCTTACTTCGCTAGCTTCAAAGATGTCAAGTCGGCAAACAATACGATGTTTGGTGCCCCCACATGAGCACAGCCTGCCGGCGCCTGTGTTCTTCACCTAAGTAGGTTCCTTCCTAAGTACCTACTTAGTACCTACCTGGGCAGGGAAGTACGTAGGTACCTGTTCCTGTCGGTATAGAGTTGTACACACTGTACTTCATTCAGTATGGACGAGTGACATCGGTCATGTGAGTAAAGTAAGTATCCAGACATCTATGTAACGTACCTAGGTACTTGAAAAGGTACTTATTAGGAGGTAACTAACTTATGTACCGAGAACTCGACGCGTCCCGTCCCAGAGCAGCACCACGAGCCAGCCAACTAGGTCGTGGTGCTAGTCGACTTTGGGGGCAGCCAAGCCCCAGAACCGTCCCATCAGTGCCATCACACCTCCTGGCTCTCCCAGACTCACAGGCCGTCAGTTGACAGGTGAAGTTTGGATCGTAAGTTCACAGGCACGCAGCCTTACGGGCCCACCTTCACTTCTTCTCGACTTCTCCTCCCTCCCTCCTCCCGCTCACGCCCTTCATCGCCCTCGCCTTCGGCTCTGTCTCGAGTCTCGACAACCGACTTTGTGCAACCACGCGCACCCGGCCTGTTTGAACCCTTGATTTTTTTTCCCTGCAGCGCCGTGTCTCATCCCGACTTCAGAGTGCAGAGAGCTATTCCCCTCGCTTGGCTCGCACCCAGCCGTGATGTTCTGACTGGTTCCAACGCCTGCCAGAAGCTGCCATTTCACCGAGATTGCGTACCATCACGATGCCAGTCTGGCCCCGAATTGATTCGACGAAGCGTCGTGTCCTCCGAAGGCTCTCTCGCTAAAGATCAGCTGTTGTTTTCTGCCTCAACACTCTCATCCTCAGCCCGCAATTTTTTTTGTTGGGCTCGCTCGCCTTACGCGTCAGGGTTCCAACGGCTCAGCTCGCGGCCTTTCATGACAGGCGTGCTCATCACTCTCGAACCTCGAAGGATCCGAAGAAGCCATAGAACCTCCTGTCAACTTTATTCTATCAGCGGCTTTATACAAGATCCCCGTCTTATCCAATACTGTCGCCAAAATGTCGGGTCATCGCCCCATGAGTATCGACGCCATGCTCGACATGGAACGGCGGGAGGTGCTTGCACTCTTGGAGAACAAGAATCTCAACACTGCTACTTCCCCCACGAGGATGCGCTCGTCGTCTCCCTATACTGCAGCCCCGCGGTCGCCTGTTCGTAGCATGCTGGATATCGAGGAGGAACCCGAAAGCTCCTCGCATGGCGCCACAACGCAGGCTCCCGTGAGGAGCATGTTAGATATTGATGCGCCACTCACAACTACGCAGCCACCCGTGCGGAGTATGCTTGATATAGCCGCTCCGTCGCCGCCTGGATCCATCCATGGCAGAAGCTCCAGCCCTGTAACTTCCAACGAACCAGTCTTCAAGAACATTCCCGCCTCATCACAGGGCTCACATCACCCGCGGAGCTCGTCAGATGCTGCATTCAAGCCAGCCGACTTTGGACCACGAGCAGGATACCGTCTCGACAAAACGTCTGAGTACCAGTTCTCGGGCATTCTTCCCCAATACTCCGGCCTTGCTGGGTCGAAGAGATTGTCACAGAGCGGCGGCAAGAAGTTGCCGTGCGCAACGGCGCTTGGGGAGGCTTTCCGTGGTGCCGACTTGAGCAGTCTTCAGTTGCCCGGTGACAAAGAACGGAATCCCTCTGCCGGCTGTCGACTGGGGCATGCCAAGTCGAAATCTCCACACGAGAGATGGGCGGCTCGCTCTCGATCACCGGCGACGTTCGCTCCCCTTCTTTCCTCCAATAGAGCGGTGCTAGATGATGGACAGGTTGTGGATATCAGCAACGCTTACCGCAGGCTGTCGGATGCAAACTTGGCGTTTTCTTGTGGAAGCTTGGCGCAGTTGCCGATGCGGAAGCGATCTGATGATGCTGGTGAAGGTCGGTTAGTTAAAGATTACCTAGGTCCGGACGGCGAGCACCTGGAATCCAGTGAAGACGATGAAGCGTTTTCATCTGACGATGAAGACCGTGGCCGTAAGACGGCCCCCAGGTCACTCAACCCAGACGCTCACGAAGAAGGGGAGAATAGCAAATCCCGGTCTCGGTCTGGCCAAGGTGACCGCCAAACACTGAGTTTGTTGGCTGCGGCAGACGAGGAACGTAAGTTTCATCAAGCCCTGGCGATTGGCTTGACCCTGCATACGAGTTTCCTGTTTCCGGTCATCTAACTATTTTCGCCAGGATCAAAAATTGCCCGAAAGCAAAGCCAAACGTACACATATAGATCACTTTTGGAACCTGAAATTAAGATTACCAACTCGTCGGGCGACACGGTCAAGCCAGCCAAAGGCAGGATTCATCCCAACACCAGCTACGATCAGAATTCTGCTTCGGCAACGCCGTCCATGTTTGACTCAGATGAGGAAGCCGACATGGACGATATCAAGCGGGCACAGAATCTAGGCTTCTCAATGACGAATATCCTGACTGCTCCAGACTCGCATCGTTCTATTCGCATCATCTACCGTGGAGATTATCACAAGACAGTGCAGACAGCTGACGAGGAGAAGCAGAGAGTACGCAAGTACTTGGTGGCGACAGATTTGAGCGATGAGTCGACTCATGCACTGGAATGGGCTATCGGGACAGTCTTGCGTGACGGCGACACTCTGATAGCGATTTATTGTGTGGACGAGGAAACCGGCATAGTGACTGGCGAAGGGTCGCTTGTGCCAGACGATCCAAAGGCCATGCGGGAGCAAGCAGCAGCTATCAATACTGTCACAAACTCGAAGGGCATGTTCGCACCGGTGACGCCAGTTGTTGATTTGAGACGGGCGTCGGCGCGTCGCGCCGATTCGTCAGGAGGCAACAGAACTCCGGGGGCTTCGCCAGCGCCGTCCCAGAGAGGTGACAATCAGAGAGCAGTAGAGGAACGATCGCGAGCAATTCAGGAAATGACTGACAAGATACTGCGACTGTTGAGAAAGACTCGGTTGCAAGCACGAGTTATTGTGGAGGTGCTACATTGCAAGAATCCGCGACACATGATTACAGAAGTGATTGACATAATCAACCCGACGTTGGTGGTGATCGGTAGCCGAGGTCGCAGTGCCTTGAAAGGGTAAGAGCTTTGACCCTGGTGCCATGTTTTCCGGACTCTAGACCGACTAACAAGACTCGTCGTCACAAAAAAAAACAGTGTCATTTTGGGATCATTCTCCAACTATCTCGTGACGAAGAGCTCAGTGCCAGTCATGGTGGCAAGGAAGAGACTCCGCAAGCAGAGCAAGTACAAGCAGAAGGCGGTCAAGCAGGTCAACAATATTAGCAACCCGGCGGCCCGCAGCCTGGCAAATGCCAAGATTGACTGAAAGTGTTGGCGTGAGTGACGAGGCAGAAACACGGACGGCGATGGGTATTCCAGTCATGCGACAGATTTGTCTGAGTGTACGGATTGGTTGATTTCATGGGACACGATAGCGATACAGCGGAAATACGTGACTGTAAGGGTGTTTGAGCAAAAGAATGTCATGTCGTGTGAATCGGGCGGCGATGAGGGTTTTGCTTTTGCCCGTGAAGCTGAAGGCGGGCTTTAGGTACCTACTAAGTACTTTAAGGTACTTTAAGTAACCTTGAGAACTCAAGGCACTTGACAAGACCCGACCCGGCCGTACGCTAGGTAAAAGTACCTATGCAGGTGAGTTCTGGCCAAGTCGACGTTAGTACTTACTTACTTCTTAAGTACTGGTAAGTAGGTACGTACCTAGGTACTTGGGTTTAAGCAGGCATGTACGGAGTACGTACTTCGGTATTGCCCGCCGTCTGCGACAAGGCGAGTGGTAGTGGGTGGTCCAGCTGAGCAATGATTGGCCCATGACAGGCACGACGACGCCAAAGGGAAGGCAGCTACGGAGTAGTTACTACCTGCCTAGCCACTCAAGAGGTACTCCGCAGTTAGCTAGCTGCCCCGGGCGGCCGGTGGTGCCTGCCCCTTCCTTCCCTGGCTTCCGCATGAGTTCCAGTCTCCCTCCAGTCTCCCCAACCTCTTCCATTTCGAAATGCTCACAGCTTCCCACCACCCCTAGTCTCCTCCCGTACTCCGTCAAATGGCTCCATGGGTGGGCGACAGAGGCCCAAAAAAGAGGCCAGAGTGTGGGTGGGTGCGCGAGTCTTCAAGATGCCCTCTCCCCCGTCGGCCGAAGCCTCCTCTGATTCCTTTTTCCCTCTGCAAATCCGCTCTCCCCGCAATCCCCGTGCCATCTCCATGAGCACGCCTACAACCGACGACGACCAAGTATCAGTCAATCCCACGGCGCAAAGAGAAGGAATTGACAGGCTGCGAGACGAATTGCTCAAGCGGACGACAGAAGAGGCTCTCTGGTCGCCAGATCAAGGTGCCCTTGGACAAAAGCCCGTTGTGGTTGATGTCGGGTCGGGGCAGGGACCAAAGAGTAGTCCAGCCTGGTCGGTCATAGGCTTATTACAGAGCCGTCAATGAATGCTCGCCTTTCCATTCAGACCGACATCGCCATCGCCGCCAGATGTGGTTCAGAAGCTCCATGCCTTCGTTTGTCACTGTCAACAACAACGTTTCACTCATCAGCATCACCGTCGCGCCAAGTACGTGGCTAGCCACTGTCATAGTCGCCTTTGTCCTCCTTACTCTCTCCCTCCCCAAGATATCGTTCCGCATTCCGCGCTTCACTTTGCCAAGGCTCTCTTCACTGCCTCCTCTGTCTGCACTATCAGCCCCTCGGCGTGGGAGAGCATATACTGTCGACAGGCCTCTGCCCGCTCTCCCGCAAAGTCGCCAACTAGTAACGCGGCATCATCAGTCACTTGTTGTTGCGCGCCGCTCAGCGGCCAACGGCACTCCTTCCAGCTCTGCCAGGAATGACATCAACGACAGCAGACGAGGTCGATCCCCTGGACGGCCTCGACGCATCCTTGCGGGATTTCGAACCTCCAGTCAGTCCGATTTCCATGCGCCAGCCGTCAGCGCCCACAAGCGCGTCGGCGACGGAGGATCCCGAAGATTCAGACATCGTTTCAGCCGATGGGTACTCGCCGCCGGCATGGCGGAGGCTCGGCAACGGCGACCGTAGCAGCGGCTTCTGGAAGCGGGACCCCCGTAGATCAAAGCGCCGGCCGCATTTCAGCAGAGAGACATCACCGGGCTCGGATGTGGACGACTCGGAGGGCGACCATGTTCTTCAGCGGGCCATTCGAACGAGGTTGCCGGCGGGAAGCCAGAGTCCCGACAAGAGACGAAGCCCAAGCCCAGAAAGACGTGAAGATGTGAGGTTGAAGTTGGAAAGCAAGAGTCCTGAAGCCGAGACTGTGAGAAGGCGCTCGCATTCGCCAGCACCAGATAATTGTTAGTCCATTTCATCGCGCCCAACACAGTATATTGTTTGTACATCACGTCACAGGGCGCTAAACATTGGACCGCAGATTTTCGCTTCGCCGTTCGTGCGGAAGTCCAACAACGAACAAAGCTTATAGAAGCCGCCGTGTTGTTCATACAGCGACGCTGTCGAGCACTAACCAAGAGCTGGGCGTCGATCGTTTCCGGCATCCTGTTCGCCGTTCTCTCCATATCAGCCCTCGAGGTGTTGGTGAAGCCAGCTGCACCGCGACCAGTCGGCGATCTAGTCAAAGTTGCCGGGATAGCCCGCTCCTTCGAGCCCCTCATCTACTTCTCGGAGCCAGCCGTCGCCCATGTCAAGGACCTTCAGTCCACGAGTATCGCAGTCTGGGACCTGGCCGAGTCTGTGCGAGTGAGCGGCATGTCTGACGCGGACATCATTGTTGACAATCTAGATTCCATCAGCGAGGCCATGAAGAAGCTTGTGCTTGAGCTGACCAAGTTCCATACCCACGTTGACGGCGACATCGACAGGTATGCATATCCGCACACAACCGACATCCCTCTTCGCCGTGCGCAATGAACTGATTTTCTCCCCTCCCCTCCTCTCAGTATCCTCAGCGTAATGGAATGGGTAAAGATGCACCTTGACCGTCTTAACTCCCGCCCGCCCCCTTCCTCCCTCTCCCACGCCTACGACAACATCCACAACTTTCTCACCACCACAGCCGTCCTCGAAGACGTCCATGGCCAGCCAACGCGCCTTGGCCGCCTCACAACCTCGGTGTTCGGCGTGTCCAACCCCCAGCGCGAACAGCGCATGGTTCAAGTCCTCTTCAACAGCTTCCTCTCCACACTCGAAGAAGCCATCCAAGCCGAGCTCGAGAACTCCGTCTCTCTCTTCGCCCTCTTCGACGACATTGACGCGCACTTTCTCAAGCTCGCCCGCACAGTCGCCCACGAGACCTCGGCCCAAGAGGAGTTCCAAGCCGAGCTTCTTTCCGGCTTGTGGGCGCGCATTCTCGGGCCCCGAGCCACTGAACTGCGCAAGTTTGAAAAGAACCGCGCCCTGCTGCACGACGTTCGGCACAAGACTGTGCGCAACAAGAGCAACCTGGTCGGCCACCACGGCAAGTTGCTCACCTTGAAATCGTCCCTCGAGAGTCTGCGCGGCAAATTGGCCAGTCAACTTGTCCGGGGCCTCAACTCGTCCACCCTGACCCTGGACGATCAGATACAAGGCGTTGTTCAAGTCAGAGACTACTTGTCTGATGTGAGGAGTCAGCAGAAGACCAAAGTCATGGAGACGCTGTATTCTATTGATAGGAGCCGCAAGTATATCCATCATGAGATTGACAGTGGCCGTGACATTGACGCTGGGCCCATGTAATTGTGCACAGGTCTGTCTGCAAAGTTGATGGGATGCTTCGGCGTAACATGGGTGCGCCGACGAAAATAGAAATGCTTGTTTTGATTCCAGGGCGTCGGAGCTCGATCTTGGGGACACGGGTTACTGCTTCACGTAAGGGCAACTACGGCTCGTTCGAATGGAATTGGCGTTGACGGCCATGGCGGTCTGTATATACCTACCATTTTTTTTTCCAGTTCGTTTGTATCATCCAGCAATCAGTGACAATTTATGACATTTGCATCACATCAACTGCCCTCTTGGAATTCAGCATACCATCCATTCACCAATATAAAGACCACGGTTTTTCAAAATATCACTTATTTGATCTCTACTGTCATAAGCTTCTTGTGTCAATTTGGCCTCCCACACCGTAGGCCCGTCCATCTGTCACGGGGTATAAGCCTACTTAGGCGGTTCTTTACGAAAACCAACAACCGTCCAACGCCTCTTAAAACGAGCTGTCCCACGGTCGTCCTTGTGCACGCTGCCACCGCGCCGGGTAATCAGCTAGCTGTTCGATCCTTGCCATTTGCCCTCCTCACTCAGGGGACCGTCCAAAATGTTAGTGTCCCCAGTACTTCGCGAGCAAAGACGTAGCAAAAAAGTCTATCCGTACATGATGCAAACCCTTCAGATATGTGGGCCATGAACCGGGCGTAAAACATGTTCTTACCTCCCACCTTTTTATCCGAAAAACAACTCCAAGAAACAGGAGTCCAGCACGGAGCTGGAAAGAATATGAACAAAGGAAATCAAACAAAAGAAATATCAGATAAGCTTTTGAACAAGAGAGAAAAAAAGACTGGCTTTTGGTCACGTTAAGCCTTGATCTCATCCTCTTTCTTAGCCTCCCCCACATCCGCGCCTTCATGGCCCTGGGATTTGACGTATTCGTCGTAGACGGCAAGAGCCTCGTCGACTTTGGCCTTGAGAGCAATGTCATCCTCGATCCTGCAAGTGCATTAGTTTGACGAGCCATATTAATCGAGAATGTGTAGGCTAGGGGAAAAAGTGCTTACAGGTTGACGAGCTCACTGTTCTCCATCTCAAGGAGCATACCGGTGATCTTTCCGGCAAGCTCGGAATTGATGGTTTGAATCTTGGGGAAGATGATCTCACCCAGGATCTGCTTTTGCTGAGCGGGTTGGGCGCCGGCAAGCTGAGCCTGCAGCACAGAAACATTATTGCCATCGCCACGGCCAGCCTGATTAGGGCCGTTGACGTTGTTGTTGCGGCCATTTCCACCACGCCCAGCACCCTGGCGATTGTTGGGCGGATATCCAGGCATACCACCGGGACCGGCGTTAGGCGGAGGCACACCACGGCCACCCTGAGGAGCCCCGCGTCCACCCATGGCAGCCTGCTGAGCCTGCATAGCGGCCATGAATTGAGGAGTGCCGGGCTGGCCATACTGGGGAGGGAACTGTCCGGGCATTCCGTACATGTTGGGGGGGATCTGCTGAGGTACACCACCGCGGCCACTCTGCTGAGGGTACCCAGGGAACTGACCAGGTCGACCACCTTGGACACCGCCCATGCCGATGCCAGGCTGAGGGAAAGGCATCCCACGACCAGCCTGGGGCAAAAAGCTGGGCTGCTGGCCGTAGAAAACGGGAGGCTGCATGTACTGCTGAGGCATACCGGCAGCGGCAGCAGCTTGCTGCATACGCAACTGGTTGCGAGCCTGGATACTGGCCTCGAGCTGACTCTTGCGAACATCCTTGCGCTGAGCCAGAGCAACATAAAGAGGCTTGCCGTTGATCATGCGCTGATTCATCTCGGCAACGGCCTTGGTGGCATCATCGGGGTTGCTGAAACAGACGAAACCGAAGCCTTTGCTCTTACCAAGTCTCCTGTCCCCCCTCTTGTCAGCTTTCTTATCAGCATCTTCCTCCTCAATCTCCTTAGCCTCCTCCTTGATCTCGGACTCCTTGTCGTTTTCTTCCTCCTTCTCCTTATCATCGTCGGATCCATCAGAAGGAGCGTCCCTCATGACCTTGGCAGAGGTAATAGGGCCGAATTCGGAGAACATCTGGCGAAGCTTCTCGTCATCTACATCGTCATCAAGATTCTTGATGTAGAGGTTGACACCCTGATACTTGTTGGCTTTCTCCAGACGAGCAGCCTCATATGACTTGCGCAGCTCCTCCTCACGCTCGTGCTTTTTCTGAGCACGACCAACGTAGAGGTCCTGCCCACGAAAGTCCTTGCCGTGGAGCTCCTCGACAGCCTTGGCAGCGCTCTCGTGGGTGGTAAAGTTGACAAAACCGAAGCCACGGCTCTTACCCTCCGGGTCACGAGCCAAAGAAGAAGATGTGATGTCACCATACTTCTCGAATAGCTCGCGGAACTCATCGTCCGAGGCTTCAGTGCTAATGTTCTTTACGTAAATGTTGGTAAAGTTTGCCTTCATTTCCTCAAACTTGCTCTGACGATCTTTCTTTGGGATATGGTGGCCGACGTAGACCTTCTTCTCGTTGAGAAGCATGCCATTAACGTGCTTGATGGCCTGCTGAGCAGCCTCGTCCGTCTCATAGTGGACAAAACCATAGCCCTTGGAGTTGCCGTTTTCATCCTGAGCAACCTTGCAGCTCAGAATGTTGCCAAAGGCAGCGAAGGTGTCATGGAGGGCCTTGTTGTCGATGGCGACATCCAAGTTCTTGATGAAGACATTGCCCTGGCCAGTCTTGCGGAGAGCGGGATCGCGCTGAGACCACATAATGCGGCAAGGACGACCCTTGATAAGAGTGTAGTTGAGCTCTTCCAGGGCCTTCTCTCCATCGGCAGTGGCGTTGTAGTTGACGTAGGCATAGCCTAGAGACCGACGGGTGACAGCATCACGGCAGACACGGATGGAGGCGACAGCGCCGATTTGGGAGAAGAGTTCGAAGAGCATGGCCTCAGTGACAGAGGGATCAAGCTCTCCGACGTAGAGAGAGGCGGAATTTTGGGGGTGAGGTGCAGCAGAGCTGGGAGTGGGAGCAGAGGCGTCTTCGGGACCAACAGCACCGACGGTGGTATCGATGGTGGGCTTGGCATTGCCGCCGCCATTGAGTGAGGTGTTGTTAAGGTCGATGGCAAGCTGATCAACAGCGCCGGGAGTGGTGTTGGCGGCCATTTCGATATCGAACGGATGAAAAATCGATCGATCTAGGGGGCAAGGTGATTCGCAGGTTAGCGGGCCTGTGGTCCGGGTAAGGGCGAGATTGAGGTTCCCCCCAAAACCAGACAGGAGAGGACGAACTGATTCGACGAAACTAGTCTTGCGACAAGAAAAAGGACTGAGTACGTTCTGCGCACGAACTCAGAGGTGGCAGAGAGAAGTAGACACGGGGAAGAGAAATGCTTCGAGTAGCGACGGAAGGCTAACCCAAAGACTATGCGTGCTTATTTGAGAGTTGTTGTCGTCGTGTCCGCACAGAGGCAGGAAGGAATACGGGCAGGGGTGATTTTTTGAGAGGTTTTTAAATTTTTTTTGGATTGTTTTTTGGTTGAATTTCAACAAGTGCAAGAACAGAGAATCAGGTCTAGGACCGTACCTCTGAACCGACTCGCGTTGGGGTTTTTGGGGTGTTGTGAGATAAAGGGTGGTTGGTTGAAGGAGAGAAAGAGAGAAGGAAATTTTGTTCTCGAGATGAATTTTTTTTTTTGTCCATGCGGCCATCACATTTGGCGGGCTGGTGCATGTGGAGTGTGCCTTCCTAAGCTAATGCTTGAGTGGCTGATGTAGCGGTGCTGGGTATGGAGTACCCAGAACTTACGAAGGAAGACAGGGTACTCAGTACGGAGTACCTTGCCTCCATAAAGGTACCTAGGTATGTAAATTCAATGTTGTCTGTAGCTTTCGGAAGTCAACGAATGCGGCCTGTATCCGCAGATACCTCCTTCGAGTAGGGAGTACTTAAAGGCACTTCTCATGGCCGGTTGTGAGCCATCTCCCGCCGCCTTTGTTTGTATGTATTGACACCATCTACTCCGTAAGGCTTGGCCGCATGTTGGGGTGGAAACTTGCGCACCGTCCAAGCTACCTAGGTAAGTAGTTTGCATGTGGCGGGACTATACAGTGCTAGTGGAAACTCTTGCGCACAGTCCCGGGCGACCGCGAGAGGCAAGACATGATTGCGGGGGGAAGGCGCGACGGGAGGTATGACGGCTAGTGCCACCCATCCCTTGCACCTACGGTTCTAAAAACCACCAATGCCAAGAAAACCCTGAATTTCTCACAACCATTTGACCCGACAAATTGGCGTTTTCGTGCGCATGTGGCCCGTACAACAATACGATGTAGCAGGGGGTAGAGGCTTATCAGAGGAGAGACCTCGGTTGTCCATCTAATGGATCTCACTTCCCGAGCCAAAGAGTAGAAATGCAAAAGCGCATGAGCAGGAGCTGCACCTGTCACGCAGCTTCAGAACCAGGACACGGGCACTGTGCCACCCATGCAACTCTGTTTTGGTGGTGACTTTTCAGGACTATTTTTCGAGCTCAACGTGTAGTCTCGAATCAGAGATCGAAACCCATGCAGAAACGAGCTGTATGTACGAGCAGGGAGTGGGAGTTCTGAGAAAAGCAACTTGGCAGCCCATCCATCCATGAATCACATGTGTTTTGTCTTTGACTTGGAGTTGGGTGCCGGCTTACCTAAGCAGTCTCTTGAGACACCAGTCTTAAGCATGTCATGAACCTCGAGATGCCCAAGGTCATCCCCACCCTTGTCGCACCCAGCAGTTGACCAGTGATTGAGAAGCTCGAAGGCTTGCCAACCCTCGCATCACCAAAACGATATCAAGTCGTCCCCTTGACCCTCCCAACTCATCAGCTACCTGGCCTTGAAGACACTTGAGTTCTTGATCTCGCTCTACAAGCAAATCTGACTGCGGGTGATGCTTGGGCCTGTCACCCGCCATGTTCTCGACTTTTACCGGCAGTTCGAGGCGTCCCCGGAATGTCAACCTGAGCGGGCAGGCCGGTAATCCATTTGCCAACACATCATGGAGTCCGGCTGTCGTCTCCAACGCAACGAAGACCGTATCAGATGCACAAGCCGAGCGAGAGAAGCGTTACTTGGAAAGGCAAAGATTAAAGGCCGCTGCCAAGATCCAACGCATATGGCGCGGCCACATTACAAGACGCAACTTGGCCAACCAAAGACGAGCTATCTTTGATAACTTGTATCGCTCTTCATCAGCCATTTCCGCCGCCGAACGTCTGCCTGTTGCTTTTAGCCTTCTGCTCTATTTCTTCTCCAGGCGATCCGACCATGATATTCAAAGAACTTGTTTGTTTGCCCGAGATTGCGAATCGGCACATGTCGACCATATTGCCCCGCGCGGTATCCATAGATCACGCCTGAGATACTTGGCTAGTATTCTTGTTTCCACCCTACATTCCGTGGCTTCAGAAAAGTACGGCTATTGATACGCTTGAACGGAAATCTGCACACAGAACAAGAACTGATTTCAAATCCCAGGGCGTTGACTCTAGACGTGTCGATCATTCTTGGACTCATCACCCGATTGGCAATTTACGACTCTCATTGCATGGCAGACTCGCTTGACCAATACTACACCGCCCTAGCTACCCTTTGTAAGGGGCGAGAAGCCGAAAGATGGAACGAGCTCTTGTTCACGTCTCTAATAACACCTCTCCAGGCCAAGTCAAACAATGGTAAGTCGTAGGATTCTAGGAACTTTGAGGCAGTGGGTTCGGTCTGCTGACGATATTGGTTTAGGAGCAGCATATAAAGCTTTTGCGTCCAATTTTTTTACCAGAAGCGACTTGTACCTCTTCGAGAACAATAACCTCCCCTTATCCAGGGGCATCAAAGCCGGCAAGCTCGCAGAATCCATTTGTTCAATATATGAATCCTCACCTTCAACAATGCCGTCTCCGGGCGATTTACTGTGGCTGCTGGCGCATTACATTGGTCTTGGCCGGGCCTCGCTTGAACCATCCGCAAGGCTCTCCTATCTTCGAGCTCTTCTGATACAATTATCGTATTTGTCATCAGAGATTAGTATCAGGATGAGTTTCAAACCCCAGGTCGACGATTCAGACGACGAGAATGACGGCGGTCCGTTGCTGGTCCTTGCCCCGTACGTCTCCTCGCAACTGCTATCACTTGTGGATCATGATGGAATATCCAACGTTCTTCGGGACTTTTCCTCCAACTTGGCTCGCTCCGACACAGAAGAGGAGTCTTTTGGAACCAGCCTGCTCGCGGGTTATCTATTAACTCTTTCACACTGCTTTCCAGCGAAAGCCGATGATATGAGAATGAGATTGTTCCTTGAACAAATACCGACTTCCGTTGGGCCAATACCCACGGTCAAATTTCTTTGGCAGATCATGCGGCAGACTTCGGTATTTGACAAAATGAGTAGAGAGTCAGAAAACCCCCTGGAAGTCATCCGCCGGTATTTTCGAGGCTCGTTTCAGTTGTCACAAGATAGCACCGAAGAGCAAGAATGGCGAGTAATTCTTCTCTTTCTGGACCTCTATACATTTATCCTGCGCCTCAGCGATGACGAGGACTTTTTGAGCGGCATGAAAACGCAAATAATTGATAATGATGCATCTGACTCTCGTCTCCGTCAATGTAGCCTGTCACTAGTGGATGTCGAGGCTCTGACAACGTTCCTGAAAAACACAGCTTTCGTCCTGCTCTATCAGGCTCGGGAAATCTCGCAGTCGCAGAAGATGGCGGATGGGGCAATGAAATCACGGCTTGACTCATATCCTGAAGCTGGCAAGCACGGATCTGAGTTGGCAGAGACGGCCACGTCACCGGCGTCCACAAAGGTTGACTTGGATGGCCTACGTGCTATCATAACCACAGCGCTTAAGATGCTCTACGAAAGAGACTCAAGAAAACACTTCCTCCCGACGGATCACTGGTTGATGAATAACAAGCTGCAGCAGGAAGACTTCATCAATGCTGTCATCACTGAAGAGGAGCGACAGATTGAAGAAGAGGCCGAAGAAAGCGGCGAAGACGAGGCCCCTATGAGCGGAGGATTCAACCAACAATCCAACTTTTATTCAACCATGGCCGGTCAACGGGTGTCTCGCCATGCTCGCCTAGAGGGACTAAAGAGACAGCAAATACGCTCTCAGAGGGAGCGAAGGCTCGCCGAAATGGGCCCCAAGTTGGAAATACTAAAGCATATGCCCTTCGCAGTTCCGTTTGAAACCAGAGTCAAGATTTTTCGCCAGTTTATTAATCTGGATAAAATCCGGCGCGGTGTGAACAATGCCTTCGGACTGGCACACCTCTATTCCAGACACCATGCCAAAATTCGACGCGGCCAGCTCTTCGAGGATGCCTTCAACCAGTTCTACCAAATAAATGACGGACTCAAAGACACGATTCAAATCACATTTGTGGACCAATTCGGTACACCCGAAGCGGGTATCGACGGTGGTGGTGTGACCAAGGAGTTCCTCATTGGTGTAACCTCTGAGGCTTTTGGAAACAAGGAAGATGGGACAGGAATGTTCAGCTCCAACGAACAGGGGCTGCTTTTCCCTAACCCTACGGCTGTAGACACGCGTCGCGAGCTCGTTTCGCGACAAGGCTTGAAAGACGACGACGAAGACCACAGGGATGAAGTGAACGATTTACTGAGGCGATTTGAATTTCTTGGGCGCATTGTTGGCAAGTGTTTGTACGAGGGTATCCTGGTAGACTTGGCATTTGCCGGATTCTTCCTCTTGAAATGGCCATCTGCTGGCCCAAACGATGAAAATACGTACAAGGGGAGCATCAATGACTTGCGGGACATGGACGAAGAACTATATCTGGGCTTGCTGCGACTAAAGAACTATCGAGGCGATGTATCTGAACTGGGCTTCGACTTCACCGTTACAGACCAGGTCTCTCCACCCGGCGCTCCAGTCAAAACCATCACTCGAAAGCTGATCCAGAACGGCGACCAAATTCCTGTCACAAACGACAACCGCCTCCTTTACATTTCATACGCCGCTCGCCACCGTCTTGTCGTCCAACCGGCTCTCCAAACAGCTGCTTTCCTCCGCGGTCTCCGCTCCATCATCCCCCCATCATGGCTTTCCATGTTCAATCAGTCGGAGCTTCAACGCCTCGTAGGCGGGGATTCTTCCGAAATCGACATTGACGACCTGCGTCGCAATACTGTGTATAGCGGACTCTACGAAGTCGGCGACGACAACGAAGAGCACCCCACCATCAAGTCGTTTTGGAGGGTCATGGAGGGCTTTACCGATGCCCAACGAAGAGACGTTCTCAAATACGTCAGCTCGACACCTCGTGCACCACTACTTGGGTTTTCGCAGCTCCGTCCGAAATTCAGCATCAGGGATGGAGGCACGGACGAAAAGAGACTTCCGAGTACCAGTACTTGTGTCAATTTATTGAAACTGCCTGTATACACTAGCGAGGAAGCTCTGCGGGAGAAATTGCTGTACGCGGTCACATCGGGGGCAGGATTTGACTTGAGCTAGATGGCATTTAGGACTGGCTGCTTGGGCGGATACATGGAGCGGCGTGACATGGACATCTATGGACCGCATGGACGGCGTTTTGAGCGATGCATATGCAGATAGGCGTGGAGTGAACACGTCCATGTTAATCAGTCAAAGGTGAACTTTTCTTTTCTGCAGCTTCCCTTGTGTTTGGCATGGCGAGCGCAAGCGTGCGTATACAGCAAGTCTTGCAATACAGCGAGATCAAGTCTGCCGCCGGGCCGCCTTTTACCATGACGGACCCGGACTCGCGGCAGAATATCAAGCATGCGACATGCCGTTTGCAGGGCCTGGGCGTTCACGTCTACCTTTGTACCGGTTGTGTCAAGCATCCCCGAAACAAATACACACTGACAAAGAGAGAGGAAGGCCTCGGTATTGATGGTACGGGATAATTCATTGTATATGACTACTGCCTATAGGGTGGGTGGTGATATACTTTCTACTGGTAGCTCTTCGCAAGGAGATGTGGCTTTCTGTCCAAGAGGTCGAGAATCATCTGACCAAAGAGACCATTTGCCCATGCAAACCTGCAAGTATCAGCAACCCGATGCGCTTTTGGGGGGGGTTTGTCGTCCTTGCTACTTACCAAGATCGGGTCCACTTATTACCATCGTGCACGTTAACAGACTCATGAATGAGCCCAAGTCCGCTTGTTGCTCCCATTAGCTGTTTAATACCACGCACAATTTCGTCGTCATCACTCGAGGTCATGGTCTGCATGATGACGCCCATCGGCCATGCCATCCCGGGACCCAAGTGCGGTCCGCCAGTGGAGTTGAGAACTGGTCCGAAGCCAAAGTATGGGTTGGAGCGGGAGAGCACGAACTGGCGAGTGCGCCGGTAAACCGGGTTGGTGCTGGGTTTGAAGCCGATGTGAGGGATGCTTAGCAAGGAGGGGATGTTGGCATCATCCTGTACCAAGACTTTGTCAGCGATGTGTACTGCAGACGATATCGTGCAGAGCGACGCACCATGAGGTTGTGAGAGCCGAAACCATCGACTTCGTAAGCGTAAATGTCGCCAAATTTTGCGTGTTTCACAATACCGTACTGCTCAATGGCGTTTTCTATTCCCTGCGCCAAGGTCGACATTTCCGAGGCGGTGTCTATGTCTATCGTATGCATGATCTCGGCACACGCAGTTAGAAAGCGTGAAAACATCATGTTGGCCGGTATAAAGTACTGATAGATGGTGGAATCGTCCGACGGTCGAAAGAAGCTGCGCACAAGGCCAATGTTGCCGGCAACTGGGTTTCCGTTGCCCCCGTTTGTCACCGTTTCTGTGGCACTATTCGAATCACGGAGCCATGTATACGGCGACTTGTTGACGTGCCCATCCTCGGTGTAAGTACCCGTCATCATGTCATTCGCCAGCTTGAGAATGGTTTTGACGGCATCCGCCCAACCGTATTTACCAAAAAACTCGGCATCACTGGTGACATCATAATAGTCCCATGATAGTTGAAGGAAAGCTGAAAGAGAATCGAGTTCATACTTGCACTCCCACACAACACCGGGGTCGTATGGTGGGTTGACCGTGTCACCACGCTTGGCGAGCAAGCCACGCTTATGGTTGACGAGTGGAAGTTTCGAGTCGGGGGGTGGTTGGAAAGCATTGCAGTAGGGGAATTTGCGAATATATCGTGATTGAAGGTTGATGGTACCGCGGTACAGACTGGCGATGTTGTTGGTGGCGTTGCGAGAAGTGATGTTGAGGATTGGCTTGTAAGACTGTAGCTGGTTGGCGCTGTCACGAAGCCACATGGCGTGGATGTCGCCAGTTGTTACAAAGGCAAGCTATATGCAGAATCAGCATCTGATGCATAGGAACGTGTAATGACCAAGCTTGGTCGGTTGGGCTGGCATTTTCCGGGTTCATGATGGGATGGTACCTCTTCGTCGGCATTATCCAACGCTTTGCCATGCCACAGAATCGTGGTATCCACGGTGTTCGGCCAAGTATTCAGAAACAACCTGTACAAGTCCCTGTCTTTGATCATGGTCTCTGCTTCCCTCAAGGTCTGCTCCACCTCTGGGACGACATAGGATCGACATCTCGCTTCGGGGCGCTGATATGGATACTTCCATCTGCCGGAGGAGTACGGAGGGTGTCGCAGGGCCGCGTAATTGTCGTAGGCAGGACAATCGCTCGGGACTTCTGCCACAGCCGCACCGGCAATGGCGATGAGCTGCATCCACTTCATGGCTCTGTGCCCGTATCGTATCTCGGCGGTTTGTGATGTATGGGCCCAGTGACAAGAAACGTTCGAGCCTTGAAGCTCCAGCAACGAGAGGGAACAGAGGTGATTCGTCCTTTGCAGGTGAGACCCGACCAAGGGAGGAAGCCTGACTGCCTGACTCCCTGTCTCCGAACCTCGACGATCGTTGGCTAGGTTTACGAGTCGAATTGGCTCGCATTCCGCGCTTCTACTGCCCTTTTTTAAAAGCAGCCACGGTGGCTTCACTCACTGCCGTGAGACCAACACGCCGCAATACAACATCGTTGACCACCGACCAGGCCTTCCCCTCTCCCCTCTCCCCTCTCCCCTCTCACCTCTCCTCGGCAGTCATGTTGATCGTGGCCATTCTGCTCAGGAAAGCGCCGAGCATCCTCTAGAGAATGCGGGGTAGCCCGGGCCTCCGTTGAGCTGCCAAAGAAGCCTTAGCGTCATTATGAATGGATATTGACTTGTCGACGGGGACATCATGTTGCATCGGGGAGAGACGATGGCCTGTTGGCTACTCCGTATTGTTAATGCCAATGACAAGGATGGTGGTTGTGTCATGCGGAGAAGGTACATGAGGGCTGGGGTATTCTGCTCGTTTCCGTGCCATCGTGTCTTGTTGGTCCCATGCAAGACAATCCCCGCATTGTTCCGAAGCCGAAGATGATGGTTCGGATGGCCGCGTACTCATGTCGGCTGCAGTTCGACGGGCGTGCTGCAGCGTCGGTAAGTGAGCTTCGTATGCCATGCTAGTCTCATCGTGTTGCCGTCAGGATGCGTGCCAAGGTCAATGCTTCCGCATTTCTGATCAATCAATCATGGGGCCCCAGGGGCTTGTCGGATTCACAGGACGGAGCAAGCTGGAGAAGCCCGCCAGTGCAGAACAGGAGATGGAGAAGCACTGACACAAGGGACGTGCGGAGTTATGCGAATGGACAGACAATTGAGTCTCTCTTGACGGGCTGGGCTGCGTGTTCGGCTGACAAATGTCATCATGGCAAGTCCTCGTCAGTCGTCAGTCACAGTCACAGGCAAAGCCATGCGCACACACGGAATCACCTGAAGTCCTTCCCCCTCCGGGAGCCCTATTTCGCATGGCTGGCTTCTTTTCGAGTCTTGATTTTACCGTCTTCCTGCTGGTGCTGGATGGCCCACTCAAGTTATTCGCTTCGTCTCGACCCATGAGCCCATGATGTCTGTCTGTATATGCCCTACAAGCCCGCGGCAGCCTTCATCTAGCTTTATAAGCTAGGCCTCTGCTCGCCAACCCGCGATGTTCATCTTCTTGAGCCTGGCTGTGGCCTGTTTGCTCCCTCATGACGATTCTGGCCAGACGAGACCTCGACCACCGCCGCCGGCTTGGATCGGCTTCGCAAGCTCAGGTGCCCCACCATGGCCAACCGACCAATTGGGTTGCGGTCAATGTCATAGGTCTCGGAGAGCTTCCACTCGCCGGCTCATCTTGACGTCGGCTTCAACCTTGGGTCGACTCCCGGAAGCACGCCTCTCACACAACGATACCAGGTGCATCACAGGGACTCTCGCCAGTCACCTAGCAGCAGCCATGTCGGCTAGGTGCCCCGTGCCAGTGTCAAGATGCGTCCACCGCAGCGCACCATCGGTTGCGCGCTGGACGCCCCGACGCTCACTCCCCGCCGCCATGGGCTTCATGTCAAGAACCCCTCGCACGACGACGACGAGGACGCGGCCGCTGGCGCTGCAGCGGTTGGCCGGCATGAGGCTGTTCACCACCAGCCGTCGATTGTACAACGCCGCCGCCGACGAAGCCTTCGATCCGGCCTCCATTGAGCGCGAGTCTGACGAGGTGGATGTGTGCATCGTTGGTGGCGGACCCGCGGGCTTGAGTGCCGCCATTCGGCTGAAGCAGCTCGCCAACGAGGCCGGCAACGACGACTTGAGAGTCATTGTCCTCGAAAAGGCCGGCGATATGGGGGCGCACATCCTCTCCGGCGCCGTTATCGAGCCCAGCTCCATTAACGAGCTCATCCCCGACTGGCTTGACGAGGAAAACCCAAACCGTTTCGAGCACGCGACGGCTGCGACCAAGGATAGGATGAAAATCCTGACCAAGAACAGCTCTTTCCCCCTCCCGGAACCGCCGCAGATGCACAACCACGGCAATTACATTGTCAGCCTGAACCAATTCGTCAAGTGGTTGGCCGAGCGGGCCGAGGAGCTCGGTGTCGAGGTATATCCCGGGTTTGCAGCGGCCGAGGTTCTATACGATTCTGATGGCTCCGTCAAGGGCGTGGCCACGAATGATTTGGGCATTGGCCGTGATGGGAAGCCCAAGGATACGTTTGAGCGGGGCATGGAGTTCCACGCCAGAGTCACCATGTTTGGGGAGGGCTGCCATGGCAGTTTGAGCAAGCAGGTCATTAACAAGTTTGACCTCCGCAAGGACAGCCAGCACCAGACATATGGCCTGGGCATCAAGGAAGTCTGGGAAATCGACCCGGGAAAGTTTGACAAGGGACTGACCGTCCACACCATGGGCTACCCTCTGCCAAAGGACGTCTACGGCGGCTCCTTCATGTACCACTTTGGCGAAAACATGGTCAGCATCGGCCTCGTCGTCTCGCTCGACTACCAAAACCCGTGGATGTCGCCGTACCAAGAATTCCAGAAGCTCAAGCAGCACCCCACGTTCAGGAGCGTCCTCGAGGGGGGCAAATGCATCTCCTACGGCGCCCGCGCCCTTGTCGAAGGCGGATTCCAGTCCATCCCCAAAGTGGCCTTCCCGGGCGGCGCTCTCATTGGCGACTCGGCCGGTTTCGTCAACGTGCCCAAGGTGAAGGGCACGCACAACGCCATGAAGTCGGGCATGCTCGCCGCCGAGGCCGCCTGGAACGCTCTCGGCCAGAGCGACCAAGGCACCGTATTCCTCTACGACTACGAAGACTCGCTCCGCAAGTCGCCCATCTGGAAGGAGCTCAAGGAGGTTCGCAACATGCGACCCTCGTTCCACTCGCCACTCGGTGCCATCGGCGGCGTCTTGTACTCTGCCCTCGAAGCCTTCATCCTCAAGGGCCGCGTCCCGTGGACCTTTGGGCACAAGACCCCCGACTACGCGGCCACCAGGCCTGCCGACCAGTTCCCCAAAATCGAGTACCCCAAACCCGACGGCAAGATCTCGTTTGACATCCTGACCAGTGTTTCTCGAACCGGGACCAACCACGAGGAGGACCAGCCCGTCCACTTGCAAGTCAGGGACTGGGATGCGCATACCGAAAAGGCGTACCCCCCCTTCAAAGGTATCGAGAACCGCTTCTGCCCTGCCGGCGTGTACGAATACGTCGAGGATGAGTCAAAGCCCCACGGCGTCCGGTTCCAAATCAACGCCCAAAAGTAAGTACATGTCCGGCTTGACACGCACCGCACCCCCGAGGGCATACAACAATATACTAACGGGTCGGTCGTATCTCCAGTTGCATCCACTGCAAGACGTGCGACATCAAAGCTCCTCAGCAAGATATCAACTGGCAAGTTCCTCAAGGTGGCGAAGGACCGAAATACTACTTGACTTGAATCTGTTTCGATGTACATGACACCGGCCTGCTTATACATTTTACTGTCGTCCCCTCTTGGCATTATTATTTTTATTGTTTGTTCACGTAGACGCACGATTGGCCGCCGGGCAAAGATTAACCGTTTTGTACATAGGATCAGCAAATCAGGCACCAAAAAAGAGGGGCAAGGAAGACGAGAATACGTATCAGGCTTCATTCTTCCCGGATCTCAGTAGCGGAATGCTCCCGACAACTTGTTGACATGGCTATACGTTGGCGTTTGCGTAGAAATAGGCGCCCATGCCACGTGTCCGTTCCAGTGAAGTGAAATGGCCACGTACTCTTCACCGCCAGCCGCCGCGGATACTGTTTAGCATGCACTGTGCTCACAGGCACGGGCGCAGAGTGGCTGGCTCTTTTCGCTCTCACCCAAGAGGATGGGCGGTTAGCTTGTACGGAGCACGGGAGTCATTGACATCATGTATGCACTCCTTAATAACCATTAGATTACCATGCTTTGTCTAGGGGTCCAAACTCCGTCGCCTGTTTGTCGACTAGAAGAAGGGTCCGTCTGGGGCCTTTAGTCTCAAAGCGGAGAGCTCCGAGAGCTCCGATTCCACCGGCGGCTCTGCAATGTCACGAGAAAAAAAATTGTTAGTGCAGTACTTCCTGGGACCGACCCCTACAGGCGGGTCTGCGTACGCAACATGTCACTCTACTTGACCATGCCAGGATCAGCAAAATTTTCCCTTTGGACAAGCCAGATGCCACATGAAGAAATTTCAAGCTTTGCGAGGCATAACGAGACTGAGCCCGCGCCGTGACGAGGCCAAACGCAATTAAATGCCAGAGAGCGATTTTTCGGCGCTTGCCACTCCCAAAATCCCCGTCAATATGTCGTGTTTGGTCCAGTTCGTCCAGTTCCAAACCAGCGCCACGGGAAGACGGGGAAACGAGGCCCTGGTATCGATACCTGGCTACTTGGCCAGTCAGAAGCCGGAAACGGCCAGCCTCCTGGACGAGCAATGCACAGGCCAAAATGGTTGGACAGGAATCCATGACTCACACAATCGAACACAGCCGACACTTGTCGCCCCCCTTTTTGCGGTAAGGGTGGGAAAGAGGATGAAAAATTTTGCTTTGTCGCGACTTCGTCTCAATGTTCTCCGTATGCGACGCCCCGTTGCCAATCCCCTCCTTCCGCCATGGCGGCGCATCCTTTCGTTGACTGATTCAGGTTCAACTTTCAAGTACCGTGGCACCTGCCAAAGCGCATGGCAACCAGTTGACCTTTCCCGACAACCATGGGTATTTTTGTGGTAGCGGACGAATAAGGGTTCAACGTATCTCCCAACCAACTCATCGCTTGGAGGAAAAAAATTGCGTAACCTTGTACCGGTGAGGACGGGCGGCTACGGTCGATGCCAGAGGAGACAGGGTGGATGTCCCAGACCTTGGCGAGTGGTTTGGTGATGTCTCTTGTGCGAGGGTGAAAGGGGGAGGGGTGGTGTTTGACTAGGCAACTAGGGTTTCCTTGGGGGCACTTCATGGAGATCGAGTGGACTTGGGGATGGGGGCTGGGATCTACGGCGCGAACAGCTCCACGCGCTCAGCCCCTTTGTTCCAGGAGTCCCTACCCATGGCGGCGAGGTGTTGGCTGTCGTCTGGCAAGCGGGCGGCTGGTTAGTCGTGACACTGTGTCATCGGCCAGTGCATGCGCGTAAAGCAATCTGATGATCCGTGGTCGAAACTCGTCGTTGTTGCCCGGCGGCCCGTCGAGACTCGATTATCGACGCACGTTGGAATATTGAAATCTCACTGCGACTGAGATGATAAGGGTGGCAGCGGTGACGCTGATTTCATCACGTGCCTGCGTTCCGCTGGCTGTTCTGAAGAGTCGCAGAGTTGAAGCAAGATACTCAGCTGGGTGAGCAAGTGGTTGGATTTAAAAACAGAGGAGAGTGTGGCATGAGAGAAAAATGGTTAGGTTGGGTAGGGCACACTTGTAAAGCGGTTGTGGTGGTGTCTGCGAGGCGAGAGGCTGGCGACTGGATGGATGACGCGACCGGGACAAGACAGACAGACGCCTTCGTTGACTGATGAATCGCTCTTTGTTTTTGCTTTGTTCGGATACATTTGGGCCAAAGAGGGCCTGGCCAACCGGTGCCACTGAGAAGCAAATCAGTCAAAAAATCAGAAGTGAACATTGCCCGGGAAACGAAGTACGGAGGACTGGGACTGGGACGTGGCTCTGACCCCCTTTCCACTCGTCTTCTCCTCGTCTCATGCCGGGAGACTTTTGAAATATTCTGCTCACCTCTCTGGACAGAACGCGGCGTGTTTGGAGTATGTGCCATGTCCATTTGTTCCATCCTGCGCAATGTTGCCTGTTGCTCCCCGTCCCCCCCCCCCTCCCCCGCGAGATGGAGTAGATTGCAATCTGGGGTGAGCAGTCAGCAGCCGTGTACGGAGTCGAGTCGGAGTAAGGTCCTACAATTACCATAATTGATAGATAGAGCACTTGGAGCATCAACGCTCCCTGCTGGCCCTTGGAGGCGAGACGTTGACCTCCTGGCGGCGGTCCACCTCGACGCTCTGGACGCCCGACCACAAGCAGAGTGAACTTATACGGATTTGCATGGGTTGGGCTGAGCTGGGATGCGCTCCTGATGTCGTCTTGGCCCGTCAAGTGCTCGTCGAGACGCCGTTATCTGCGCTGGACTGCTGCTGCTGCAGTTGCGCACATTCCCCGGCCGGCCAAGGAGCACATACGTGCTGCGCCCACCGAGGTACCTCAGGTGCCCAAGTACTGCTCGCCGAGGTGTGATAAGGCGGTACCTCAGGGCTCCACCCGGGGCAATCTGAGGTTGCCCGGTGGAGAAAAAAGGAGATAAAGTCGCCACCTCTCTCGCCGTTGATTGGCCGAGCCTCATCCTAGTGCATGCGCTAACCTGAGGCCAAACTTCCCAGCGGCAACGCCACAGGCCTGCTGTTGCCTGGGAGAACAGTCGCTGTGCAAAATTATAAGTACCCAGCCCTCCCCCAGCCCGCCGGTCGTGCAGTTCTTGCGCCGAAGTCCCGACCGGTTGGCCCTACGTACCTCCCACCACGTCGGCCACACCATTTGTCACAAATTCTTCTCTCCCTCCTCTCACCCGCACGTCACGCCCCACTTTTCAAACTGTTGCTGAGTTTTCGCTCCGCTTCGCTTTCCACCTCGGATTTCTACTTTCTCACTGCCTCGCTTGTTTGGCATCGCCCGACTCTTCAGTCGCATCGCAGTTCCTCTTCACACTTGCAGCACGAGCCCTCTGCCAACTCGGCAAATCCTCTGTCTCACTCCTTATTGCAGCAAGGGCGTGGCCCATCCGGAAGAGCAAACGGAATCTGCAGCATCGTCGCCAGGTTGAACGGCGTCCGACGTTCTTGACAGCGACGAGTAGGCAATAAAATCGAACTGAAACACGTTCTTTAGCCCGTCGCCCTAGCCTCTCCTTTCACAGCCGATCTCTTGGGTCGCCGACGAAGACAGTAAAGCGAAATCTCATCGTTCTTATCGTCGCCATCGGATCGTTGCGAGTGCGTAGACAACTAGAAGAGATTTAAAAAGAAGATTCTGAGCTTGCCTTGAGGTGAACAAGTCGGGTTCTATTCTGGTTGAGACTGTGCAATACGAGCGAAACATCTCGATCTTGATCCCATACATACTGGCGTTGCAGTTAGCGTCCGCACGTGGTCGCCGCATCGCATCGGAACCATCGTCTGAGCACCATTCTGTAGGGGAGACATTCACTTGTTCATCTCCCACGAGTGGTAAGAGTCACCCTTTTTTTGTCAGCATTCGTACCTTTGTCTACCATTCACAAGTCGAGGAGTCAAACGAGATCTTGCATGTCAGCAGGTACTTTGACCTTGAACGCTGACATGGAAACTCCGGCTGCCTCTTGCTTAATCTGCTTGTAGCTAACAATATCAGCAGTTTTGCTCAGCGCTCCTATCGCCGCTTTCGTCTTCTGTGTTTGACAGCGATCACTCCCATCATGGAAGGCATCCAGACACATCCGTCCAACGCCGCACAGGCAAAGGCGTTTACTGCTCCCGGCTCGTTGTCGTTTCCGGGAGCTACGAATGAGTTGACACCGCCGGCGAGTAGTGGCGATGCCATGCAGCGGCCAGGGGCAAATGGCCAAAACGCAGCTAACGGAAATGGGGTGACTCCCGCGACTCCTGCCGCGACGCCTTCTGCCACGCAAGGTCCCAGTGGCATAACTCCTACTTTGCAGTATGTATACTCTTGAGTGGTCGGGCCTTTGTTATGTTTGGTGACGCTCATCGCCCAACTCTCAAGGAACATCGTGGCCACGGTCAATCTTGATTGCCGTCTGGACCTCAAGACGATAGCCCTGCACGCCCGAAATGCGGAGTATAACCCAAAGGTACAATCCAGCCCATTTCCATACCATTCCAAGTACACTACATGCTGACATTTTGATATAGCGTTTCGCCGCCGTCATCATGCGTATTCGTGAGCCCAAGACTACGGCTCTGATTTTCGCCAGTGGAAAGATGGTGGTTACTGGTGCCAAGTCTGAGGACGACTCCAAGCTGGCATCTCGAAAGTACGCCCGCATCATCCAGAAGCTTGGCTTCAACGCCAAGTTCACGGATTTCAAGATTCAAAACATTGTCGGTTCTTGCGACATCAAGTTTCCCATTCGTCTGGAGGGTCTGGCTTCGCGCCATCACAATTTCAGCTCTTATGAACCTGAACTGTTTCCCGGTCTCATTTACCGCATGATCAAGCCGAAGATTGTTCTTCTCATCTTCGTCAGTGGCAAGATCGTTTTAACGGGCGCCAAGGTCAGAGAGGAGATCTACCAGGCTTTCGAGATGATTTACCCTGTGTTGCAAGGTTCGTATTCCTATGCCCAAACTCACCTCCAATTCTACGTCACTAACAGTGCTTCGTACAGACTTCCGAAAAGTCTAGACGCATTGGGCTGGTCAGGCGGCTCTCATCCACCTGGTGTATCAACACCCTTTCTATTTTTTTTTACTCTGCATGTACGACTAGACCATTGGTCATGATACCATGATTGCTTTACTTCGACGCAGGATATTCCCATGCTTGACAGGCCACAATCAAGCATCACGGACTTGCGACTGTATCATTTGATTTAGCATTGCATCGGCGTTGGCAAAGAGGCTCGGCAGGGGAGGCTTACTGTTATCATCTCTTTTACATGCGACGGAATTGGTTCAGGTAGAAGAACAAGACTACTGATCCCGCGACACTTACATAGATTGCTTATGGTATGTTTCGGATCGGTGCGCCGCCCGAACAGCCACCCTAATGCTTTCAGGAGAGAAGATGGAGTTGCGGAAAAGTGGAAGGTGAGGAGAAAATTCAAGTCACTGGAACTCGACAGTATTTATATCCAGTTTTGCTTTTTTTTTTTTTTTTTTTTTTTGAAGAAAATCAGCTTGCGCTGTGCATGCTGTGGAAGTGGCGGATCCGGGGGAGCCTTGAGCTCGTGATTGCCATCGCAATGACAACCTCACTGGGACCATGGAACGCGCGGTCATTCGCTTCATCGTCGTGGTTCTCAGCGTCAGGCACTTGTAGTAATTGCATTCCTGTCCCCCTTAATCATGGCTTTGAAGACCTGTGACGTTTTGCCTGCGGCTCTGTATGCTTGTGAGGGCAGTGACATGGGGATGCCAATTTCGGAAAGGCTGACGAGTTTATTCGGGGTTTCGCGATGACTTCGCACAAGGGCGCGTGGTTTGACTGAAATGTCCCGATGATCGGCCTCGGGACCCCACTAGTCCATTTCGAAACACTACTCCGTACTTACGGAGTACGAGGTAGGTAGTACCTACCTACGTAGATACTTGCTGCCTGCCTAATCGGTTCAGTATACGGAGTACGTGATTGTGTTTCTATTTACGGCAGTACTTCCGTATTCCCCGCCTTCTTGAGCCGACACAAACCACTTTGCTCTTGAATTGTATTGTTGATCTTTTCTGGGTTCGCCCTGTAGTTCTTCATTTGGACGAAATTCAAGGCGTTGCTGACTCTCTTGGTCCCTGTGCTGTGGCCTGTGCTTCAGCAAATGGAAACTACGCCATCCTCCGTCCTTATCATAGGCTCTGGTGTCTTTGGCCTCAGCACCGCCTGGGCAATCACAAAAAGGACGCAATTTGCCAAGACCTCCATTACAATCGTCGACAACACTGCCAACGGTTCATTCCCGCCAGATGACTGCGCCAGTGTCGACTCCTCGAGAATCATACGAGCCGATTACGCAGACCCTCACTACACCGCCTTTGCGACAGAGGCTCAGAAGGAATGGAGGAAGCGAGGTGACGACGATCTGGGGGGCCAAGGCCGTTATACCGAGTCAGGGTTTGTTCTGACGGCCTATGAACCCAACGAAATCAAACCCGGGACAAAGTCTGGCATGGATTATACCAGGGAGAGTTGGAAGAATTGCGTCGACGTTGCTGCCAAGGACGGATACCCGGCAGGCAGAATCAAGACTCTGGAGAACACCAAGGCTCTGAATGATTGCCTGGGGACCGATACATACCCTGGTGATTGGGGTTATCTAAACACCTTGTCCGGCTGGGCTGATGCTGGACGGGGGATGGAATGGCTCTACCAACGGGTAAAGGCGACGGGACGGGCGGATTTTGTCAGCGCAAAAGTCGACTACCTGGTAACTGAAGGCGACAGGGTCATTGGCGCAAGGGTGACGGACAGTAGACTCGTCACTGGTGACGTTGTTCTTGTTGCTGCCGGAGCCTGGACGGGATCTCTGGTCGACTTGAGAGGCCGAGTTGAGGCCACGGGCCATGTGCTGGGGTATGTTGACATTAGCGACGAAGAACTCGCCCTGCTCTCCAGACAGCCCGTTGTTTTGAACCTTTCCTCTGGGCTGTTCATCATCCCACCACAAGAGAGGACTCTGAAAGTCGCACGGCACAGCTTTGGCTACCTGAACCCGGTCGTGGTCCACAATGCCTTGCCGCCGTCACCATCATATGAGAGACGTTCTTTTATTACGTCTAGACCGTCAACAACTAGGGACGGCGTTCTTGCCCGCCTGCCAGACGAGGCGGATGCTGACCTGCGACGCGGACTTGCCAAACTCTCTCCTGTCAAAGGTCTTGAAACCAGACCTTGGAAGGAAACGAGGCTATGTTGGTATTCTGATACCAAGGATGGTGATTGGCTAGTTGACTGGCATCCTGGATGGAAGGGTCTGTTTATTGCTACAGGGGATAGTGGCCATGGATACAAATTCTTGCCGCTCTTAGGCGACAAAGTGCTGGATTGTATGCAGGGCCAAGGGGGGGCGCTCGGCGACAAATGGAAGTGGAAGGATATCGATGACGAGACCGTTGGAAAGGAAACGAATGGCAAATTCAAGGGCCTCACCACGATGGATGGAAGTCGTGGGGGGGATCCCGGGATGGTGCTGGAGGAGGAGTTGAGGAAGAAATCTGCTGTCAAGGTGGCAAAGCTATAGAGCATGCGAGCGAGCCCATTGCATTCTACAGAAGGAAACTCATCTTTTCAAAACTCGAGACTATACTGTCCACGCTCTGTACGGACTACACCGACTCGTGTGAGTGAGTCCCTTTGCCTGCGTCGCGGCGAACGCAGAAAACATAATATGACTAAAGTGGTATATGCATGTAGCGGGGCCGGCTGCACCAGAAGTCGAAGCTCCGTCACAAGTCCAACAAGTAGCAACTTCAAAAACCGGGCCCAGCCGAGACTGCAGCAACGCGTTCAACAGCCAAACCAGTACCCGGCGCCCAAACATGAGCTGACCAGCAAATCTCACGCCCCGAATTCAGTCGAAATGTCTTCCGGAAAGGGCCTCGCCAGCTTTCCGGACGTGGAGGCGAAACTTCAAAAACCCACCAAGCAGTCTGCCTTTGAACGACAAAAGGCCGAGGCAGAGGCCAAGCGCAAGCGCGAGGCCGCAGAAACTGCTGCCGTGTACGCCGATTTTGTCAAGAGCTTCGATCGTGACGAGGAAGACGACAGGAATGGTGCGCCTGCGCCGAGCACCTTTGGGGGCGGACCTTCGCGAGGGAGACCCGGCTTTGGAGGACAGCCCCCGGGACACGGCGCCTCAAAGCGACACTTTGTGTCTTCCGGATTGAAGAGTGGACCGGGGAGCTTGGGGCCGGCGCCGTCGTCGTTTGCGAAGAAGCGGACGTTCAATGATTTCAAAGGAGGTCCGAGGGATCGGTCGGGGTTGTTAGGATTCGAGGACCCCGATTCCGGTTCGGCCGCGACCTCGATGGCCAAGGCGTTTGATGCGAGTGAGGACGAGGACGTGGGCGACACGAGGGAACGAGATCGAGCGGAAGAAAAAGCCACGTCAAAGCCTACTCTCAGGCTGACAAACCTGCCGCCGGGGACGTCGCAGGCCGTCGTGAAGGCGCTCATACCGGACAATCTCAATGTCGAGAATGTCAAGATCCAGCCCCCTGCGCCGGCTGGCCCCGGTGGCTCGGAGAGGAAGTGCATGGTTGCTATTGTCACCCTTTCTCAGGAAACACCCGCCAACGAGATGGACGCGGCGGTGAGTGCGTTGCAGAATCGGTATCTCGGCTACGGACACTACTTGTCTTTGCACCGGCACTTGTCCTCGGCCGTGGCGGCGTCGGCAAATCTTTCCAGCCTGGGATCATCCTCCTCGTCTGGCGCCCATCCTTTCGGTGCCAAACCCGTCGAACAACCTGGGGGCCGGGACAAGCACGGCCATCACCAACAAGGCTCTCACCGCGGGTACGCACCGCCCTCGTCGTACGGGCAGGTCGGTGCTGGCGTCAACAGGGCGCAGCTGTTGCATGTGCCTGTACGGCCGCCGCAGGACGTTAGGACCATACAACTGATAAACAAGACGATTGAGGGAGTTTTGGAACACGGACCAGGGTTCGAGGCGCTCCTAATGTCACGGCCCGACGTTCAGCGGGAGGAAAGGTGGGCTTGGATATGGGACGCCAGAAGTGAAGGCGGTATCTGGTATCGCTGGAGGCTTTGGCAGGTCGTCACAGGCTCGGAGTTGAACCAGGCCAAGGGGAAGTACGTCCCGTTGTTTGACGGTGGCCACGCGTGGAAAGCGCCAGAAAAGAGATTGGTTTTCGAGTACACAACCTCTCTGGACGAGTTTGTCTCGGATTCGGAGTACAACTCATCAGATGACGAAGACATGGGCCAGGGCAACGGCGACAACAACAATAGCTTTGAATCAGAAAAGACGTTTCTGAGCCCGTTGGACAAAGCCAAGCTCACTCATCTCTTGGCCCGATTACCGTCCACGCTCAGCAAGTTGCGCAAAGGGGACATTGCCCGAGTTACAACGTTTGCCATTACACACGCCAGTCGTGGTGCGGATGAGGTGGTTGATATGATTGTTGCCAACGTCGAGAGGCCGCTCTCGTTGACGGCCGCCAACCCCGAGAAGAGGCGGGACGCGAAGCCAAGCCATCCTGGAATGACTACAGAGGAGGGATCTACAAATGAAGGCTCAGACACAAGCGGCGCCAGTCTGGTGGCCTTGTACGTGGTCAGCGATGTTCTCTCTTCGTCCTCCACGAGCGGTGTCCGCCACGCCTGGCGTTTCCGGCAACTCTTCGAGACGGCGCTGCGTGAGCGCAAACTTTTCGAAGGCCTAGGAATGCTGGCGGAGAAGCTCGGCTGGGGCCGCCTACGTGCAGAAAAGTGGAAGAGGAGCATCAATCTCGTCCTCAACTTATGGGAGGGATGGTGCGTGTTCCCAGCGGAGTCGCAGGAACTGTTTGTCCGGACATTTGAGTCTCCGCCGTCCCTCAAGTCCGAGGACACAACCGACGAGTCAGCGGCTCCTAACAAGTGGAAGACGGTCGACGCACTGCCGGTCGCAAAGGGCGAGAGAAGCGCAGCAAGCGCACCGGACATGGTGCCTGATGTCACGGCGCAGGATGACATTGACGGAGAGCCTCTGGATGAGGACGAGGTGATGGGCGAGGCTGTCGACGACGAGGACGTTGAAGGGGAACCCATTGACGAAGATGACGTGGCCGGGGACTCGATTGAGGACGACGATCTGGAAGCCCGAACCATCACGGACCAGATGGACCAAGAGGGAGATGATGGGCAAACCGCGCGCGGACCATGGCAAACAAAGGGCCAGGCCGACAAGAGGGAAGCCATGAGTGGTGACGAGGAGTCGGCGGGCCGAACGCAGCATCGGAAGCGATTGCGCGCCGTGGACATGTTTGCCGACTCGGACGGGTCGGACGAGGGAAAATAGCAGCTGCGAGGCCTCAGCCGCAGATGCACAGGCCCAGGACCTTGGTCATCATGACGCGGGCGTAGTTTGCGGCGGACGAGCGCATATAATCCCGCAGCCGCGAGGAGAAGTAGACTCTGGCACAGAGATGGGATTCATGGGGAACCACGATACATGGCACATGATTCATGACACATGCACTCGCTGATCCAGTCCACGAGCGTCAAAGGGTTTCACCTCTATCGAGCCCAAAGGGTTCATTCTAGAAGCCCGGCGCCATTTCCAAAGGGTTACATACATGCCGTGGGGTGCGGATCGTGACTGCGCCTTCTTTTTTTAGCCGAGTCTTCCCGCCCATCTGTTGCAATCCGTAGATCTACTCCAGTTCTCCGTACGTCGCGACGGACAAATACATGCACAGACAGACAGGGATGGAGTCTGCATGAGCTGACCGGCGAGACCCACGTGTAGGAAGTGCATGCTTAAGCTAGGCAAGGACTTGGGGTCAGTGGTGCCGTGACGGAGAGTTTCGACGCTGCGGCGCTGCAGGCGCCCAAAAATACAACTTTCCTACTCCCGACTCCGTACCGTATGTACTAGCAGTTGACATGCCGAAGGATCAACAATGGCGTCGCGTCAAAACGACTTCTAATTCGACGTGCGGGTGCTACTTTTGCTGGACTGGGATCAGATCAGTAGATGCGATGTGTGTGGAGCCCCTGCGGCTTTCGTGAATGCAACGGTCCAATAGAAACTTGCTCGCCTGGTCATTGTATGCCTGGGCACTGACGCCTGACGCGGAATAGTACCAATACCTTGCTGGGGAAAATGGCGAGCGAGAGACTGTGTACTGTTGGGTTGACCAGACTTGAACATGCCTTTTTTTTTCTTTTTTTCTTTTTCCTCCGTACGACATGGACGGGGCCGATGTTCCTGAAGACATCATCACCATCCAACATGTACGCGCGGACAGAGCTGAGGGTGTTTCGGATCCCAACCGTCCACCCAGGCTACCCAAGGCCGCCGAGTATCACGAATATTCATGATGAATCGGTTGCAGCGCGGTCGATCATGCTCGGAGGAGCACACCCTCCGGGGTGCTGCAGTGTGCAAATCTGCAGCACAGGGCCCATGTACGTTAGCACCCGAGTTCCAACCACGTAACTGGTAGTGTGCAGTAGGGGAAGGTCAAGTTAGACTTGTACGGCTTTGGCCCTTGTGAACCAACTAGGGACCTGTTGAAGTTGTTTGACCGACTCCGTACGGAGTACTCCGTATTATTCCCCCTTATGCGGGGCGGGCTTGGGATCCAAGGCTTGCAACGGCGAGACTACAGGCCCTAGAGGGTGAGAGCAGGCGGCAAGGTCTCCTTTGTTTTTATCCTCTTCTTGCTTGATTCTGTGAAAAGAAACAGCGAACCGTGTCGTTTTCTATGACTTCTCTCAGTGCCCCGTCGGCTTGTGCGGTCTGTGCCTGTGGAAACCAATCGACCGGGATATCGGTCATGGCCACGCAAAGGCCCATTCCAGTTGAGGAGGCTCCAGCGACCTGCCACCAAGGCTGAGAGCGTGGGCGTTTCAAACAATGGGGGGTGGTGTCAAGGCCTTGCCCGCTGACACGGAGCGAGTGAGCGTCGGTGGCTAGCTAGTGCACAAAATAAGTATCGCAAGTTTGTGATATTCGATAGGGTACCACATCACGGTGATTGGCGCGTCGACGAGGTTCGGGACAAGGTTTACGGTGTGTCGGGTGGGAATTAGCAGCAGCACATTGCTTGGTCTGAATTCCGATGCCAGATCCAAGTCCGGTTGGAAGTTGGAAATAAATACAGTTGAGCTGGCCAGCCGAAAACGTCAATGGCCGGCGGTTGAGTCAGCACTTGCCATGTGGAGCCTCTGCAGCCGGGAGCCTGGAGCGGGGAGCTGGGGGGAGAATCGCTGCCGTTTGATACCGTTGGCCTTCTGTGACCGTGACCATGGGACCCAGTCTGACTCCCTGACACTCCCTGACCAGGCTTTCCAGACTTTTTGACGGCACGGCACCGTTTTGGCTTCCCCAACTCCTCCATGTCCGTACACCAATGCTTCGCCCGGCCATTCCCCATCAACTCCACGCAGCCACGAGGCGTCGACTGGCCGACTGATTCTTCGAACCTCATTTCATCTTCCGCTGGAACCTGTGTCTCACATTTCTCGGCATACGACTGCTCGCGCCCCGTGACTCTCTGCGTCCTGACGTTGCGCCGCAACTTGGCTCATCTTGAAGCCTTGGCAACAGGAACTCTCCCTGCGCACTCCTTTCCGCGGAGTCTTTGCCGAGCCTTTCGGGCAGCTTCTTAAGAGGTCAGCCTCGGGCCATTTGAGGCAGTTTACGGCGACGGCGACGACGACGACGACGACGACGACAACGACGACGCCAACGCCGACAACATCGACAGGACCGACTACAATCGACGCAGCACTCTCAATACTCTCGGCCAACTTGCCAACTGCATCTATGCCGCATCCGATTCTCTTCGGCTCGAGGTGTTGAGGTTTCCGGCAACCGGACGGAGCCCGGACAGCTGCCCGTCGCCCCGGCTCTTTTGGATACGAGACGCATCTTGCCTCATCGCCATCTTGCCACGGAGTCTGATAGCCCCCCGGGCGGCGGCTTCGTCAAGTAGACGCTTTCACGATGCCTCTCATCAATGGCCAAAAGATGGCCTGGTACGTATGCTCATGCAAATGTTACTACAGCCGTCTTGTTGATATATCGTCAACATGATGCATCCCTCCCAATTGCCCCATGCCTTGTCAACTAACGCCGTGTGCATATTTTCATGTAGCGAGCCCTGCATTCGTGGTCATCGCTCAACCAAGTGCACACACGCCAATGAACGGCTCATGGTTCCAGTGCGGAAACCTGGCCGTCCCTTGAGTTCATGTCCTCATCCTTGTTCACGACCTTGCTCATGTGCCGCGGTCACCGCGGCCATTCCCAGGAAACAAAAGTGTGGATGCGGAACATCGGATCCAGCTTCAACAACGGACAGCAAGCCGGAGAAGGAGATGTCGAGCAGCACCAGCGGCGCGACGACGCCCCCGAGCCCGTCCAAGTTTGGGAGCGCCGGTTTTCGAGTTCAAAAGCAGGGCGCAAAGGCAGGCTTGAGCAGGAAACAGTCTGTTGATATCGCTGGACTTCAGAGGATGGATGCCAGCCAACTCAACGTCTTGCCGTCTTACAACAGAGTAAACCAGCCTCAAATGAGCCCCCCCGATGGGTTTTCGACCACCACGTCCGAAGCGCCGCTTTACGGCTCCATGAACACGACGCCAAGTGAAGGTTCGTATCCGACAGAGGCCGCCATGTTCCCCATGTTTCCGTACGCCATGGGACCTCCTATGATGCCACCCGGTCCCCTGACAGTTCCTGCTGCTGGTCACAATGGAGCTTCTGCAGATGGTTCTGTGAAGCCAGAAGCAGAGGCACCAAAAGGCTGCTGTGGAGGGAGCGGTGGTGTCGAAAGTCTGGGTGACGGCGTCTCGGTGCCTGCGCAACCCGCCCCTGCGCCCAGCACCAACGACAATGGTGGTCACAAGCCGGGACCGAAGAGCTGCTGTTCGTCCACACCAGCCTCATCTAGTCGGGAAAAGAAGCCAGGAGGCTTCATGCCGCCGCCTGGCGTACCATTCGCACCAAACGGGATTTTAATCCCGCCGTTTCAACATCCCATGGCCATGGGGAATGGTATGTATACCTTTTATACCCAACCAAACATATTCAACTATCCTCCGCATTATGGGTCTTATTTGCAACCTCTTCAACCTGAGCAGTGGAGGCAGCTAATGGCTGCCATGGCTTTCCAGCATGGAGGTAGCCAGGCGTTTGGCATGACGGGACCTGTGCCAATGCAACAACCGCCACCCACGCCTAACGGATCATCCTGGACGTCGCACCACTGCACGTGCGGCGACGCCTGCCAGTGTGTTGGATGTGCGGCCCATCCTTACAACGATGCAACGCAAAGTTATGTACGCTCTGCTTGGTCTTCCATGATGGACGAGGCACAAGAACCGCATGCCCACACAGAAAGCAGCGGAGCTCACCCGAACGGCCAGAGTAACGGCGTCAACGGGGCGAGCGGACAGGCGGAGGAGTCGACCAAGACAGCTATGAATGGAACTACAACCCCAAGCATGGCAAATGGAGAGGGAACCTGGTCGCCTACTGCTCCTCAAACACCATCCGATGCGGCTTCCGGCCTGAGCGAGGAGCAGACTCTATCAGCTAGCGACTTTTTCTTCGTCAGCTACCCCTTTGGCGACACCTGCGCGGGAGAAACATCTAGTTGTCCCTGTGGTGACGACTGTCAGTGCATCGGTTGCACGATCCACAGCAACACTAATGCGGCGCGAAGCCCTGACGATGCTGCAGCGTAAATTTACGAAATGAGGAGCATGTAAATATAAATAAATACATGGCCAAGAACGGGCAGCAGTACGATAAATGTGACATGTTGTGGGTCAATCTTGGGTAGACGGCACACTTGGAACATTTCGGAAGAGACTGGGAAACGGAACACACACGAGGAACTGCCCGATGTTGCTGTTGTACGGAGTAGATACCCGAGAAGCCCAGAAGGGCGGGTGGTGGTGGTGGCGGGAACAAAAAGGCAAGCCGGATGCATGTGCCGCGCCGTGAGGTGAGACGAAATAAAGGAAGAGAGAGAAGCTTTGCTCAACTTGAAACACGCTTTGACGTACGTCACGTCGCTTCACGTCACGCCTGGTGCTCAAATGCAAATGCGGACGCGGACGAGAACTGTGCGCCATCCATGGTTGTAGAAGAATTGGCAACGGCGCTGTCACATGCATATCCGCTCCCTCCCTGCACGGAGTAGTACAGACTTGATGTCGCGAGGACGACGAATCGTCGATCCACAGAAGGTCTGCTCGGAACCGGCGCGGGAGCCGGGAGCTGGGAGCCGGAGCTCCCCATGCATGTCCAGCCCGAAAAGTGGGGCAATATCGAGCGAGCCAGGCTCCAGCCGCCAGTGGTAGAGTTCGGTTCCCTCCCACCACAGACAGCTTCAATCGAGACGGCCTCTTGAAACGCACACCAGCACACCAGCACACACAAAGAGTCAAAGACGGCCAATCATGCCCAGGTCGCCGCCTCCTGCGAGAGAGGGCTCGCACCACGCCCATCCGGATCGTGGGCGCGGCCGCCGCGACGACCGCCAACTGCGAACGAGGTCCCCATCGCCGACTACAAGGCCGCGCGTCGTCCCGGCGGTGCCGGAGCGCCGGAGCGCATCGCCAGACGGAGAGCCGCGCCGGGCGGACCGCGCACGCAGTCACCACCGTCACCGGCGAGAGCGGAATCGGTCCCGTCGCGCGTCGGAGGCTGTCTCTGGCCATGTGGCGCTGCCGTTCTCGGCGCGGATGCTGTCCAAGTCGGACTACCGTGCGTTTGAGCCGCTCTTTGCGTACTATCTGGATCTGCAGAAGCAGCGGTGTCTGGGGGACATGGACGAGCGAGAGGCCAGGGGAAGGTGGAAGAGTTTTGTGGGCAAATGGAACAGGAACGAGCTCGCCGAGGGGTGGTATGACCCCGACATGTTTGCCAAGTGCGCGATGGCCGACCGTTCACCTCCGGGCGAGGCTTGTGCGAGAAGAGACGAGCGCGACGAGCGTGACGGGCCGCCAGAGGAGATTCCTGGGGGGCGGGAAGCGACGTCCGCGACGGGGGACAGCGACGACGACGACGACGACGACGAAGATTATGGCCCGGCGCTGCCGTCGTCGGATCCATGGCGGAAGGTGGTGGGCGCCAGGGCACCGACCTTTCAGGACCTGTCGCTGCGGAATGAGCTTGCGGAGGAGCAGAGGGCGGGTGATCGCGAAGAGCTACGGCGAGCCCGGAAGGCGGATAGGGCCGTTCAAAAGGAGCGTTTGGAGGAGTTGGTGCCTCGGGCGGAGCCGGGCAGCCGCGAGCGTAGACTGGAGAAGAAGAGGGAGGTGAACGACAAGATGAGGCAGTGGAGGGATACGAGTCCCGGGTTGGAGGGCGGCGACGACCGGCAGCTCATGGGCGAAGGGGACGGGCTGGAGGAACTCAAGCGGGCCAGGAAGAGGGAGCAGAAACGCAAGTCGGAGAGGCAGCTGCAGAGGGAGGAGTTTGAGAGGGCCAAGGCGGAGGAGATGAAGGAGAGGAGGCGGGCTTGGCAGCAGAGGGAGGAGGGCACGGTCAGTATGCTTCGAGAGTTGGCGAGGCAGAGATTCGGATGAGCAGTGATTGGTCTCGGTGACGAGCGTCTTGGACGGCGTTTCGGGTGTTTTTTCCCGTGCAGGCAAGCCACTCTGTTTTGTTTTGTCTTGGTGCTGGTGCTGGTGCTGGTGCTGGTCATGTCATGTCATGTCTCTCTCAACAAGCAGATTCGGGCACGGGCGGCTGCTGTTGTGCTCGGCTTTCCCTTTCTCACTGTACTATTCATCCACGGTACTGCATATAAGACGGGCGACACATCACAGGCCGCAACTGCTGTCGGGACTCGGGCTCAGGATGATGCAATGCAGGGGGATGCTCTGCGTGGCGACGGCAACGACAACGACGCCAGGTTTCCGCAGATGGCGAGGACTACTCTGTACAGGCCAAAAGGATCGCGCACTTTTGATGCTCGGCCAAGGGCAATTCTCTCGCTTTCGCACCCCCTCCGCCGTTCCGGGATTTCTGCACACGAGCCACGACTTGGAGTCACCGGCAAGACGTGATCAGCACTTCCACGAGGCGGAGCGGCGACACCTACCTCGGGTAGGTTGCCGCCTTGTTTTATCCGGCCCAGCCGTGCAGGGCCCTTCAGATGGATCCCGGTTGATGGAAGCTACGCGGCAGGCAGGCAAGTTTCCTCAGATGGTCAGAAACTTGCTGCATCATGGATGATGGACGGTGGGACGTGACATGGTTGGCCGTCCGAGGGTCCCCACTTTATTTATCCCGGAATCTTTGGACGACTCCATTTTTCGCATCTTTCGACACGAGACGTTGAACCAAATTGACGGCACGGCAAGCCACACGGCTACAGCAGCTGTTGACTCCCGTCTGTCCGGCTTCGAGACGGGGAGGACCAAAGTTTCGTTCCAAGTTGAACGGCTTCCCGGCAGCGCGTGTTCACGAGGCTTGCTTGGACGTCTACAACCAGCCGTGTGGTGATTTACGGCGCAGGAAATCTCCTACGGATACAGTCCGAGACCACGTCAGACAGTACATGGGGAGGAATCGGAAACAACCCGGCATCGGCAACGGCATCGGCATCGGCATCGACATCGGCATCGACATCGGCATCGGCATCGGCGTCGGCGTCGGTGTCGCCGTCAGGGAGCGGCAATGGAGGGCGACGAGGCCTACAGCACCGAGGGTCTAATGGAGGACCCCGAGGACTACTACCCGCCTTCGCCGCCGCCCACGCAACAGATCTTCACGATGCAAAGCGGCAAGCAAGTGACGCTGCGTCTGGTCGGGCACAGTCCCACCGAGGCGCACCATCTGTGGAACGGGGCAAAGTTCGTGTCGGACTACTTCGAGCAGGACCCTTCCAGAGTCGAGGGCAAATGCGTCCTCGAGTTGGGCGCCGGCGCCGGCTTGCCGTCGTTGGTTGCGGGCATTCTGGGAGCCAGGAAGGTGGTCGTGACGGATTTTCCAGACCCCGACCTGGTGGCCAACCTGCAAAGGAACATTGACGAGTGCGACAAGACGGTTGAGCCCGAGGGGCATATTGGGCGGACGATTGACGCCGCTGGGTTTGTTTGGGGCGCCGACCCTGCACCGCTTCTTGCCAAACTCGGGCCTGGACGTCAAGAGGGCGGCGACGGGACGCAGCAGCAGCAGCAGCAGCAGCAGCAGCAACGCTTTGACGTCTTGGTGCTTGCGGATTTGCTGTTCCGCCACTCGGAGCACGGGGCGCTCGTCAAGACCATCAAAGAAACCATGCGTGCGTCGCGCGACAGCGCCGCGTACGTCTTCTTCACGTCTTACCGGCCGTGGAAGCAAGATCTAGACATGGGCTTTTTCGACGTTGCTCGGAACGCGGGACTCGAGGTGGAGCAGGTCTCGGAAAGGAGGCTGGAGAAGCCCCTCTTTGAAGGAGATCCGGGGGACTTGGAGGTGCAAAAGACTGTCAGGGGGTTCGTGGCGCGGTGGCGGGCGGAAGATTGTCGTGGCTGACTCTTTTTGTACCGAGTTATCAAAGTGTTTTCGCCTGGTGGACGCCTGCAGAGTTCAGGTCTCCCGGTTTAGATTTTTGATGCCAACGTTCCGCTGACGTCATGGGCTCGTGTATTAGACATTTGGGATGGTCACGACCAATGTGGTGAGCAAGGAGGAGAAACGACGGCCGTGGCTCCCTGAAACAGCATTGATGTTTGGATAAAGATGAGTTCACCAGTGGTTCAATGTCACTGCCAGTCGGTCCCAAAGGCCTAGGGGCAACTTTAAGCTGCCCGCGAATCACGGAGCCGGGCAAAGGATCCAAAGATGTTACTTGTCGGGTTTAGCACCAGACGAGTGTGGAGATGTTTTGTCGGCTCCTGGCTTTGATGATACGTTACGCCGAAGCAGCACAATGCCCATGCCGGCCGAGACTGGCCACAGCCACGGGCAGCCGTTGAAGAACATGGATTCTGGTCTGGAAGAAGCAAAAAAAGACCCTGTGGCTGGCTCGTGTCGTGTCGTGAGCGATTCTGGCCCGTCCGTCGTCGCCCGGGAATACCCTTGTACGGAATACGGATACGATTCCCGTCTTTGGCGTGTTCTGTTCCAACTTCTGGCCCGTGTAGCCGTGTATATGAGTTGCTCATCTCCCAGTCCCATGTCGAAACGGCCGCCCTTTCACGCCATCCGTCCTCAACCCCGCAACGTCTTAGTCCGTACAAGTCTCTGCTCGTCTTGGACATCACATCACCCCGCATTGCGTCTTGATGGACCCCAAAAATAAAAATAAAAACAAAATATAACTAGAAAATACAAAAAAGAAAAGAAGAAACGGCCTTCCAACCTGCCCGCCAACATGCCCGCGCAAATGTCAACCGACCGCCTCGCGGACCTGGAGAGAGACGGATTTGTCGTCGTTCGAGGCATCGTCGGCGATGACAAGCTCGAGGAACTTCGGGAAGCCAGTCTCAGGGTCGAGAAGCTCGGGCGGTCTGGTCAGTGGCCGCACATTCGTACAGTCGGCAAGCAGTTCCCTCCGTGGACGTTTTCGCCGGACAAGGGCATCTGGGGTGTTCAGCACCTCATGAACCCCGACCTGCCCGGCCACGACATCTTCACCCGTCAGTACTTTTCCGAGGAAATCTTGAGCATCGTGCGTGAACTTCTCCAGTGCGACGACAGCCAGCTTGTCATGGAGCTCTTCAACATGCTCGTCCGGCCAGACGGCGACTTTGAGCTTCGATGGCACCGCGATGACATCCCCGCCGAGGCCTCCGCCGAAGAAGAGATGGAACGTCTCAGTCGCCCCGCCTTCCACGCGCAGTACAATCTTGCGCTCTGGGAGGATGAGTCCCTCGTCTTGATCCCCGCATCTCACAAGCGTCCTCGGACCGAGACCGAGCGCAATGCGGATCCCTTTGAGACGGCTCTGCCCGGGCAGCTGGTTGTCAAGCTGGGTCCCGGAGACATCGCCTTCTACAACAATAACATCTTGCACCGTGGTGTCTATGATGCGAAAAAGGACCGCGTCACTTTGCACGGCTCCGTCGGCCACTCTGGTGGTAGTCAGCTCCGCGCACGCAACGTCTTGCAGCACGGCATCGCCAACTACGTCGACAGGGTCGACTTCTCCAAGCTGAGCCGTGGCGATAGACAGCGCGCCGAGGAGATGCGCGCTAGACTGGTGAAATTGGGCAGTGAGAGTGGCGAGGTCGGATATTCTCTGCAGGGATAAGCAACAGTCTTGATCGTGTGTCTGAATTCTGTGGAAATGAGTCCGACGACAGTCGAGGTTGACCAAGAGTAAGCACTCATGATGGTTCAGATGGGGCGGCTGCGGGTCTGTACTTGCATTCTCACGATGGGAGAAGGCAACGGCTGATATTTGTCGGCTACATTTCCCATCTTGTACACGAGAATTATTTGTTCCAACTTCTGAGTCGTCCATTTTTTCTTAGCCGTCATCTTGCAGCGACGAAATGCTTGCGTATGACAACATGACCAGGAGATCCTCGCAAAGTACCCGTGGACGGCTGGGGTTACGTACTTGTGCTAACATTCGATAGCATGGTTTGACGGTATGTGTTTAAACGCCGCATCTCCCACCGATTGGTTTCCAGGCCGTTGCATAGTCACAAAAAGGCAATGGCATGATAAGGCACGCATCATTTCACAATAGTCCCCAAGGACTGCGATCCGTCGGAGCACAGTAGGTAATTGACAAGAGGTATTTTCCCGAGGACGTGCCTGAATTGGGTTTGATATCTTGGCGCCCCGGCTTGAGAATTCTTGTTCGACCTCGACCAATGTCGAATGGACAACTGTGAGTCCATGACATGCTTGTAATCTCTGGGCGCGGGCCGCATTTGCTGAATGCCAATGATCAAGAGATTTGGGGCCGTACAGGCTAGATGTCAAGATGTAAACATCACAACTACACGAATCGGCGTGAGAGGACCTTGGCCCGAATCTCTGTCGTCGAGAATGACAAAGGGTGACATATTCTGCAGCTGGCTGTAAAATGTATGGTTTGCGGGACATGTGACTTTTTGCATCAGCTCATGAAACGACTGGCAAACGGCAAAGATGCTTGTTTAGACCTTGTTGAGTCGACATGACTGTTCAGTCAGCCAGTTCCTGCACAGCGGGAGTAGGCGCAGAGAACTGGCAAGTTTTGGCCTCAAGGTCGCACTCTGTACGCTGAATTGTCGGGAATGGACTCCCCATGGCAGAGCCATCGCTCGTGTCGCCTGGTATCGTTACTAGCTGTTCAGCGAGAATGGGGGTCGTATTCCTCCTTCTCTGTCTTGTTTTCAATCGACGGGGGCCATGTTGGTCTCGAGCCACGCATACGTATTGTTTCCATTGGGACGGTACGCAGACCAGTTTTGGAGCAAGGATGACTTGACAGAAGGCACCGGACTAGAGTCTTGCAGGCTGTACGATGTTTCCAAGGCGATAGAAAATGTATACAAAAAATCAAGGACTGAAGAAGCGAGTTACTACCAAGCAAGTACTGAGCAGCTACCCAGGGACACGATTACGGAGTACATGTATGCCAAAAGGAGTACGAGTCAGTACTTGGGCAGTTGCGGGCCAGGCGGGGGAAGGAGCGCTGACTCGGCCGACCGTCTGCTTTTCCTGCTCGCCGGTGGAAAGTTCGTCGAGCGTAAAACATGTCGCATCCTTCATCATACCGCGCCGACAATGGCCACTCTGGAGGACGCCTCATGATCGACAGATTTGAGCAAAGCCCACAGCGGATCTGACGCTTTTGATGTCGACTGGTCGTATTGCAGCTGCGAGCTACGGGCCTGCACATTTGCCGTGGTTGATGGATTGATTCCGCATCCGCACCGGGACTTGGGACCGTGATAATTCCCTACACATTGAACTCGTCTGTGCGTTTCAACAGGGACAACGACTGAGCACATGCTAGCCTGCCGCCAATGCCTAGCCGCACAAACTCTGCATTTCCCTCTTACGACATATGCGACAGGTAACAGTGGCTGAAGAAGGCTGGCTGATATTCAAGATGGACAAACACGACACTGAAGCATGACGACGCGAGGAGCGAAGTAGGCAGCTGTCATGGCTGCCACTCAACAGAGAACCTTGGCTCAGCCAACTGGGGCGTCAGGTTTGGGTCTCGGGCCCCCACGCTATGACAACCAATTCGATGCAATCTGCAGGGTGTGAGTGATGTGTGATGTTGCAGAACACGCCCACAGCCTCAGAGAATGGTCGCGCTAACAATCCAACGATACCACAGCCGCACCTTGGGAGTGACTTTCCAATCATACATCTTGGACAGCTGATTATCTGACCAGAGCGGCCCGACATACCGTCATGTCATCACCCTTTTCCATGTGTCTACGCTCGCCGCCATGATACGGTAATAACAGAGCGGTGTCATGTGTTTTGCGACTAGGGCCGAGGGTGTCCCGTCCTGTTGGACACCACCGTTGGGGACCGATTATAGAGGACAAGGCATCATGAGTTGCAGCACAACCGACGAGGACAGCACACGACCTCCCTCTAACGTCAGTCTGAAGGAAACCTTGAAACCGCCAATCTCGACTCGGCCCTTATCCGCGGGTTTACAGTGGTTGTCTGCTCCGTCCTTCCGGCTCCGCTCCAGGGTCTCGAGAGTCTCAGACGGGGGCCGCGTTGCACCAGCCCTTCCTCACCTCAGACCATCTAATAATAACACGTTGCAGACAAGGCTAACCTGACAAAGTACTGCGATCGGCACACCACTAAGAGTCGGGGTGTCGCAGTAGCTGCTTGGTCGCAAGGCCAGAGCATCAGAAAGCTTCTGTGTCCGGTCTTCCTCCTTCCACTGCTGTTCGCGTGTGCTTTCATCGTTGACGGCCGTTGGAAGGTTCCCGAGAGATGGTATCCAATGGATAACGCCACTGCGGAGTACATGGGGAATCATCAGTTTGGATGCACATCTAGCTTTCCGATGTTGCCAAAGGAGGATGGAAACACGAGCGAATTGCTACTCGGAACCGGCATCCCATGACCGGTTCGCCGGTACTGGAGCAGTTCCACAGAGCTTGGTGTGCCACCGGACCCGAGCCTCGTTTGGCTGCGGTTTTTGTGTGCTCCTCAATGCGATCAACGCCACCAGAGGCCATGATTGCGAGTTGCCAAAGGAGGCATGCCTGCATGGTTGTCCCAGTCCCCAGCAGGCGCGCCATGGCTTCAAAAGTTCAACGAAGCTACCCATCTTCTCCAATGCGGAGTTGACCCCAGGTCTTGACTTGACCCCATGGGGGGATACCCGCGCCCGCGCGCCCGCCCCCACCTGAAGCCTGGATATCGTTTGGATATTTTGGAGAGAAGGGTGCAGCAAAGATTCCTCGACCCCGTCTCTCTGCATCCAAGGAACGGCGAGAGTCGAAACGCGCTTGTTACAACCTTCCGAGAACATCGCCTCGCTTGCCTCCAGTTGCGAATGGTTCCTTTTGCCCAATTTGGAAGCAAGCTTTCCCACCCCAGGCCCCAGGTTGGCACATGGCATTTTCTGGGGCCATGGGCATGTGCAAGGGCACGAATGTTTTTGCCACTGCATTTCGGTGGCTTCGCTCCAAGAACATGCCATGCCGTCTTGGCCTCGCCTTGTTTCCCACACTGGCCAACCTTGCCCTTGATCCCATGCTCTGATTCTGCACCTAGTCTTGGTATCGATGTTTTGGCAGTGCCAATGTTTTGATCGCTTTTTTACAATGCCCTGACGCCAGAACGGGCTGTCCTCCCCTCTTTCCTGCCGAGTTCTAATCCATGCTGACGTTTCTGTTTTCCCTTCGAAGTTGTGGGAGGTCTTCCTCGTCCGGTACGCAGACATTCAGTCGCGCTAAACACTCTTGACCGGGATTGAGCTCCTCTCCGCATTTTCGTGTCGTAATCCCTGCTCGGTTCTCCAGTCTTTACTCGTCATCTAATGACTGGGCTATCATCATCTCCTTCCGCAAGTTAGCGAGTTGCTTTTCACACCCTCCCTGCCCCGGGCCTCAGTAAAGGGACCTCCTCACCTTATCGTCATAGCACAAAATATCACGAGCATTCACGAGGAGTTACGACGGGGAAGGTGGAAGCCACCGTGAGGGTCTTTTCATTCCGTCAGCGCAAATCTACTGCCTACTTGACAGGGCTTATGTCAGTGGCACCCCACAGAGGTTCCTTCTTTTCCCCCAACGTCTCCAAAAATCCCGAGCGTGCAAGACTCACCCTCCTTCACGGAGGGAGTAATGCAGAGTGAAAGGCATTGGTCAACGTTGTGTGTTTTCTGGGCGTCATCATGCTTCCTATACACCACGGGCTCGGCGGCGGCCCTCCTCATGCGCAGGGAGCCAGTCTTGCCTTGGGGGAACCAGCACAAAACCGCGGCCAGAAGCCCAAGACGTTACCGTGCAAATACTGTAGCAAGAGATTTAGGTACGTGACCAGTTTTCCTTGACAACTGTCTGACTAGAGCAAGCTATGCTAACGAATATCAACCATGACAGGCGAGTTGAACACGTTCAACGGCATGAAAGAACTCATACAAAAGAGAAACCATTTGGTTGCAACTGGGATCGTTGTGGGAAAACTTTTGGACGACGGTAAGCTATGAGACACCTGTCTGCCTCCAACGTCATAGTCACGTCCCTCTGGCATGCACCAGTATACCACTCCCCCTCACCAGCACTTCTCCCAACACCTGGCAACCAAGCACAAAAAGCGCGCAAACGGTGTCCTCGGGTAGTATAGGCGAGCCGTTCCAAGTCCCACGCCACAAGTTCGTGTCCTGGCTTTCTCTGCTACGTACACCCATTCTATACACACATGCATATTTATTCATTTTTCATCCCATTGTACTCTGCTCCTCATCAACTTATATTGGCTTGAATATGGTCTGAATAGAAGTATACTTATATGGACATCAGTGATCTTCTCGTCAGGCACGAGAAACTCGTTCACCTTAATGATGGAGACAGAGATGGCAAGCAGCAAAGAAAGGTGTCTTCTAGTACAACCTCTCACAAGGCATCGATGTCAGACGGCAACATCGACGTAGAGCCTATGGGATCACACCAAGCTTCCATGAATCAACACGGATCACTTCAACACCAACAGTCGACACAACACCGGCCGGTGTATCATCACACCGCTGTCAATCCGGTCGTTGGATCTGGTCACCATCACCTCACACAAGATCCCCATGCTGCTACTCCACGATCCATGGCCTGCAATCTCGATGTTCTCTCTGACGCTGCTCTGGCAACCGAGGTCAATACCGGACCGCCGATGCTTGATGATATGTCGCAGCAGGATACTGTTCATCATAATGGAGTCAAAATTTTCGATGAATCCGTGAGAAGTTGTCCCGACCGTCCTCGTCACGAACAATCAGAGTCTATGTTGTCGTCAGATTTTGCACCTCAGTCCGCGCAACCGGGGTACGACGACTACAACCTATTCTTGGACGAGTTTGCCGGCTCTGCATGTATTTTGCCTCCACATTTTAAGTCCGAACAACAATTCAGTATGTGGGCAAAGGTGCCTGGACAAGGAAACGTGAGAAGTCACTCTCGGCCTTTGTCACAATTTCCTTCTCATTTTGGTTCTCTAGCCCCCGATATTCGAGAGCTGATTGATACAGGGCAGCGGTCACGCGAAGACTCGATAAGAGAAAATCTACTTCGAATTTCGGCCGCAGACTATAACATCATGAAGGGTCATCTTGATGAGTTTTCAGCAGTTTTGCCGAGCGATTTCATCTTTCCGTCTCGTCACACATTATCGCGGTTTCTCGAGGGCTATATCGGCGGATTTCATGACCACATACCATTTCTGCATTTGCCTACCCTGGTTCCTGTCGACGTGGCTCCGGAGTTGCTCCTGGCAATACTGGCAGTTGGTGCTCAATATAGATTTGAGAGCAACAGAGGCTATGCCTTGTGGTATGCGGCGAGAACTGTTGCCCTGGAACAAATTAAGAGACGACACAGTTCCGAAGTAGACGCCTTGCTACCAACAGCCGCGTCGTACAGCCCGCATTCAACAAGACCGTCCCCTAGCACAAGCTACAGGCACTCTTTTGCATCGGCGGTCTCTGAACGATCCGTAACTCATGATACCCATCGCGAAGCATGGTAAGTTCTCAAAATATACACCAAGAACTGGCAACCTTGTACTTGTTCGAAGTCGGTGCCCTGAGCTAAAACGATCATCCAGCTCTCCTAATACCCCAGGAGCCAGACTCGAAACGATCCAAGCAGTCCTCCTTCTGTTTGCCGTAGGCCTGTGGGGCGCCAAAACAATTCTTCAAGAGGCCTTGTCATTGCAGAGCAATCTGGCCATTCTGATCCGCGAGGAAAGTCTGAACGGAGAGACCAGCCCGTCGTCTCTCAATGAATGGGAGGCATGGATACGGTTGGAAGGCGCTAATCGAACAAAACTAATTGCCTTTTGTTTCTTTAATCTCTGTAGCACAGCATACGATATGCCGCCACTTCTTCTTACTGCAGAGCTCAATTTGTACATGCCGGCGCGATCAAGACTTTGGAGAGCCGACTCTGCCTGGCAATGGCAAGAACTGCGGCAGACCACACCTGGGGCCGACATGACCGTGCACGGAGCCTTCTCACGACTATTCAACCGCACTACCCAGGGCTTCCCAAATAATCTTTCCTCACTTGGCCATTATATATTGATCCATGCTTTGATTCAACATGTATATCTTTTGAAGCATACATCTTTTGCAGCTGCTTCGCCATACGGCGTGCAACGAACATTGAAACCGGAGGACGTCGAGGAGGTTTCGCAGGCACTGCGAGTGTGGCAGACTAGCTTTGAACATCGGCACCAACTTCGAGCTGCAGAGTCCGGGTATTCGATGGGCACTGACTCGAGCCCCGGGGGATCGCTTGCGTTCAACGCCGCTGCTCTTCTGCGGCTAGCGTATATTCGCTTATACACGGACATATCTCCAAGCCGTGCCCTTGAGACCAGAGACTCGACGATGATCGCATCGGCACTGAACAGCACGCCCTTGTTGCATCGCAGCTTCAGACTACACCGCGCGGTGTTTCAGGCTGTGCTCGTATTGTCTATGCTTGTCAAGGCCGGGGTGAATTACGTTGCACGGGCAAAGTCCGCCGAGTGGAGCATAGAGCATTCACGTCAGTATTGTGCCAGCTACCACGTGACTGGGATTGACTGACCATGTCCTTACCAGTGTGCAACTTTGAGTGCGCGCTGTTGCTAGCTAAATGGCTAGGCACTCTGTCAGCCATGACAGCGTCAGACCCAGCGACACCACCGGAGGAAAGGGATCTTTTACAAAACATTCGACGTATGCTGGATGAGACTGAATTTGCAGTTCCCGTCGACCCCTCACTTGCTGGGCCAAGCTCGATTTCTGTGCCGATGGAATTGGTGACCAGCGAGGGTGCAAAACTGAGGCAACTTGCAAGTGCTGTCGTCCGATTGTGGGCAGAAACTTTTAAAGGTGTGCATATATTTGACATGGTTAAAGCAATGGGCGCAAGCCTAGATGCTTATGCCGATCTTGTGGACAAACGGCGGGAACATAGCCCAAGTATGGCTAGGATGGCACCTGAAGCCGGCATAACCTGATGATGATTTTGATGAATTTCTCTTTAAATTTTTTTTGTTTAAAAGAAAAAGAAGAAGGAGAAGGAGAAATCAATGAGTCATGATGATTATGTCTGGCGCATGTTGTTGTATGGCGAGTGTGTAGGAAAATAGATGAAACCATCTTCATGCAATATCAACGGGAGGTTTCGCCCACCAGATGATGAATTCAAGACGCTGATGGTCTCGGAGAGCCACAGTGGCTCGAGAATTCGCCGTTCGAAGTAGCCCATCTGTGCTCTATGATGGTGACGAACTTACGCTGTTGCCTAGAGCCGTGAACTGTTGAGGGCTGCCTCGGCCTTGCAAATACCCATACACATGTACAGCAGAGTATCGAGAAATTCTTCAGCCAATTTTAAGGTTGGGGTTTGGCCGAGGCACGGCCAAGGGTATCCGAGCAGGGTCCGTTTGTAGTCTGTGCTCGGCGCTCGGCGAATGGTTAGACGCACCGAAATCCGACAGTCACGCGGCCACGCCATCCAAGGTCGTCCCTTCCCCCTTCCCGCGGCGTGGTGTGGGGCCGCGCCTGCCGCAACCTCGGCTGAAGTGCAACGCAACAAAACCACGGGTGGCGCCGCATGGATTTATCGTCGTTTTGTGTCTTGTCTGGAATCTTTTGTTCTTGTCAAATTTCTTTCGGGCGCTGCATCTTGGATAGATTGTTTTGAACACTGGGCTAGATTCGCTGCGAGCGCTGTCTATCTGATTGCTTCTTGTCACGAACTCACGAGCCTTGCTTGTCAGCATCCTCACCAGCGAGCAACATTACGACCCCATACGCCGAGTAGCGAAGCAAACATGCCTATCGTTACGGAACTCACCAAGAGGCTGGGCATCCGCGGTATGTGCGACGGGGATCCCGAGCCTACAGAGAGCGTCTATCCCCCACCGCTCTGGTGTCTTGGCTTCGTGTCCCAGAACACAGAGGCAGGCGAAAAAAGACTCCAGCTTCTGACAGCTCGCAGTGCCCGTTGTCCAAGGCGGCATGATGCACGTCGGTACCGCAGACCTTGCCTCGGCCGTCTCCAACGCCGGCGGTCTGGGCATCATCACGGCCCTCATCTTCACCTCGCCCGCCGCCCTGCGCGACGAAATCCGCCGATGCCGCACTCTCACCAAGAAGCCCTTCGCCGTCAACATGACTCTCCTCCCGTCAATGGTTCCCCCAGACTATGGCGCCTACGCCCAGACCATCATTGACGAAGGCATCAAGATTGTCGAGACGGCGGGCAACTCGCCCGGGCCTGTCATCAAGCAGCTCAAGCAGGCTGGCATCACTGTCCTCCACAAGTGCACCACGATTCGCCATGCTCAGAGCGCCGTCAAACTCGGCGTCGACTTCTTGTCCATTGACGGATTCGAGTGTGCCGGCCACGTCGGCGAGAGCGACATCACCAACTTCATCCTGCTGAGCAGAGCTCGTCAGACCCTCAAGGTCCCCTTCATTGCCAGCGGTGGTTTTGCCGATGGCCACGGCCTGGCTGCGGCCCTGCTGCTCGGTGCTTCGGGCATCAACATGGGCACGCGGTTCATGGCTACCGTCGAGGCCCCTATCCACCAGAACATCAAGGATGCCATTGTCAAGAGTGACGAGCACGACACCACGCTGCTGCTGAGAAGATGGCGCAACACCAGCCGCCTGTTCAAGAACAAGGTTGCCCTCGATGCGCTCAAGATTGAGAAGGAGAGCCCGACGGGCGAGTTCAGCGAGGTTGCGCCCCTGGTCAGCGGCAAGCGAGGAAAGGAGGTGTTTACCACTGGCGACCCAGAGTACGGTGTACGTTCCCCCCCCCCCAACCTTTCCCCCTTTCCCCTTTTCGCCGTTGCTGGGACGAATCCCGTGTCGTCAGTCGGGCTTTGCTTGGTGAGTTTTTGAACTTGTCTACTAACTTGGCCGTGATGAAAGGTCTGGACTGCCGGCCCCGTCATGGGTCTCATTCACGACGTGCCCACGTGCGACGTGCTAGTCAAGCGTATTGAGAAGGAAGCCGAGCAAGCCTTCAAGGAGAAATCAACCCTCATTGTCCCCGAGTCCAAGTTGTAAAAGATTTCTGCTGCAAGCTGTCTAGCGGGCATTGTCGTCTATATATTCCGCGCAATACACTCGATTTTGAACACGTCTTTTCGTTCCTCCATGCATGCCTGCCTGCCTGCCGTACTCCGTCTGCCACGGGTACCCTTAGCCTAGTTCCCGGTGTGAGAACAACACCGAAGCCCAGAGCGCCCATTCTGGCATCAAGTGCTCCTGGAAAGCAACCCCGGCATCTGCGCCCTGCGCCAGGCGGTATCGAACCGCGTCCCCTCCGGGGGGTCCAGCAGCTCACAGAAGCGCTGGTTCGTCTGCCCACGGTAGTGATACAGCATCTCGGGCATGCGGTTGTGGAAATCCCCATGCGATGCGTCGTGCACACTGCTCGCGCACAGGCTGATACCCGTGTCGGCCATGGTGGTGTCGGGCGCCTCCGACACGCGCCAGCCGGCCGGGCAAGGGGGCACACTGGGCCGACGAGCAGGCACGTCCTCGTCCAGGACGAGCTGTGCCTCCGCAATGGCCCCCCGAAGCCCGAGGTAGAACCTGTCGGAAGCGTCGGACGCCTTTGCCAGCGAAAAGACACGGTCCAGGCCGCGGCGCCCCAGCCAGAGCGTGCTGTCCTGCCTGAAGCAGGGAGACTCCATGGCCGCGTGCCAGGTGCAGCGGCGGCCGTTGCCAGGCTCGCACCTCCACGCCGCGGTCTCCTCCTCCTCCGGCGGCTCTCCCGACGAGCACACGGGCGTGGGCTGCGGCTTGCGCGGCGAGCACGGCAGGGCCGTGGAGTGAAAGTACGGCTTGGGGAAGCGGAAGTCGAAGAACCTCAGCGCCGGGGCGGTGTTGTTCCCCGAGACGAAGCGCTCGGTGCCGTAGACGAGCAGAGGCCCGCCGGCGTGGTACGGCTGGAAGGTATCCCTGTATACGGCGTCGTAGGGCGACGGCGAGCGGACGTCCATGAGGCGGAAGGACCCGTCGTGCCAGGAGCTCAGGAGCAGGTTGCTGTTGTGCCGGTGCCCGACGGCCTGCATCGACCACACCGTCGTCACGTCGGGGCTGTGCGAGGCGGGCGCGAACTCGAGGCCGGTAGGGCGCATGGTGCCGTGCCGGATGGGCTGGGAACTCGCGCCCAAGGCGACGGCGATGCCGGTCCCCCCGAGGAACTTGACGTCCCGGATCAGGGATTCCTGGGTGCTGATGCTGCGGCCGCTGCGGCCGCCGTCCCTCGACATGTCGTGGAAGGCGGGCGGCTCGGGAGCACCGGCCTCCCTCTCGAGGGGGATGCGGCGCAGGTGAAGACGCGAGCCGCGGCAGGTGGCCAGCACGTCAGCGGCGGGATGCCATTCCGCGCAGACGACGGCCATGCGGCCGGGGGAGATGCCCGAGGGCGGCGCCCGGGGACGCGCATCTCGTCGCCCGTCCCCGTCCGCGTCCGCGTCCGCGTCCAGCCCGCCGGCGGCCTCGGTCGGCTGGCCAAAGGACTCGTCGTTTGCGGCCGAGAGGATCTGCACGTCGCCGTTGGCTCGTCCGACCACGACCTCGGGCAGCCCGGCGCGCCGCTCCATGACCTTGAGGCACGTGGCATCGCCCGTGCCGGGGGCGTACCCGGCGTCCCGTCCCAGGATGCTCCTCCACGCCTGCTGCCTCGCCCGCTGCTCCGAGTCGTCGCGCCACCGCACGTGGACGTCCTCGCCGCCTCCCCAGGCAACCACCTCCCCCCCCAGGGACGGCACGTCGAGGGCGTCGACGACGCCGTGAAAGTCAATCGCCTGCCGTGGCCGTCGGGCGGCGGCGGCCTTCCCGCGCGGCGCGGGCTGGTTCTGGCTTCTGAACAGGCTCAGCCGGATGGCGCGCTTGTCCCAGCAGCGGTCGAGGTAGGAGAGTAAGTCGGCGACGCTGCTCCAGGACCGCGCGTCGCCGCGTGGCACCTGGAGGGACGGGAATCTCGTCTTGACAAACGTCTTCCAGCCCGCCTGCTGGACGACGTGGTGCGTGTGCTTGGAGACGAGGCCGAGATGCGACGTGCCTCGGGCGGTGTCGACGTGCTGGACAATGGCGAGCAACAGGTCATCCGGCAGACTTGCCAGGGACGCAGGTGCCATCACGTGGAATGCATGCGTCCGGGTGCAGGGGCGGCGGTGGCCCTGGTCTCGATCGAGCGGTTTGGTGTTTGGTGTTGACGAGAGCATCCCGGCGGTTTGGCCGTCGACATGTCGGTCCTTGGGATGTCGCAAACAGCCAATCAAGTTCTGTGGTGCTCCATTTTTACCCACGGCCGCGCGGCAACTTTTGGACTCGGCACATCTCACATCGCCTCAACCGTCAATCCACGTTCCGCGTGGCCCTCGGTCTGTGCACGCGCATCATCAGGGCTTCCGCCATCATTTCGCATCTCTAGCTTCATGTATTCTTGTATATATCCTACTTGTGAGGTCGGAACCGGGCTCTCGGCCCCCTCTTTCCAAGCCAACCAACTGGTTCATCCACAAAATGTCTCGCCAAGCCCCCCAAAACGCCAAGCCATGCACGGCAATTCGCCAACGAAGCAACTCTGCCCCCATTCTCCTTGTCCTGCATGCCGTCACGACGCTTTGCTGGAATCGTCTCGAGCGCCTCTGTTTCCGGGCCCCGAAATCACATGAGAAGATACATCGCCCGCGCCGCCTTCTCGGCCGCTGCCACGTGCCACGGACGAACGTCCATTTCTCTCGGCACCATCCCCCTAGCTCTCGACAGGGTTGCCAGCCCCCTGAAGTAGCTGAGCATTTCCCTCAACAGGGGCTCGTACGACCTCGGCAAGGCTTCCGTGTGTATGAGATTGACCTCCATGGCCACCGGCACATCCTCAGCTCGCGCACCTGTCCTCTTGATCAGGAAGCCACTGACCAACGCCGGACACAAGTCCGTTACCCCCGACGAGTTGTTCAGTCGGTGGCCGACAATGGCGCCCCACGTCTGGTCCGTGACGTCGGCGAGAACAGCATCCGTCTCGGAGTCGGCTCCCGCTTCTCCCCCGCCCGGCGTTGCCGGCGTCGCGCTTTGCTCCGGCGACACAATGTTGGCCTGCGGCGTCGAAACTGGCGTCGTGTAAAACGGCACAGACGGCTGTGGCAGCCTGACCACGGGCGGCACCAGTTGCAGCCACGGATCGGTATCGGCCGTCATCAAGATCATTGTCACTGGGAGCTTGATTTCGGTACGGGCCAAGTCCACCCAGAAATCGATTTCTTGTTGGTCCATGGGCCCGCACTTGGTGATGATGATGCGCCAGTGAACTTTCCACGCAGAGATTAGGTCCAGAGTAGACTCCCATATCTCGTGGGCCACCTTGTCCATGGGCGTAGACAGCGGTCTGCCTTTGCGCCCCAGGCAGTACGAGGCCGTTGCCTGCTGGTTACCTCGATCGTCCGTCCAAGCACTCGTCACCCAACGCCCGTCCACGGTCTGGGCGTAGGCAACGTGGATACACGAGTTCTCTCTGATGAGGGACACTGAAGGTTGCGTGTTGAGCTTGAAGTCGATGATGCGCGGTAGAGGCTGCTCCAGTCGAATCGCTGGCGCGGGCATCGGTCCGCCAAAGAGGGTGCAGCGGTCATACGTCTCCATGCAGAGCCTCGCAAGATCGACAGAGGGCGTGACCACGACCGAAGTTGGCGAGGATAGCAAGTCAGACGATACGAGCTGCAAAACGAGCTCGTTTGCTGCCGTCTCCTTCTTTGCCGCCAGGTCCATCTGGTACGAATCGAAGAAACGTTGGAATGCCGCACATGCCTCGACTATGGTGCCAGGGTTGTTTGGGGAATACACGAAGTAAACGACAACATTCGTGTCCGAAACGGTCAGGCTCGAAAGTGAACCTCGCAGCGTCTCCATGCTACCTATCAAGGCTGAGCCGTGCCCCGTCAACGTGGCATCGGGAGAAGTTGAGATGCGGTCCACTTCGTAAGGGAGAAGGCCGGCATCCATGTCGGGTGCTAGCGTCATGTTTTCGAAAGATCCGAGTCTCAGAACTTCGTAGACACTCTTGACCCGTCCCAAGAATGTTTTGGCGTTGTCTGCCATTCCCTTCCATCCCGGAAAAACACAGACTGCCGTTATGTCCTTGTTGCCTGAAGATGGCGCTAGCCCCAAGCTTTCCCAAAATGCAACGGCTGAGGGCAGGACGGAGAGTTTTGCTTCCGATCTACGAACCTCCAAATGTGGCCCCGGGATCTGGTATAGATTGCTAGGGCGCATCTGCTCGGCATTCGCGTCTCTCCCGGGCATGGGCCGCGGTTGCATCCTGGGTTGGCCTTGTAAGAGTACGTCTTGAATGTCAAGAAACGCCTTTAGACGAACAGGCTCCACGCCCCGTAGAAAGAGTGGGAGAGCGTCACCGAGCTGCTGAATTGCGGTCCTGGCGTCGCCCAAAGAAGACGCCTGGCTTCGACTCACAATTGACGTGTTGGCGGGGCAGTCCATATTGCAAAGATCCAAGGAGCCTGTCGCAGCCTGCTCCGTCAATATTTGGGCTACCTGAATGAGATCCTCGTCGCCGAGAGCGAGCTCCAGGGCAAGGGGCTCAGGATCGGAGAAAAGTTTGGAAAGTGGCAGTTCTGGCGTTTCAGGCTTGGCTAGACGGGGCAGCTCAGCTGCAAGCTGATGGTCCGGTTCCTCCATCATATCTTGTTCCTTCGTGGAGGTCACCTGTGATGCCACATCGTCCTCCGCCGGTGCCTGCTTGATACTAGACTTTAGTGGGGACGTCGGCTCGTCGCTCGTATAACTTGAGTCGTCTTGGTCAGACTCCGTACTGCTTTGTTCGTCATCCGAAATCTGCGTGTCCAATTTTGTAGGGCTACGGCCCGAGAGCGGCGGCTCGAGACCAGGTAAAGGTCCCATGAGAGACCCAGCATACGATCTCTGGTCTCTGAATCCTCTGGGAGCCTTGGCAAAACGCCTTAGACAGTCCGTTTCTGGAAAAAGGCCAAGGTCAAGCCTTGAACTTCCCGCAATTGTGCTTTTTCTGTAGTCATATTGACCGCCTTGTTCATATTTCTTGTTAATCATAGGAAGTGCTGGGTCAAAATCCATCTTTTCAAATATCTTGGTCATGCGGTTGGTGTTTTTCGCAAGGGAGTCGTTCTTTTCGGTTGTGGCCAATGATGCACGAACTCGTTTGAACACGGTATGGGGGTCGAATGGGCTGGATTCTCGTTTCATAGAAACGGGCCGACTGTCCCTTCCTCTCGACGTTGCATTATCGTTTCGTACGCTGATCGCGTGGCGCAGCTCGGGTTTCGTGAATCCACCATTGTCCTTTTCAACCTCTTGTTCTTCCTCCACCGGGTCCTTGGCATTACGCATTTCCTCATCAGCTGCATGGTCCTCTGTGGCAATGATTTCATCCGTCGTTGCAGCGCCCATATCGGCAAATGTAGCTTCAAGATCAACGCTCCCAGGCTCCTCATCGAAAAAATTGAAGTCGGCTTCGGTGATGTCGTTGTCGCCAAACATATCCTCGCCCATGTCGCCAAACATGTGTTCAGCTTCACCAAGAAGGTTGCTGTCACTCCTTTGCCTTTTGGTTTCTGATAAATCTCGCCCAGGTTCAAAGGACGCCCCAATAGTCACAGAGACAGACCCATTGTTGTCGGCTTCTGGCAAAGCCGCGGCAGACAAAGGATTTCCCGGACTTGACAGCGTGCCGTCAAGAGAGGGTGTTACCCCGGGAGCATTTTGCAGGGCATCGGGCGGAGTTGGATACACTGAGCCAGCTGCGGCTGTACTCAGCCGCCTCAAGGTTAGGGGGGACTGGCCATTTGGCCTCGTAGGTCTGGAATCGCTACTGAAGCCCTCGCTTGGCACCGCTGCGCGTTCTGCCTTTCTTTTAGATATCTTCTCGTCTCGCTCAGATGTGGAACTAAACCAAAACTGCGCATTGCCTAAAGGGTCGTGGCTTTCTTCATGACCTCGAAGTATGGTCTCACCTACTCGACTCGTCGATGAAACTTCAACCGGTCGCTTCCTAAAGCACAGCGGGCTGGGCCAGGGAATCGTAACTGTAGAATTAGGCACCGACAGCCTCTTGACGTCGTTCTTTGCATCTTGGAGTTTGGGCCCGGAGATGAGTAAATTCATCCAGAAACAATCCGTGAATTTGGATTGGGCAACACCTCGGAGCTGCAAAAATTTCAAGCATGCCTGCTTCCATAGCGAATTGTGAATATCCGGAGCTCCTCGAAGACTCAATGCTGCTTGTGTGTTTGGTGTTTGCACCATACTCGCTGTTCCACCATCAAATTGGGCACCGGACTGGTTGCTGGCAATCATGCCAAACGGAGCCGCAAGAATTTGCTGTCCAAGTAAACCCGGGGGGGAGTCGCTATAAGATAATAGACCTTGGCGTACTGAGATGTTGATGCACACCACAAGAACACCCGTGGTCGTCAGGTATGCGCTGAATGTGCCGATGGTAGGAAATTTTCCCTGGACCAAGTCGAAGGATCCACAGTTTCCTAGAGTATATTGCGAAAGTAATACCGTCCGATAGTTAAGAGGAATGGAATCAGTGCGGCTGCAGAATGCTGACTGTATCGTCGAGAGGGCCGCGATGATGAAGCTCTCATAAGCTTTGGTAGGCGATGGCCCTCCTTGCACTGACTTCGCGTCCAGAACCGACGTGTTCCCTTTCGAGTCTTGCTCTTGTAATCCAGGAAGGCCGAGATGCGATGTCACAGCTGGAGCATGGCGTTGCGACTGGTCCAAAGCAGGTGCGCTTGAAGTTGAACTGGTAGGAGTATGCCCTGCTTGTGGCTGTTGTGATCGAGCTCTCGGAAGACTGCTTGGCTCAAAATACCCTTCTTCTCCTACATTAAGTGAGTAGCCACGCAAGCTAAGAGATGAGTCCAGCTCTTGACTACTGACTTCATCATTCCCCTCCTTGCCAACGATCCTGAAGTGCCAAATACCACGTTTACTGGCATCGTAATAAACGACATGGCCTTTTTCCCTTAAAAATTTTTCGATTTCAACGGCCACGAGGCCAAAGCTTGAGGACTGATCTGATGACGGTTCGTACACGCGAAAGGAAATCGAAGCGATGTTGTTCTGTGACGCAGGTTAGCTCTCGCAACCTCCGTCGTGGGATTCTCAGCCATGCACGCACCACGACGAAGACATTGGTATCATATTCGGCAACATCCATTTCGGTTACTCCGTTTGTGAGGCGCTTGCGACAGGTCTGCGCAATACCACAGGAGTTATTGGATGTCCCAGCGAGCGGGATGATAACGCTGAGGCGAACAGGAGCAGTCGCGTCCAAGAACTAGGCTAGGAGGCCAGTCTTGCTCCGTAGCTGCTCGGTCTGCAAATAAAATAGCTTATCTACAGCATGCGATTCCGGAATCCGGCAGTTTCACGGGCTCCATCTCAGCGGAGCGTGTTGTTCAGCCGCTGAGCCCAGGTTGCGATGCCTTTGACGGATCGGATAGAAACGGGCCGGATTGTCGTTGCAGGATCGATTAACGCCGACGCCGCAAAAGAAAGACTCATGTACAATATGCAGTGATGTCTGTTATAACGTGGTCCAGGGTCGAGGAGCTGCTGTTGGATGAATAGTCAAAGCCAATGCGGCGTCGCACTCCTCGCGGCAACTTTGATGTCGTAAAAGTGGAGGGTCCTCACGAGAGAACGACGGATAGCCAGTGAGAAGTCGGGGCGGTTCGTAGCGTGACGGGGACAGGGAAGGAGGCGCATTTAAGACTTGGGTGAACTTTGCGGTGGGGTCCCTCACCGACAAAAGTGGGGATTTTCAAGTCCTCCACCAGGACCGTCGCCCTGGGCCCTTCCTTCTTTTTTTTTTTTGCTGATACCGTCAATATCTTGGACGCAAACTCGCGGGAAGTAGACCCCAACCAACGCTGCGTCTACCTGACGCGCAAATCAAAGGTCTGCAGAGATACCGAGATATCGAAAGCCCACGGATGGCAGGCAGACTTTCAGTCCACTCACCATGAAGCTCTCCAATCCGGGGACAGTGCCGGTGTACACAATTTCCGGCGCATCTACTGCCCGACCGCTCCCAGACTGGCTTGCTCGCAGGCGGAAGAGAAGTTTGAAAAATGACCCCGAATATCAGAACCGCGTTGAACTTCTCCAGGACTTCGAATTCGAAGAAGCTAGTAACTGCATTCGCGTGAGCGAAGATGGCGAGTGGATGATGAGTACCGGCACCTACAAACCGCAGATACACGTTCATAACCTCCCACAACTTTCTTTGTCCTTTACTCGCCACACGAATTCTTTGAATCATTCGTTCGTCCTCCTTTCTTCTGACTACTCGAAATCACTTCATCTCCAAAACGATCGAAGACTCGAATTCCACACCCCAATGGGCTGCCACTACGAGGTCCGACTCCCAAGATACGGGCGTGACGTGCTTTACGACCGCCATGCCACCGAAGCTTTGGTGCCCGCGGTAGGTCTGGACTCGGAAGGGAAAGGCGAAGTCTTCCGCATGAATCTGGATCAAGGACGTTTCATGAAGTCGTACCAAATCGACGTAGGCGGTGACGATGAATTGACTGGGGGCGGGTTGCAGGGTGGTATTGGCGTTGGAAGCGTCAATGTTGCCGCAAATGCAGAAGACACACACAACCTCATGGCGTTTGGAACGTCGATGGGCACTGTTGAATTCTGGGATCCGCGGTCGAAATCTCGAGTCGCATTGCTAACTGGGCACGATGGCGAGGTCACGGCATTACATTTCAGCTCGTCGGGATTGTCGCTCGCCACCGGATCTTCCAATGGCATGGTCCAACTCTTCGATCTGCGTCGCCCGGTGGCTCTTCTCAAGAAGGATCATGGATATGGCTTTCCAGTCAAGAAACTTCTTCACATGACAAATTCGTCACATGAAAAGAAAATCATGTCAGCCGATAAGCGTATCATCAAGCTTTGGGATGAGGCAAGTGGTGAGCCTTGGACGTCGGTCGAGCCTGTTGTGGATATCAATGACGTGGCATGGTGCAAAGATACCGGTATGCTCCTCACTGCTAACGAGGGCAAGCAACAACATGCATTCTTCATCCCTCAGCTTGGTCCAGCACCGAAATGGTGCCCATTTCTCGACAGCATGGTGGAGGAAATGGCGGAGGAGGTACATACCGAGACATACGACAACTACAAGTTCTTGACTCTGCCAGAATTAAAACAGTTGAGTCTAGGTCATCTGATCGGCAAGACAAACCTTCTGCGGCCATATATGCACGGATACTTCGTCGCTTCCAAGCTTTATGAGCAAGCCAAGTTGATCGTCAAACCATATGCCTGGGAAGAGGAGAGAATGAAACGTGTCAAGGACAAAGTCGAAAAGGAGCGTGCCAGTAGAATACGAGGCACCAAGAAGGTCAAGATCAACCAGAAGTTGGTTGACAGGATACTCAAGAAACAGGAGAATAGAGAAAAGGTGGACACTAATGCCGGTATTTTGGGAGACGACCGATTCGCAGCGCTCTTTGAAGATGAAGAGTTCAAAGTGGACGAGACTAGCAAGACATTCCAGCTGCTCAATCCCAGTACACATGTTGAGCAGCCTGTGGACCCAAAGGCTCCAACCCGCTACCAAGCTAAGGACTCTGATGATGAATCCAGTGGAAGTGAAGACGAGATTCGCAATTCGGACAAATTACGCAATGATGTGACGATGAGGGTATCGTCTACGCAAAACGAAGGTCGGCCTTTGCGGGACACCGCTCTAGGATCGCGAGTGCAAAAATCAGCGCGGGTGACCAAGTCCCAGCATGGCGATGTCGGCGGTGAACGCCAGGTTACATTTATTCCTGAATCGAAGAAGAAACGGCTACAAGAACAAGCCGAACCATCCTTTCGTCAACAGCCAAGAGGGGGACGAAGGAGTGCCAGCTCCAACACATTCAGGAGAATGTGAAGTCCTCTGCCGCGACCGCGTCACAGGGCTGTCTTTTTGTTGCTGAAATTTCAGGTATCCTCGTAGATCCCCATCAGCACTCGAGACTTCCCAAAACCAATCGTCACAGCCGGACACTTCACCTTACCGAATCACCCGGAGGCTTATTTTTAAACTTGCTCGGAGGCAAGGCCCCTCTTCCAGGTCTTCTGCGCTACGCCGAGGTTTTTGGGCCGTCGTCCTCACTCATGGTGGTTCTGTCCCGTTCAATGATTTCATAGAGCGCTTCATCGACTACGGGAACTCTGTTCGTCTGGGTGTGATGGCAGTAACAACTTTTCTGACAGAATGTCTGAACACTTCAGTTGACTTCCACTCGCGGTTCTTAGCAATGAAGAACATGGTGGCGTTGCAGACTGGGCTTTGAGAGTTTAGCGATGGCAAGCCAGACTGGAATGATTGCATACCTCTGATTATAGCGCCAACAAAAACGATGGCAACAATAGCAACTAGGCCACCGATCGAGATATTCATCGAGTTCGTGGAGGTGTCGCCCCGTTACCTACGTCTCCTCCCTTTGCGCCATCGTAGCCACTGCTGGCATAGGTTGGCAAAGGGAAAGAATGGGTCGTAGTGGTCATGGCGACGTAAGCCAATGTTGGAAATGGGAGATGCAAGCGCTCAATGCTGTGATGCCAGCGTCGTTGCTGTACAGAGTAGCAGGGCGATGTTGTTATGAGAAAGGAGTAGATAGGGCCATTAGCCCAAAGACGAATCAACAAGGCGCAACTTGCGACAGCACAGAGTCTCCCATGGTTTACTCCTCCAGACTCCCTAGGCTAGGCCGTAGTCGCCGCAGTCGCCGTGAAAGTGAAGTGAGGTGTTGTATCACCAGCCGCCGAATAGTTCATTGGACGTTAAGAAGCATACACCCTGGCTCCGATCTCCGAGGCCCATCAGTCCAAAAGAGACGTGCTCCGACTACGGCAGCCAGACAGTTGGTTCGATGTGCCAGCGAACCGCCAAGCATCAGCACATTTACCTTGCTGACCCGCCGATGAGTGCCAAGGAGGCGCCAATGAGATGTAGTAATACGCATTCTTCTTCCTCGGGTAGAAGGACAAACCTAGTCGTGTCTAAAAGATCAGTATCACCAGGACATGAAGCAAGGGCCTCAAATTCGACCTACTCAGATGTTGAGATGCGACAACAAGCTTGAAAGCCCCTGTCGTGTGATATTATCTCATGTCGTTCTACCGAGTCCTGGAAAATTAGATGGAGGGCCGACATGAGACGCATGTCCCATGAAAGCTTTGCTTACCGTTAGCAAAATTATTCACTCTGTAAATTGCTATTTTTAGTCCATACTCGGACTACCAGCCGCATTTACAAAGACTTGCACGTCACTATCGTGATTTTGTTATGACAATGAGCTTGCGGGCGACGAAACCACGCTGTCTGGAAAGCAATGGAAAATCATACTTAACAAAAAATATAACAATAAAAATAAAAATTAAGCTCCCTCTTCCGCATAGTTTTCCGTATTCATGTATCATATGCCGCTTCTATATCCGAATCACGTCTGGTGTGTCCATCAGCGCCATTGTGTATCCTAGGATTCGTACTGCCGTTGCTTCTATCCCAAAGCGACGAGAATGAACAAAATAAAATTTCCATGCATGAAGATGCGGCTGATACACTGCCGGAAATTGTAAGAAGAAAAGAAAAAGTTAAAAGTTAAATTAAATCATGAAAGGAAATCACGTTCATCGCCATCACCTTCTTTCCTTTCGCATGCTTATCTGACAAGTTGGGGAGATGTAAGCGAGCGCCCGGTCGTGCCTGCCCGAGAACACAATGTTGAAGGGAAGGAGCCCACAGGTGCTATTTCCTCCATCAAACAACACACGCCAGCTCATTCCTTGGGCACTGCATTTCTTTTTACATCGGCACAAATCTGTAATATACGCGGCACCGAATCCTCAACTCCATACTGAAGCGCCGATCACCATGTCCCCCAAGGCTCCTGTAACTCACACTGACAAGGCACCTTACTTCCCTGTCAATGCCTTGGATACCGTCGACCATGGCCCTATTCAAGAAGACCCAGGGTTTCTTTGGCAGCGCCAGGCACTGAACCGTACTAAGCTTAATGGCACTGCAGCGAAACAGCAAGAGCCAGCGTCGACTCGTGACAAGCCTCCTCTGCAGAATTTGACAATGTCAACTCAGGTCAGCTCCAAGAAGATATCGGACGAATTTCCCGTATTGCTCAATAGAAGGTATTCCAAGAACAACTCTCGAGGGGACCGCATGACAAATACTATCAATATAAGAAAAGACCAGTGCCAAAACCGTCCATCATCCGTAAGTACTTGTGGTGATTTGGAAGGGCCATACCGAGTCACACCCAGCAAGTCACGCTTCTCGGTCAATGGCGAGCAACATGAAGTAAATCCTCCCCCAGAGGAGCTTTGTGGCACAAATGTATACGATGGAGAATATGCCCATCGCTCACGGTCCCGCACGAGCAACATTTCCAGAAAGAGAAGTAGCGTAAACAAGCACCGATCCGAACCAGATCCTGGCCGAAAGAAAATGCTCATGCAACAAGTTGCACAGTACTGGAACGAGTGCATCAATATTGCAGAAGAGGAGAAGGTTCAAGCTAGGATGGAGATTGACCAACTACGCGAGGATCTTCGTCGGCAGTACGCCAAATTAGTGGAAGCTCACCATCACCTGGACAATGAAAGGGCTGGGCGCAAAGACATTGAGGAAAAGCTAAAGAATTCCGAAGAAAAAACTGCCCACGCTCTACTCGAAAACTCGACATTGTCACAGACGCTTTCCGCCACTCAAGAAGAACTGCGCTCGTCGAAGAAGCGGGATGAGATTGTGACCGAAAAATACAGAATATATCGCGCAAAACTTAACGAGGCCATCTTAGAGCAGCAGCGATTATTCGTACAAGCCAAGGAATTCTATCAGGACTCAATCCAAAAACTTCGGCAGGAAAATGAAACGCGGGTTGCTGAGACAAAGGCGATCGAAACGGCTCTCACTAATAGTAGCGAGAAGAGGGAGCAAATGAGGCGCTGCCTGGATGAATTGCGATCTGGTCTAGAGAAAGAGGTTGAATCCAGTATGTAACCAAATCCGCATACCAAGTTTATGATATTTTCCTTATCTGCTAATACCACGGCAGGAAATGCAGAAATTTCGGTATTACGGGACAAAATATCGGCGCAGGAGCAAGCTCTTTGTACCGAGAAACAAATTTCCAGCGATCTACGAGATCAAATCATGTCGTTGAAACCACTTCAAAGTATTGAGACACAAAATTTGGTCGAAGCCATCAAGTCGCTGCAAGACTCGATCGCTACAAATGCTATAGGACAGACGCAGCAGCTCAAGCTATCTGAAAGCGTCTGTGGCCGGTCAGTCAATGGAGCCTTCCAATTCATTATCTTTGCCATTGACATGAGACAGTCTACAAAATCTTGAAGTGCTAGTGAATGGTCTTGCAAGCCATGTGTCCAGGGAGAATGGCATTGGCTCTTTAATTGACGGTCTTCATGAACTAGTCTCAACAGGGTGAGCGCTCTTCTTGAAAAATTTCCTTCAACTTCTAATTTATAGATTATTTTCTGCACTAAACGATATTGGCGGCGCACAAATCTGCACACAGGAGACGCTCGTAGGAATTAGGAATGACTGCCAGGCGGAGCTCGGATTCATCCGTACAGCACTGGGCGACCTGATCAAGCAGCAGATAAATATGCAAGACCAGCTTGCACTGGGAGGACATGACTCTGCTGAGAAATTCAACATCTTGCGAGACGACGTCACTTCAACCCGAGAGCTTTGCGAGCATATTGGTAAAGAAGTGACCGCCTGGTTTACGGAGGAGCGGAACGTCGCCAACGCGAAGCAAGATACATGGGAGAAGAACGTTATTCGTCTACTAAATGAAGGCAATGACGTGGCTGCGGAGTTGAAGAATGCCGTGCATACAGCTGGAGACACTTGTCTTTCGAAGCTCGATTCCCTCAGCAACGCAGTGGCAACAAGCGATGACGAGACTAAAATGCTTTTGCAGCAACATACGGACTGTGTTCAAAAATTCCTAAAAGAGGAATTGAATCTGGAGAAACTTAACGTAGATTATGACCCTAAAGAAACTCAGAGAGTACTCGCTAGCCTAGAGGGTATTGTTGTCTCGATAAGTGAACACTTAAAACATTCTGAGGGAAGGGCGGCGAGCCAAGGGGATTCCAGTCAGCACAATAAGCAAGATGAGGCAGCAGTGTCCTTGCAAAACAGAATTCTGCAGCTGGAAAGAGAAGTCTCGAAAACTACTGATCTTCAGAAAAGATGGCACTCTGACATCCAAATAGTTGACTCGATTAGATCAAGGCTGAAAAGCCTTCAACAGTTGCCGTCGCAGGTTGATGGATACAGCGAACAACTTGCAAAGATTTCACGAGTTAGCTGCATGCTTGATTCTGCCTCGACTTATCTTGCTACGCAGGAAACTTGGGTCAAACAACAGCTGGGAGCTGGCCCACAGGTCGATAGGAGTGTTGCCACTCCACCACGGACTATGGAGGAGCTTCGGCCCAATCAACTTATGGGCTCAGACGATAGATATCACCATCCTGACGATTCAAAGAGCGACCGAGTCCCGAGCTCTCAGAGTGATAAGATTTGTGCAACTCAACATAATCATTCAGAGTTTGGGCCAAGAAAAGTTCAAGTTCAAAGCCCTATGGAGGCTCACACTCGCTCGTCACCACCTTCCATTCAACAAGAGCAGAAGCGGCGAAGGATTCCAGTAACGGTGCGGCCCATTTTGAAAGCAAATAGTGTATCCTCATCGCAGGAATCAGTTAGTGTGCAGCTTCAGAGCAATGGAACCGAAACCGAGCTGGGTCCGATCCTGGAGAGTAAGAAGACAACCACGGCCATCAGGAGCGCGTGTGCGGCCAGTCAGAAAATAATAGCTGATATTTCTTCTGGATTTATTACGGACCAGTCGGAGGACACCTTCTTCAATCTACCAAGAGTCACAGACTTTCAACCCCCGCTCCAGGTATTACCAAGTCAAGCCATATCACAGAAGCGGACCTTTGAGGTAGATGGTGACGAATGTGCCAAAGTCAAGCGCGCCAAAGCGCTGAGTGGTTTGAAGGATAAACTGAGTGTCAAATGCCCGGTAAGCAGGCCGCCCGAGGACATAGTCCTGGACAGCACTCACAACCTCGCAGGGTAACCAGGGCGAACACAGGTCCGGAAACTGTATCGCGACCCAGACATTGTTCATGGCGACGGGATCAAGCTTCAGCTAGCCAGCCAATGATTCTGCTCAAGGCACTTCAAATGCTTTCCCTTGATGTATAAATGGGGGGGGCTGGGCTTTTGCTTTGCTTCACAGTTCGTTGGGAGTTGGTATCATGTGAGATGTTGCGGTAAAGATCTATGTATCCAGATGATGCAAAATATTTAATAACGGTACAGTGCGGAAATAAGCGCATGACGGCACGAGGTTGTCAGCGCATCCCCAAACTCCAGAAATGCCCAAGATGTGTAATATACAGCGCCGGCGCAATCAGTCAGTCTACTCCGGACGTTTCGTCAAGTACTATAATGCAGTGCCTGCTGTGGCAGGTAGTAAATTAAAATGGTGCAGAGTTCCTTGTTGATGCATTGGCCTGGTTACTTTGACCTCTTTTTCGTTTCTAGAAAGAGAACCTTTTTGCGCACTGCACGATTGCGGTGAATAGGTTAGCGAGCCGATTGCGCTAGGCCAGCGGCGTGGCAGTCGAAGGCCGAAAGAGTCAAATTCGTACCGATTGGGTCGTATTTCATCATGCCCATGAGAGGCGCGGTTCGTGGTCTCTTGAAGGTATAGAAGAAGCCTGTCATGGCCATGGAGATGAGACGGACATTAATCAATCGTGCCTTGGCTATCGTGTGAAAGATGTAGCAGTCAGTGAAATCTTGTCGGTCCAGCAAGCGAGGCCTAGCTCAGCCGATGCAGAGGCGAAACAAAAGGAGGTGCATACCTTTCTTGGCCATTGCTGCGGATGAGAGAGGGTTGATGTGTATCCGGAGACATGGGATATGGGAGAGCTGGCGGGCAAAATCTCGGGGGCCCGAACCGACGAAGTCGGCGAAAGGTGGCGCCGAGCCGGCGAGTGGATAGGCATGGGGATGCCAAGGTACATTGACACTGTACAGGGTACATGTGTGTGCGTGCAAGCCACGTCTTTATCGACAAGAGCCCATCTTTAACGGAGTATATGTAGGTAGGTATATATACATATACGTACATAATATGTGTGTGCATATTCATTAAAGCAAGGGACGATGCGGAAATCGATGGTATGTTAAATGGGGTGGTTTCGGCCTAAAAACAAGTATTTGTCTCCTTTTTTCAAATCTTTCTTGGGGAGGAACGCTCTCTCTGCTCTGCTCGCTCGGGAGCAAAGGGTAAAAATAGCACATAAAAAGTAAAAGGAGGAAAATGAGGGCAAATGATTAGTAGTTTCATTTATCTGGCTGGGGTCCAACGGGTCCGGTAGGTATAATAACGAGGCCTTGCCCCCAACAGCGTGCTGATCTCGTCTGACCTTGGTCTCGACAACTTTTATTCTGCGACGCCAAGACTGGCAAAAATCTTTTGCTCCATCACGGTCATTACCCAACCATTGCCAATTTGCCAAAGTCCAAACCAGAGCTGGCAGCAAGATGAGCGTGGCGACGTGGCAGAGATTTTTGTCGGTGGGCGTGGTGCTGCACACAGAATGCTGCTATAGCTTGGGTAAGAACCATCGACGACGCCCCTTCCTTTCCTTTTTTTTTCCCTTCCACTTTGTGTGGTCTCCGCAAAACCACCCACCCCGGTCTCGGACACCACGACTAGACAACGAGACGATGAAACGACGACTCTTCAAGTGTTGTTGGCAACGAGGCACGTCGTGGACTCGGCGCGCGCGCCATGATCGGAAGAACTAGGGACGGATGACTTCACGTCTCCATTGTGCAACCGCCGTTTTTTTTTTTGTTTTCTCTTTCTTTTTATTGGCCTTTGCAAAGTCGCGCCCTGTCATGTGTCACGGCTTCGACATTTGAATGTCATCTCAACTCAACATTCGACTTTACAAGTTTGGTCATTGCGCCAGTCCCTTTTCACGCACCAGCCCTTACTTATTACGCCGTAGAGCTACTCCTCCCCACAGTAAGTAGTTAATAACTTGTAACAAGGTTGACAGTTCCCACCGCCGGCTCCGGAGCCTCAAAAGCTGCCCCTCGCCGACTTTTCTTGTCAGCGGGTGCCCCGCCAAATATTCTCGCATCATCGTCACACATCGACCGCCGTTACTCGTCGACAATGAGATTGACCCGCGACAACATCAACCAGCACGTCGTGCGTGCCCAGTATGCCGTCCGTGGCGAGCTCGCCGTCAAGTCTGAAGAGTATCGTGCCCGCCTCAACAACGGCGACAATTCCCTGCCCTTCCAGCACGTCGTCTCGGCCAACATCGGAAACCCCCAGCAGCTCGACCAGAAACCCATTACCTTTTTCAGACAAGTTCTCAGCCTGCTGGAGAACCCCGAATTGCTCGAAAAGGAGCAGGTTCTAATCGACCATGTCGGCTACAAGACCGACGTTATCGAGCGTGCCAAATGGCTGCTGAGGCAAGTCGGCTCTGTTGGTGCCTACAGCGCCAGTGCCGGCGTCCCGGCCATCAAAGAGAGCATCGCTGCTTTCCTCGAGCGTGAGTTCCTGCTGCTTCTCCAACGCCTCAATCGTCGCTTGTCCTCAGCGCAACACGTCTGCGAGCATGACCTTGACATCCGGCAGGTCGTGATGGCTTTCCCGCCGATCCCTCCAAGATCTACCTGTCTACTGGTGCCTCATCCGGTGTCAACACTCTTCTTCACGTCATTTGCGCCGACAAGACATCGGGCATCATGATTCCCATGCCTCAGTACCCTCTCTACAGCGCCACCCTCTCCCTTCTGGACGCCCAGCCCGTTCCCTACTACCTCGATGAGTCCAAGGCCTGGGCCACCAGCTTTGAAACCATCAAGGCCGCCTATGAAAAGGGCAAGGCCGATGGTCTCGATGTCCGTTGCATTGTCATCATCAACCCTGGAAACCCCACCGGTGCTTCTCTCTCCGAGGAGGACGTCCGGTCCGTCATCGACTTTGCTCGACAGGAGAACCTCGTCATCATGGCCGATGAAGTCTACCAGACCAACGTCTTCCTCGGCCAATTCCACAGCTTCAAGGGCGTGCTGCGCAAGTTGCAAAAGGAGAACCCTGGCAAGTACGACGGTGTCGAGCTTGCTTCGCTCCACAGCATTTCCAAGGGCATGGTTGGCGAGTGCGGCCACCGCGGCGGCTACTTTGAGCTTGTCGGCTTCGATGCCGAGGTCGAGGCCCAAATCTACAAGTTTGTCTCCATTATGCTCTGCGCTCCCGTCATCGGCCAGTGCCTTGTCGAGCTCATGGTGAACCCGCCCAAGCCGGGCGAGCCGTCATACGAGCTTTACAACCAGGAGTACTGTGCCATCCATGGCGGGCTCCGCGAGCGCGCTTCCGCTCTCCACAAAGCCTTCGGCCAGATGGAGGGCGTCGAGTGCACCGAGCCCCAAGGTGCCATGTACCTCTTTCCCACCATCCGCTTGCCCGCAAAAGCTCATGAAGCCGCCGCCGCGGAAAAGCGCGCCGCCGACGAGTTCTACTGCATGAAATTGCTCGAGGCCACGGGCGTCTGTCTTGTTCCTGGCTCCGGCTTCGGTCAGAAGGAGGGCACCCTCCACTTCAGAACTACTTTCCTTGCGCCTGGTACGGAATGGGTTGCCGGCATTGTCAAGTTTCACAAAGAGTTCATGGACAAATACAGATAGACGCTTGGTAGGCGTGGATCGAACGCTTGAGACGCAGAGTCGCGTTGGGGTACAAAGGATTTACAGAGCTCAGGATAGCATTTCGAAGGGTCAGGGCGCCCTGATTTGAGCCGAATTTTCGCAAGTTGGACTTGGACGCTTCTCTCACCGCAACTCGCCGGCGGTGGTCAGAACTTGGGTTATTTAAGACATTTTTCTTTTACTGTCATCATCATCATCATCATTGTTATATATAAGAACTGCCGTGAAAAAAAGGAAATCCCGAGGCAGAGGGTCGCACCAGCCGTATGGACCGCCACCAATCAATTGGCTTGTATGAGTGTTTTTACCTTGGATTACCTACCGATACGGTCCAGCAATGAGGAAATCGCATAAATTGACGCTTGGCATTTCAATCTGTCCGACGGTACGTACGTACCCGAGCCCGTGCGTGTTGCATGCAGCTCATCAAAGGAATTCTTGTTTTATATTCATACAGGCATCTAGTGACATGTCTACCATATTCTTCCCTTCTTCCACTCGATACGGCGCCGTGTACGCCCTTGAATCTCCGTTCGACCAAATCTGCTTCCAACCGCGCCATATGCACATCTATGCCCTCTCACTGCCTCTCAGTCTGACAGCTTGGCCGTACTTCTGCAGTTTCGTGATCAGCTGGTCGCCTTGACGAACAACGTCCTGGTACTGCTTGTTCTTGTCATCCGGTCGATTGGTTTCGATCACGCCCTTGCCAGTGACACGATCAATGGTGCACGGAATGCGGCCGGCGGCAATGAATCGAGCGAGGTCACTGTGGTTCAGGGATTAGCTGATTTCCTGGCTTGGAATTTGTGTACAAAACAAAAGCTACGCACCGGTCGAGAAAGTCAACTGTAACTCCAAAGTCGTTGGCCATGCTTTCCAGGCCGACAACCCTGTAGCTCTGGAGGAGCTGCTGGTATGCTCTGAGTCTCATCTCGCGAATGAACCAGCTCTTGTGCTCGTGCAAGTAACGGTCCTGGTTGAGGAACTGCTCCTCGACCGAGGCTAGAGACTGGAAGAAAGTCCTATAGTTGCCATTGTACAGACTGCTGACCAGGAGTGCCAGCGGACTGAAGTCTATGGACATCTCGGCATCGGGCTGCTCATTGCTTGATCCCAGGGTCGTTAGATTGACCGCTGTTGTAGAGGTAGCCTGCGGCGACAGGGCGCCAATGGAATCATCTGCGCCAGGTCCGGCACTCAGGGCACCGCTCAACGCCATCAGCTTGTCCTCACCGTCGCCCATTATGGCTTTGATCTCGGGTGCGTCTACGACCTTGGACTTGAAGTCAACGCGCTTAAGAGACACGGAGCCAGCAAGAACGGAGTAGACGACAAGGTTGGAGTAAGTGCAGAGTTCGTAGCTGGTAAAGGTAGAAAGAGAGTCGAGAAGAAGCGGTGCGGCCAGGTTGTAGGATCGGACAGTGAGGAGGTGAAGACCTTCGTAGGCCTTGAGGCGATTTCGTCGATCCCAGTCACCACCGGATTCGACCAGAGTCTTGGCTCGCTCGATATGTTTCTGTACAAGCGCCTTGTCTCCATAGAAGAGACCCATACGTATTATGGCCAAAACCAGGTCAATCTTGGTGCCCAGAATACCGGTCTTTTCAAAAACGTCTTCGAACGCGGCAATTGCCTTGTCCTATTTTTTCAGCCGTCAGCGCGACTCCCATGTCTCAGGAACAGGAACACGTCTCCCCATACCTTATCGCCCACCCTGGCCCAGAAGTCTGCTCTTTTACCCTTGGCAGCCATGACCTCTGTCTCGCCAGCCTGTTCGACGGCCTCGTCCTCCTCCTTCTGGAACTCGGCCAGCTCCCTGTCGTTGTCCTCTTTTAGATTCGAGTACAAAGCCTCGTCCCACGGCAGAATGACACTCGTTGTTGAAGCCTTGGTGGCGACCATGCCCACCAAGCTCGACTTCCTGCTCAACGGCTTTCCGGGTGCTGAGGCGCCACCTTCACCAACAGCATTCAGAATGCCGTCGATGGGGTGTGCCAGGTACCGGTAGAAAGGAGCCATCTTGTCCTCGGCAATTGCATCTTGCAATGCCTTGACGGCCGCTTCTTGTGCCGGTTTCAAGGCATACGCATTTGTCAGGGTAAAGACGTGCTGCGCCAACGGCAGCAGCGGCCACTTGGCGTACTGAGGATCGGAACCCATTGCGGCGGCGGCGGTGACGGTGACGGTGACGGCGACGGCGACGACAGCGGGCAGGTCTGACAGCAAAGAAGGCAACGGAGAGGTCTTGTATGTTTGTATATCCGAACGTGCGAGGAGGAGGCCTGGCGTTGTGTTGGGGAATCGTGAGACGGACTCTGGGGACGGACAATGGAGAGCTCAAGAGTCAAGATGGAGCACTCGAGTCAACAGCCAACGGCCACGAGGAAGGCTGGAGCTGGAGCTCGGTGGGCCCCTGCATCCTGCAGTTCAATTTCTGAGCACAAGGCTTCAGCGGGCCACGCATAGCGCGCATGGGCCCATGGCTTATTACGAGTGCCTTACCCTAGACCACGCCGTCCCGGAAAATTGAAAAGCTGTCAGTATAACCACGAGATGGGCGGCGGGCAGAGTATAATCAGCAGGAAAGAAGAGTTACCAAAAAAAAAAAAAAGATCCAATAATCGGTCAACGCCTGGCTTTTTGCACCGTCGTCGCAGCAAGGACTCTTTATGCCGGTCACAGCTAGTCTACGTGATTGTCAGCTCGGATTTCGAGCTGTGGGCCCCGCTAACCGCCTTCGACTTTCAAGCCCCAGGCTTGTCATGTCAATCTCGCCTCGCTCGTCATCTCGTCCGATCATCAGGCCAACCTCCAACATCGACCTGCCGCAACAGAATCTTCTAGACAGACCACAGTCCAAGGCACCGAGGCAGGCCCCCTACGAAGCGGTGGACGCATCTCGCCATGCCCGAACACAATGGGGACGACAGCACTCGTCATGGTGAACCACCCCAGTCCAGAAGCAACAAGCGAGCCCGAGACGAGGTGCAAGATGACCTCCCTCAGCCGTACAACGCGAATTCCCTACAGGCTGCCAAGAGACGCGCCGTCTCGCCATCCGAGCAGCCGCGCAAGCAAAAGCGCCCGGGGGCAAGAGCCCGCATATCCGAAGCCGAACGCGAGGCCATCCGCCAGCGCCAACTCGAGCGAGAGCGTGAGCAGGCCGCCCAAGCCGCCGCCGCCGCCGAGCAGAACCACATGAGAGGCGTACACGACGTCGTCCGGCAGCACTACAACAACGTCCCCGAGAGGGGCAGGCAGTGGAGAACGACAGACAGCAAGATAAAGGGACTGCGCGTGTTCAACAACTGGATCAAGAGCTGCATCATCCAGCGCTACTCCCCCGACGAGGACCACACCCCGGGCTCCCGCGAGATGGGCCGCTCCAGCGGCAAAGACCTCCTCGTGCTGGACATAGGATGCGGCAAAGGCGGCGACCTGAACAAGTGGCAGCAGGCGCCGCAGCCCATCCAGCTCTACGTCGGCCTCGACCCCGCCGACATCAGTATCGAGCAAGCCCGCGACCGCTATAGGACCCTCGGTTCACGAGGCCGAGGCGGTCGAGGCGGCTCCCACCGCAGACCGCCGCCCCGCCTGTTCGACGCGCGGTTCCACGTCAAGGACTGCTACCGCGAGAGCATCGAAGACATCGAAATCGTCCAGCAAGTGGGCTTTGACCCGTCCCCCATGAACAAGCGCGGCTTCGACGTCGTCACCATGATGTTCTCCATGCACTACGCCTTCGAGTCCGAGGCCAACGCGCGCACAATGCTGCGCAACGTCGCCGGCGCGCTCAAGAAGGGCGGCCGCTTCATCGGCTGCATCCCCAACTCGGACGTGCTGAGCGACAAGGTCCGCACCTTCAACCAAAGAGCCGCCGCGAAGAAGGCACACGGGGAGAAAAAGGACGACGACGCCGACGGCGCCATCGCCACCACGCCGCCCCCCCCAGCTGAACCCGAGGACGACGAACTGGAAGAAGGCGAGGAGGAACCAACCGCTGAATGGGGCAACTCGATATACCGCGTCCGGTTTCCCGGCAAGACGCCCGAGGACGGCATTTTCAGACCGGCATTCGGCTGGAAGTACAACTTCTTCCTAGACGAAGCCGTAGAAGAGGTTCCGGAATACGTGGTCCCTTGGGAGGCATTCCGTGCGTTGGCCGATGACTTCAATCTCGAATTGCAGTTCCACCGAACCTTTAGAGAGATCTGGGAAGCGGAGAAGGATGATCCGGAACTAGGCCCCCTGAGTGAGAGGATGGGCGTGAGAGAGCGAGGGGGAGGACCGTTGTTGGTGTCGGACGAGGAGATGGAGGCTGCCAGCTTCTATATTGGATTTTGCTTTTACAAGGTGTAATCATAACTCAACCTGTTCGTTGGGAGCGCGCAGAATAAATCGATGTGAAAGCAATCAATGTGCATGTCTCCAAGGCCAAAAGTGTCTTTTGCTGTTGTTCTCCTCGTTGGCGCGTCTCTTTTTTTCTTTTTCTGGGGAGGAGAAGGGGGCCGGGGGGTTGGGGTTACCATGGGGGACATGACGAGAAGACAGAGACACATGACACATAGATCGCCAAAAATACTGAATGTTTTATTTTGTCATTATAATCATGGATATACTGTTCAACTCTTCCCGTAGTTAGCGAAGTAGGAGTAAAGGGGGTATCAATAATCCGATTGTCCCAACTGCAGCAATCTGTGACAGCTCCTGGCCATGCAGACAACGAACACCCCAGAGTCTCCAACCATAAAAAAGTAAAACAAAGCAATCCCCAGCATTCCGATAGAAAGTCCAAAAAAGCTTTTGTAATACAGCTGTAACCCCCGAGGTGACACCGGGTATTCATAGAGTGGTTGTCGCTCGATTTTTTCCCCCTTTCATTTCCTATTTTCATTGTGACACCGGATATCAGGAATAGCTCAAACGCTGTAGGCCAAACGCTCAATTGGGTAGAGGGAGGATAAATAGTTTGTGATTAGTATTAAGTGGTGGGGTTACGCGGCGTTGGTTGAACGACGCCAAATCATGACGGCAGCAACGGCGGCACAAGCAGTGGCACCGAGAGCTAGGTACAAGCTTGTGTGGTCGGGGCCTTCTTCTTCTGTCTTGGGGAATCCCATGCTTGGGTTGGTTGCGGTCTCTGCGAGTGCTACAAAAAGCTCAGCGATGCTGTTCCATGTCACACTCACATGAAGTGGTGTGTTCATGTTGAGCGAAGACGTGTACTGGTCAGGCTGAAGCTCGCTTCGCTGCGTTGTTTTGTCCTTGTCGGCTTTTAACGCCGTGTAAACTGAAGGCAGCTCGTCGAGATGTGGGTACCTGGACCTTACATCGACAATATGGGAGAAAGAATCAGGATCGGAGGAGTCGTAAGAGTAGCAAATCAAATCGCAGGCATCCAGCTTGGATGTGTTTTCCAAAATGGCTGGTTCGAGCTCGCCCAATTCCTCAAATATAAGATACACCTGCTTGCCACCAGGGAGCTCCACACCGTTGACGGCCCGACGGGGTTTAATCGTGGGATGATAGAGCCCCTCGAAAGGTCGGTTTAGGAACGAGTCGAGGAGAGAAGATTTGCCAGCCCCTGGAGCTCCAATGAGGTAACAAAGCACTACGTTTCTCTCGACTTTGCCTGGCCTTCTTCTTCGTTTTCGGGACTTGGTAATCTTGAGGGCGGCGGTAATGTCATCTTTGACGTTGGGGGGTTCGAAACCGAGGTAGGCAAGATACTCGATTGTGGTTTTTGGCTCCAGGAATGTTGTCATACTCCACTGTGCTAGCCAGCCTTGCAGCGTGATGTGACCGCCTTCGTTGCGCACAGTGGAAGAAGGAAAGGACGAGTCAACCCAAGAACTGGGCAGGCCAGGAGTGGGCGAGAATAGAGCCTCGAGCTCTTGGTCGTTCAGTCCTCCATCATTATCCTTGTCAAAAAGCAGAAACAAGTCGACAAAGAATCTGTAGCCGATGGGGCTCAGTTCAGCCGAGCAGTAGTCGGGAACGTCAAACTTGGGATGGAGGAATTTATCCTCAAGGCTCAAACTGTCGGTGTAGTGATATTGGCGAAGAATGATCCAGATGGTCTCGTGCCGACCCTTCTCGGCGTAGATCTTGTTCAGTTGTAGAAAGCCGGATTGATCGACACCCTTTTCCATAGTCACGTCGGGCATGGTCTTGGAGATGGACAGCTTGATGTTATCCAAGTCGTCGCCGGTAAGAGGCTTGTCAAAACAGCGGGCCTGGAAGTCCCGCATCTCTTGGTCATTCAAGAGGCCGTCCTGGTCCTTGTCGCAAAGGAAGAAGACTCGCTTCAGAGCAGCTACACAAGCTGGCTTGAGACGACCTTCCTTGTAGTCGAAGAGAGGGGCAATGGGATGGGTGACGGCCTTTTGGCACAGGAAGAAGACCTCGTTGACGTTTTTGTGTTCGCGAGCACTGGTTCTAATGCATGAGTCGATCTCGCGAAACTCGGCCATGACGGGTAACATCTCTTCCTCTACTATCTGAGGGGTGTTGCCTTGGCCAGCGAGGTCTGATTTATTGGCGCACAGGACAACAGGAACGTTGACACCGAGAGACCGAAAGTAGGGCATCCAAAAGAGGGCGACCCTTTCGTAACTGTAGTGATCGGCGTAGACAAGGAGGATGACATTACATTTTCTGATCTCTTTACGCAGGGTAGTACGGTCCTGAGGACGGGCAGAGGTATCGACGATGGTTGTCGTGACATTTTCCGGCGTGCCGATGCTGGGGGGAATCGTGATCTGGGGGAGGACGGGCTGGATCTTGTTGCTCATGAACTGGTCTTTGACGAGCGAAGCAATGAGGCTGGACTTGCCAGTGCTCTCGTCACCGCATACGCAAATTCGAACTGATCAAGGTTGAAGTTAGGATGTGAGATGGTGGCGATGCTCCAGACGGCAACAGAGCTGACGAGATGGTTTGTGGACGGTGATGCGTACCTGTCGCCATACTTGTCGTTGGTCGGTGAGCTGTGCTCAGTCCAAGCTGTGCGTGGTAAAAGCAACGGCAACCTCGGCTGGATGCAATATTTATGGCTGGGCCATGTCCTCGACGGCCCAAGGACTATACACTATACCGGTTGGTTGACCCTACTGACCGACTCTGCCGCCCAAACACGGTGCATCTGACCGCGCCGGGAGAGGGAAGCGAAGCTGGTTGCGAGGTTTTGGTTGGCGAGATGAGTCGAGACGGCCGACAAGACGCGTTTGCCACAGAGCTGGGCGGTGGTGCTGAAAGGTTCGACTGAGGCCGGCCCGTGTTAAATTGTTAAATTGCACCTGGAGGAAGCTCACAGTGGGATTGGGCCGGGCTGGGCGGTTGTGGAGTCGCCAGACTTGAGTAAAAGTACCCCACAACTACTCCGTACTCCGTACTCGGGCACGTACTCCGCACTGAAGATACAACTCTGTACCGCCGAAGTGCTCGAGTACGCAACTGCTGCTACGTATTCCGTATGTATGGTGGACGGTGGCCCCCGGATCCGCATGTGCATGGTTCCCTGTGCGTCCCACGGCGGCTTTCTGTAGTCCTGTCCCTCAACCTCCATCCATCTCGAGATAGCGGCTCATCTGTCTTCTTGTTCCAACTTGGCCGTGCCGCCGGACGACGTCATCAACTCCTCACTGCATAGCACGCTTCATGCTTGACGACATCATTTGACAGAGGTTGCGACGAGGCGACCAAGCGAGGAGGCAGCCGACAGCACAACCGCGAAGCCGCATGCAACCCGCGAGCGAGGATACGGCTCTTAGCTTGTGTTATAAACCCCAAGCGCCGGATTGGCACCGTCACCATGTTGTATGTGCGATAGGCCTGACCTCCTGCCTCTGTCCCCTGCCCAACATCTGGCAACTGACGATCCATGTTCATCGTAGTGTTCTACCGCCGCCGCCCCGATATCCCATCGGTGGTCCGTACACGGCAACCGGCATCACAGGCATCGTGCCCATGATTGAGACGAATAATACCATTTCCAACCCTTACGGACCCGAGTGGCAGTTTCTGGTGGGAGAAGGTGTGCTTACCCGGGCCAACTGTCATCTGCCGTTTCCCGCGACGCCATGCTAATAAGAGCACATTTCAAGGCACCTACGTCCTCAAGGAAGACCTGCACCTTGCAACACCACCGCCACATCCATCCGAGGCCCCCATCGTCAATCCAAACCCCTTAGCTACCAATCCGCAACCTGCATCGGCGGGCACAAAAATGACGCTCGTCCGTATTCAGTCCCGGCCGCCACCGTTCTTCTACAGAGGACCATCTGCCACAACCTTGTCGCTGGGTAAAACTAGTTCGCGGGAACAGTCTGGAGATGGTAGATACTCCACCGAAGGCGGACTGAGCAGCGAAGATGGCCGGGGAACATCTACGAGCGACGGGCCAAATTCTGTGACTCTTGGCTTCACCCCAGCATTCGGCGAGGGAAATTCGTTGCTCGTGCCGTCGCAAACAAAAGACGTAAACAAGCGAAAGAAGCCAAAGAACAATGTGACCAAGAGTAATTCATCCTTTATTTCGAGAGTCATTGTCAATGAGAGCTTATCGAGAAGAATGTCGGACAGACCCAGCGACGGCATTTTTGCGTTTGCAAACATCAACCGTGCTTTCCAATGGCTGGATTTGTCTTCACCAAACAAGGTACCTCATGGCGTTCTCGTACATCCTACGTCTGCACCGTACCTAACTTGAACAACAGCAAGACTATTTCACCAAGATTTTGTTCACCAAGGCGCATTGTCTGTGCCATGACGTGAATATGGTGACCAAAGGAGCCTCGCATATCGACGTGATTATGGGTTTCTCAACCGGGGAAATCATATGGTGGGAGCCAATTTCACAGAGATATACACGCATGAACAAGAATGTAGGTGGTGGAAGGTCTGGTCATTGAGCACTCTGATGCTAACGCTCGTTGCCAGGGCGTCATCAACAACACCCCCGTGACACACATCAAATGGATTCCAGGCTCGGAGAACCTGTTTTTGGCGGCACACATGGATGGCTTTTTGGTTGTCTATGACAAGGAAAAGGACGACGCACAGTTCACCACAAAGGAGGACGCGCCAAGTGTCCATGGCAGCGAGTCCGGCCATGGCCAGAATGGAGTTAAACCCGGGACCAAGATGCACATTGCCAAATCTGTGCATTCGCAGAACCAAAAGACGAACCCTGTTGCGGCGTGGAAGTTGTCGAATCAACGTATCAACTCTTTCGCCTTTTCACCCGACAACCGGCATTTGGCTGTTGTATCCGAGGATGGAACTTTGAGATTGATAGATTATCTCAGAGAAGAGTAGGGCTGTTCCGTATTACGCTTCGGGCCGAGGTTTTGTGCTGACAGATTCGCAGGCTACTGGACCTATTCTTCTCGTACTACGGAGGTCTGACATGTGTCTGCTGGACACCGGACGGCAAGTATGTTCTGACCGGGGGCCAAGACGACTTGATATCGATTTGGTCGGCTGCGGACTCTGCATTGGTGGCAAGGTGTCAAGGTCATCAGTCTTGGGTATCATCGCTAGCCTTTGATCTCTGGAAGTGTGACGAGCGCAACTACCGCTTTGGAAGCGTTGGCGACGACGGCCGCTTGTGTCTTTGGGACCTCAATGTTGGCATGCTCCATCGGCCGAAAGTGAGTCATGGTCGAAATCAGCCCGACGCGTTCCTCGGGAAGCTGACATGTGTTGAAGACCGCGGCAAGACAGCGTGGCTCCGTTTCTGGCCCGGCCGGCATGTCGCCACGAAGCGAAGCAGGCAGTCCTTTGGGCAGTCAATTGAGACCCAACTCCTTGTATGAGACGGACGAGGATGGAGATGGAATTTCACACCCCGTGGAACCAAGATGTCGAATCCCCATCTTGCCGCCAGTTTTAGTGAGCCATTCGTGATGCAGAAGCGTATAGTATCAGTGATTGATGCTAACAAGCTATCCAGACGACGGTCATCGACACTCATCCCGCATGCTGGTTGGATTTTACCGAGGAGGCCATCATCACAAGCTGCAAAGATGGTGAGTTCAAACGCATTGAACATGGGAAGCAGATGTCAGCTGGCGGCTAACAGGCGGAACCAGGACACGTAAGAACATGGACTAGACCCGGCGCATCTGTCTAAGGACGAGCTGTAACGTAGAATTCACACGGGATAGAGACAATGGTGGGTTTGGACGTGGCGTGTTGGGCGCTGCCATTTCTGCTCATGGCGAATAATTCGGTGGCGTCGCAATCGACTTTTCTGCAGCATGTGATTGTTTATTTTGGCCGACAGCGTCGACCCCGACGTGAATGCCTTGCGACAAGCTCTCAATGCGTCAGGGGGGGGGGGGGTTGTCCTGCAGGCCGCGTTGTCGGCGCGTCATACTCGACAAACATGTGATGACAGGGGTCGGTCTTTCTCTCGCAATGCCTGATCCAATGGTGAAGAGGATGTCTGCGACGGGAAGCCTGCCGGCACACCTTGTCCGGGCTGCGCCGGCGAAGCGACTGCAGGAACAACATCAGCACATTCGCCTCCCAATGGCCGGTCAAGACTCAAGCGCCCCCGAATCTACCCGAATCATGTCCGGAATCCACACCGTCAAATCATGAATCTGCCCACCATGATCAGGGAAGTGGATACCAGATCCTGGAAGATGGTCCAACGGGAGAGATTTGGTCAGGTAATGATAATATCGAATACTACGTACGTACTTAGTACGTACTTACACGTGAGCACGGGGACTGGCCGTATGAAGCTGGAACCCTTGCGCCAGGCCTTTGCCTGCATATCGGGGCGGGAAGAGGACAAGTTTTCAAAAACCGATCCTCCCCACCTACCTGGGCTAGTACTTATGCTTATACGAACTGGCGACAGCTGAAGAACGTTTATACATGACGCATCGAGTCACAGCGACGTCTTATCTCTACGGAAGTACTCCGCACCACTAGATGCTATCACCATCCCTGCGGATCAAAGATGGGGACCGGTCCGGCGAAGGCGGATCCGACGCGTTCCATGAATCAATGTACTTAGTCGTAGTTGTTCAACCAGCAAACATAACACATGGTGAGACGGTGAGAGGGAGAGGGTGCACGGGGGGGAAGCAAAAGCCGGTGGGACGGGATAGAATGCGACTGCCAGCCAAGCCAAGCCAAGCCAAGCTACTAGTTCGTAAGCTAGAGATTAGGCCATGGCTTCGGAACACGGCTCTGGCGTTTGAGGCGTTGTCGCTTGGGCCGGGCATGTTTGTCTCAATGTACGTGCGGGATGGAAGATGGAGGACCGGCTGCAAACAAGAACGCGCTGTGCGCCATTTGGGCAGCGCAAATTCACGCGTGCTGGCGAATGCTTGGTTCCCCGTGTTGGTTTCGTTTCATTTCGTTTTTGTTCGGTGGTCATGGCGGTGCGCAAGGAGCTGTTGCGTTGCCCGGGCCCCGGATGCCGGATGCCAGATGCCGGATGCCGGATGCCGGATGCAGGAGCCGGAGCCGGGAACCGGCCGGCAGTTAGCCTTAGCTAGTAGGCAGGACCTCTCTGCTGCTGCCGACCGGGAAGTGAGAGACGCAGGAGCAGAAGCCACCCCAGGACCTACCTTGCGTGGGCAGGCAATCAGTCGTGGCCGGCGACAAACGTGTCGTTGGAGTAACCAAGTTATTCCCCCCCCTCCCTTTTCCAAGTCGACGCATGAATGACACGGCGCCATCTGCGAGGTTCCACGTCAAACGTCAAAGGGGAGACAAGGGCGCCGTGGTAGGCCCGACATGGTGAATGACGGGACGGGCGTAGAAGATGTTTGACGGCTTGACGAGCGAGCGACCGCGGGTACCGGTGGTGCCATGCGTGACGGTGGGTGGGCGCACATCTGTTTTGCGCGTGGAAGCGAGTCTCTCTCTTGTCTCTTTGCTGATAAATGCCGCCGTCCCCGATGGTCTCGATGGCAGGTTTTGGCAAGTGATGTGCCGGTGAATCTGGCAGAGGCGCGAATGCCTCTTCTCCCGTCGGCGTGCTCCCCCTCCTTCACTTGCACCAGACGCACGCCCGACAAAGGAGATTGTTGATTTTAACTTGACCGGCCTCCTGCCTCCTTCTGCTGCCTGCTGCTGCTGCTTGAGAACATCGGCAGCGCGTTGGCAACGAAGCAGTCGACTCTCGACCAAAGCACACGGCAGAAATATAAATATCAGAGTCTTGCCGGCGAGGAGGACCGACTTGCAAGGCACGGGGCACAGTTCTCTGCACTGTGTACACAGTACAACAACACAGCCGCAGGGAGAAAGAACAGAGTGCAGAAAGCAACCGCTGGATTGATGCCATCGGCACGTCTGGCACCCTCCAAAATTGGCAGGTTACAGCGCATCGGCCGCTGCCGAAGTACCTGCCAAGTACCTGTTCCACACCAGACTGCCACAGCCAGTCGACAGTGCAGGTGCAGGTGCAGGTGCCGGCCCACTGGCATGTTGGCATGTGCTTGGCAAAGCAAAGGTCAACTCGAGCTACCTGAAATCCGTCGTCGTCGCCTTGCCCTCTCATAGATCTCCGCCTTCGCTTCTCCTTCTCGCTTCATTTCGATACCGTTTCTGCTGCCTTGCTGTCTTTGCCTTCTTCTTCTTCTTTCCTTTCTTGTTCGCTCAGACAAAAGCGGCGATACTGTTCCCCTGCTGCGATTTTGCCGGCCGCGCTTGTCCTTTCCTCTTTACCTGCTTACCTACTCCGTACCTTGGTTCTGCTTCACCTTTGCAAAACCACCATCGTCATCGTCCCTTGCAAGTAGTCGTCGCCGTCGCCGTCGGTTGCCCGCCCCCATCGTGCACTGGCTCCCAGACCATGCCGTCCTTCAAGCCGTTTGCATCGGTCACGGGACGGAACAGCTACAGCCTTTTTGACATTCGGTGAGTTTGCTTCGTGCTACGCCGTCGCGCATCCACACACACACACACACACACAACGCCGCCCGGTTCGCAAGGGGTCACCCCTGGGCCCTGGCCGTCCCCAGCAATAGACGTGTTTGCTAACATGATTCCCGTGACAGGCTGGACCAAGATTTCATCGTCTTTCGAGGAAATGACCATGAGTCCTCAGGTCAGCTTCTCAAGGGGGTCGTAGTTCTCTGCATCTCGTCCCCCTTGCGCATCGAGGACGTTCACTTGCGTCTCGTGGGCACCTTGCGCTTTTCGTATGCCTCTTCTTCATCTTGCATGCGAACAAAATCGTTTCCTTGCCTCCCGGATTTCATAGGTCTAACCGTGGATTGCGTGCACAGATGGACTGACCATAGATCGACTTCCCCCGGCGTTTCGAGCCAGAGAGTTGACAAATCTACCACCATTCTCGACCACCGATGGCAACCCTTTGTCGGCACCCACGGCAAGAGCATGAGTCTTGCCGCCGGCAACTATGAATACCCCTTCGAGTTCATGCTACCGGGAGATACCGCCGAAAGCGTCGAGGGCATCCCCGAAGCCTCCATTGCCTACAGACTAAAGGCCACCGTCGGCCGTGGGAAGCTCGCATACGACTTGCACGCCTACAAGCACCTGCGCATCATCAGGACCCTGGACCCGGGGGCTTTGGAGTTTTTGCATGCCATGAGCGTGGAGAATATTTGGCCCAACAAGGTAGACTACTCCATCGTTATCCCACAAAAGGCCGTGGTGTTCGGCGGCACCATCAACATGGAGTTGCGCTTTACCCCTCTGCTCAAGGGCCTGGAACTTGGAGCTGTCACGGTGAAAATGATTGAGGTCCGCGACTGCTGGCTTCCAACCTCAACAGGTCTCGGCGCGCGAGAACACCGCACCGAGCGAGAGGTGGCGACGTGGCGGTTCGAGGTGAACAGGGAGGAACACTGGCACGACATGATAGAGGATACTGGCCAGGAGGGCTGGGCTTTGGTCAAACAATTGCCCCTTCCCAAGCGACTTCGTCAGTGTATCCAAGACCTGAACCACCACGGCATCAAGGTCAGACACAAAATCCGGCTGACGGTGGCGCTGAAAAACCCCGACGGCCACATTTCCGAGGTATGCAAGATCCGAAATTCCATCAAGCCGGGACCCTCGTTGCGTCTTGTTGCAGTTGGCTGGTGGCTGGTGGCTGGTGAGATGAATCGCTAATGCAAAGGTCTACAGCTCCGTGCCACCCTTCCCGTGTCGATCTTCATCTCGCCCAATATCCCCTTTGACGAGCAGGGCAACCTTCTCAGCCAGAACCAAGGCGGCTCCGCTCCCACGACCGAGAACGTGCTGTCAGCACCACCGGGGTACGGCGAGCATGTCCTGGATCAACTCTACGAGGACGTGGATATCTCTGGCTTCCACAGCCCGGCGGTTCAGTCGGGCGTTAGCAGTCCCTTCTACGCACAGTCGAGAAGTGGCTCGGCCGAGAACCTCGCTTCGTTGGCTCACCATCCACCGCCGATAGCGCCGGCGGCCCTGTCGTCCATGCTTGTCGACGTATCACTCAATGCCTCCCAAAGGAATCGGTCATGCACGTCGATTCATTCACATCCCCCTTCTGGTAGGACGTCCCCGACACCGGGCCACCACGGGTCTGCTCCCCGGTCCGAGCCGCCTTCGCAAAACCTGACGAGAAGTAACAGCGAGGAGGACAGATCGTGCAGAAAATCAACCGAGCACGTTGAAATGGACCCTGCCGAGTTTGCCGAGCTGAACCGAGTGCCCAGCTATGCAACGGCTGTCCGGACCCCGGCGTGGCCTCGGACGCAGCCCGCAGCCGGGCTTGTTCCGGATTACGAAACTGCGCTACATGCGCCTCGCACTCCTCCGGCGACGGATAGTGGCTCTGAGTCGTTGGGTGCCATATTGGAGGACAGGTCCGGCGAATACCGTGCGCCGCCGAGTGTTCCATCCTCCAATCGTTCTACCGCTGTGGCGAATCCGGGCGACTCTTGACTCACGGTGTCGAGTCTAGTCGAGTCGAGTCGCACGGTGTGTGTGCTGATTGCTTTTTTTTTTCCTCGCAGTTCTTTTTGTCCTTTCACAGCGTTTTTGATGCTCGGAATAGCGACGGCATTGGCGTATTTTGGCGTTATTGGATTGGGGCTTACCGGGCATGGCATAGGTTACTCTTGGATATGGTAGGCGGTGACGGCGCGCTGTAGACGGCGCGGCAACATGCATAAAAGCGTATGAAACCCCTTCAGTATCGTGATGCATCTTATCAGCCGTGCGGGGCCACCGACGTCTCGGTTGACGTCATAACCAATGTGTTTCTTGGCTTGACTCTAGTCTAGGCCTCTGATGCAGGCACGAGCGACATTCATGCCTAGGGCTTGGCTTCCAAACCCTCCCCCCCTTCTTTTCCATGGGCCACAGGTATGGCAATCGCAACGTCATAGTCATGCTCGGCTATGGCGCTTGCGGAATCCGCCCCCGTCCATGGATTTTATTGTGTTCGCATTCCTCGTCCGCCGCCACCAGGACGTGGATGGCTTGATATTACATCATCGTCCTGTCAACCAGACAAAAACCACTCGCATCGGCGCCGCGCCTCACCTCTGCTTCTCTTGGTATTGAGGCAATTTGCTCAGTCCAGTCAGGTGCTCGCGGCTGCCTCGACTTAATTTCCCAAGTTGCTCCACTCAGACGAATTGCCGGCTTCCCTCGGCCCCTCCTGGAAGCTCAACAACCACATCTCCCCATTCTCCTCTGAGTCCTCTCCCTCCCTCCTCCGCCAGGAACGTGCCATTGTCTGCGACCCTGCGAGCGAAACCATGACGTCCCCAATATCTCCCACTTCCACGACGATGCCCTCGCGCGCTGCTACCGGCGTGAGCGGGCAGGCTGAGGAAGCGGTCCCCGACTTTGATCCCAATACCGTACGTGGGCTCCTCGCTGGCTGGCATGTTGCCTTCTCTGACGGGCGAAATGGCCGCGGACTAACCCAAACCTCAGACTGTAGGACTGCTTGCCGAGCGTCTGCAGGCCTGGAAGCATGCTTGCGGCTACCTTGAGGATTATGTCACGGCCGTCGAGAAGATTCACGGCCGCCAGGCCAAGGAGTACGAGAAGGCATTAAAGGTTCGACACGCCCGAGCGAGCGCTGATATCGAGCGCTGATATCGAGCGCTGATGTCGAGAGAATGTACCGGCTGACCCATCCGTGTTTCGGCAGACCATCTCCAACCCCCTCCGCGAGGGCCACCATTTCGACCAAAGCCTGGGTGGCATCGCGGGTTTCTTCGAAAACATGCGCTCCAACACGCAGGCCCAGGTCAATACTAATATTGAGACCGAGAAGAGCCTCAAGGGCTCGGTCTTGCCCATCCTCGAGCGTCTCCACAAGGAAATCAAGCACAAGGCCAAGGAGCTCCACGGCGGTGCCCACGGCAGCGCCAAGGAAGTCGAGAAGCTGCGCAATACCACACAGAAGCACATCGAGCTGCTCGGCCAGCAGACTGCCTCGTACGACTCTGCTGGCGGCAAGCTCCAGGCCGGTGACGATCCCTACGTCGTCCACCGGGGCGTGATGCACCGCCTGAGCAACCAGGTCGTTGCCGAGAACAACCACCACAACGATCTGATTGCCGTGCAAAACAACTTCAGAGCTTTCGAGGCGCACGTCGTCGAGGTCTTCCAGCAGGCCGTGGAGGCGTTTGCCCAGCTCGTTGGAGGCCAGGGCGAGAAGACGCGCGCCCTGTACAACGACATGCTGGGCACTGTGCAGCGCGTCCCCGTCGACTTTGAGTGGCAGAACTTTGTGCAGCGCTGCTCCGACAGATTGGCCAACCCGAACGATCCGCCCCGTGCCTTGGACGCCATCCAGTTCCCCAACATGGAACATCCGTCCACCAAGCCCCTGATCGAGGGCTCCCTGGAGCGCAAGTCTCGCAACAAGCTGTCGTGGGGATACTCGACGGGCTACTACGTCGTCACGCCGGCCAAGTGGCTTCACGGGTTCAAGGACTCGGACGATGCTCGCGTGGATCCCAAGCCCGAGCTCTCCGTCTTCCTGCCAGACGCAGTGGTTGGCGCCCCCAGCGGCGAAAAGTTCAACGTCAAGGGCAAGGACAAGAGCGGCACCGTGAGCTCCAAGCTCACGGGCAGCATGGAACTCGCCTTCAAGGCCCATTCCCCGGCCGACGCCCAGAAATGGTTCCACGTCATCAAGGAAGTCTGCGGAGCCACAGGCCCGGCTGAGCCAGCGTCACCTACCACCTCATCACCTGCCGCAGCCTCGCCGGTTGCCACGACCTCGGCCGTCGGACAGGCCGGCGACGACAAGGCCGACGATGCGCTCGAAACGAACCCAGACGCGAAGCTTTCGCCCCACGAGGACCAGCCTGGCCCTCCGCCTGCGACTGCGGCCGCAGCAGGAGGTCACAAGGCCCAAGAGGCCGGCGTGACAGGCGGTGAGGCCGTGTCAAGCTATCCCGATGACAAGAAGCCTCCGGTTGCAGAGTGAGGCTGAGGAAAGCGCCGTGGTGGTGTACTGACTGTGTATTCGTATTGTCTGATGTAGGTAGGTAGGTAGGTAGGTACTTTGCGGGCACGGGATGGAGGGCCCAGAGCTTCGAGGCGCAGTGCTTGGTGGTCGGGAGGGTATCATGGACGGTTGCACAATGGGGAGGGAAGACTGAACAAATGGAGACAATTGTGCGTCATGGCACACCCGTCACGTTTTATCATGAGCTTTGAACTTTGTCGGACACCGCTACTCCATTTACACAATGCAAACTGTTTCCAAACATGCCTGTCTCGACCATTGGCTGAACCGTTTGATTCGAGCTGTGGATGCGGCAAATCGGGAAGCCTCCAGGTGCATCGTTGCGCACAAGCGCGGCATATGGACAGGGCCAGGCTCGTCGTCGAGCTCGGACAACCGGTCTGCTGTGTGACATGACGATGACTGATGATTAATTTTGTTTTCATGTCAAAAGGTTTTGGTTTCCCATCAGCCCCATGTGCCGTGAGAGGGCCTTTATGTTATCCACGCAAGCAAGCAAGACGGACAGAAATGATGCGGGTGACGCGACTGCGGTGCAGCAAAGGACGAGTGTGACGCTCGAACCAGCCAACAATGTTGCGCCACCAAGGTCGCGGTGACACGGCCGACGCCTGGAGCGGACGGCTGTTTTGCGTGCGTGCGTGCGTGCGTGCGTGCGTGTCACTGGCGCCGTTGAAGACAAGGAAGGAACGGCGTGTCCGCATGCTGACCTCTCCTTCCATCGCGTGTGCCCCGTGTCCTTTTCTCCCCCCCCGGGCCAGACGGGCGGTTTGCCCGTGTTCTTGGTCTCCCGCCACGGTGCCCACTGCAAGGCGTCACAAGTGCGGTTCCTGGCCGTTGTTCTGCCGCGCTGCCAGCGCTCTTGTCCGGCCGGGCCCGCGAAACACCGGAGCCACCGCGTGGCTGCTTGGCCTGTCGCCGTTGGCTCCTGTCGGAGTGCGCATATCTCTGCTTACCTTGATGCGGGCAGAGTTGGGGCCGGGCGCGGTTGTGCGCAACATCTTGTCGCGGATCAGCGCCTCCTGGCCTGTCTGTGATTTTCTTCACCGATGTTTCGAAAACGAACTGAGATGGAGGGGGGGCGTTTTTCTATGCTTTATTCTTCATTTTTTTATTGGAAAAAAAAAAAAAGAAAAGAAGACGTGTACTGTGGGGCTGTCGGTATGGCAGAGGCTGTGTTTGGCATTGTCCCGTGACTGTCCCGTGATAGGCAGAAACATGTTCAGAAGATGGACTTTCGGATGCGATGCTTTGCATCACATCACGGGGGCGACGACGGTCTGTTGGTCCGTGCAGAGGTAGGCGGCCCAGTCTGGCGGCCGGGCTGAGGCAGGCCGCGGCCGAGTAGACCCGTGCCTCGTTTTGTCGATTCAGGCCGGACATGCTGGAGGATGGATGCCGAGAGGGAAAATAGGGGAGCCGACGTGTCTGTGTTGAGGAGAGCCAGGGACGACGAGGGCGCAGCTCCGTGTCGGTTCGTGTTGGTATAAATCTAGCTTTGGGCCTCCTCCGCTACATGTGTTCAGGACTCCTTCAACGGCATGCAGGTTTCGCTTCTTTATTCGTCCCGTGTCTCTTATCACTTGAGTCCTCTGCAGAAATACAGCCCCCTTCTTCAATGCTTCTTTTCGCCATGGGTACATCTAAAAACTGGGACGAGCACAAGGACACCATCGTCAGCCTGTATGCACGGCACACGCTTGCCGAGGTTGTGGCCATCATGAATGAGAAGCACAATTTTCAGGCCAAGTACGTGAAGCTACTACGACATCATCCTGACTACGTATTGTGCCATGTCTCACATCACAGTGATACCTGTGCGTGAGGCAAGATTTCATCAGAAACTAATCGGTTTGTTGTTTTGTGTGTTATGCACAGTGCTCGAACCTATCAGAAGAAGTTTGGTGGATGGGGCATAGGCAAACGAATGAATAGTCAAAGCCGGCCGTATGCTCTCAGGTCCGACGGGCAGTACGCACCGACAAAATCGCAAAGTAATGGGGGCAACTCTGTTATGGCCGCCTCAGTTCCCGTCACGGCGTCTTCCTCTGCATACACTGAACCAGGCAGCCTTGGCTCCTATATGAACGAGGCCATATGTACCCCTGAGAATTTTCCGTATCAGAGCTACCAAGCAGACCATGCGTACGGGGCAAATATGCCTGGTGCGGAGCAGTTTGATCCGTATCAGCCGTCTTCGTCCCAGGTCCAAGACAAGAGGACAACTATTCCTCGACCACAAATAACCCGGCTTGGGAAACCTATGCCTCGCCTGCTGATACAGGGTCCATGCCTCAGTACATAACCCAGGCACCAACTTCCACTCCTCCCACTTTTCAGGAGGTTGGCCACGTTCCCGACAGTCAACCGCCGTCAGCGGACGTTTTTCCGTCCTGCCAGTCCAGCAGAAGAGGCCACAACCGCAATTCCAGGTCATCTAGGTCTGAAGACTAGCCGCCTTGCAGTCGCATGTGGTCGCCTGTGCAGGAGGAACAGATGAAAAAGGGGAGGCGACGGGGGGATAGCTTAGGGGTATATGTGTGGACAAACTGAAACGTGTTAAGCATTACAACTCTGGCGCGACTCTTCAAGAACACTTGCTCAATAAGATACAGAGGGACAGAGATGCAGATTCACAGAGTGTTCGTCATGGTAGATTAGGTAGATTCTTTTTTTGCAAGCCATTCGATATTAAAGCAGTTCTGCGGCTTTTCACGTTGCCTGCCCACTTGAACAAGTTCCCATGAATATTATACTATTCCATAACTGTTAGCTATTGTTCACATGGCAATGTTTGAACAAACAGGTGGGCAATTTAAAAAGGAATGTCAGTGGAAGGTGCCTTGTCAAAGGCGTTGTCATCAATGCATATGGCTAAGTTGACCGTCGTGATATTTGTAGCATCATGTAAAAGGAAGGGGTGGTGAAAGACGACCAGATTCGGCAACTCACATGGATAGCTACACAACTTCTTGGTTGCACTGTTCTTTTTCAAGTCAGCAAAGTATCCTACCCAAAAGATCGCACAAAAGTGGGAAGACATGGATAAGAGTCAGAAAAGTATGCGGATAATTCGTCGTCGCAGCTAAAGCTCAGACATATGCTTGTCATTTTCATTCGCATTCATCAGGCCAAGGGTGTGTCGAGTGTGCGAATGCAGGCGGGACTAACCACTAAAGACACTTCTATGTATTAGCATGGGCACCTAAAGTATATCAACATAGAGACAGTGTGCGAAGCATTTCAGGAAAGCATGAATGGTAAAGAATATAGTGTCTGCATTGAAAACTCAAATAAGACTCGTCATCTGTGTCATCATAAAATAAGATGATTTGCGAATGGAATGTTGGCGGCTTACTTAATTCAATTCGTGTCCGGGAAAAGAGATGTCATCTATTCGACGCTATCAAGACGTTAATGAGTCTGCTAGACTCAAGTGAGATGGCAAAAGGATGGCGTGGGTATGCCGGATCAGTGGGCGAGGTTTTCTAGGCCTGCCGCAAAATGGCTTTTCTTGCTCATGAGTTTTTTTTTTCGGAGCCCAGTGCCGCTTCATCATAAAAGGAAGATGTGTACGATTTGCGCACTATGTTGCATACCTTGTCTAAAATTCTTTAAAGTTAGCAATTGCCTCATTTATCTGTGCAGCAGAAATGGAAAATCATATGGAACAGTCAGATATAGCCATTAAATATCTTCAATGAGAAATCTCAGCCGGTAATTTCCAGCGTATATTGATAAAAAATTGATCATCATGAACCAAAAGAGGAAAGAAAAAAAGAAAGAAAAAAAGCACCCGCACAAACACAATATAACGTACCAAATATTTACCGGGCATGGCGACATTCCGCCGGTCTGGTCTAATCCGTACTCCACGGCGTCCAATAGACACGGCTGAGCCTAGAGATCAATGTTAGCACGATGCTTCCTGGCCTAGCTGTGCGATGTGCGGTTTCGAACATTGGCAGCCGTAAGATAGCTTCTTTCAGACTGACGTGAAAAAATTGAGTTTTCATTCCATGAGGTCAAAGACTCTAGTTTGCGGTTTGGGTTTGTCATCAGGGAATAAGCGGAAGTGTTGTGCAATCTCAGTGATCATACTTACCTTACCAATGCTTCGAGTAGGGAACATGTTAAAGAAACGGGAAAGGGTGGCCAGGAAGAAAAATAAAATAGGCTGCGTGAACAAAAATGGCTTTGATGTGGAGATTGAGGAGCTCTGGCTGATGTAAGCAGATCACGGGGTTTCGTGTCAGAAACGTGACCGGGGGGGTTCTTACCACTGACCAGGCAGGCCGTAAATTGAGTCACTTTTTGCTACTCAAGTCGTTGTTGCTGTAGATGTTTCTGAGGTGGACATTTCATCATGCCTGAAATTGCAGAAGGTGAGTGAACTGCAAGTTTACTTTGGTAGGAAGAAATAAATGTCATTGACGACGACTCCAGTTGCTCGTATTGTGCACTTCCTTCGTCTCCATTTGGTTGGCAGGAAGATTGCAAGCGCGTCGGCGATTGACGACAGTAATGTCTTTGGCAAAGCGGGAACCACTGGTGAAGCGGTGAAGGCTGCATTAGAAGGCAAACAGGTAGAAACGTCTAATTTCAACAAGTCAATTTATTGTAACTAATGCCTGCGTCCAGGTCGTCTCGGCAGGCAACCAGGGCAAATATTTCTGGTGAGCGGGTTCATCGTGACTCGCGACGTTGGGCATGAAGGACTCACAATACCAAGGATCACATTCGATAAACCGCCTCATTTGGTGATGCATTTTGGCATGACAGGTAAGGCGTGGTCGCCGGCATCCTTGTTGTCCTTGACTAACGAGCTGGGGCAGGATGGGTTCACATTAAAGGACAGCAGACAGCGTACACAAATTACTACAAAAGGATGAAGCCAGACGAGCTTGAACAGTGGCCGCCGAAATTCTGGAAGTTCCAGATCAAGACAGAAGGCAAGCCAGAAGTGGAGGTGGCCTTCACCGATGCCCGGCGTTTTGGTCGAGTTCGCCTACTTGATTGCCCTGGCGCAGACATCCGGAACCACACCCCTCTCAAAGAGAACGGGCCAGACCCTGTGATTGATGCTTGCAGATTCACCGAGGAGTATTTGCGTGGCAGAATGCGGGCTCGTCATGTCCCGGTCAAGGCGCTTCTGCTGGACCAAGCCATGATCAGCGGCATCGGCAATTGGGTGGCGGACGAGACTCTGTATCAGGCTGCACTTCATCCGGAACAGTACAGCGACAGTTTTAGTGACGCTGAAATCAAAAGGCTCTACGAGTGTATTAAATATGTTTGTCAGACGGCGGTAGACAGACTGGGAGACTCGGACCAGTTCCCGGAACACTGGCTGTTCAATCACCGCTGGGGTAAAGGGGGTAAGGGGTCGTCAAGTAAACTGCCCAATGGAGAGAAATTGGCATTTATTACCGTTGGTGGCCGCACGAGCTGCTACGCGCCGAGAGTACAGAGGAAGACGGGTCAAGTTGTGCCTGAAGCAAAAGCCGAACCGATCAAAGATGAGTCCGACGTGGAGGCATTGTCCGCAAAGAAACCCCGAAAACACAAGCTTGAAATGAATGGGGTTGAAAGCAGGGAGCTGCCGACCAAGAGAAAGAAGCCTAGCATTAAGAAGATGGGAAAGGATCCGACTAAGCCGAAACTAGACTCTTTGCCAGGGAGAAGACGTTCCACTCGACTGCAGAATTAGTCGGGGGCATGATGATTTGGGCTATATCATACTCCATAATATGCCATGTGCTTGGGCGCGTGCGTTTCTGGTTGACCATTACAGAGCTATCTTTCCGCGCTGCTACCACAGCAACCTAGACTTTTCGCCGCGTCGCCAACTTCTTGCTCTACCAAATGACTAATTTCACCGAGGTACAAAACATGGCAGCACACATGGTTAGCTCAGTGTGAAGTGTTGAGAAATCAGTCGCTGAAATTCTGCTGTCGCATGGGAGTTTGATCATCATCAAAGCGTACATAGCATGAGGTCAAAGCCCAACATGGGTGACATTTCAGGACAGGAATAGAAAATATATCCGAGTCGTAAAATAGTGCTACTTCTGTTCATCATTTCCCTGAAATACGTCGCCATACTCCGAACGATGATGACATGTCCCAAACAGAACATGAATTGAAAACCACGAAATCCCCTCAACGCTCGTATTGTCGCACCTGAAGATAATAGTGATTGCGCACCACTCTGTGAACCAGTCGCTCATATAAAGGTTGAGCGCTCTCCTAGTCTATTTCATGCCGATGTCAAAAACGACAAAGGAGTTAAAAAGAAACACCGCTCAATTCCAATCGAGAACAAGGCACGTCGTCTATGCGTGCTGTTGGCCAGAGTACCCCCGGTCGCGGTACAGAACAAACGTCGACCAGTCGACGAAATTGATGTGGTTGCGCCCAAGAGTCACGAAGCTTCACCAAGCAGCCCAACGGCATAGCGGTAGCCAGAACCGCTTAGCTCAACAGGGATGATGGTGACTAGGTTGGTAAATTGATACCCATCTTTTCGATAGTTTACAACCTTTAGCTGGATTTCCTGCCGGCCTTGAAGTGCGTGCCGCATTCGTGAGGCTGCCATCTTGTCGTGCATGGGCACGGGCTTAGAGCTGTCCGTCGAGTCGGGGTGTGGTTTTTGGAGGAATCGACAATTTTGGCCGAGAACCTCTGCTTGTGAATAACCCGTGAGTTCACAGAACGCATCTGAGGCGTACACTATAGGGTTGTCCGGCTGCTCAAGGTCACAGACAACAAGAGCTACTCCGACGTCGACTGTACCAATGTCAACTTGTGGATTTGGTCGGCTCATGACACTCATCTAGCCGAGTCAGTGCCAATCTAGTCATGAAACCTTGAATCAGGGTCCCTACAAGAATGGCCACCACGTCAAAGCCGGTTGCTGAATAGAGGCCGGGATAGAAAACAGGATCCGACATGGCCTGCCACGGGCCGCTAGAAGCCGCGGCTGGTTTTCTTTGAAATGAAGGTATTATTTCAGTTGGAAAATGGTACTGCCACGTCAAGTTAGCAAACTGATCGGCGATGACGTCGACAACACCAGAGGTGCCAACGACGAGGGCAAGATAAATAGAGAGGTTTGAATTACTTCCATGGCTTGGATTTCCCAAGGATTCACCACCATCTCTACCTCTGAGGTCATTTTGCAAGGAAATGATGTTAGGGACGGAATCGCGAGTGAAGATCAAGACGGAATATCAAACAAGAAGTTGAGGAGTTGAAGGGATAGTGGCACAGCAGCAGATGGGAAGCTGGATGAGGCACCGGTTTAAAAATAAAGACTAGCTAGGAAACGCACCTTATTGAACCAGACGTGCAGCAAGGACGAGCCATGTGCCGACTTGTCTAAGCGATAATAGCAGAGGTCGGGGCCGTGTTACATCTCACGACGGCGAGCGAGGATCCACCACGAACTTGCGGAGGGCCTGTTCCGAGGGTAAAAACTCACAACCCCGTCAAGTTGAATGGAATGAGTAATTGCGCTTCGGCTTGGCAAGCCTATGGACGGATGGAGAATGCTAGATCGAAGTGCGAAGAGCGCCTGGGTGGCCGATCGGGAACGACGACTAGTCAGGCGTGTATCGCGGCGGATGCCATTTGGATTCGACCACGGTCAATGCGTGACGCAAGTGCGAGAGTGCCAGAAACGGGGTCATATTGGCAAGAGGCATCGAGCTAACACCTCATCTAGGGTCCCGTTGGGTCAGATTTGGGCCTTCTCCTCGACCGCGTGGAAGGGTGATGGGCAGTACACCATGCCAGATCCTCGTGGGCTACGGAGGACCACGACGATCGAAGAATGGGAACCGGGCATTATTAGTAGTAGTACTACTAGTACTTCAAAATTGGTAGCTGGCATCAATTGCCGGTCCCACATTTGTTGGGCCGAAAAGTGAACAAGCAGAGCAGGGCCATGTTTCCAAGCAAGCTCCAAGCGAGGCACGCAGTTAAGCGGCTACCACAGTTTGGCAGGTAGGGCCACAGATCCTGGTGCCGAACAATCACGGAGCAATCAGAATCTGAATGCGGATCGGGCAGAATCTGCACGTCGCCGATTGATCGTCCTGACTCCTAGTACTACTACTAGTAGATTGTCTCCCGATCTGGCGTGTTGATGGGCCGTCGACGACACCTGCTTGACCTGCTCTCATCCGCTTGCTCGATCGTGCTGGTCGTCTGGGGTGTCTCCGTGCCACCCCTTGCCATCCGGAGCCGAAGCCTGTCGACAGGTACGGGTCGGGCTTTTGCACCAAAGCTGCGTGTACACGATGTACGGAGTACGGAGTAGACGTGATGACAGGCCTCGAGTCCCGATCCACATGAGCGGCGTCTACTAGTGCTCCGTGACTTGGTCTCACGATCTGCACTAATTTCTCGGATACCGCGCCATCGAAGGGCGGATGAATGCGGCTCGCCGAGATTTCAATATTGAACAAAGCGTGCAGCGTGTCCGTCCAGACCGATGAGAACATGGATAAACGATGGACGGGCCACCCGGAGACAAAGGGCTCGCGAGAGAGGGAGAGCCGCAGAGCCCATGACCAGCATTCCACCGTCATGCTTTTGCAAGCAACAGGACTGCTTGACAATACCGAACATGCCTACTACTTGGGTTGTGAGAACAGTTGAAGTCGGAGGCTTGGAGAGGTCTGCTCAGGCCGGGGTCACTGTACATTACGCACGAACAGCATGAAAGCCGTGATTGTCAGACGAGGTTCCAATCGGGATGCAGACGGGAGGGGCCCGGCGCAAGGAAAACGGCCAAGCACAGTAGGCGACTTTCCATGACGTTCTTGGGCTGTCAGATGGCGGTGACTCTGGTGAGTGGTGAGGCAACGATGGGTCGTCTGTGCGTTGGATCTTGTGCTTGCGTCACGCGTGCGGCCCAATGCCCAAATGTGGCGCCTGTCAGACAAGGCGGAAGGAGCCTCCGCCGCCCTGGCCCCTCGGGATGCCCCCGGGGTGTCCACTTGCACTTGCCACTGTCCTCCGGGTGCCCTTTGGGCACCACGGCTGACCCCCGCGTTCTGAGACGCGTCTCGCGTCTTGGACGAAGTTCGTAACTTACATTGTCATCGTCGTTGCAACCGCCAGTCGGCCTTGAGCCTCACACCCGCCATGTCGCGACTGCTCAACCGCCGCCGCCCTCCCGTCACAGACTCCTCCCCTGCCAGGGCCGGTCCATCCGCATCTCTGCCCCGCTACCAACCACCCTCGTGCCCGCTCAACGACCGTGCCCGCCGCGCGCTGGGCGAGCTGTCGGACAATCGCGGCACGCTATCATACGAAACTCATCTCAAAGACTCGGCACGCCACCTCGGGCTCAGTGTCGGCGACCTCCACGAACGTCTACGGGCGCAAATAGACCGACTGCAGTTGCTGCAGGAGCGACGAGAACAAAAGGGCACCAGCAAGACTCCCGAGGAGGAACGCCTGGAAGCACACCTCGTCGAGCTCGAGAGGGACGTAGACGAGCTCACCCACGAATCCGAGCAATCCATACGCGACGTCATCGACCACCGAGCCGAGATCGAAGACCAGAGCGCCCTCCTGCGAGACTTGTATACCGCCGCTGCCACAGCGACAGCCCCCAACACGGCGCAAAGCCGCGCGCACAGAGACACGAGACATGAACCAACAAGTGACGGAGAGCAGGATCTCGAACAAAAGCAAGACGCAGAAGCCGTAGCCAGCACCCTCGAGGCATTTCGCAAAGGCCGAGCCTCAAAGCAAGCCGAGTACCAACAGCTCACGGCCTATCAACGATACGGCGTCAACAACGACTACGCCGGCTTCAAAAAGATCTGGCACGATGCTGCGTCCGGCCACGATGGTCCCCCGCTCCCCGATGCCTCGCGTTGGTTCCGCCCCGACGGACGACCGGTAATGACCCGCCCGGGGGCAAACACTCGCCGTAGCACCGCCGGCCCAGCCGGCGATGACGATGACATTGCCGTTGCGAGGGAGGTTCTCAGTCTAAACTGTCCCCTTTCACTGCGGCAAATGGAGGAGCCGTACAGCAATGTCAAGTGCAAGCATACGTTTGATAAGTCAGCCATATGGGATTACTTGTCCACCGCCAGGGGGGAAGTTCAGTGTCCACAGACAGGGTGTTGCCAGGTAAGCATGCGCATGCTTGTCCCCCTTCGACGTTCCTCTCAATGCGAGGGTCTGTGTGCAAGGGGTGTTTGTTCATGTTCCAATAAGAGCAAACTATTAACTCTGTCACAGAAGTTCTCCAAGGCCAGTTTTCAGCAGGAGTTTTATCTTGACGAAGCTATCCTGCGGCGTATCCAGCGCGTCATGCACACTCAGCGCTCGCTCAATGATATGGACGTCGAGGATGACGAAGATGCTGACCAGGATGCCTCACTGGTGCTTGGGCAGGAGAGAAGAGTGCCTGGGAGAACACCCAAGACGGAGAGGTTATAAGGCTTGTGTGAGTGGAATCTATGATGACGAGGAGGGATCCCCGGGTGGAATGGTTCGACTCTGTACGACATGTATTGACGAATCGCAATCTTGCGCGAGGACGGTGCAACGGCGGGCGGATGCCCTGGGCACACATGACAAGTTGTTGTGTCAAATCTATATGAATTTATATTACGTGAGTAACGATACTCATCTGTAGGCCTAGATACAATCCATGATACCATTCTAATATGCCCCGTGTCCTTTCCCGACCACCCTGCGCGCTAAAGTTACCCCATATGCCATGCCATCCGTATAGCAGGTCAAGACAAGAGAAACCAATTCCTGACCAGTGCTTCATCTACAATCAAGAACACACGTATTGCAACCCAATGTCCGTACAAATGCTTAGAAGAAAATTTCTACGCCTTGTAAAATCCAGAAGCTTGAAATGGTAATCCAAAGGATGCCGGCACGCGGTGAACGAGCCTCGCCTCGATTGTCTGGCATTTTCGTAGCCGTAAACACACCTGTTAAAAGCATACTTGTGGTGGTGGTAGGGCGGCCGTATGTAGAAGATGGAGGCTGAGTAGCAGCCAAGGGCCAGTCGGCTGATTCGCTATACAGAATGCCATTAATGACTGTGCCGTTGCCTGCGGAAGCGAGGTTCTTGGCGTCGGTGTCGCATGTGTCTGCGAATGCGCGAATGTAACATGTTGTCGACGGCATTGCCGGCAGTTTGTCTTCATGGGAAGCTGCCCTGGGCCCCGTCGTGCTGAAAGTGGAGAGCGAGATGGTCTCCCCGGTAGATATCGATGTACCCATCATGATACGTGCAAACACCTGGAACGCTGTCTCGGGCTGGTACCATGCTACATAGTGCCCGGCCTGATAAATTCGACTAAAGGACAAGTTGCCGTACTGACGAACGAGGCCGCCGACGTACGAGTCGTTGACAACGATGGGGGCGTAACCTGCCGCGGGGAACCCCCTGGCGTAATCGGGGCCGCTTTGGTCCGCAACGGCGAGAGACACGGCCTGCCCACCGAGCCAGTTGCAAATGTAGTCTCTGTCGCCATACATGAAGCCAATACGGACGCCTCGATTCAGGAGATCAGCCAACCGCTTAATGTTACCGCCTCTTGACAGGTCACCAGTGTCCTTGAATGCCCGAAAGACTGCATTACTTGTCATGGTGTAGTTGACTGGCGAGCCAATAGTTTGCAGGACATGGCCCTGGTTGAGGTAGTCGATAAATTGTAAGGGCGGGAAAGGATTCGACCAAGGAGCGGCAAGATCGTACACACTGCGGCCACTGTTGCGGTATGGTTCCTGGATAGCAGAGCATGCTTCATCGGCGGCCTCGCACAAGCGATTTGCCTCGGGCTGGTTTCCGTGCCTACCTGGATCCTGAGCCATGGCCACAACCGTGCATTGTTGAATCTTGTCTTTACATTCACCCGGAGCGTTGAACCTGCGGCTGTAATACATTTCTGTTTCGTCCGATATAGCCTTGAATTTATATGTGTTGTTGTTGGAAAAAACGGGATAGAAGGGGACCTGGATCTCCTGATCTATGCAGCCATTCACAATGCCTAGAGAGCCAAGGCGGACCTCCATCGTCGAACCGGCGTCCAGCTGCCCCGTAGTTCGTTTTTGATTTTGGGCCTCCCATTGCTCCGCAAATATTGGCCCATATCTCCCGCCGTAGCTTTCAGCGAAGAGATTGACGGCTATTGAACTATTGGGCTGTGGCTGGTACTGAGGAAATGTGGTGAGGAAGCCTTGGACCAGGTGCCATACGGCGACGGCTGCATTCTCGGTCGTGTTGGCCGTGGTGTCTTTGCTCATTGTGCTAAAGGTGCCGTTCATGTAGGCCCACGCCGGAAAGGAGTCGTTTCCCTGGACAGGGGGTTGCCGCATGGAGTCTTCAGGAAGAATTAGAGTCCCATCGGTGGGTGTATCGTATGAGAAGCCAACCTGGTTGGGCTGGTGATGTCGTATTCAACGTCAGCGCGTGGTTGCTCGGGTGTTGCGGACAGACGTTGAGCGGAACGAACCTGATCAATGAAGAGCATGTTGGAAGCTCGATCCCAGCCCCATTCTTCGGCAACTGTGTCATACCTGTTGATGCCCTTCTCGATAACTTGACATGGCCCGACGCCAGCAAAAAATCCAAAGAGGGAACTCGACCCGGGCCCCCCGTTCAGCCATATCGTTAAGCTGTCTGTCGGTTGACGGCCTTGCACAAACCAAAAGAAGAGGTTCGTCGGCTCATCCCCCGGCATATGCACCCAACCGGTATACTGCTTCTGCTGGCTGAATGCCGTGTTGCATGCGCCCCGTGGCTCCTTGTATGAGATTGTGATGCTGCTATCGGCAGGTGACCTTGCTACAGTCAAATTCAGTAAATTGGGGTCTCTGACTGGGAACTGGGCCGCAGATTGAGAGCTCAAGGCCGCGAATAGGGCTGCGAGCCGAACAATCATGTTGCCAGAGCTGTGGGAGAGGGAAAGCTCTGTTTCCGGTTCCGTTGACACGAATCATGTCACACGTAGCACTGGCGTCTTTCTCCGAACGCGCGGCCAATTCGAGAATGGCGACGCAGCAGGGGGGGGGGGGGGGGAGCCGAGATGGTCAAGAGCAGGAAGTGACAAAAACGAGAGAGCGTGAAGGTGAAGGTGAAGGTGAAGGTGACGGCCATCGGTCAACCTTTTGGTGGGGTGGACGTCGAGGATGATAAGGCACTGACGGAGAGGTGCCCGGGTGTTGGGAGGCTCAACATTTGGTGCTGATTCGCTGGTTGGCAGCCTGAATGGCCGACTTGCGTGAGGTTGACCTGCAGCTGCGCTGCATTTAAAAGGCCACAGGCGACTGACCCACCAGTTGAACCTGCGAACCTGCGAGTGGGCCCAATCTGATAACACCATTGATCAACATGGTTGATGCAACGACATTTGACGACACTTCGAGGTCTGGTTCGGTCTGGTTCGATATTTTCATTTACCAGCTCTCGGGAGCTTCTCCAGCCAGCCACACTGTAATGGTATCAGTTGATCGCGCGTCGAGGGGGCAATTGGCATTCTGGCGACCAGGACTCGACTTTCATGAGCTGCACATGGCCCCAGACACGACGGGCATCTTATGTCTTTTCGCCCAAACTTGCCGCATCTCACTATGCCTTGTACCTTGGACAGGACTCCGTTTCGGGTGAATGAGTCTATGCCATGTTCACGCCAGGCATCTACTTATTTTTTAAACACATGTGCACTCGCGACATCGGCGAGCCCCCAATTCACGGCTCGACAACCTGCCAGTTACTCAAGAATTCGCTTGCTCCCAGTATAGTAGTACACTAGCAGTACGTGAAATACACATTCGTCATGGTACTTGCGGGCATATCGTTCCGCTTCTGATGGCTTTCCAGTCCCACAATGGGGATGCGCGAGCCCAGCACGGCACCTAATCGCTCCGCCTCACAGCAAAAAAGTAATTGCCCACCTTCTCACCGCCACGAACCTCTTTCCACCCGAGTCCGGGCACATAGACGACGCCCATGACCCTGGGGCTGTCCCACCCTTTGTCCATGAAGAAGCGTTGCAGCTCGTCTTCGTTGATGTACTTGTTCCAGTCATGCGTACCCGGCGGGACAATCCTCAAGAGACTCTCGGCAACCAGGTTCGTCGTGAACCAGCTCACCCACGACCTCGCGATGGTGCTCATGACCAGCCAGCCCCCGGGCTTGACGAACAGCCGAACCCGCTCCAGGAAGGGCCCCGGTCGGTCCACGTGCTCAATTACCTCGAACAAGCTGACAATGTCGTATGCCTCGCCTGGCCCCCGAGGCACCTGGAGCTCTTCGACGGAGGTTTGTCGGTAGACTAGTTTGCCGCTCAGCGAGGGGTCCTTCTTCGCGTGCGCCTTTGCGACGGCCAGCACGGACGGCGTAGGGTCAATGGCAGTGACTCGCTTCGTCGTGGGTAGTCGTGCGGCGCTCTCGGCAAAGATGCCGCCTCCGCATCCGATGTCGAGGTAGCTGAGGGATGCGTCTTGGAGCCTCGAGGCCGTCGTGTCGGGAATGGACTGGAGGCAGCCGCGGATGAAGTCTTGTCGCACCGGGTTCATGAGGTGAAGCAGACGGGAGGATCCATGGGGAGCCCACCATTCGGAGGCGAGGCTGTTGAAGTGGCATACTTGCTCAGGGTTAACTGAGGAGGAGGTCGACTGCCATTGTCGCGAATCGAGCCGGAAAGGTTTGAGAGACGATTCGGGTCGCCACTGACGGGGAGTGTGCCGAGATGCTGCAGCTGTGCTTGGCCTCGATGGTCCGAGGACGCGGCCCGTCGCCCTCAGAGCAGTTGACATTGACTGTCGACAAACAGGGCCGGCCAAAAGGATCTCACTTGATGCTAAGCAAGGCGAAGGCACGAAAGTCGCGCAGTCTCTCCCGCCGGGTTTGGAGCCCAGACCCACTTTCCGCCCTTCACATGCTCTGGTGACGGCGAGCCCCTGCATCAGTCGCTGTGGACCCATAGACGTCGGACGCCGAGTTGGCCCGCAAAACCTGGTTGCGCCAGACCGAGCCGTGATTACCTAGTGGTTACTAATATTCCTCAGAGAACATCTTGAGTCTTGAATGCCGAGTCTCGCCTCCAATTCCGGCATTTACGGCTCCAACTTTTGGCGGCATTTGTCTCTGCATTTATTTTTATTTATTGATTTATTTAAACAAAAGCCCTATACCGAAGCCCTCCATCACGAGCCGGACCGGACCGGACTGCAGCACTTCGACCAACGTCAATCCCCCACGATACCCTCCCATCCTCTTTTGCTCCACGACAATCACCCAGATCCAACAACATGCCTGCCTCCACGATACCTGCCAGTCAATTCGACTCCATCCCCGACACAATCGAGGCCTTCCGTACGCAAACCTTCTCCCCCAGCTGCGCTCTCCTCCATGATCCCCCGTCTCCGCTAACCGGATCCCACCCTCCCCCGCCCCGCAGGCCGAGGCGAATTCATCCTGGTGCTCGACGACCCAGGCCGCGAAAATGAGGCCGACCTGATCATCGCCGCCGAGGACGTCACCACGGAGCAAATGGCCTGGATGGTGCGCTACTCCTCGGGTCTCATCTGCGCCCCCATCACGCCCTCTCGCGCCGACGCCCTGCGTCTGCCCGTCATGGTCCCGGCCAGCCAAGACGCCCGAGGCACCGCCTACACCGTCTCCGTCGACGCCGCCCACGACTCCGTCACCACGGGCATCAGCGCCCACGACCGCTCCCTCTGCTGCCGTTTCCTCGCCGACCCCAAGTCCACCGCGACGAGCTTCATCCGCCCCGGCCACATCCTCCCCCTGCGCGCTGCCCCCGGCGGCGTCCGCCAGCGCCGAGGCCACACAGAGGCCGCCGTCGAGTTCTGCCGCCTCGCCGGCAAGAACCGGGCCGCTGCCATCGCCGAGCTTGTCGAGGACGGCGAGCCCACGCCCGGCCGGCCCATCATCACCCGCGCCGGCATGATGAGAGGCGAGGCCAACATCGCCTTTGCGAGAAAGTGGGGGCTGAAGGTCTGCACCATTGCCGACCTCGTCGACCATGTTGAGAAGACGGAGGGAAAGCTCAAGCCCCAGCTGAACGGCGACTGCGCATAAACTTGGAATCTTTTGCGCGTGTTGCGAAAATAGAGACTGAATTGGATATGCGCGGTGGAGGGAGTGAAGGGGGGCAAAGAAAGAAAAAAGGGAAAAGGGGGGAGGGGAGGCCGTAGCCTGGACAAGTGAAGCAAACTCATTGTACGCTGCGGATAGTATACACATTCCCCTGCTGGCTCGGCATTTAAAACTTTGTATCTACCTGCTTGCGTTGATGTACGGTAGGGGTGGGCTTTCTGTTATTATCGTCATCATCTTCATCTTGGTCACCTTTCGGTATATGGTTTGGGGGAGCGACTGTTCGGACTTGTAAATATATACAATGCACACATAGACTTGGGGGCGTGATGCCCGACTGTTTGAGTCAAGTAAATAAGCCTTTTGGTCTTTCACAAAAAGTCAATGGCTCTCAGGATCCCTGACGTGATTGCTACTTTTGTCATGGTGCAAATGCCGACCCTAGGCTTGGGTTCCTACGTGGTCACTGTGCCACCCCTCCCATGCCAGCCAACATGCCTACGCCATAAAATCATCTTCTATGCTCTCCCTCGACGTAGCGGGCGCCGAATGCAAACTCATTTCCGCTGCTCTCTGCAGCAGATCCTCCTCATCATCGCCCTCCGCCTCTTCAACCACGCCTGTCCTCCCTACAGGCGGGGCCGTCCTCGATCGTACCTGCACTTTAATATCGCCCTGGATGCCATCCACTCTAAGTGTCGAGACGACTGTCCCCGCCAACGGAAGCTTCGAGTTCGGCTGCGGTACTATGCTGACAAGTTCCCTGAAAAAACTGTTGGCTGCCTCGCATCCATCTAGCAGCCATTTGAGACATATTGTCACCCGTTCCTTTGCAAAGGGGTTGTGGTCATCATACGCACAGCTGTTGAGCAACGGAACGATACCGTTATGTTTGACCATTTGGGACTGAACCTGACAGTTTCCAGGGCTGGACTGCCCTGGAGGTGGTTGGAGGAGCGTGGCGAGTATGGTGAAGATTTGACCTTTGACACAAGGCCAGGGGAACTTGTAGGCTGGCTCTTGAATTGGAGGTGGTGGCGGAGATGGGGATGGAGATCCCGCTTCGGTTGCATAGGGCCGCTCAACCATGGTGTTTGTTGCTGTAGTAGGGGTGAGACAGGACGCCAAGGTTGGTGACAATGATCCGGGTTTTGATGGCGAACGTTTGGGGAGTTCGATCAATGGCTTTTTAGCAACTCCAGCTTCAAGACCGTTGAGGATAGTGATGAGGTCGTATATGGCTTCCCATTCAATCAATTTGGCGCGCGTGTCCGCCATTTCAGCCACAGTAGTGAGAAAGTCGAGGTATTGCGCCAGCCCATCTTTGGCACGTTCCATGTCCCAGCTGTCGACGGGAAACTCTGTCGGATCACATTTGTCTTCGCGGATTTGGGCCTGCAGATGCATGAGGGCAGCACATTCGGGAACAATGCGGCTACGAAAGTAGCTGAAGAAAAAGTGGACGAGCTTGACATCCCGAGAGTTGTCTCTTTCTTGGGGTGAAGCATCTCTCGCGTTGGCAGTGGAAGCGCTGGGATTGGGAGCAGTAGCAAGGGGGGTGTGGTTGCTGCCACTGGCGGCATTGTTGTTCACTCTGGCTCGAAACATGTGGCTTACCAGTCGTAGCAGCACGGTTTGTGCTGGGGATATGATATCCTTGGGAATTCGGAGCGAGTTCCAGGCGTAGGGGATCAAGGCGCTGTGGTGAAGAGCCTCGACGATCTGAGTCGTGACTTGGAATATGAGCGACTGCTCGTCCTTGTCCCAGACAGCAATGAAGACGAGGAGTTCTCGCAAAAGACTCTTGCCGCAGTCGAGTGCCAGGAACATCCTGCATCTTGTCTTTTGCAAGTTTTCGCCAGCCCGAGTGAGGCCGGACCCGGCGTTGTCCAGGATACATGACTTGACGATCATATGGAGGGCTTCAATTTGCTTTGGATCCAAAATGTTGGGCACTTCGGTAAGAAGTCCAGTCAGTGGGCCATCGCCGTACGACTCGTCATCATCGCCATCCTCTTCGTCAATCATATCGTCGACGTAGTCATGCGCATGGTCATGGTCATGGTCATGGTCATGGTCATGACTATGGGGATGGTGGTGGTGGTGGTGGTGGTGGTGATGATGATGACGGTGGTGATGGTGATGCTCACACTCAGGACCCTGTTCGTGTTCGTGTTCGTCCTGATCAGAATCATCGTGGCTACATCTATGCTCGTGCTCATGCTCGTGGTCGTGTTCCTCATCTTCTGCGTCGTCATGATGGTGGTAACACTCGTGGCATTCGGGGCAATGATGGCAGTGCTCATGGTCGGAAGGCTCATCATCTGCCGCTTCAGGAGGTGGTGAGTGACCTCCTCTGTACGAGTGAGCATAGCGATGGATCAAATTCGACTTGCAGTGTTCGGTCCTCGATTGTGCCAGCTCCACAGACGGCATGGTAACCACCCACTCTTCGTAGTTGGGATCACGAGCACGCAACCACCAAGTATCTATTTCCCTGGATACGCGCCCGTAGGCTCTGTCCTGTTCAAAGTTGTCGGTCTCATCAGGCTTCCAGACGGGATTCATCTTTTCGCTGGTGTCTGCCAAGTCGCCAGGTATGCTGACTGAGCCTTCAGGAAGCCAGTTCCAAGCCAGGGGGCGGATGGGTGCCAGGTTACCTGGCGGCTTATCTGCGTGGTTTTGGGCATAGTCCTTGAGAAGTTTTCTCGCAGCGTCGCACATTCTAGAGTTGCGGTCGAGCCAATGCTGAACCTGTTTCTTGGCTACGTCTGGCCGGAAGCCAGACCCGTCACCCAGGCCCTCTTCCTGACAGCCAAAAGCGCCCTCATCCTCATCAAAGAGCACGTCGAACCAAAATGACATTTTGTTGCGGTCGTGCTTGGCAGTCCAATTATGCGCCTGCTGGAGCGACGTGACCAACAACTTCTTATCTAACGGCTGGAACTCAGTCACGGTTTCGGGGCATATTGGCTATTCTTCCACGACAGGGCCCGTGACGGGCGAGGGGGGATCCAAAACGACTCACATAGTTCCGTAACGTCAGCCAATTTTAATCTCTGGGTTTCGTCTAAAATCTCTCCATCATATCCCTTGCTGGTGACGTTGACGCACAGAATAATGGTCTGATAAACCATCTGATCAAAATGCACGGCTGCACAAACATCCTGAGGAACTTCAGGTTCTGCATTGACCAGCAGGTTCCTTGCAATGTGCATCAATTTGATCAAGGTGCCGAGGTCCTCCTTGATAGACGCGTGATTCATAACGATCAAGGCGGTGCTTTCCTGAGGACTCACCCCCCTGTCCGGGTCGTTCAAGCTGGACAGAGGCCCTACTGATCTAGTTGTGAGGCTAGGGATAGCAGCGGCAAATATTCTTGTGAGCCATATCCATATGGCTACATTTCGCGAGAGCGCCTCACTTTTGCGCATCGAAACGAGTCAGCCGACAGGCTCTGGGTGACAACTAAAGCGGCCGAGCGTCGAGGCATGCTTACCGGGCTGTCCTAAGCGTATGGGTCTTCTCGAGAGTCTTTGATATCATGGAGTTCACACGAGCAGCTGTTTGGGGCCCCATGGGAGGGGATTGCGTGAAATGGCCCTCGAGACAGACGAGCGCGGCGGAGAAGCATCGTTCCTCAATAGACTCGCCGTCATCGTCTCCCTTGCCGGGACTCGGCCCCGTATAATCCGACAGCTGCGTCATGGTGTGAGGGCTGCTCTGTCTGCGGCAGGAATAGATGCCGGTTGATGATGGACGAGCAAGAGCTCAAGGACGCTTGGTGGTCCACAGGTCTGGCGGTGTCCAGACTTTTTTGGTGGGTCCGGGCAAGAAATGTGCAGGGCGGCGTGGTTGGATGGCTGGCAATTGACAGGCATGCAGACAGGCTTTGGCAGCCGTTGCCCCATGGCGTCGAGAGAATACCAAGTTTGATCGTTGATGGTGTTGGGCCTTGGCAGCAGAGCAGAGGTGCTGTGCTGTATGCGCATGCTCAAGTACGTGAGTACCGACTTAAAGTACGTCCCAGGGCCCTCATCATCGTCACAATGTCAATTCGAATGTCTGCGTCGCCCTCGGCCCATCAGGAACACATGTGTCTGTGTGTGATGCCTGCCCCTCGCCCCTCCATGGCGGGGTTTTATCGAGACAGTCTGAACTCTTGTCCTGCCATCTTTCTTTTGCTCCTTGACTACGAATTGTCCCTCTCCCAATCTCTGAGAACTGCTACCACCACGTACGCCGCTCGAGCAGAGCAGCCCATAGCTTCGATCCTCCTGTGAAGCCGTCACAATGGCCAATCTTCCCAGCACATTCGACAGTACGGTGCCAGACCCAGTCCCTTGTCGCCGCCAACTCGGTGCTGCCTGTGTTCATCGCGACTAATTTCTCCCCAGAGCCTGTCCACATAGCCGTCATTGGCGGCACGGGGCTTGGCCATCTTGAAGGATATGAACCCATCGCTGCCGTTAATCCCATCACCCCCTGGGGTCCTCCCGCCTCGCCCATCAAGATCCTCTCCCACAACGGCACCTACGTCGCCTTCCTCGCCCGACACGGTCTGCACCACCAATATGCGCCGCACGAGGTCCCCAACAGAGCAAATATTGCTGCTCTGAGGCATATAGGTGTGAGGTGTGTGGTTGCCTTCTCGGCCGTGGGTTCGTTGCAGGAGGACATCAAGCCAATGGATTTTGTCGTCCCTGATCAGGTCATTGATCGGACCAAGGGCATTCGGCCCTTCACCTTCTTTGAAGGAGGCGTGGTTGGCCATGTAGGATTTGCAGATCCCTTCGATGCGGGATTGGCTGCTGTTGTTAAGCGTTGCGCAGAGAGCATGGAGGGCGATGGCGTCGTTTTGCACGACAAGGGTACCGTCGTTGTCATGGGTAAGTGCAGTCGCCACGGGCAAAATTGTGTACCGCTAAGAAGATACGTTTCGTCAAAAATTTCCCCCTTCATTGACCAAGTTATGCTGCAGAGGGTCCTCAGTTCTCTACTCGAGCTGAATCTCACATGTACCGATCATGGGGCGGATCTGTCATCAACATGTCCACGCTTCCCGAGGCCAAACTGGCCAGAGAGGCCGAGCTCTCCTACCAAGTAATCGCCATGGCCACCGATTACGACTGCTGGCACTCGTTCGAAGACGTCAATGTCGACATGGTCATCAAATATATGCACCAAAACGGGAAAAACGCCAAGCGCTTAGTTGGCGCAGTCTTGGACCAGCTCAGCAGCGTTGAGCACAGTGACTTGGTCATGGCTAAGAAATGGGAGGGCTACTCTCGTGGTGGTCTCAAATTCATGACCAAGCCCGAAGGCAGAAACCCCGATGCTGCAAAGAGAGTTGAGTATCTGTTCCCCGGCGTCTGGGAGTCATAGGTGAAGAAGTGTATAAACAAAGCCCGTGTAGATTTGAAGGCAGATCCGGGCGGTATAAAAACGCCTCGCATAGACACACAACTAAATAAGTCATTTATGGTATTTTCCGTGTCTTGTGAGCGGCGGCATCGTATTGTGCAGCTTGCAGTCTCGCAACGTCCAAGCGCTTTTCTCAACAGCCTCTCAGCCTTAGCTCGTCGTCAGGCAGGATTCAACCACGGGGCACGTCGTCTGGTAGTTGCTCTTTCCACGCATGCGAAGCTCACTCCAAGAACAGCTGGATAGAAACGCGCGGGGGGCCACCATCGACTGCCGGGCAAGGGCCATGGACGATATCACGCCGCATCGCACTGCATCACATCACACTGCCGCCACCGCAGACACCGGTCCATTTCCGACTGGCCACACGACAAAACCATATATGCTTGATAGCCACCCGTACCTTGGCTGTGATGCAACCCCAGATGGCATACCCCTGGTAAGCCGTATACGTATCGGGAGTTCTCCGTACTTGTCGCAACTGTCTCGACATGTCGTGAACGAACCCGACTGAACGGTTCACAGGCAATCCTAGTTCACAGTCAAGCGGGAAACGTGGTACGCCGTGTATGCTGACGTTGCAAAACGATGCAGTGCTACCGACAACCGTCTCAATCTGGTCGCGATACCAGGCTGGAATGGCGTGACAAGGCCACACCTTGATTGCCCTGAGATGTGACAAGCACGATGTAGTCTTTGGTTCCTAGGAGTCCCTCTTGGAGCTGAGTATCTTGAGATGCGAGATTTCTCATTAGTTGAGATCCTTGTTCGAACCGTAACACAATCGGCATCTTCGAATCAATTTGCACATCACCTCGCTCGAGCTACGACGACCTACAACGTCACCTCGATAAGCACAGCAGATGACAAAGCTCCGCATGGCATCATCGTACCCTGCCTGTCTGCCTTGGGCGTCATCGATGATCATCAATCCATGGAGGGCTCCTTGAGGTCGTAAAGTCATCCGATTTTCGTCGATTCAGTCGCGGGCGTACGAGGCCCCGACGCCACAATTTCTTTCCAAACAACGCTATACTGTTGAGAGGCGAGAGTTTGAATCTTGATAACCCATCTTGTCCCGCACGAAGTGGCTCCAACGAGACTAGTAGTCATTTACAAAACAGGCACGCCAGTCAGACATGGATTACGAAGAGCCCGCCCGGCATGGCTTCCTACATAATGACGATGAAATCACTGCCAAGGACAAGCCATGTCCGTTCAACCGAGCTGCTTCGCCTCCGGAGAAGTGAGCTTCTGTCTTCATCTTGGCAATTGAACGATGACATTACGCTACTAGGCCAGGTTTCGGACACGGCTCGCACTGCCAGCCCAGCAGAGCACGCCAATCAACCCAAGTACTGGTGATCCGTACCTGCAGTCGACAGATGACCGGCTCGCTCTCACGGGACGGGAGAGGCGTGCCGGCAAGAAATGTTTCAGGTAATCGACCCTGGCGGCAAGCGGTAGGCGTGGCGGGCCGGAACCAAGCCATCAACCAGCAGTCAGCCCTGTTAGATCTCGGCTAGAGGGGATCAAAAGTAGAGATGTGACACGATGACTGGATGACGGCCCCTCCCAGGTGAGCCGGACATACTAGCACGGATCCGAACTCCGACAAGACTGGCAGGATTCAAATCTGAGCGTGGTCAACGGGCCTGCGATACGCACATGGCATCTGAGCTCCATGTACGCATGTGCTTGAACGTAGGGCGGCAAATTCGCATTCACAGACGTGGCGCCGCCGCAATTTGAACAGACGTCCAAGTATCCGAGCTGGCTGTGGGCCAGTTAAGTTAAAAGTAATAGGTGAAATCCAACTTGTTTCCGTACCGCACATGCTACACGAGAGATCCGCGGAGATGGGAGGCGAGAAAGTTCACAGCCGAGAGGCCTAGGGCATCTAGAAATGACCAAGACGAGGCGCTGTTGTCTCGTGTTTGACCATATGTTTTCGCATTGGTCGTTTGTCAACCAATGCAGACAGTGGGATCGCAGTTGGTTATTGGGCGCTTCAATAAGCCCTCAGGTAAGTCCATATTGTATGCTGCCTGCGTAGGAACGAGTCGGGTGTTGCGTATTCGTAAAACGGTGAAGTTGTAGCTGCCTGTCTGCCTGTCTGTCGTGTTGGACAAGCGTCATCTCCGCGCCGGCAACAGGCCAAAGGTGTGTGTGCATGCAGCGCAATAAGCTACAGCTTGCTGGCGACATGGGATGATGAACGCATCCAGCCAAGAATGCTGGGCGTCTAGATATGCACAACTCGTGCATTTTGTGTCGGGTTTGGCAGCAAGGTCACATCCATTGCACCGAGTGAGTGGTAGTCCGTTGGTTGCCTGCACAAAGATCCAAAAGAGTGGCTTACGCTGGGCTCACCTGGGTGTGCAGGAAGCTTGCTCTTTGATTGGCTCGTCCCGTAGCCGGGGCTCCGCTCCTTTTGCGGCTAGCCCTCTCTCTCAGCTGCGCAAGGTCCGTGGCCAACTTTCTGGGAAGGAGACGACCGCTCGATCGTAACTTTGGCAACAACGAGGCAGCGCGCCGCAACGAAAAACATGCCGCGCTCACGTCGCAATTCTCCCGAGACGCTCCGCCTCGATCCATCTCCATGGCCAGCCAGCCAGCCAGCCAGCCCGCGCCAAACTGTCCAGAGGTTTGGTTTATTTCACCCTCAGGAGACGGCACCGAGCGACGCCACGAGCGACGCCACTCAGCCACTCGACCCGTTATCAACGTGGCTCTGCTGAAGCGACGCCATCTTCATGTCTCGAGATATTCCCCATTCCTGTATAAATCAAATCACCTACCTGATTATCAAAAGTTACAACTACTTCCATCACTCATCCTTTTTACTTTACCGCCATCTGATCGAGACGAGATGACACGTGCATATATGTCTGTGTCTCTGTCAGAGCCTTGTCCTCGACGTATATGAAAAATACCTGGGGCGAACCGAACAAAGCCGACAAAACCTTTGGGGGAGAGGGGGGTTTCGGCGTCGGATTGGTCATTCATAGAACTGAGGTTTGCCCCAAGACGAACTACAGCAGAGCCGGCCCTCAAGGCCGCGAGACCTGAAGGGGGCGTGTGTTGATGTTGGCACGGGAGGCACGTTATGTCACATGAGCACAGGGCTCGAAATACTCACGGGCCACGACTAGGGTGGAAGAATCGACAAGTCATAACTGGCCCGGTGGCCGATGGCCTCCATGAACATCGAAGCCTGGGCGGCGGCTTTCGGCTTGCAAGTGGTAACTATTTTTGGCAGCTCGGAGGCATGATACGGGACGAAATCCTCCAAAGCTACTCGGGATTTGCAGTCAGTCTTGGATTTGCTCGTTGGCGACAGCACGTCGGGACACTGCCGCACAGGCGAATTCAAGCTTTTTGTTGGGCACGGCGCTTTTGCCGGGGGTGGCGGTGGCACCAGATTGGGGAGGCGGAAATGTGTCCCTGCGACTGCGACTGCGACTGCGACTGCGACTGTGCTGGAAGCAGGATCGAGAATCGACATCATGTCCATGCCATGCCCTGTCCATGCTCTGTGCGTACGGGAGCCGGAACGGTGCCGCGCAACCGCAAGCGCAACCACGGGTCGCCGGCGCCAGTCCTCCGCAGTCGCAGCACAGTGTGACTACATCATACATGGACATGTGGGGACGACCCGCTCCACTCGGAACCGTTGCACGGTGCGGTGCGGCCTGTCCATGTCCAGACTGCGTGGCGTCACGATTCGTTCGAGAAGAAAGCCGTAGTTAGTTGCCTACGGTGTGGTGTTGCTCGACGCCGAAGCCCATCAACGCATCCGTCACTGCCGGTTGTTTGCTGGAACCACGTGAATCTCGTGGGCGCTCGACGGTACTCCACGCTCTTCATTCACCGCAGCTTCTTCCTCTCCCGCAATGACTAGGAACGAAGAACGCCTAGGTGTTTTGCTTGGTCAAGTCATGTATATGGCAAGCATATGCGCACCTATATTGGAAAAGTACAGAGCCAAACTAGACCAATTCAGACTATTGCAGCGGCGGCTTTGCACAACGATGACAGGAATCCATGCCTTGAGGGGTCCCGTCATGCTGAGGCCGGTCCAATGCATCGACCGTAAGTCTGCCGACATGCATACATCCATCATACATGTACGTACGTGGTGTGATCTCAGTGCCGACTCGCCACTGCCACGTACCTTGAACGTGGGAGCCTGCTCAAGCCTTGTCCGCAGCCGTGGCCTTGGACCTGGGGGGGAGGCCGTGTGCATGTGCATGCTCATCATCACCAGCTCTCAGGGTCCGTCCATGTCAACTCGGCTCGTCCACGCTGCAGTGGAGAGAGTCAATGTCGTCGTCCATGGACTCATGGCTTGAGCTAGCCAATGCTACCCTCTTTGCATGCGTTGCCCTAATGTAGACAAACACACCACCGACGCAACTTGCGTCCCACTGGGCTCTTTGCTTGCACCGCACCAACAAGAAAACAAGTTGCCAGCTCGCCTCGTTTTCTTGGTCTTGCCCCAGCCCATCCAGACCACCTACGTCCACCGCACGCCTATTCCGCATCTATGAGCAAACTGTCCGTGCCCTGTGCCTCGAGCCCACCACCTGCGTCGTCGTCGTCGAGTTGGTGTGTTATCCATGGCCTGATGCTCCTGCCGGACTGTCGCTCGAAAGCCCGTTCTGGTCTGATTTTCTTCTTTCGGGAGCCGGCCCCCTTCTGCTGCCACCCCCGGGGGCGACGATGCGCCTCTTGCACCTTGCATCTGCGCCCCGAGTTGCACAGACACCCGCGCAGCTGGGCGCTCAACAAATCTTGGATGTCCTTTATTTTGTGCTGATAACAAGCCTCGCAGCCGTAGCACCGTCCCGAACAAAGGCAGAACTCTGCCTCTCTTTGACTCGTGGTGACGCCCTTGCTTTCGGTCCTTCGGGCAAAGTGGTACTGCACACTGAACACCGCGTGAAGCAGGCCTGCAGCCTTGAGATCTTCCAACGTCGTCATCTATTGACTAGCCCTGTCGAGCCGCTCACCGATCTGGAGTTGCGTCGTCGCTGATCTTGTGCTTTTGAAAGTCTGTAGTTGTTCATCAACGCTGATGGAGTACACAACGGGGGGGCTCGGCCGCAAGCCCCAAGGATTTCGAATCCAGATCCAATCTCGGTCACATCGCAAAGCTCTCTAGGTGCTGTTTTCACGGCAAGGTCTGCCAACGTTGACTGACAGACGAATCCGCCTGGTGGTTTGTAGAAGCCCTATTCCCGGAGACAGGACTCATCGTGTACCAGTCGAGAATATCCAGCTGACTTCACCACAGCAGCAGCTCGGCGTCCATGATCCACGTCAAAACTTGCACCGCGGCCTCTCCATCTGGAACATGTTTTCACCATCAGAGAAAGATCACGGCGGCATCTTCGATATTGGGGGAAGCGCTCTGGGACTCCGTATACGTGAACGTCTGCTAGCTGCTCTCAGGTCGACCGACAAGGGCGGCAGGAAGCCGAAGCTGCCGGCTGAAATTCTGTATGACGACGAGGGGTTGAAGTTATGGGGCGACATTGTCAACTCCAAAGACTTCTATCAAGCCGCGGACGAGGCTTCTCTTTTGCGGCAGAACGGGGAGGAAATAGCACGGCTCATCCGGGATTCAGGCGCCAAGGAGATTGTTGACATCGGTGCAGGGCACGTACCCAGACTTCCTCATGGACCTTCTCTGCCAGTGCCTGGTCTAGGGATCATCAGGTGAACCACTAAACTGACCTTGGTGTGGCCATTCCAGAGACACGAGAAAAGTCGAGTTCCTCCTTGATGTGCTCGAAAAGACCGGGGGCCCAGTCACGTATCTTATGCTGGATATATCCCGGGCGTCCCTGCAGGCAAACTTGGCCAGGCAAGTCGGAATGTTTCCACGGCCGGATTGCCGTACCATCTGCCTCGGCCTTTTCGGGACGTTTGAGGACGGACAGCAATGTATCGGAGACAGGAACGCCGCCGACGACCGCCCCATTCCCCGGATCATTTCTTCGCATGGTTCTGTTCTGTGCAACGACAACGAGGAGGCGGCCAAAGAACATCTGAAAGCTTGGACGGCCGTCCTGCGTCCCGTCGACAGGATGCTGATTGGAATGGACGGCCATGCGGCCAAGGACGAGGACCAGAAAAGGAAGATATGGTTATCGTATCACCCAGAGAATGACTTGTACAAAACTTTCTTTGACAACGGTCGCAACAAACTGAACAAACTACTGGGCGACAATATATTCACTCAAGAGAATTGGGACTTCCATTCAGAGCTTGAAACAGAGCCCACCACCAGACACCGCAACTGGATGGCCGCCAAGAAAGATATCACATGCAAAGCGACAGGTAGCGTCATCAAGGCTGGCCAGGAATTCGATTGGTTTGATTCGCACAAATACGGGCCAATGTCGGTGCAGAAAATGTGCTCCGAGGTGGGATTGAAGGTTTTGAAATCTTGGAAATCGGAGAACTCTGAATTTTGTGGGTGTTTATGACCCTCGAACCATGGCGCTGAGCTAACATTTGAGTTGAAGATTTGTACTGGGTTGGACTGTATGATGCCCAGTTTCTCGAGGACACCGTCAGTGGCGTATCAAGCCTGGGATGAACAGGATCGCTGATTCCACATGTACGTATTGCTGCTCAGAGCAATGGCGGCTTTGAGATCAACTAGCCTCAGGATTAATGGGCACAGCCAGAATGCGTGCCTCTTCGCGGCTCCGAGAACAGGATGACACTGGGAACTTTTCTCATTTGGGGTCGCGTGGGAGGTGGATTGACCTGAATCATGTCAGGCAGAGGACTTCTTGCTCTTGCTGCTGGACGAGGGTCACAAGCTGTTCCCACCAAGGCTGTCGAAGGTAGATGGGTTGATTGGTATGGAGAAGAGGTTCAAATAAAACGGGGATCTCTTTATCAATCCATTCCCAGATATGCAGAAGCGCTGTGTGCAAGGGTGGAACGCTCTTGTTTGCCCCAAGATCCGTTAGTGTTGGAAACTCTCACTACGCCAATTCGTGATACACATCGGGGACAAAAAAACTTACACTTCTTACGGGGGTCTGCAGGACCTCGTCGAACCAGGTTTTCGAAACAGCTTTATGCTCTTGTCTGGTTGCCAACATGCCCAGTAAAAAGACCGGGAACAGGGGTGCCTGGGCTGTAAATTGGCTTCCCGACGTGGGCATGATCGTAATGCACTTTGCGAGGTCGTCCAAGTTGGATATCACGTCGGGGTGATTTCGAGGTAATCTAAAGGGTTGAGCCATTAGTATCTTTGCTATTCACATTGATGGGTGCGAATCGTGCCGCTCACCGCATCACACGGCATTGCAGGTGAATAATGGCAGTAAAACGCCAAGCTTCCGCCGTCACATCTGTCATGAGCGCGTTTGTATCAATCTGGTAGCCCTCGGGCACAGAACGAACCCATTCAATGACGGACGGTCCAGAATTTGCAGCCTCCCAGCTCTTCGATTCGGGGCTCCATTGTCTCATATGGAGAAGCTCTGAGTGTAGATAATCCGCTGTCATTGGAACAATGGGAGTCTCCGGTTCTTGTTGCAAACGTGCAGCACAATACGTTACCTGATTCAGGGTATGCAGCAGTTTCTTTGAAAATCCACAACCACCATGAATCTGGTACATGTCCCTTTCGATGCCATAGAGAAGCCAACCAAATCGAGATGCTTCCTTCTCAGCGTCGAATTCGTGTGGAGGCGGCAATGAGGTCATGGGCTGGGCCAAGATAACTGCGCGGCCAACGATGATGGATTGCGAGTTTCGTAACGACGACGACTGTACATTGGATGATTTCCAGAATCGCGATCCATGATCTGTCGCCTCAAGAAATTGCTCTCCCTGTCGGAAGCCTTGAAGCCAACGAGGAGAAAATGGGTTCTTGAGGCGACGCTCTGTCAAGACGATCTACCTTCCGGGTCAGAGGCCACCTCCAAGAAAATGGGACTCACATGGAGCAGGTCATTTCAGGGCTCAGAATTTGCAGGATAATGACTAAAACCTACATCTTGCATAGAGAGAATGACGGCAATCGTGATTAGCTCATTTGCCAGTGCTTCATCTTTGGCAGTCGCCGGGTCGTTAAGTAGTTGGGAAAATCGCTTTTCGGCATCAGAGAAACGCTGGTTGACTCTGTTGCGAATAGATTCTAGTGGTAGATAATCGTAGATGTAAATGCCAGCCAGACTTTGGATGGCTGATCGGACACCAACGCTCTTGTGCATTTGGGCGAAATCCTTGAGCCATAGATTTGTGTCATCCAGTACACTGCGTCCCGGGCACCAGTTTCGAATATCTCGAATTTGTTCGTCAGCACGTTGAGATTTGACCCATCTTTTCCCGCTTATTGCATTGTACTCACAAAACATCCAGAATCGTCTATCAGTGTCGTCCATTTTGGCATCATAGCCATATTGAGACGGTAGCAACTTGGGCGCCCCCATATGTGCAACTTGACTGAATGCATTGGAGAGGTCAGCGAGCGAATGAGATCCTACTGGCGCATGCGATGCAATGGTTTGCGTTGACGGTAGGTCGTAAAAGCTTGACAAATCAACTGCAAGCTCAATAACGTCTTCTCCGCCTCTTGAAGGCGCTGAGGAGGGACCAATGAGGGCTGTTGAAGATTGCGACGTCAACTCGTCGTTCCCCTCAGTAGGGCCATCCATTTCAAAGACTCTGGTGGTGTCGTGACTTGAATTCGTGCGCCTTGTTGGGCGTTGCTTTCCGTGCTTATCCTTGGGCCAGGAGAACTTGATATAACCATTCACCTTGCCGTCTAGAGGACGACTAAAGAACTGAGACTTGTATAGCCCAAAAGTGCCAATGCAGTCCCTGAAAGGGCTCTGAAAAGTATCATCGCAGCGAGGGTGGCTACACTGAGGAAGTCGCCGGCCATGGTTGATGCTTCCTGACGGGGCTGAGGAGGACACTGGTGAGTCATCACAGGCAAATAAAGGTTGAGAAATTGATGGTGGGAATACGGTCTCAAACTGTATCGGATGAGAAGGACAGAAGGAAGCTGGAGATGCCGAAGGTAAAAAGTCAAGTGGCAGTGTTGTATCTAGCTCTGTACGATGTCAGCTCGTGACATGAACATTGAAGCATTTCGTTCTAACAATGAATGGTTGAGGTTGTGTAGAGGTGATGAAAAGGCCATCTTGTGACTGGGAGAAACAGGGCGGTATGTGTGCTCAAATGATCACAGACAGACGTCAGCATTCGCCACTCGGCCAGCCATCCATCCCTGCCTCATGACAGACAGACAGCCAATGTTGACGAGCAATGCGCCCCCCGGCCTCTACCGAGAACAGGGCAAGGCATCAAAGAGTGAACGAGAATTGGACGCATCAATAGTTGCTTGAAGCAACGGGCATCATGCCGGACTACAATGAGCTTCGTCCATAAGGAAAGTCATAGCAACAAGATGGGATGGTCTGGAGGGGCAATACATCCATTATCTACAGACGCCCCCGGACCGGCGTGGGGAGGGACTGCAAAATGCAACGCTTCCAGAGTGAAAGAAAGGGTTGACCGAGTGAATCATGGCCGGTGTGGTAGCCAATACTAATTTGGACATGACGAGTCTGTCCTATCCGCTCAGTTGACCATCTACTAATGGCGTTATGAGAGCAGAGCACGGAGGTTGACTTGGGCAGGAAACATGGCAATGTTTGCAAGATTGCAGTCTCCGGCATCGAGCTCGACGTCCAACAAGTACGAAGCGCATACATACTACATGAGACGGGCGAGAAACAGTACGCCTTACCTGGAGGTGGGCACAAGGGAGCGACGACGGCCGGAGAAGCTCGATACGCGGTCGACTGGAACGAAGGGGTCGTGGCGGACTCGGGCCACTTCCATGTCGGGTCGAATACAGGTTCGTCGGGCCAAGAGGAGGCGGCAGTGGCATAACATTCCGGCGGGGCGTGGGAAACGTGCTGGCCCTGCTGCTGCTCGTCACCGAGGGGGAGGGGGAGGGGAAGGGGGAGCGTGCGGGGCGGGTGTCCTCGTTGTTGTTGTTGTCGTTGTTGTCGTTCACAAGACGCCTCGGTCTCACGGCTGTCATGAAGCTCTGGCGATGGAATGAACCTGACCCGCTTCGCGAGGCGGTCGTCTTCAAAGTCCAGCGAGTCGCTCATGGTGGGAAGATGTTGATGCAATTAGCCTCAAGTTTATCAATTCAACCTTATCCGCAGCGATTGGTGCTCTGGAGGCGGGGAACCTGGTGTCGGCGCTTGACAAGTCACAGCGCTGAGCCGGAGGAGATGCTCCGGTTGAAGGCAGTCTCAAGCCCTCCCTGCAGGCCAGCTTTTTCCAGCGTGGCAGGCTGTATCTTGGTATTCCAAAGGAAGCCGGGGCTTGTTGATTTCCCCGATGCTGGTTAATCGCCTGTCCCGCGTCAGTCAAACGTCACAGCTAGCAGATCAAGTTGGAAAGCGACGTTGAAAGTAGCGGCTGGCCCACCCGCTACCCGTCAGTGGACAAGGGGAGTGATCGGGTGGTCCCGCAGCGGCTTAGGATACTCATCAAGGGGTCAAAGGATCAACCCGTGGCCGGGATCCCCAGCGACTAGCACTGGCACGGACGAGACGGGTTGACGGGTGGCAGGTAGGTTTCCGGCCAACGCCAGAGTTAGAGATGTGGAGGTGGGCAATGATGCCTCGTGCGTCCCTGCAGGAAACAAAACAAAGCTGTACCGAGCGGGAGTACATAAGGAGGGACATGGAGGGATGGATTGTTCCAGCATCTGACGAGGCTGGAAGGGAAGGACATGGAAGTGTCACGACTCACAATGACAATGGAGGCACTCAGGCTTGGCAGCGGCACTTGGGCTTTGGAGTTTGGAGGGGCTCGGCACCGCACTTGGCGGCACACGTGACGAGGTACCTACGTAGTGTATCAGGTAAGTTACTCGGAGACTCGGGCACTCGGGCACACAGAAAACTCACAACTTATTGAACGGTTGTCTTCGTCTTCGTCTTCGTATGGTGCATGTACTCGTCACCCCGCATGCAAATACCTTTTCACGACGGAGCACTGCCGAAGTGGTCGACTGCCTGAGATGAGGATCCAGATCGTCGGGCGACTTTGGCTTCAAATGATTAGCACAACAACCCTCGACTTGCGCAAGACTTGCAACCCAGCGGCAGGAACGGGGTTTGAGACCAGGGGTCCAGGTCTAGACTTGGGGCCCGTCTAGACAGGATAGGGAGCGGCCCATCTGGTCGAGAGAGAGGATCAGAGGTGAAATGTGATGAGCAAGATGCATCAGATGACATGGGGGGAGCAAACAAGGGCTCTGACAGATCTGGGCATCGATACTCGTCGGGCCAGTCTGCCGAAATGTGTCTGATCGCTAGCAGGTCCACCGAGCTCGCTCTCGTCCACGTACTCGCTTGGGCAAGGGGATGAAGAGCTAGGTGCGATCTTTGGAGACCGAAGCTCCGCTCCGCTCAGCTCAGGTCGGGACTGCGTCGTGACTGGGGGCCGACCGAGAATGCAACTTACATACGACCTGGTAAAAGGAGCGGCGGAGGACCGAGCGCCTGTCAAGTGCCAGACGACGCGTCCTCGACGACGACGACGACGACGACGACGACGACGACGACGACGACGACGACGACGACGACGACGACGACGACGACGACGACGACGACGACGACGACGACGACGACGACGACGACGACGACGACGACGACGACGACGACGACGACGACGACGACGACGACGACGACGACGACGACGACGACGACGACGACGACGACGACGACGACGACGACGACGACGACGACGACGACGACGACGACGACGGCGATGATGATTGATGATGATGATGAAAATTGAGAATACGTACCGACAATTGCGGGCAAAATCAGACCGTTTTCCTTGCAAGCAAGACTGTGCGGCCCCAGAGGCGGTAGTATCGAGTATATCAGAGACACGATGTCGGGCACACCGTCGGCGATGCTTTCATGGACGAAGAGAGGCAAATCAAGGGGACCGATGATACCTGCCGAGCCGGTCTTCTCTCTCACCTTGGCAATGAGAATTATATCTCCACCAATGTCGCTTTCGATTTTCTGGCCGTCTCTGTTCTGCCTACTCGTGTTGCCTCGCGCCTGCTGCCTGCCGTATCTCTTCTGTTTTCCTCGCAGGTTTGCAGAATGTCATACTCTCAGGCACTGGCAATGCCAATGCGCTCATTCGCCAACACTGTTGGCCACCAAACTGTTTTGCTGCTCGCCGGCTCACGACTCGCTCTTTCTCCTTGGGTCACAGAATAATTGGCAGATCTGGGGCAGTCAAGTCTTGAGCGAGGGGCCAGGACAAGGACAAGATGGATCGAAAAAACGAGAGCAATCCGATCGAGGCCACGGGAGGAAGACGATGTGAAATACTTGGTAGAAGCGGCCTGGACTTTCCACAAGCACCCACTCACGGGCCAGCACAGAGCACAGAAACTGGCTAGACATACCGAGCAGGGTCCGTCAAGAAGCCAGCCGTATAGCAACATCCTCGTCCATAGTACAATTACCCCGAGGATTCGTCGCTCCTCTTCTGTGCGGTGCTCGCTAGTAGAGAGTCGAGACGCTCACGGTCACGACCAGGTGTCGGCTCACCCACGAAAGCCATGTATTATACATTAGTATCTAGCCTCGTCGGGTTCGATATCTGCCGAGTCGCTTGTCCCTGTCCATCCCGCCCATGCATATTTGTCAAGCTCAACCGCAGGAGGAATTCGCCGTCAATAGCATTTGAGCACTGGGGCTAGGCAAGGGCCCGAGGCCAGTCGACGATCCAGTTACTCGGTGACCCCCAGCTCCCACAGCCCGCGAACCCTGCTTAGAGTAAGTTCCAAGGGGAGAAATTGACTGGCATGTCTCATGTGTGGCCGGTCTGGCGGTTCAGGGTGGTGCCTTGACTTATGTATAATGCTGTAATATGTCGTGCCACCCAATACTTGCAAGTTGCCACCTTGACAAACAGCATCTTGTAAGCATACTTATTGGTGTGCGCTCACACGTAATCGGCCTCGTTCATATGTACGTACGCACTCGGTACTCCGTAGTCAAAGAGAACACTACACAGCCCATCAACGTCCATCTCCATGACCATACGGAATGCATACGTTACCTCCTTTCCTAGGTAAGTAAACACTTGAACGAATGGTCGTCTCAGCTTTTTCCAGATACCTTCTATGTGTGCGCGTCAAAGTCGGGCCAATGTGCTGCGAGGCCACGCCACCCATTCCTCTGTCGTTTCGTACTACGTACTCCGTACTACGCCAGCCGCGAGGGCGAGATGTGGTGGCTCAGCCGTGTGGTCACATCGCGAGTTGGTAGTGCTTTGTTTTTTTTTTTTTGCTTCTGTCTTGCTTTGCTGTCTCTGCGACCAGTTGTTTCAACCTCTAGTTGAATTGCGTTCGACCGTGAGCGTGAGACTTGCTTGGGTATCAGATGGACCCTTGGATTCGTGCAGTCGATGCATGCTCGAGTGGAGCACGCATTTGTTGGACCTTGCTTTCGCGCCTTGATGCGGAGTACATACTCCGTACGAAAGATTGGCATTCTCAATGATGTGATTTGGCGTCGTCGAAAGCAAGGTGGTGCACTACCTCGGCGCCTCCCAGCAGCCCGGATGGTTTACTATTTGCAGAGACCTCTCTAGGAGGGCTTATCCAACCAAATCGACCCTCGTATCTGCTTCTGTTCTCTTGGCTTGCTTGCTGGCTGGCTGAACGGCTGGCTGGCATTGTTTGCTCCGGAAATGCATCATCCTTGTGGCGCTTCTTGGATGCAGCCGCAAAGTGGTAGAGGGGTCTCTCAAAGCGGCATTCACCGGTGGCGTTGAATATGAAGGACGCCGTCTTTTGTCCCAGGCTGCTTACATGGTTTGCCTCAATGTGCGGTGCCACACAGAACATCAGTCCTGGACTCCTGGGCAATATAGAAGCCGACTCCAAAGTGTTGGGCAGCACGCCACAGAATCACCCGGATTGTTGATTCAAGGTGAGCGGCGATGGTATCGAAAGGGTCCTTGAAACCAGATGCTGAATAGCATGCCATCTTTTACTCCGTGTAGCCTTGGGAAGTCATCTTTTGTCATGGACTCATAAGCCATGTTATCCGATGACGGACAATGGGAGGCCAGGGGGGCAGTTTTCACTGCCAAGGGATTGTATGTAGGTTGCCTAGAAGTTTGCCTACATTCCGTAGACTTACCTGATCCCCCCTTTCCTGTCAAATCCGAAATGCTACCTAGCGGCGAAGGGAAGAAGAGAAGCAGAATAAACAGAAGGATGATAACAGCCAAGTGTAGAGGGCAGAGACAGACTGCAAGCCGGTGAAGCCGTCGGGAACAGGAAACGGAATGTTGATGGACAAACTGCGGCCAGTGTTTCCGAGTACATACAGGCATGGTTGATTACTCCGCACCGAAGCCACAAAGAGGGGGCGCTCCTCAATCGATCAACTAGTTGATGGCCTTCTTTGACTGCCGAGTATAGTTTGGCCACCAGCCCCTGATCCGTCTGTCTCCTGGTGGTGATTTGTCGTCTGAAATGGAGGCGCTCCCTACTCCGTACGTCAGCCACGAAACAGGGCAGCCAATCTGAGAGCTTCCCCGGATTTCCATCAATGTTCCCCGGTCCGCCCCGTGCGCGGGGACGCTCCGCCGGACAGTTACATGGATGGCTGGGAGGGAGCGGCCACGCCCTCATGGGCCATGAATTGCATGCCAAACGCACATGCCTGTCGGCCCTGAGTCCTTGCTCTTCACCATCCACCCTCCATCCTGGCATGACCGGCCGATCGTGTAGTGGCAGTACACATACGGAGTACATTCTCCGCAATTGCATGGTACAGGGTTGAACAATGGGACCATGGCGTTCCTCGTCAATCAATGAGTGGTACTCGGTACTCGGTACTCCATATCATGTATAAAAAAGGTCCTTGGGTCGTGTGTGTGTCCAAAGCGGTTGGCCTTGTTATCTCTTTCCCCTTTCCTCTTTCCTCTTCTCTCTGTCCCTGCTCCGTCGTTCCGTCGCTGCACAAGGGTCACTCCACCACCAACGTCGTCTTCTTGCTCCCTCGCCCGGTCCGGGTGTGGTTTTGAGTCGGGACCTGCGCGTTGTCTCTTTCTCTCTCTTTCTCTCTCTCTCTGTGTGTGTCTGTTTGTATGTACGTATGTATGCCACTCCGTACGTAACGTCATCCCACCAATTCCAGGGCTCAACCGTTCCTCGATCGATCCGTCAACGAGGTCTGTTCTGTCACTTTTTCTTGCTTCAACGCCTTGGGATTTACGCCAATCTATCAATATCGGCGCCCGCCTCTTCGCAAGTGCTGACGTGTTGAGAAGCCAGGTGCCTTTCGTAGCCCCCAGTTCGTTGGCTGGATGCATCAGTGCCCTGTTCCGCTCTCCGCTCCTCTGTTTCTCCTCCTCCTGTACTCCGTATGCCGAGTGGTCCGACTTTTTTTTGAATGGGCCGAATCAACACAACGCAGAGGGGAAAAAGAAAGAGTAAAAGGGAGGGGGAAAAATTCAGCAACACCAGGTACTTTCATAAAACAGGAGCTAGATGACCTCTCTTCCATCGCCGCAGGACGTTCAGTTGAGAAAACTGGGAAGTTTGAGTGTTTCCAGTAAATTTCACTCTGCCGTCTCTCGCACCTTCGACTACTCCATACGTTGCGACTATTCCATCTCTCGGGCAAGCGAGTGTAAAGTGGACGAGAGACGTGCCCTTTTCTTTTTTGCTTTTCTCGCTGCTTCATATTCGGGACTGGAGAAGACAGCTTAAGCATCGCCTCCTAAACTCTGCGTTCCTGGTTCCCGCCTTCGCGCTTGGCAACTGCCTTTACCTGTGTCTTGTTGACCCTCCAACCATATTCTCTGTTTCCCGTGCGCGGAAGTTTCCTTTTCTTTCTTTTCTTTTATTTTTTTTTCTTTTTGGTTCTCGGTGCAATTTCGTGTCTTGATTTTTGTTCGCATAAACCTTCTGTTGGCTAACCAGGTTGGATCGCTCTCACATCGTACATTCGGAGGCAACAGTGCCAAAGACTGCCAACCGCTATTCTGTCACACCCCAGTCCCTGCTGCCTGGTTTATTGTCGAGATATTACCGTTCGTTCCTTTGCCGATACTTGCGGCCTTGACGAGTCTTTTCTCGCTCATTGCCCGTGCGTCTAAAAAGGCTCCCCCGTCATTGGCACTCACCCCTCCCCCGGCTCAAACAAGCTTGCGTCGCCGTTTCTCGGATCGATCAGGGACTTGCACTGGCTTTGCTTGGCTTCCGGGAGACGCTTCGAGGGCGCAGTGCTCTCGTCACTCCATACTTTGAGTGGTGGTGCCGAAGTCACTTAGCTTCCTATTTCCTGTGATGCCCATCGCGTGAGCACGACCCGACGAAGGCGTCAAGCCAGGCCCCGTAACCGGACAAGACTGGATACGCCGCACTCGCCGGCGATAAAACCTCAAGGTTTTCATGTGGTGCCGGTGCCTGGTCGCTAGGCGCATCCGCATCCGCACCGTCAAAACGTTCTCAATTCCTGTTATATCAGCCTCATTTGGCGTGCTCCAGTATTTGATATAGAGCACGTTGCCACTTGTCTGATAGTTGTACCGAGCGCCCACGTCACAGGCAGAGCAGTCAGCTCAGGGCAGGTCTGATATCTATTGTGAGTGCGACGGGCGAATAACCGAATGGTGCCGTGTTTTTATCAGTCCTTGCTCTGGGGATTGACGGCGGCAGATGATGCATAGTGGCCTCCGCATGAAGCTGCTACGCTCCACTGAAAGACTCAACAGAATTTGAAGCTTTCCCGGAGAGTGTTTCCTAGTGGTTGACTCTGGGGCCAGGGCCCTTTCTCCCCAGGTATATGTAGGTTGCTTGCGTATAATTCGGTCGTTTCCTATGCACATCATGCCGATCCCATCTGCCTTTCATTTGTTCGAGGCTGGACTCAGCAACTCCTCACCGTAATCCGGGTTCTTGGATACCTTAGTTCAGCAGCAGCTCGAGCTAGCTTCTCAGTATATTGCAATGAATGCGTCTCCTCCTTCAACCTCTGATTCAGACGATCTTGTATCCAATCTTGGCGAATACTTCACTCGTACTGCAATGATGTGGGCTCAACTTACGCAACAGCTTATTAAAGGCCCCCATATTATCCGGGCGTCCATCACGGCTCATGAACGTTCCCGGACAGAAAGTCGCATGTCCGACCTTGCTGAGCTCGCCAAGATTGACATGGGATTAACAAAACTGAGGTATGTGCCTACTTACACGTCTTCAATTGCCGCTTATGATGTGCGCCTATATGGGCTTCTATTCAATTTTCAGCTAATGATTCTCGGCCCACGTACCCACAGACAAATCAGCGATCTGAGTGTCCGATTTTCTCATGAGGTCCAAGGAGTCTGGGGGCAGGAAGTTTTGCAGGCCTCTATCTCACATTTCTGCAACAACAAGGTATCTACTGTTTCAGGGGCCGTCTCAATGGCTGGTGGACCCGAATCGGCACATTTTACATCTCGCAAGCTGTTGCCAGACAAAAGCCGGTTGAGCCACGGTAGTATTGGCGGCGAGGGATCCGGCACAGAAGATTCATCTGATGACGATGAGCCGTTCCAATCCATAGATATGGAGGCTCTGAGACAAAGAGGAAAGGGGGTTTATCTCTGTCCAAAGGGCACCAAGTGTGACAAGGGTGGAGTTGACAAGGACGGCAATCTTGTTGTCTTTGACAGAAACTCATCGTTTGCGTACGTTCCTCTCTGGATCCGCTGCTCGAGTTGAAAGGCGTATTCAGCCCCCCAAAAGCCTTTTGTGCCTGGTTCACAATGTTCTAATCAAAAAAGATACAGACAACACTGTAATAAACATCGCAAACCTTGGCGATGTGATGTACCTGGATGCCCCAATCCCCCTAAAAAGCGGCGATTTGCTCGCCGAGACGGATTAGAAAGACATAAAACGACGGTGAAGCATTACATGGTAACCTAATCGAGCTCCATAGAGAGGGGGACGCAGAGAACTAGATTTGGTGACGGGCTCCAATGGCCGTGGTTATACATATACATATAGTACATACCTGGGTAAATGGCCAAGTGGACTAGCATATCCCAGTAACTTAGTTGTTTGTGTCCCACACGGAAGGGAAGGGTGAATGATTAGTGCGTGGGGAACTGGCACCACGATAGAGGGGAGCAGAGACGCATGGCTCTACAGTCCTGACTCCTGGGTGCCGAGTATACGTCCATGGGGCTTATGCGCCGTCATGCCACGGAGGCTTGAAGAGCAAAAAAGTGAATGATGATCCTGGCCTGAAGCTTGACTATGAGTCACCTCAAGTAGGGGAGTACATCGTTGCCGGGTGAGAAGCCGAAGTTCACGCACACTTTACAGTATAGGTCAGGATCGTTGAACTCGCTGATTTGGAAAGGAGCCTTCTGCACTTACAAGTTACAATGTTCGGACTTGACAACTTGCAAATGCAATACCAATGGCTTCGGAATGAAGTGCCGACACGGACCACAGAGGATAAAAGGGCGAAAGCGTACATCGATCGTTTCTGACCCAGACTTGCATCAGTTGCTGCAGTTGCTCCTCCAGTCCTCGCGAATCAATAAGCAGCTAGCCTAACACAGAACAAGTTTTTAGATCATGGGCCTACAAGAGCCTGCCAGTTGTCATGAGTCGGGATGATGCTAGCAAGTGATGGCTGCACTCGGACTTGACCGGTCAGTGTTTTCGCATGAGCTTTTCACGGTAGGACATGATCCCACCTGTCCATACGACGGAAGCAAACCCGCCCCCCCCAGCGTCAGGCTGGGCTCCTCATGTTGACCACATGGGAAATCCAATGTCGGCCGCTACCGAGAGACATTGCCTGTGTCATAACTGTCGGTATAGTGTGGACACATTCACCAACTTAGGGAATGGTGCGTACGCCGGGACTTTTATTTGCAGATGATGTAAACAAAGGAAGGGACGTGTGTACGAACTATGTCGTCATGTGCCAATCATCGGGCATTGCTCCGCTGATGGGGAAAGATTTCCGGTCTTCACAAGAATCTAGACCGGGAAGACGGAACGCGCGCCACGTCGTCTTTACGCTTCAATCTTACCCAAACTGCAGTGATGCCTGGCGATGTAGTATGTGCCAGTACGGAGTAGTGTCGTGCCATTCTCACACAACGCTAGGATGGCAGCGAAAGGCCCAATGCTTCCGATTCGAGCTCGAGCTTGAAAGACCCCTGCTGCTCGGTTCCAGGGACGGGAGTTGAAAACATACGCCATCCAGCCATCAAGCTAGTACAGGGGATCATGAATAGGACTGCGCCGTACCACTGGAGCAGAAACCAGGCACGTGGGACCAGCCACTTCCAGTTGCTTGGCGGCTAACCCACACCGCGATTCTCTTGGGGCAAAGGGGCGCAGACCTAGGGGCTTGCTGTGCAAAATGGTCGCCGGCCTCACCCTGCACTCCGTGTCTTGCAGAGAATATTGTGGGTCGGCCATATTGGCCGCACGACCAGGCTGATGAGCAGCATGATTGTGTTCCTATGCATCTTGACATCTGGGCAGTCGACTGTGACCAACGAGGTGCTTGTATCGCCATGTCTTGACTGGATTTAGTACGATGAAATGCAAGATGATGCGAGGTGCCTAAATGGCCGGGACGGCATCCATGTCCAAGGCACGGATCGACAAGATGAGTCCGCTGCATGTGTCACACGATAGCAGTGGCACTAAGCTAGATATTACTTAGATAATAGTTAAAAGCCTTAAATTAATCTACAAAAGAGAGAATTGTGTGCGCTCTTTAAATAAGTGCGCCTAGCTCTACGCTTTAGGTGCGCATTAACTTAATCCTATGCGCGTGTGTATCTATTAGCCCTAGGTAGGTATGCTAGAGCGCGTTAGGCATGCTGTTGCTGTGCAATATACCCCCTAATTAAAGCTGCATTTAAAGCTATTGTAAGCCTTAGACTCTATAAGCGTGCGCTTAATAGAGTATTTAATTAAAGCTCTTATATGCCTGCTAATGCCTCTAATTTGCCTCTTTTCTGTTGTTATATAGTGTAGCTATACTAATTTTTTAGGTAAATTAAAAGTAAGCGCTATCTGCTTATTAGCTGGCTGCTCTTTATATTTATACGCGCTTTCTAAGAGTATTATAAGCTCTCTTTTTCCTTCCTTCTGCAACTGCCTTTATATAATTACAAGCTTACATTTTAATTATTGCTATTATTATTATTGTTGTTATACCTACTAGGTTAGGCAGGTCTATTTATACTAACTGCTAGCAGCTAGTACTAGCAGATTAAAGTATATCTATATCTACTGTATTTAAGGAGCAGCCTAGCAGTACTACTTCTACTCTTAATACTAAGGAGGCGCTAGTAATGCCTTCTTTCTCTATATGTTGTTGTCTCTTGCAGTATGCTAGGCCTGCAAGAGTGCAGAGAGTAAGTTATACTTAGAAGTATTACTCTATAAGTTCTATGCGCTAACTATTAGACTAGATCTCTAGAGCTAGATGTACTGCGTAATATGCTCTATAAGGGATGTATTTATATAGCTATTATAGGCAAAGGCAATAAAGATTACTGCTTTAAGGTAACTATTAGTTGCTCTAAATAATACTGCTTATATAAAGCAGGCAATTATACTTGCTAGCCTTAGTAAGCTTAAATTCTACTTCTTTAATTAGCTAATTGCTAATTATATATATAGTTATACTATATTAGTCTTTATTGCTAAGCAGATGCTATTAGCGCTAAGTGTAGATAGTAAGGTAAGCTCCTAATGCTTTATTACCTCTAATTCTACGCTTAATTTTAATACTCTAAGCTGTAGATATATAATAAATGCTATTAAGCGCTTTAATTATAGCTTAACCTTTTTATAAAGTCTAACTCTATATATAAAGAGTTTATACTTAATATTAAAGCTAATAATACTACTAAAGGCTTATTAGCAGCTAGAGGAAAGAAAGCTTATATAAAAGCTTTACTTAACTAAGTTATAGACTTAGTTATTAAGAAGTAAGCTTTACTTTTATTGTTTTATTATATATATATTTTAATATAAGTAGTAGCTTGCTTTTACTTATAGGCATTTTAGCGTTTAGTATTTTAGCATTACTTTATATAATTTTATTTGCCTTCTAAGTATACTTTACTTAGAAGAAGTAGGCAATTATATATTTAAGAGGCAATTAATTTAATGCTTCCTCTTAGCTGTGCTTTTATTTATATAATTATAATATTGCAAGAGTTAGCCTTAGCTGCTTAAATTAACTAAATTAAGCAAGCCTCTAAAGTATTTAAAATACTGCCTATTTAATGCCTTTATAAATCTATTAGCAGGCATTTTAGCTATAGGTAAATATATAACTTTAAAGCTTTCTTTTTTATATTTCTATTTTAACTATTATTATAAATATTAATATAGCGTAGATAAATATTAATTTGCTTGCTTAAATTAAGTATAAAATAAATTATCTGCTAATTATTATATTAAATATTATAATTCTCTTCTAAGTTAAAATAAATATTATAAAAAAAGCGCTTTAAGGCTATAATCTTCTTTGCTACTTATTGTAAAGCAAGTAGTTTAGCCTCTATTATAAATATAGTTACTATATTTTAGTGTGTAGCTTTCTAGATAACTAGACCTCTAAATAATATAATAATATATCTTTATAATAACCTTTATATACTTAAATTATTTATATATAAAGCATTACTTATAACTTTTAATACTTTAATTTCCTTTATACTACTATAATAAAGAGCAACTTTACTTATTAAGGCTAAGTATTAAATAGCTTAGTCTACTGCCTTTTAATGCTTAGAGCTTAAGTTTATTAAGAATTGCAAAAGCTTAGAAGCAGTATAGGCAATATCTAGTCTAATTATAATTACTATATATAATAGAGAGCTAACCTTTTCCTAGTAGGCTTTAATTTCTTGCTTAGTTGCCTTACTAATACGCTATATAAGCTTTATTATAAAGCAGTATAGGCAATATCTAGTCTAATTATAATTACTATATATAATAGAGAGCTAACCTTTTCCTAGTAGGCTTTAATTTCTTGCTTAGTTGCCTTACTAACGTGCTATATAAGCTTTATTATAAAGATTAGTATAGTAGAAAAAGTAGCTTTCTATACTTAACTAAACTTTTAACTAATTTTTTCTATATAAGCTTTATAATAAAGGAAAATTTTCTAGTATAGTTTATTTTTAATAATCTAGATACTTAGAAAGAAGCTTAGTTTGCCTTTCTCTTCTAAATTATATACTTGCTTTAAGTACTAAACTATATAATCTGCTGCTTATCTTGCTTCTCTTCCCTTATAAAAGGTAAGTATAATATTATTTATAAAGAATATTAAATAAATATTCTAAGCTTTATTAAAGAAGATATATAGCTCTTCTTTACTTAGATTAAGCCTAGCTCTCTTAAGAGTTATACTTAGCTTTTTAAACTATAAGCTTAGCAAGTCTTATAGCTTATATAAAGCTTTAAGTAATTAAATATACTTCCGTAGTATTTTATAACTATTAGAGAGCTTATATATTACTAGTATTATATACTTGCTATACTTTATATATAGAAAGGCATTCTTAACATTAAATTATAGTAATTCTATATTATACCTAGTAGCTAGCACTATTATAATTTAAAATATATATACTATAAGTATTACTATATAAGTTTATTTAATTATAGAGTAGTTCTATAAATTACTATATATAAAAATATATACTTTATATTTATTAAAA